AGGTTGTACAGGGCGTAGGGGATGATGATGAGCCACATGAAGGAGAAGAGGAGATACTTGTGGTTCAGACAATGAGCTCTTTTTGTGTGGCCTCTGATTTTCTGCATCCTCTGCCAGGCGATGATCACACTGCAGGAGAAGGTGGCCACTTGCAGGAGGATGCGCAGAAACAGCTTCAAGACACACGTACCCATCAAGCCCACATTGAAGTAGTTCTCTATTAGTTGGACAAGTTCCAGAGGACACACAAACCCACAAGCTGCAGTAGCAAGGAAGAGGAGATGGACTATGGTGCTGTACGTTTTCCTCATTTTGGGCTGTTGCATGATGCTGATCGTGGCGACCACATTGAGAGATGTCCCCAGGATTATGATCGGCACCAGTAGCATGAGGCAGACGGTAAATGTAGCAAACTGGAGTTCAGGCTCAGTCAACTCTGTGTCTCTGTCTGATTGGTTCAGCATAGCGCCCTCTGTTGATAAAACTGCTGATTTGCAATGAAACTTAACTCTATCTCATCTATGTGGGGTAATTTGTGAAAATTTCTTATTTACAACACATGAAATTCATATTGAATTTTTTTTAGGGGGGAGGATCATTGAATTTAGGCTAACTTACTTATTTGGGCATATGTTTTGAACAAAATGTCATGAGGAACAATACATCTCAAAATGCAACACTTCTTTTCTGAAAAGCTTTGTCCATGCTTGACATTCACCCTGTCCCAGTGCTAGTTCAAGGAGACTTGGCCAGTGCAAATTGGTTAGAGTGTCGGAATTCGCAGTGCAGAGTTACATCCTTTGGTTGTGCCAGGAATCCCTGATTTGTCCTGATTCTGATCCCAATTCTTGCTTGTGTGTTCACTTCATATGCTAAAATACTTAACACTTAACCAACCTCAATCTCTCACTATAAGAGTGCAAGGCCAATATGCTTTGCAAGCAAATTTGGTTTATGTGTTTACAAACAATTTGTTTGTCTTTAAACTTGAATTTCTATGATGTAAAGACATCAAAAGGTTAGGATTACCTAGACCTGCCTTGAGACAGACGTTCAGCCCCAGGTCTGCAACAAAGAATGTTAGTATAATTACAAATTGGAATGAAGAAGTTCTCAATTCATGCTGGTAGAGTTATGACTAGTGCGATGGCTTTGTGAACATGAATTTGACCTGTAACAGGACCAATAAAGAGGAAGAGGTTTTATACTTAGTTTTACATAAAGGCATTGGATGCAATGTTAAAGTACAATGTTAGAATACGTCTGAATTTAGGAAAATAAGAATCACAATTTTGAACAATGTTACAAAAATAATATCGAATTTGCCTGGCAAAGGGCACTTAGTACTCAATCCTAGATAAGCCTTTGCTACAGTTTCTCGGCCAGTTTCTCGGTTTCACACGTGGCCCTAATTGTAGTGTCTGGGCCCGGACTTGAAATGGCTGCTAGATTATTCTGTGGAGATCCTCCGTTAAACAACTACAATACTATGCTGTGGAGATCCTCCGTTAAACAACTACAATACTATGCTGTGGAGATCCTCCGTTAAACAACTACAATACTATGCTGTGGAGATCCTCCGTTAAACAACTACAAGACTATGCTGTGGAGATCCTCCGTTAAACAACTACAAGACTATGCTGTGGAGATCCTCCGTTAAACAACTACAATACTATGCTGTGGAGATCCTCCGTTAAACAACTACAAGACTATGCTGTGGAGATCCTCCGTTAAACAACTACAATACTATGCTGTGGAGATCCTCCGTTAAACAACTACAAGACTATGCTGTGGAGATCCTCCGTTAAACAACTACAATACTATGCTGTGGAGATCCTCCGTTAAACAACTACAAGACTATGCTGTGGAGATCCTCCGTTAAACAACTACAATACTATGCTGTGGAGATCCTCCGTTAAACAACTACAATACTATGCTGTGGAGATCCTCCGTTAAACAACTACAAGACTATGCTGTGGAAATCCTCCGTTAAACAACTACAATACTATGCTGTGGAGATCCTCCGTTAAACAACTACAAGACTATGCTGTGGAGATCCTCCGTTAAACAACTACAATACTATGCTGTGGAAATCCTCCGTTAAACAACTACAAGACTATGCTGTGGAGATCCTCCGTTAAACAACTACAATACTATGCTGTGGAGATCCCTGTTAAACAACTACAAGACTATGCTGTGGAGATCCCCTTTGAACAGACTGGTACAACATTTCTTACCTTCAATGAGAGACCCTAAAATTATTGGACATCTTCTGCGAATGTCAAGACAAAATATCCTTGCTTCTGACACTTCTTGTGGTGTTTCCTTTAGTCCTGAGAGTGAGATGTATATTCCTGTTGTTGTGAGAGGCGTGTTGTTCACACCTTTCACTTTGGTATCATACCCACAGGGACAGTAGCTAGGCAACAGTTATCCAGTGCTAATAGGATAAGAAACAGTTTGTAGCATTCATGATTAATAGGGGTAAGATTGTTGTTATATGATATTCTTTCAACAGAGAATAAACAACTTCAACATTGAGCATATCAATACAGTGCTGTCCAACATGGATGTAGAATGTCGTTTTGTGCTTTTAGCCCATTGAGATACCATGCCATAGTGTAGCATGAATACCCCACTCAGACAAAGTATACTGACTCGGAGCCAACCAGTCCTTGTTTAGCTCCTTAATGCCGAGCACCAGACAGGGTAACAACAAGTACAATCTTGTAACGTCTCTTGCTATGACGCAGCTTGGGATCGAACCCCCAACCTTCCACTCTGGGCACATGTTCTACCACTAGACCTTGGACTAAAATCGGCATTAGTCCAGACTAGTACAAGCGCACAAGTACGCACCGCTATATAAGTGCAATAATTTTGAACGCGAGTTTAACCAAATCTCCCCTCGCCTCACCTTCATGCTGCTGTAATGAGGCTGGAATATTGCTGACTTTGGCGTAAAGCTATACTCCCTCACTAGTTCAACTACATAAACTGTAATCATAGCCAACACAAAACCACTGTAATGGAAATTGTAATGCTGAAGCTTTTAAAGTGTTGAATATGAATATGTTATGTTATACACTGTTATGAAATAACATTATTGACTCAACCAATTGGATATCAAAGTTTTTGAAGTTTCATTGATGCTGGTGTCAGAAAGTAATACTGGTGTTCTCTAAGTCCTGTGGTAGCATGGTATTAAGCTTCGCATTAAAAAGGTCAGAAATAGTTTGAACATTATAAAAATGTTGATGAATCGGTGTAAAATCTACACATTCCAACATTGGTGCTTGACATTCTAAAGGCCGTGACAAGGAATATTGAGAGGGATCCTCTTCCTTCAAAAACAAGAAAACAGCATTATCACTGTTCCCCACCATGGGGCACATTAGAAATTGGTTTCTTCATGTAGAAGAGAATAATGTGGAAGTTAATGTTAACTATAGAAAAAGAGTCATATAAAGCCTTCAGACTGACTGACTGACTGAGTATGGTTTTACGCCGCTTTTAGCAATATTCCAGCAATATCACGGCGGGGGACACCAGAAATGGGCTTCACACATTGTACCCATGTCGGGAATCGAACCCGGGTCTTCGGCGTGACGAGCGAACGCTTTAACCACTAGGCTACCCGACCGCCCCTAAAGCCTTCAGAAGAGACAGGCACAAGGGTTGCTTTACTTCATCAGAAAAATGATTAAATATGAAATTAATACGCACAAAAGGCACCTTCTCTGGAAAAATAATTTATGGCACCATTTTTTAACTCAGTCTTGATAACTATCTCTTAGAAAAGCTTGCAAAGTTTCATTCATGTAATTTCTTTGTTGAAAGTAGTAGAAAATGCTTGTCCCCATTGCAGACACTATGCGCTATTTATTAAAATTGCATAGGTCAAGGGCTGTAACTGTATAAAAACATAATTTTCGACACCAATTTTTGAACTCAGTCCTGACAAGTATCTCTTACATATCATGCAAACTTTCATTCATGTAACTTCAGTAGTTCTAAGCTTGTCGTAAGAGGCGACTAACAGGGTTGGGTGGTCAGGCTTGCTGCCTTTTTTGAGGCATGTCATTGTATCTGAATTGCATGGATAGATGCTCATGATGTCAATCACTGGATTGTCTGGTCCAGACTAGATAATTTGCCATCATATAGCTTGAATATTGCTGAGTGCATCATTAAACAACAAACAAACAGTAATATCTGGGAAAACCATTTCACGCAGTATGCACTTAGTTGAAAAGCATCGAGCAAGGGCCATAACTCTGTAAAAAAATTATTTATGTCACCAATTTTTTAACTCATTTCAGGTCATAACTAGTAAGATCAGTGTGTAAGATTTCATTTCTCTAACTTAAATAGCTTTTGAGAAAATGTTTCCTTTGAGAAGAAGACGGAGAAGATTAACGGAAGGTCAGACGGAAAGGAAGGACTTGGTTATTGCAGCTTTGCTGCCACTGATTTCTAACATATTGCCAAATAGCAGGTTTTATGGAAAAATACTTGCATAATGTATATTCTGCATAACATATTGTACTCACTCAAAGAAAACCTGTTTAAGCTGCAGTCGTTTGGTCTTTTCTGCCACATTTCATGACTTGCTGTGATATATCTGAAATACTATTCACAACAGAACTTCAACTCACTCAATCTCATGTTGTTCAGGGCCTGTGGGCTAGCCTAGTGGTTGAAATGTTTGCTCGTCCCCACACGAGTACAGTGTGTGAAGCCCATTTCTAGTGTCCCCTGACGGGATATTGCTGGAATATTGCTGAAAGCAGCGTAAAACCATAATCACCATAATCACTCATTCACATGTTGTTCAGAAGGGTTTTCACCATCACACTCATAAAATGTCATCATATGGGACATACACATATCCACATACTCACGTGTAGTCAGTAACGTTTGTACATAGCATACTGCTCTTCAGTCTAAATCAGTTCAAATCATGTTCCTGAAACTGATCCTACACACATTTGTTGCAGACTTGATGACGGTGAAATATCTGAATACTTCCCTCTGGACAACGTCCTCACCTGCTTGTTCAAGTTAGTTAATCAGCTGTTTGGCATCACAATCAAGGTGAGCATAGAATGATCTATGTAAGCAAGAATAGCATAAACTTGCCATTATAAGTGTTGCTTTTCATGAAAAGCATAGGCTTTCAAACTTATCATTATGGTCTCAAGGTAAGCATAGAACTGTCAAGGTTAGCAAAGAACTGTCATGGTAACATAAAACTGTCAATGTAAGCATAGATCTGTCGAGGTAAGCATAGAACAGTTAATGTTAGTATAGATCTGTCGAGGTAAGCATAGAACTGTCAATGTAAGCATAGATCTGTCGAGGTAAACATAGAACAGTTAATGTTTGCATGGAGCTGTCAAGGTAAGCATAGAACTGTCAATGTAAGCAAAGATCTGTCGAAGTAAGCATAGAACTGTCAATGTAAGCATAGAACTGTCATGGTAACATAAAACTGTCAATGTAAGCAAAGAACTGTCATAGTAACATAAAACTGTCAATGTAAGCATAGATCTGTCGAGGTAAGCATAGAACTGTCAATGTAAGCATAGAACTGTCATGGTAACATAAAACTGTCAATGTAAGCATAGAACTGTCATAGTAACATAAAACTGTCAATGTAAGCAAAGAACTGTCATGGTAACATAAAACTGTCAATGTAACCATAGATCTGTCGAGGTAAACATAGAACTGTCAATGTAAGCATAGATCTGTCGAGGTAAACATAGAACAGTTAATGTTTGCATGGAGCTGTCAAGGTAAGCATAGAACTGTCAATGTAAGCATAGATCTGTCGAGGTAAGCATGGATCTATCGAGGTAAGCATAGAACTGTCAATGTAAGCATAGATCTGTCGAGGTAAACATAGAACAGTTAATGTTTGCATGGAGCTGTCAAGGTAAGCATAGAACTGTCAATGTAAGCATAGATCTGTCGAGGTAAGCATAGAACTGTCATGGTAACATAAAACTGTCAATGTAAGCATAGAACTGTCATGGTAATATAAAACTGTCAATGTAAGCATAGATCTGTCGAGGTAAGCATAGAACTGTCAATGTAAGCATAGAACTGTCATGGTAACATAAAACTGTCAATGTAAGCAAAGAACTGTCATGGTAACATAAAACTGTCAATGTAAGCATAGATCTGTCGAGGTAAACATAGAACTGTCAATGTAAGCATAGATCTGTCGAGGTAAACATAGAACAGTTAATGTTTGCATGGAGCTGTCAAGGTAAGCATAGAAATGTCAATGTAAGCATAGATCTGTCGAGGTAAGCATAGAACTGTCAATGTAAGCATAGAACTGTCATGGTAACATAAAACTGTCAATGTAAGCAAAGAACTGTCATGGTAACATAGAACTGTCAATGTAAGCATGGATCTGTCGAGGTAAGCATAGAACTGTCAATGTAAGCATAGATCTGTCGAGGTAAACATAGAACAGTTAATGTTTGCATGGAGCTGTCAAGGTAAGCATAGAACTGTCAATGTAAGCATAGATGTGTCGAGGTAAGCATAGAACTGTCAATGTAAGCATAGAACTGTCATGGTAACATAAAACTGTCAATGTAAGCAAAGAACTGTCATGGTAACATAAAACTGTCAATGTAAGCATGGATCTGTCGAGGTAAACATAGAACTGTCAATGTAAGCATGGATCTGTCGAGGTAAGCATAGAACTGTCAATGTAAGCATAGATCTGTCGAGGTAAACATAGAACAGTTAATGTTTGCATGGAGCTGTCAAGGTAAACATAGAACAGTTAATGTTTGCATGGAGCTGTCAAGGTAAACATAGAACAGTTAATGTTTGCATGGAACTGTCAAGGTAAACATAGAACAGTTAATGTTTGCATGGAGCTGTCAAGGTAAGCATAGAACTGTTAATGTTTGCATGGAGTTGTCGAGGTAAGCATAGAACAGTTAATGTTTGCATGGAGCTGTCAAGGTAAACATAGAACAGTTAATGTTTGCATAGAACTGTCAAGGTAAACATAGAACAGTTAATGTTTGCATGGATCTGTCAAGGTAAACATAGAACAGTTAATGTTTGCATGGATCTGTCAAGGTAAACATAGAACTGTTAATGTTTGCATGGATCTGTCAAGGTAAACATAGAACAGTTAATGTTTGCATGGAGCTGTCAAGGTAAACATAGAACAGTTAATGTTTGCATGGAGCTGTCAAGGTAAACATAGAACAGTTAATGTTTGCATGGAGCTGTCAAGGTAAACATAGAACAGTTAATGTTTGCATGGATCTGTCAAGGTAAACATAGAACTGTTAATGTTTGCATGGAGCTGTCAAGGTAAACATAGAACTGTTAATGTTTGCAAAGAGCTGTCAAGGTAAACATAGAACAGTTAATGTTTGCATGGAGCTGTCAAGGTAAACATAGAACAGTTAATGTTTGCATGGCTCTGTCGAGGTAAGCATAGAACTGTCAATGTAAGCATAGATCTGTCAAGGTAAACATAGAACAGTTAATGTTTGCATGGAGCTGTCAAGGTAAACATAGAACAGTTAATGTTTGCATGGAGCTGTCAAGGTAAACATAGAACTGTTAATGTTTGCATGGATCTGTCAAGGTAAACATAGAACAGTTAATGTTTGCATGGAGCTGTCAAGGTAAACATAGAACAGTTAATGTTTGCATGGAACTGTCAAGGTAAACATAGAACTGTTAATGTTTGCATGGAACTGTCAAGGTAAACATAGAACAGTTAATGTTTGCATGGAGCTGTCAAGGTAAACATAGAACAGTTAATGTTTGCATGGAGCTGTCAAGGTAAGCATAGAACAGTTAATGTTTGCGTGGAGCTGTCAAGGTAAACATAGAACAGTTAATGTTTGCATGGAGCTGTCAAGGTAAGCATAGAACAGTTAATGTTTGCGTGGAGCTGTCGAGGTAAACATAGAACAGTTAATGTTTGCATAGAACTGTCAAGGTAAACATAGAACAGTTAATGTTTGCATAGAACTGTCAAGGTAAACATAGAAACAGTTAATGTTTGCATAGAACTTTCAAGGTAAGCATAGAACTGTCAAGGTAGCATAGAACTGTCAAGGTAAACATAGAACTGTCAAGGTAAGCATAGAACAGTTAATGTTTTGCATAGAACTGTCAAGGTAAACATAGAACAGTTAATATTTGCATAGAACTGTCAAGGTAAGCATAGAACTGTCAAGGTAAGCATAGAACTGTCAAGGTAAGCATAGAACTGTCAAGGTAAACATTAGGGGTGTTGCAGTTGAATAAACTATCGTTGCAGTGCCATTGACTATGGGTTGATTGGAATGCAGCGATGACAAGTTGAATTGATGAAAGTTATGCTTCACTATAGTTTCATGAGACGTAAAACAACTAAGATTTACATATAGTCACAACCAGTGTTTGAAGCTCAGCAGAGTAAACTGAGAGCCTCAAGGCCCAGCACATTTAAGAACTGTAGGCCCAGTGGGAAAACTGTAGGCCCAAACATGTCGGCTGAAGCAGGGAGACATACTCTCGCATTATAACTTACAAAACACAACCAGTCAACCAGAAGCTTTTACTGCTATCACACCGAGTTCCCAGAGACTCTGTGGTAATAGATGAAGCCTTAATTTATCAAGGAAATTATCAGCTTGTGACACATCCTTGCTACTGCATGTCATGCACTGTTTGAAAGGTCTTATCCTACTGTTTATAAATATGAAAGTCGTGTTCATCTCATTATTTAGATAAAGCATTTCTGACTTAATTAAGTTTGTTTTTAGTAAAATACAAGTTCATGAACTATGTGTTATTTTGACATGGCTACGGTGTGGCCGGTTCACCGGCCTATTGTGTTGAAAGAGTTAGCAAGCGGTGTACTTTGAAGCTCGACCCTTTTTCACAAGCAATGCCAGTGTTATGATTCATTTACCAATTTTCAGCTGAAAATATACTGGGTGCCATTCCACAGAGCGAACGTAGCGCTACGACTGTCATAAGCTGATGTTAAATTATGGGAGTTACGATCACCTTAGCGCTAAGATCGCTTTGGGGAACGGGGCCCAGCAGGCCATATGGGCCTGCTTACATATAAAACTGTCAGCCCAAGAACAAATCTGTAGGCCTCGGCCTACGGGCAGATGTCTATTTCAAACATGTCACAACCCTAGTTAGTACATTTCCAATTGGCTTTTGAGTCAGAACATAATCGGTATATATTGCTACCACTGATCAGGTCTAACCATTTACTCCAGTCGTCTAAGGCGCCGCGATTCGCTGTGCAGAGTTGCATCCCTTGGGCAAGCCAGAAACCTATGATTGTGGGTTCGAATCCCAGTTTGCCCCAATTATGTTTCTAGGTTTGTCAGCACCATACCTGTGCTCGTGGGTTTCACCGAAGTGGTAAACGTCTGAGACCTGCATCACTTCGGGCTTTCCTCCCACATTAAGCTGACACACCGCAATATAACTGGAATACTGTTAAAAGCAGCGTTAAGCCCAACTCACTCACTCACTCACTCTAACCATTTACTGCAGGATGCGACAGGAGAGGAAGAGACTTGGCACAAGGATGTGAGATATTTCAAGGTGTTTGATCAAAATGGTGAGTAAATGTTGTAAAGATATACTTCAAGGTGTATGATCTAGCTGTTGTGGAGAGATACTTCAAGGTGTATGATCCAGTTGTTGTGGCAAGATACTTCAAGTTTTATGATCCAGTTCTTGTAGAGATATGCTTCAAGGTGTATGATCCAGTTCTTGCAAAGGCATACTTCAAGATGTATGATCCAGTTGTAGACAGATACTTCAAAGTGTATGATCTAGTTGTTGTGGCAAGATACTTCAAGGTGTATGATCCAGTTGCCATGGATCGATTCTTTGAGGTGTATGATCCAGTCGTTACAGCAAGCTACTGTCAGGTGTATGATCCAAGTATTTAAGGAAGATACGCCAAGGTGTATGATCCAAGTATTAGAGGAAGATACTCCAAGATGTATAATCCAAGTATTAGAGGAAGATACTCCAAGATGTATTATCCAAGTATTAAGGAAGATACTCCAAGATGTATGATCCAAGTATTAAAGGAAGATACTCCAAGATGTATGATCCAAATATTAAAGGAATATATGCCAAGATGTATGATCCAAGTATTAAAGGAAGATACACCAAGATGTATGATCCAAGTATTTAAGGAAGATACTCCAAGATGTATGATCCAAGTATTAGAGGAAGATACTCCAAGATGTATGAACCAAGTATTTAAGGAAGATACTCGAAGATGTATGATCCAAGTATTTAAGGAAGATACTCCAAGATGTATGATCCAAGTATTAGAGGAAGATACTCCAAGATGTATGATCCAAGTATTTAAGGAAGATACTCCAAGATGTATGATCCAAGTATTTAAGGAAGATACTCGAAGATGTATGATCCAAGTATTTAAGGAAGATACTCCAAGATGTATGATCCAAGTATTAGAGGAAGATACTCCAAGATGTATGATCCAAGTATTTAAGGAAGATACTCCAAGATGTATGATCCAAGAATTAAAGGAAGATAACCAAGATGTATGATCCAAGTATTAAAGGAAGATACTCCAAGATGTATGATCCAAGTATTTAAGGAAGATACTCCAAGATGTATAATCCAAGTATTAGAGGAAGATACTCCAAGATGTATGATCCAAGATACTCCAAGATGTATGATCCAAGTATTTAAGGAAGATACTCCTATGATCCAAGTATTAAAGGAAGATACTCCAAGATGTATGATCCAAGTATTAAAGGAAGATACTCCAAGATGTATGATCCAAGTATTAAAGGAAGATACTCCAAGATGTATGATCCAAGTATTAAAGGAAGATACTCCAAGATGTATGATCAAGTATTAGAGGAAGATACTCCAAGATGTATGATCCAAGCATTTAAGGAAGATACTCCAAGATGTATGATCCAAGTATTAAAGGAAGATACTCCTATGATCCAAGTATTTAAGGAAGATACACCAAGATGTATGCTCCAACTATTAAAGGAAGATACATCAAGATGTATGCTCCAAGTATTTAAGGAAGATACTCCAAGATGTATGATCCAAGTATTTAAGGAAGATACTCCTATGATCCAAGTATTTAAGGAAGATACTCCTATGATCCAAGTATTAAAGGAAGATACACCAAGATGTATGATCCAAGTATTAAAGGAAGATACTCCAAGATGTATGCTCCAAGTATTAAAGGAAGATACTCCAAGATGTATGATCCAAGTATTTAAGGAAGATACTCCAAGATGTATGATCCAAGTATTTAAGGAAGATACTCCAAGATGTATGATCCAAGTATTAAAGGAAGATACTCCAAGATGTATGATCCAAGTATTAGAGGAAGATACTCCTATGATCCAAGTATTTAAGGAAGATACTCTGAGATATATGATCCAAGTATTTAAGGAAGATTCTCCTATGATCCAAGTATTTAAGGAAGATACTCCTATGATCCAAGTATTAAAGGAAGATACTCCAAGATGTATGATCCAAGTATTAAAGGAAGATATGCCAAGATGTATGATCCAAGTATTTAAGCAAGATACTCCAAGATATATGATCAAAGTATTAGAGGAAGATACTCCAAGATGTATGATCCAAGTATTAAAGGAAGATACTCCAAGATGTATGATCCAAGTATTAAAGGAAGATACTCCAAGATGTATGATCCAAGTATTAAAGAAAGATACACCAAGATGTATGATCCAAGTATTAAAGGAAGATACTCCAAGATGTATGATCCAAGTATTAGAGGAAGATACTCCTATGATCCAAGTATTTAAGGAAGATACTCTGAGATGTATGATCCAAGTATTTAAGGAAGATACTCCTATGATCCAAGTATTTAAGGAAGATACTCCTATGATCCAAGTATTAAAGGAAGATACTCCAAGATGTATGATCCAAGTATTAAAGGAAGATATGCCAAGATGTATGATTCAAGTATTTAAGGAAGATACTCCAAGATGTATGATCAAAGTATTAGAGGAAGATACTCCAAGATGTATGATCCAAGTATTAAAGGAAGATACACCAAGATGTATGATCCAAGTATTAAAGGAAGATATGCCAAGATGTATGATCCAAGTATTAAAGGAAGATACTCCAAGATGTATGATCCAAGTATTTAAGGAAGATACTCCAAGATGTATGATCCAAGTATTAAAGGAAGATACTCCAAGATGTATGATCCAAGTATTAGAGGAAGATACTCCTATGATCCAAGTATTTAAGGAAGATACTCTGAGATATATGATCCAAGTATTTAAGGAAGATTCTCCTATGATCCAAGTATTTAAGGAAGATACTCCTATGATCCAAGTATTTAAGCAAGATACTCCAAGATATATGCTCCAAGTATTAAAGGAAGATACTCCAAGATGTATGATCCAAGTATTAAAGGAAGATACACCAAGATGTATGATCCAAGTATTAAAGGAAGATATGCCAAGATGTATGATCCAAGTATTAAAGGAAGATACTCCTAGATGTATGATCCAAGTATTAAAGAAAGATACACCAAGATGTATGATCCAAGTATTAAAGGAAGATACTCCAAGATGTATGATCCAAGTATTAGAGGAAGATACTCCTATGATCCAAGTATTTAAGGAAGATACTCTGAGATGTATGATCCAAGTATTTAAGGAAGATACTCCTATGATCCAAGTATTAAAGGAAGATACTCCTATGATCCAAGTATTAAAGGAAGATACTCCAAGATGTATGATCCAAGTATTAAAGGAAGATATGCCAAGATGTATGATCCAAGTATTTAAGGAAGATACTCCAAGATGTATGATCAAAGTATTAGAGGAAGATACTCCAAGATGTATGATCCAAGTATTAAAGGAAGATACACCAAGATGTATGATCCAAGTATTAGAGGAAGATACTCCAAGATGTATGATCCAAGTATTAAAGGAAGATACTCCAAGATGTATGATCCAAGTATTAAAGGAAGATACTCCAAGATGTATGATCCAAGTATTAAAGGAAGATACTCCAAGATGTATGATCCAAGTATTAAAGGAAGATACTCCTAGATGTATGATCCAAGTATTAAAGGAAGATACTCCAAGATGTTTGATCCAAGTATTATAGTGGGATATTCCAAAATGTTTGATCCAAGAATTTACACAAGATACTCCCAAATGTATGACAGAGGTTTTTAAGGAAAATACTCCCAAATGTATGAACCAAATATTTTAGCAAGATTGTCCAAGACATACAATCTGAATATTTAAGCCAAATAATATGGCTGGAGCAATGCTAAAAGCAATACTGTAAATCTAGAAAATGTTGCTAGCAGGAAAGTACTGCGAAAACTGCAGGTGACACACACTCGCAATAGTTTAATGACAGTGCTATTTTTGCAGTCAAACAGGAAACAAAAAGCGGAAGGAGTCACTTCCACACATTGTCAACCAGCCAGTGTATGATCAAATATATAATCCCTGACATACTGATTCCCTAAGTACACTCACTTTCAATAGCCTGCTAACAGAACACTGAGTAGTCCAGACATACACCAGCCATAACAAAACCATGGTCAGATTAACATGCCACTCCTACCTTCCTTGTCAGCTACAACACATCATCTATAGTTAAAAGAAACACTGACTGACACTGAGTTAACTTCCTACTCATAAAAGAAAAGCATGTACAGAAGTTTAGCTTTCATTTCCGGTAATCTCATAAACAGGGTGTCACAAAACGTTCCAGAAGCAGTTTAGTGTTAGACACTCACAATAATTTCATGGCACATATCTTTCAAAATTTACAGTTTAACACTGAAATCCATGTTCTCCCATTTATTGTGGTTTGTTTTTGTTTCAGGAACTAACATGAGTGCTTTCTACTTTGACCCAGTTGCAAGACCCGCGGAGAAGGATACTGAAGCGTTGATGATGATGGGTCGAGGTGTGTTGGCCATAGCAATAGCATTGAGATGCATTAGGATATTAGGATGCTGCACTGGGCCACTGTTCATAATTCACAAGGTGGCAAGATGAGTCCCCCAAACCTCATCCTTTTTGTAACAGACAAATAGATGGGGATGACAGTCCAACAATAACTTATATACCACTGTGGTATTTCTGTGAAATAGCCAAGTCATTCACTCACTTCCTTTAAATTCTTCATCAGGTGACAGGTGAAGTGTTTACTGAGGCTGCTTGTGTTGTGTGTTATGGCTTACTGAGTGAAGTGTTTACTGAGGCTGCTTGTGTTGTGTGTTATGGTTTACTAAGTGAGGTGTTTACTGAGGCTGCTTGTGTTGTGTGTTATGGCTTACTGAGTGAAGTGTTTACTGAGGCTGCTTGTGTTGTGTGTTATGGTTTACTAAGTGAAGTGTTTACTGAGGCTGCTTGTGTTGTGTGTTATGGTTTACTAAGTGAGGTGTTTACTGAGGCTGCTTGTGTTGTGTGTTATGGCTTACTGAGTGAAGTGTTTACTGAGGCTGCTTGTGTTGTGTGTTATGGCTTACTGAGTGAAGTGTTTACTGAGGCTGCTTGTGTTGTGTGTTATGGTTTACTGAGTGAGGTGTTTACTGAGGCTGCTTGTGTTGTGTGTTATGGCTTACTGAGTGAAGTGTTTACTGAGGCTGCTTGTGTTGTGTGTTATGGCTTACTGAGTGAAGTGTTTACTGAGGCTGCTTGTGTTGTGTGTTATGGCTTACTGAGTGAAGTGTTTACTGAGGCTGCTTGTGTTGTGTGTTATGGCTTACTGAGTGAAGTGTTTACTGAGGCTGCTTGTGTTGTGTGTTATGGCTTACTGAGTGAAGTGTTTACTGAGGCTGCTTGTGTTGTGTGTTATGGCTTACTGAGTGAAGTGTTTACTGAGGCTGCTTGTGTTGTGTGTTATGGCTTACTGAGTGAAGTGTTTACTGAGGCTGCTTGTGTTGTGTGTTATGGTTTACTGAGTGAGGTGTTTACTGAGGCTGCTTGTGTTGTGTGTTATGGCTTACTGAGTGAAGTGTTTACTGAGGCTGCTTGTGTTGTGTGTTATGGTTTACTGAGTGAGGTGTTTACTGAGGCTGCTTGTGTTGTGTGTTATGGCTTACTGAGTGAAGTGTTTACTGAGGCTGCTTGTGTTGTGTGTTATGGCTTACTGAGTGAAGTGTTTACTGAGGCTGCTTGTGTTGTGTGTTATGGCTTACTGAGTGAAGTGTTTACTGAGGCTGCTTGTGTTGTGTGTTATGGCTTACTGAGTGAAGTGTTTACTGAGGCTGCTTGTGTTGTGTGTTATGGCTTACTGAGTGAAGTGTTTACTGAGGCTGCTTGTGTTGTGTGTTATGGCTTACTGAGTGAAGTGTTTACTGAGGCTGCTTGTGTTGTGTGTTATGGCTTACTGAGTGAAGTGTTTACTGAGGCTGCTTGTGTTGTGTGTTATGGTTTACTGAGTGAGGTGTTTACTGAGGCTGCTTGTGTTGTGTGTTATGGCTTACTGAGTGAAGTGTTTACTGAGGCTGCTTGTGTTGTGTGTTATGGCTTTCTGAGTGAAGTGTTTACTGAGGCTGCTTGTGTTGTGTGTTATGGCTTACTGAGTGAAGTGTTTACTGAGGCTGCTTGTGTTGTGTGTTATGGTTTACTGAGTGAAGTGTTTACTGAGGCTGCTTGTGTTGTGTGTTATGGTTTACTGAGTGAAGTGTTTACTGAGGCTGCTTGTGTTGTGTGTTATGGTTTACTGAGTGAAGTGTTTACTGAGGCTGCTTGTGTTGTGTGTTATGGTTTACTGAGTGAGGTGTTTATGTTACAGTTAAATTACTCCTCCTTGGTTTTGGATGAAACTTTAAACCTCCAGAAGAGCACATCGGCCCATCTTTTCCTGAGCTCAAGGTTTTACATTTTCCTCAAATGACCGAGGAAGAAATACTATTTAAACCAACTTATGAACAGTCTAAATGCAAGCAATACCAGAATGAATAAAAAAAACATCAGGATAACGTTAGTGAAACAATAATGTAGTTGTGGTAAAAACAAATTTGATGACAGCAGGCAGAAATACCACATACAGCATGCAGACAACTGAAGTCATGACACATCGGATTGAACACCCTTTCATCAGCTGCCCAGGTGGCATGAAACATGATATGTGAGGTTGCAGATTCGATTCACATTATGGAATTTTTATTTGAAAAAATTTGTGACTTTTATCCATTCAAAAACCAACATTCGGTGCATATTAAAAGGCTGCTTATACTATTCAATTAAAAAAACCTAGGTCTTACAAAAAAAATGTCAAAACTCCAAGCAGGTCTTACAATCAAATGAAACCCCTAAGCAGGTTTCACTGAAAAGTACTACCTATCGCAAGGTTACTATGAGATAGCAAGTTACCTGCGATAATATTTAGGCAATAGTAGTGGTAGGTTTATAAGGAGACTGCCTATATGGTGCATTATGGTTCAACTTTGGTGTGTGATGGAGGTGAAGTGTTTATTGAGACCACCTATATGGTATGTTATGGCCCACTGTGTGATGGAGGTGAAGTGTTTATTGAGACTACCTATATGGTATGTTATGACCCACTGTGTGATGGAGGTGAAGTGTTTATTGAGACCACCTATGTGGTATGTTATGGCCCACTGTGTGATGGAGGTGAAGTGTTTATTGAGACCACCTATATGGTATGTTATGACCCACTGTGTGACGGAGGTGAAGTGTTTATTGGGACCACCTATATGGTATGTTATGACCAACTGTGTAACGGAGGCGAAGTGTTTCTTGAGACCACCTATATGGTATGTTATGACCCACTGTGTAATGGAGGTGAAGTGTTTATTGAGACTACCTATATGGTATGTTATGACCCACTGTGTGACCGAGGTGAAGTGTTTATTGGGACCACCTATATGGTATGTTATGACCAACTGTGTAACGGAGGCGAAGTGTTTCTTGAGACCACCTATATGGTATGTTATGACCCACTGTGTAATGGAGGTGAAGTGTTTATTGAGACTACCTATATGGTATGTTATGACCCACTGTGTGATGGAGGTAAAGCGTTATTGAGACTACCTATATGGTATGTTATGACCCACTGTGTGATGGAGGTGAAGTGTTTATTGAGACCACCTATATGGTATGTTATGACCCACTGTGTGATGGAGGTGAAGTGTTTATTGGGACTACCTATATGGTATGTTATGACCCACTGTGTGACAGAAGTGAAGTGTTTATTGAGACCACCTATATGGTATGTTATGGCCCACTGTGTGATGGAGGTGAAGTGTTTATTGAGACCACCTATATGGTATGTTATGGCCCACTGTGTAATGGAGGTGAAGTGTTTATTGGGACTACCTATATGGTGTGTTATGGCGCACTGTATGACGGAGGTGAAGTGTTTATTGAGACCACCTATATGGTATGTTATGACCCACTGTGTGATGGAGGTGAAGTGTCTATTGAGACCACCTTTATGGTATGTTATGACTCACTGTGTGATGGAGGTGAAGTGTTTATTGAGACTACCTATATGGTATGTTATGACCCACTGTGTGATGGAGGTGAAGTGTTTATTGAGACTACCTATATGTTATGTTATGGCCCACTGTGTAATGGAGTTGAAGTGTTTATTGAGACCACCTATATGGTATGTTATGGCCCACTGTGTGATGGAGGTGAAGTGTTTATTGAGACCACCTATGTGATGTGTTTTGGCCCACTGTGTGATGGAGGTAAAGTGTTTATTGAGACCACCTATATGGTATGTTATGACCCACTGTGTGATGGAGGTGAAGTGTTTATTCGGACTACCTATATGGTATGTTATGGCCCACTGTGTGACGGAGGTGAAGTGTTTATTGAGACCACCTATATGGTATGTTATGGCCCACTGTGTGATGGAGGTGAAGTGTTTATTGGGACTACCTATATGGTATGTTATGACCCACTGTGTGATAGAGGTAAAGTGTTTATTAAGACCACCTATATGGTATGTTATGGCCCACTGTGTGATGGAGGTGAAGTGTTTATTGAGACCACCTATATGGTATGTTATGACCCACTGTGTGATAGAGGAAAAGTGTTTATTAAGACCACCTATATGGTATGTTATGACCCACTGTGTGATGGAGGTGAAGTGTTTATTGGGACTACCTATATGGTATGTTATGACCCACTGTGTGATAGAGGTAAAGTGTTTATTAAGACCATCTATATGGTATGTTATGGCCCACTGTGTGATGGAGGTGAAGTGTTTATTGAGACCACCTATATGGTATGTTATGACCCACTGTGTGATAGAGGTAAAGTGTTTATTAAGACCACCTATATGGTATGTTATGACCCACTGTGTGACGGAGGTGAAGTGTTTATTGAGACCACCTATATGGTATGTTATGACCCACTGTGTGATAGAGGTAAAGTGTTTATTAAGACCACCTATATGGTATGTTATGACCCACTGTGTGATGGAGGTAAAGTGTTTATTAAGACCACCTATATGGTATGTTATGGCCCACTGTGTGATGGAGGTAAAGTGTTTATTAAGACCACCTATATGGTATGTTATGACCCACTGTGTGATGGAGGTGAAGTGTTTATTGGTACTACCTATATGGTATGTTATGGCCCACTGTGTGATGGAGGTGAAGTGTTTATTGAGACCACCTATATGGTATGTTGTGGCCCACTGTGTAATGGAGGTGAAGTGTTTATTGGGACTACCTATATGGTGTGTTATGGCGCACTGTTTGACGGAGGTGAAGTGTTTATTGAGACCACCTATATGGTATGTTATGACCCACTGTGTGATGGAGGTGAAGTGTTTATTGAGACCACCTATATGGTGTGTTATGGCCCACTGTGTGATGGAGGTTAAGTGTTTATTGAGACCACCTGTATGGTATGTTATGACCCACTGTGTGATGGAGGTGAAGTGTTTATTGAGACCACCTATATGGTGTGTTATGACCCACTGTGTGATGGAGGTAAAGTGTTTATTGAGACCACCTATATGGTATGTTATGGCCCACTGTGTGATGGAGGTAAAGTGTTTATTGAGACCACCTATATGGTATGTTATGGCCCACTGTGTGACGGAGGTGAAGTGTTTATTGAGACCACCTATATGGTGTGTTATGGCCCACTGTGTGATGGAGGTAAAGTGTTTATTGAGACCACCTATATGGTATGTTATGGCCCACTGTGTGATGGAGGTGAAGTGTTTATTGAGACCACCTATATGGTATGTTATGACCCACTGTGTGATGGAGGTGAAGTGTTTATTGAGATCACCTATATGGTGTGTTATGACCCACTGTGTGATGGAGGTAAAGTGTTTCTTGAGACCACCTATATGGTATGTTATGACCCACTGTGTGATGGAGGTGAAGTGTTTATTGAGACCACCTATATGGTATGTTACGATCCACTGTGTGATGGAGGTGAAGTGTTTATTGAGACCACCTATATGGTATGTTATGATCCACTGTGTGATGGAGGTGAAGTGTTTATTGAGACCACCTATATGGTATGTTATGACCCACTGTGTGACGGAGGTGAAGTGTTTCTTGAGACCACCTATATGGTATATTATGATCCACTGTGTAATGGAGGTGAAGTGTTTATTGAGACCACCTATATGGTTTGTGTGTGATATGGTTCAGTGTGTGATGGAGGTGAATTGTTTATCGGGACCACCTTTAAGATGTGATATGGTTCAGTGTGTGATGGAGGTGAATTGTTTATCGGGACCACCTGTAAGATGTGATATGGTTCACTGTGTGATGGAGGTGAAGTGTTTATTGGGACCACCTATAAGATGTGATATGGTTCACTGTGTCTGGTTGCAGGTAGAAGTGATGTGATGGGAACGATACCGTTCTCCTATCTCCTGATGAGCCTCGTTCCACCAGTTGGAGATCAACCCATTCTCATGTCCTTCAAAGATGTACAGGACCTGTTTCGGGAAGTGAGTCAACAAAGCTCTTTCATGATGGGTTAAAATCTGTTTGAGTATAAGTTTGAGATAAAAGGTGTTGAATGTTGAAAATTCTCCAAATTGTTAAAAGTTTAAAACTTGTCCTATCTCACACCATGTCTTCCTTCTTCTTTCGATCCTTGTGTGGAAACGTCCTAAAACAAAAAACAAGCGGCCGAGTGGTCTAATGTGCCTCACTTCGCTATGCAGAGTAGAGTCCCTCAGCCATGCCAGGATCCACTGATCGTGGGTAGATTTATCCCTGATTATGATCCTTGGAATGTTTTCCCCTGACCAATGATTCACTTAAGTGGTATTGAATTGTGACCTGTGCAACGTAATGCTTCCCTACCTTATTAACCTCACTCACTCACTCATTCACTCACTCACTCACTCACTCACATACTTTTCTGTTTGTGTAGTTCGGCAATGGCCTGCAACAGATGCTGACTCAGGTGCCGTACAGTGAGTTGTCTGGTCAGAACAACGTCGAGCAGGATGCGGAGAAGGTGTGTGCCAAGTTCCTGGAGAGATGGACCACAGTGCCGAGTGTGGTGCAGAACATGAGTAGCAATGTCCACACCGGTCAGCAGATGCCGGCTGAAGCTGTCTCTACACTGCTGCAAGGTACCTTGTGCACATACATGCTGAACTTGAAGAAATGAACAATTTGTTATCATCCTATGGAAATTTTTTGTTTTGTTTTGCCCATCTGAATTGCATGTATGTAGGTCGGTCGTCCAACATCCTTCCTCCTTAAGACCTAAAGGATGAGATAGAATAAGGGCCCTTTCTTCAAGCCAACATGCAGTGGTATAACTGAAATGTTGCTTAGTGGTATAACTAAAATGTTGCTTAGTGGTATAACTGAAATGTTGCTTTGTGGTATAACTGAAATGTTGCTTTGTGGTATAACTAAAATGTTGCTTAGTGGTATAACTGAAATGTTGCTTTGTGGTATAACTGAAATGTTGCTTTGTGGTATAACTGAAATGTTGCTTTGTGGTATAACTAAAATGTTGCTTAGTGGTATAACTGAAATGTTGCTTTGTGGTATAACTGAAATGTGGCTTTGTGGTATAACTGAAATGTTGCTTAGTGGTATAACTGAAATATTGCCTAGTGGTATAACTGAAATGTTGCTTTGTGGTATAACTGAAATGTTGCTTTGTGGTATAACTAAAATGTTGCTTAGTGGTATAACTGAAATGTTGCTTTGTGGTATAACTGAAATGTTGCTTTGTGGTATAACTGAAATGTGGCTTTGTGGTATAACTGAAATGTTGCTTAGTGGTATAACTGAAATGTTGCTTAGTGGGATAACTGAAATGCTGTTCAAAGCAATACGGGATCTAGTGGTCAGGCACGCTGACTTGGTTGATGCATGTCATCGATACCAATTGCGTGGATCGATGCTTATGATATTAATCACTGGATTGTCTGGTCCAGACTCGAATATTTACAGACCGCCGTCTTATAGGTGGAATATTGCTGAGTGTGGCGTTAAACAACAAACCAACCAACCAATCAAAGCAACATTTAACCAAACTCATTTAACTAGAATATTGGGCAGTGCAGCTTTAAACAAAAAACAAACAACAGCATATTTAGATATCTCCAGCTTTTAATGGACAGTATTGCTGGAAACTGGGAAATCATCTTTTAGAAAATTGTATCCAACGTGATGAGCTGCCGCAGACTCACCATGTTGCTATGTCAGTGTTGTGTGAGTCGTGAGTGGTAGGCATGACCTGAGGTGTTGCTTGTTTTGCAGCTCAGAAACACATGAACCTATATGACTTGATGTATGAGCTTTATGAGGCTGCCATGGACATCGAGATGTACCACACGTGAGTTCATTGAACTACAGAACAACAGAGTTAACCTGCCAACATGCATGTAATAAATATACAATAAGTGTATATTGAGCCAGATTTATTTCAACCCATTAAATGGAATTTCAATTTTTGTAAGGGTTATTATCTATTTAAAATCAATACGACCCCCCTGACACCTATCAATTGTATAACAATATTCATAATTTTTTAACTTATCCTGCATTACTCCGTATTGCATTTACTGCTATGTTTGACAGAGAGACGAACTGTGTGAGATCCAGCTGCTGAAGAAAGTTGTCCCAACCAGCCCAGGAGGCAGCGCCCTCTCACAGTCGGCACGTGACCCGGAAGTCATGACGTCACACAAAAAGACATAACTGCTTTGTCACCTCCACGGACGGACGTACTTTGTATCCCTTGTGGAAATTAAAGCTTATTATTTGTTTTTTATATTTTGCGTGTTTCTACATTCATTATATGCTGCTACATTGTTACCTGATATGGGCCGTGACCTTAGGGTCTTCCCATTCGTAAATTGTAACGTTTATCGCTCGTCTGTGGCTCACGTCACAGTAATTTACGGGCGCAATGTTGTTCCCGCCATTTTGTTTTCTTTCCCGCCATTTTGGCCATTCACCACGTGGCCACGTAATGTCGTGTTCTGCGTTTTGAATTCTCTCTTTGGCTTGGGTAATACATTACATTTATGTATGTTGTTTTGGTGTGCTTAAAGCCTTGCCTTTTCGCTACCTCTCAGCGTAATTGTTTCTTCTCATAAACTTCAATATAATACAAAGTTTATGAGTTACATTATGTCTCCCGTACTCTGTGGTTTTGCCACATGGTTACGTGTTTGCTTAAGGCTTTGCCTTTTCGCTCCCTTTTAGCGTACTTGTTTATCTCATAAACTTTAATAAAATATACTGTTTTTGAGTTACTTTATGCTTCCCATACTTTGTGATTGGCCACACATTATGCTTCCCGCACTTTGTGGCTTTGCCACATAGTTATGTTTTGCTTAAATTCCAGATTTTCTGCCTCGCTGCACTTGTTTCCGCGGGAACAAATCTGGTCGGGGCCGCCCCTTTCTGCCGTGATTGTACGACGCCCTGTACTTTCACAAGGCAGTGCCGATGTTGCAGTCATTCGTAGCTGTGATCCTTCAGCTCATGCGAGTATCCAGGACACACCTCGCTCAACGTGCTCGTCGACCCCCACCTACGTTGACAGCAGCAGCGCTCAGCGGAGCTTCACGGCGGCTCCCAACGTAGAGTCTGCCTCCCATGGCACGACATACGACCGTTCACGGTCTCCTACTCCACTGGCGGTTCCAGCGCTCCCAACGTAGAGTCTGCCTCCCATGGCACGACATACGACCGTTCACGGTCTCCTACTCCACTGGCGGCTCCAGCGCTCCCAACGTAGAGTCTGCCTCCCCTGGCACGACATACGACCGTTCACGGTCTCCTACTCCACCGGCGGCTCCAGCGCTCCCAACGTAGAGTCTGCCTCCCCTGGCACGACATACGACTGTTCACGGTCTCCAACACCGTCAACGCTGATGTCTCCGGCGCCCCCGGCGCCTCCGATGACTCGGCGCCTCTGATGACACGGCGCTCCCGGCGCTCCCGGCACCTCTGATGACACGGCGCCCACGGCGCTCCCGGCGCTCCCGGCGCTCACGGCGCTCACGGCGCTCACGGCGCCTCTGATGACGCGGCGCTCCCGGCGCCACTGATGACTCGGCGCCTCCGATGTCTCGGCGCTCCCGGCGCCTCCGGCGCCTCTGATGACACGGCGCCTCCGGCGCCTCTGATGACTCGGCGCCGCTGATGTCTCGGCGCTCAAAAAGCTTCATGACTTGTTCATGACAAGCTGATGACTCGGCGCCGCTGATGTCTCGGCGCTCAACAAGCTTCATGACTTGTTCATGACAAGCTGTTGACTCGGCGCCTCCGATGACTCGGCGCCACCGGCGCCGCTGATGTCTCCGCGCTCCGGCGCCTCCGCATCCTCTGATGTCTTCGGCGCTCAACAAGCTTCAGATCAACAAGCTTTATCAAGCTCAGATCAACGAGCCGACCATCCGATCTTCTACTGCGGCTTAGGGGCATCATCGGCAATCGCCTCCCCGGCGCCACTGCCCTCTTCTCTTGCTGCCGTCTCATAACTCGTCACACGGAGAAGCATGGTGAAACAACTGTCGCCGCTCCTTTCGCTACTCTCCCGTCGGTCTTCGGGATCGTAAATATCGTTCTACTTCCTGGGTGGAATCATTTCAACCAATAGACAGTTGGTCTGATTCAACTTGCCCACTGAGACGTTATCCATAATCCCGTCGTTTAAAGCGCTATGATTCCGGAGAGATGACCTGCGGGTTTCCATCGAAACAGAGCGTCATGTGAACAGCGTCTGTATCAGATTCGACGACGACATCCACTTACAAAGAGTTTACTTCGTCGACATCGCAGACATCAACGCTGTTCTACCCTACCCTAGCGCCAGCGTTCCTGAGAGAGACTCTTCCTCGGCGCTCCCCGGGTTTTGCACGACGCCCATGGGGTTCCGTGTTTTATCGCAAAACTCGGGTACACCACTTGATCGTCTCTCACACAGTTCATTGAGGATTGTCTGTGTGTGGAGTTTGCACCTCAGTTCCGACTCCAAGGCGGTTTTCTCGGCTACTGCGCAGAGTGATTTACATGTCACGTGTCAAGTACTCGGACTGTCAACAACTCCGACCGGATTTAGGTCAACTTACCATGGCAAGGGGTGCCATGTATTTCTACAGATTGGTTTCCATGTCTACCTGTACGCTTGGTGATACCACTCAACCAGGCGCCTGTCGCAGTCCATCCATGCACGGATGTTGGAAACAATAGACCTCCTCTACCAACGACGGCTGTCACGAGGAACCTTGTTTCATCAACCCTTCGCTATAAGAACGATAGCGCCTATAGGCGTTCAAGGGATGGAAGAGATCGCCTTCCTTCGTCCGGTTTGATCTTTTCGACTACGACACCTTCCTATCTTCCGCCTTGACTACCGGACACAGTGTCGATTTGATACTTAAAGTCCCTCGGCCGTCCCACTGACCCCTGTTGCATACCTGCCTCGTATCGTGTTGTCGTCCTCCATCGTCACCTCGATATAAGAACAGGAGTACTTATACGCCGCTTCAGGGATGAAAACGATCTCATTACTTCGTGCAATGGCCATATTGCCTCGACTTCCTACTACCCGGTTACGTCGATGCCCCGGCGGTCGATTGTGAAGCTGGTTTACTTCGTCTACTTGAGGTTGGCTCGCAGGCGATCACACCTTTTTCCGAATCGTACCGACGGTACGCAATCGCAGACCCCTGTTGCTGACTACCTCCCCTGCCACCTTGTCAGTGGCTAGTGGCCCACGCCAGCCCACATTGTGACCACCTGTGATCCAGAGATCAACACCATTGGCACAGCAACAGCCTCGAGATAAATGCTTATCCAGGACGGCACTTGCTGACAGTGCATTCTCGGTCACGCCCTGTTGATCGTGTCCACTGACGACGTCACCGTAGTGTGGTGTTTGCGGACCCAGAGTTCTCGCCCCTCTCCCGGCGCCACAAACTCGACCGGCGCACCCGAGAATCACCATCTTCGGCGTTCCAGGCGCCTCAAGCTCTCCGACACCTCACGCTCTCCGGCGCCTCGGGCCAGACTATGTGAAACGGTCGACACCCCAACCCTAGATCTGTTTGCCTCATATCTGAATGTGGCCAGCTGTCGTCTTCCATTCCACCTGTGCCGGATACGACCGCTGTGGCAGTCGAAGCCTTCCATCGTTCCTGAGAAGGATTACGCGCGTACGCTTTTCCGACTCCGGTTCTCCCTCCCACGGTTCTTCAGAGATCCAGGCCACTCGACCCCTGCCATTGACTTTGGTCTCGCCTTATTGGTCAGCCAGAAGTTGGGTTATCGACCTCCGAAACATAGCCAGAGACAACCCCTGGAACTTCCGGTGTGGTCCAACCTTCTGCTCCATCCACACGGTCTGTTAGAATGAGAAGCCACACCCTCATACCCGCATGTTATCGTCTGCACGCCTGACACACATGCAGAAAGCCAAGGGCTATTCGGCTAGAGCGACCAAGGCTATTGCTTCAGCCCACCGTCCATCTACAGGGGGACTGTATGCTGATAAATGATGCTTGTTCCAGGCATTTTGTTCTGACAAACACCAGGATCCGATGACAGCGTCACCGCAGATCCTGGATCAGTTCCTTCTGTACTTGTGTAGCACCCATCGGTTGAAGGGCTTACCACCCCCACATACCTGGTCGCCATCTACTCCGTTCTGGCCATCCCGGACGATCGGAGAAAGACGAAAATTCCCGACCTACGGGCCTGGCTGCGCTCGTTCAGTCTTGAAGACCTGAAGACCAAGTTTGGACCGCCTGCGTTGGATCTGAATGTGGTCTTCAACGCCCTTCGAACCACTCCCCTCGTCTTCCTTCTACGACCTTAAGTAGAAGACGGGTGTTTCTACTGGTTTTGACTACTGCCGCTCGAGTCCATGTACAGCACGCCCTTGACGTCTCCCATGCCCGGTTCGAATGCGGTACCCAGGGCGCCGTTCATCATGGACCGTACTGGGACGTCAGCGTAAAGACTCAACTCCCAGGACAGCCTGATAGATCATTCCTTGTCCCCTCCCCCCTCGTCCAGTGCGGGTGCCGAGGATGAGGATGAGCGTCATTATGCCCAGTAAGGGCACTGAAGGTTATTCTACGATCTAAAGACTGCCGCAAGTCTAGGAAACACCTTTTTCTGCCGGTCTCCCCTTCGTCGCTGTCGTTGGTCAGCCGGAATACTTTTCCCTGTGGCTCCGGGCGGTCATCCTTAAAGCGTATGAGCCGCCGGATTGGACCCTCCCCCCAAAGGCTATTACCTGAAATAAAATGAGATCAGGGCGATCGTATTTACACTGGTTCTTCACGGTATACTGTTCCATCCCGTCGTTCAGGGAAGCCTGTTCGTGGCGATCGGACACCGCCTTCACCAACCACTACTTCCGTGATGTAGCCTTGAAAGTTGTCGCCGGCGTTCACAGTTTTGGTCCCTGGTTGTAGCCCAACAGGTCATCTATCTCCGACGCCACTGATTCTCCGATACCCTGAGCGGGGCCCGTCGACCTCTCTGGTGTTTATCACCCCAGACGAGACGGCTCTCTTGCGTTCCGCATTCGCTCTTAGGTCAGTTTTAGTTTTGGGTTACCCGACTCATTCTATTGCTGTCACCTATCCGGGTTTTACTTTTTGCATCAACTCTCGTTTCCTGACGACAGGAATGGTAGTAGATGTGGACACCGGCGCCGACGCCAACGCCGCTGCTTCTCTGGTACCTGGGCGGTGCCCGTCGACCTCACCGGTGTTCCTTGCCTCCAGCCTAGAGGGCTCTCCTGCGTTTCGCATTCGCTCTTGGGATTGGTCGTAGATTTTGCCGCCGACGCCGCTGATTCTTCGATTCCCCGAGCGGGGCCCGTCGAACTCTCTGGTGTTTATCACCTCAGATTAGCTCTAGGTTCTACTGCGTTTCGCTTTCGCTCTTCGGTAAGTTATATATTTTGGCTACACGCCTCATTGTATTTCGGTTACCTATTCGGGCGTTTCGTTTTTGCATCGACTCTTGTTTCCTGAAGACAGGAATGGTCGTAGATGTTCCGGTCATCACTTGTATGCGGTGCGGATTCATCGGACCTTGACGAGGGTTTAATATGGTTCACATCTGCAAGTATGCCCACCGGCCAAGCCGTCTGATAAAGATGCAATACGGAGTAATGCAGGATAAGTTAAAAAATTTAGTAAAATCTAAATATTTTTTACATTTGTATACTTATCCTGCATTACGAAGTCTAAGTGCCCTCCCTTTCGCTACGCTACCTCCCCACGAAGTTTCAGATGTAATGTTTAAAGCAGTTATGTCTTTTTGTGTGACGTCATGACTTCCGGGTCACGTGCCGACTGTGAGAGGGCGCTGCCTCCTGGGCTGGTTGGGACAACTTTCTTCAGCAGCTGGATCTCACACAGTTCGTCTCTCTGTCAAACATAGCAGTAAATGCAATACGGAGTAATGCAGGATAAGTATACAAATGTAAAAAATATTTAGATTTTACTAAATTTGTATACAAGAAAAGAAATTAACAGATACAATCTATCAAGGAGCTCCTGGATTTTCTGAAGTTTTTAAACATTTTGCCGCTATTGTATTGTAGCAAGGCACACTGGTCTAATATCCACCAGCGTTCATGGGAAGGATGTCTGCCTCTGCCCTTCGTGAAGGAAGACTACATGCCCTGTAGCTTCACTGACTGCTTTGACGGAGGGAGCTCAGCGTTGTGCTTCAAACACACATGGTCCGAGGTAGGTGTCTTGTGTGTGCTACAAACACACGTGGTCTGAGGTAGGTGTCTGGTGTGTGCTACAAACACACGTGGTCTGAGGTAGGTGTCTGGTGTGTGCTTCAAACACACATGGTCTGAGGTAGGTGTCTTGTGTGTGCTACAAACACACGTGGTCCGAGGTAAGTGTCTGGTGTGTGCTACAAACACACATGGTCCGAGGTAGGTGTCTTGTGTGTGCTTCAAACACACATGGTCTGAGGTAAGTGTCTTGTGTGTGCTACAAACAAACACACATGGTCTCAGGTAGGTGTCTTGTGTGTGCTACAAACAAACACACATGGTCTGAGGTAGGTGTCTTGTGTGTGCTACAAACACACATGGTCTGAGGTAGGTGTCTGGTGTGTGCTACAAACACACATGGTCCGAGGTAGGTGTCTGGTGTGTGCTACAAACACACATGGTCCGAGGTAGGTGTCTTGTGTGTGCTTCAAACACACATGGTCTCAGATAGGTGTCTTGTGTGTGCTTATACAAAAACACATGGTCTGAGGACGGTGTCTGGTGTGTGCTTCAAACACACATGGTCTCAGGTAGGTGTCTTGTGTGTGCTACAAACAAACCCACATGGTCTCAGGTAGGTGTCTTGTGTGTGCTACAAACACACATGGTCTCAGGTAGGTGTCTTGTGTGTGCTTCAAACACACATGGTCTCAGATAGGTGTCTTGTGTGTGCTTATACAAAAGCACATGGTCTGAGGTAGATGTCTTGTATGTGCTTCAAAAACATATGGTCTGAGGACGGTGTCTTGTGTGTGCTTCAAACAAACACACATGGTCTGAGGTAGATGTATTGTATGTGCTTCAAAAACACATGGTCTGAGGTAGATGTCTTTTATGTGCTTCAAAAACACATGGTCTGAGGACGGTGTCTTGTGTGTGCTTCAAACAAACACACATGGTCTGAGGTAGATGTATTGTATGTGCTTCAAAAACACATGGTCTGAGGTAGATGTCTTGTATGTGCTTCAAAAACACATGGTCTGAGGACGGTGTCTTGTGTGTGCTTCAAACAAACACACATGGTCTGAGGTAGGTGTCTTATATGTGCTTCAAAAACACATGGTCTGAGGTAGATGTCTTGTATGTGCTTCAAAAACACATGGTCTGAGGATGGTGTCTTGTGTGTGCTTCAAACAAACACACATGGTCTGAGGTAGATGTCTTGTATGTGCTTCAAAAACATATGGTCTGAGGACGGTGTCTTGTGTGTGCTTCAAACAAACACACATGGTCTGAGGTAGATGTATTGTATGTGCTTCAAAAACACATGGTCTGAGGTAGGTGTCTTGTGTGTGCTACAAACACACGTGGTCCGAGGTAAGTGTCTGGTGTGTGCTACAAACACACATGGTCCGAGGTAGGTGTCTTGTGTGTGCTTCAAACACACATGGTCTGAGGTAAGTGTCTTGTGTGTGCTACAAACAAACACACATGGTCTCAGGTAGGTGTCTTGTGTGTGCTACAAACAAACACACATGGTCTGAGGTAGGTGTCTTGTGTGTGCTACAAACACACATGGTCTGAGGTAGGTGTCTGGTGTGTGCTACAAACACACATGGTCCGAGGTAGGTGTCTGGTGTGTGCTACAAACACACATGGTCCGAGGTAGGTGTCTTGTGTGTGCTTCAAACACACATGGTCTCAGATAGGTGTCTTGTGTGTGCTTATACAAAAACACATGGTCTGAGGACGGTGTCTGGTGTGTGCTTCAAACACACATGGTCTCAGGTAGGTGTCTTGTGTGTGCTACAAACAAACCCACATGGTCTCAGGTAGGTGTCTTGTGTGTGCTACAAACACACATGGTCTCAGGTAGGTGTCTTGTGTGTGCTTCAAACACACATGGTCTCAGATAGGTGTCTTGTGTGTGCTTATACAAAAGCACATGGTCTGAGGTAGATGTCTTGTATGTGCTTCAAAAACATATGGTCTGAGGACGGTGTCTTGTGTGTGCTTCAAACAAACACACATGGTCTGAGGTAGATGTATTGTATGTGCTTCAAAAACACATGGTCTGAGGTAGATGTCTTTTATGTGCTTCAAAAACACATGGTCTGAGGACGGTGTCTTGTGTGTGCTTCAAACAAACACACATGGTCTGAGGTAGATGTATTGTATGTGCTTCAAAAACACATGGTCTGAGGTAGATGTCTTGTATGTGCTTCAAAAACACATGGTCTGAGGACGGTGTCTTGTGTGTGCTTCAAACAAACACACATGGTCTGAGGTAGGTGTCTTATATGTGCTTCAAAAACACATGGTCTGAGGTAGATGTCTTGTATGTGCTTCAAAAACACATGGTCTGAGGATGGTGTCTTGTGTGTGCTTCAAACAAACACACATGGTCTGAGGTAGATGTCTTGTATGTGCTTCAAAAACATATGGTCTGAGGACGGTGTCTTGTGTGTGCTTCAAACAAACACACATGGTCTGAGGTAGATGTATTGTATGTGCTTCAAAAACACATGGTCTGAGGTAGATGTCTTGTATGTGCTTCAAAAACACATGGTCTGAGGATGGTGTCTTGTGTGTGCTTCAAACAAACACACATGGTCTGAGGTAGATGTATTGTATGTGCTTCAAAAACACATGGTCTGAGGTAGATGTCTTGTATGTGCTTCAAACACACATGGTCTGAGGTAGGTGTCTTGTATGTGCTTCAAAAACACATGGTCTGAGGTAGATGTCTTGTATGTGCTTCAAACACACATGGTCTGAGGTAGGTGTCTTGTGTGTGTTTATACAAACACACATGGTCTGAGGTAGGTGTCTTGTGTGTGCTTCACACAAATACATTCTGCCATAAAAATTGTCTGGTCTCCATTGTGGGTATGTATTGTGTCTGGCGTTATTGAGTCTGTTCTGATTCTTCAGGGATTCAAATCCATTATACACATTTATAGTGCAACTTAAAATAATTTTACCAGTCACCAGTCTTTGTAACTCACCTTTGATGTTGGGTTTCCATTTTGAAATGGGGCAGTCGGGTAGCCTAGTGGTTAAAGCATTCGCTCGTCATGCCAAAGACCCAGGTTCAATTCCCGACATGGGTACAATGAGTGAAGCCCATTTCTGGTGTCCCATACTGTGATATTGCTGGAATATTGCTGAAAGTGGTGTAAAACCATACTCACTCACTCACTCACTCACTCACTCACTCACTCACTCACTCACTCACTCACTCACTCACTCACTCACTCACTCACTCACTCACTCACTCACTCACTCACTCACTCACTCACTCACTCACTCACTCATTTTGAAACGTGACAGCCAAAATGACGACCAACAGTATGAGACTGTTTAAAATCAGTTCAATGGTACATTTTGTCCACCATGCACACACCATGGCATGTCAGAGACTTGATATGACCATTGATTAATTTTAATGTATGATTGTATATAACTGTTAATAAAATAAGATTAGATGATATAGGATCAGTGAAGAAGATATGTGTGAGATAGGATATGTATATAAATATACAATTTATACTAAAATTTCCAAGATATTATATGATAGTAAATTAAGAATTAAAATGAATCACATCTAAGGAATTAGAACAGAGTTACATTACAATACACTTTGTATCCAATAACACCGATGTGCAGAAGGATCAGTTATATCGTTGCTGATCATGTAATTAAATGGATTGACTCCACACTGTTAAGCTTAGAGACAGAGTCATGGTAGTCTAGAAACTATGTTAGTATCTGTCACAATAGTCGTCAATGTGTAATAAAATGTATCATTTCAGATGATTGCAGCAGATGTGTTTGAAGCATTTGAGGAAGTAGGTCTCCAAGACCAAGAAAAGTTGTCAGCCATTGGGAACAGGTTAGAACTGTTGTGTTGTGTCATTAGTTACAGTGAGCCATGTGGCATGCCGTCAACTATTGTACAGGATTGTACCGTTGTATTGATAACGGTTAACTGCCTATGAATATATCACACATTGTTCTGGGGAATCCATGAAAGGCTTTCACACATTGTGCCTTGTGAATCCATGAAAGGCTTTCGCACATTGTGCCTTGGGAATCCATGAAAGGCAGTTTATGACATGTTATGAAACTCCTAGTTGTTGTGATGCAGATTCAGTGACAGTTTATTAAACTCCTCCCTGTTGTGATGCAGATTCAGTGACAGTTTCTGAAACTCCTCGTTGTTGTGATGCAGATTCAGTGACAGTTTATTAAACTCCTCGTTGTTGTGATGCAGATTCAGTGACAGTTTCTTAAACTCCTCGTTGTTGTGATGCAGATTCAGCGACAGTTTATTAAACTCCTCGTTGTTGTGATGCAGATTCAGTGACAGTTTCTTAAACTCCTCGCTGTTGTGATGCAGATTCAGTGACAGTTTCTTAAACTCCTCACTGTTGTGATGCAGATTCAGTGACAGTTTATTAAACTCCCTGTTGTGATGCAGATTCAGTGACAGTTTCTGAAACTCCTCACTGTTGTGATGCAGATTCATGGACAGTTTATGAAACTCCTAGTTGTTGTGATGCAGATTCAGTGACAGTTTATTAAACTCCCTGTTGTGATGCAGATTCATGGACAGTTTATGAAACTCCTAGTTGTTGTGATGCAGATTCAGTGACAGTTTATTAAACTCCCTGTTGTGATGCAGATTCATGGACAGTTTATGAAACTCCTCGCTGTTGTGATGCATATTCAGTGACAGTTTATTAAACTCCCTGTTGTGATGCAGATTCATGGACAGTTTATGAAACTCCCTGTTGTGATGCAGATTCTTGGACAGTTTATGAAACTCCTCGCTGTTGTGATGCAGATTCAGTGACAGTTTATTAAACTCCCTGTTGTGATGCAGATTCATGGACAGTTTATGAAACTCCTAGTTGTTGTGATGCAGATTCAGTGACAGTTTCTGAAACTCCTCGTTGTTGTGATGCAGATTCATGGACAGTTTATGAAACTCCTCCCTGTTATGATGCAGATTCAGTGACATTTTCTGAAACTCCTCGTTGTTGTGATGCAGATTCAGTGACAGTTTATTAAACTCCTCGTTGTTGTGATGCAGATTCAGTGACAGTTTCTTAAACTCCTCACTGTTGTGATGCAGATTCATGGACAGTTTATGAAACTCCTCGCTGTTGTGATGCAGATTCAGTGACAGTTTATTAAACTCCCTGTTGTGATGCAGATTCATGGACAGTTTATGAAACTCCTAGTTGTTGTGATGCAGATTCAGTGACAGTTTCTTAAACTCCTCATTGTTGTGATGCAGATTCAGTGACAGTTTATGAAACTCCTCCCTGTTATGATGCAGATTCAGTGACAGTTTCTGAAACTCCTTGCTGTTGTGTTTGCAGGTTCCGTGACACGTTCCTGACACTTGGAGGAGGTGTGCATGCCAGTGAAGTGTTCCGGAGGTTCCGAGGCCGCGATCCTTCCCTCGATGCGCTACAGAAATACTACAGTGGGAAGTAGTGTGTGTGTGTGTGTTATAAAGAAGACTGAATGACAAGTCAGGCAGACAAGGACAGTGTGATGACATATGAATATAGAACTATGAGATGTTGCCAAGGGTAACCATCAGCCACCAGTGATGTGTGGTGGTTACATGAGAGAAGAATACTACTGCCTTAAGTGATGGTTATTGTCAAGGTACATTTGACGATGAAGACACTATTAAGTTTACTTGACTATATTGTGTGTGGATAACAGCAGTTCAGTGCTGTTCGATCACTTGTATCACTTGTAAACAATGAAGTGAATTGAAATCAAGACGTGTTGATAAAGAATATAGAAAGTATTGGAAAGTGCTAATTCCTGCTATTGCCTGCCTTATCTGTGAATGTTACGTATGTGAATATCGTTGATATTCCTGTGTATATCAAATAAGTTTCAGGTTCAGAGAGAGGGAACATTTAAATAAAACATGATCAAACTAACATTGTTATTTGTCAGCTCAAATTGGCAGATTCACCTGGTAATTCTTCCCACAATAGAAGGAGATAGAGTGAATATGGTTTTACGCCGCTTTTAGCAATATTCATGCAATATCATGGCAGGGGACACCAGAAATGGGCTTCACACTTTGTACCCATGTGGAGAATTGAACACGGGCCTTCAGCGTGACGAGCAAACGTTTAACCACTAGGCTACCCCACCACCCAGAAGGAGATAAGCCAGATGTGTTGTATATGTAAGTGCAACCACCAACTGTACTGAACAAAAACAGTAGGGATCATTAACATTATTGAGGATATTTCATAAAAATATCCCCAAAAATATTATACCTAACTTTTTTTGTTCAGTATCTGTGTTTGTTATCAGTCTGTACATCCGATCCCTGGAATATTGCTGATTTATTAAACAACAAACAAACATCATGCCAAGGAAAGCCAGGAAATCTCAGTTTCGGGAAGTAAAAAGACTCAAACTATTTCACTATTCTCATTTCAGTGGTTAAACTGCCTGCAATTGTCACCCCTAGTACTCATAAGCAAGTATGGATACAGATTTTTTAAATGGAGCATTTTGTGATCACAAGTAACATACATTTGGTTTACTAGTCATGTTACTTTTGTTAGAATATATATATATATATCACAAATAAGTTTGTTAACATGTTGTAATACATTTACACTTGCATGATGATCTATTATACTTTCAAAAGTATGTGAAGTATGCTGCTGCCATCTTCCCGAGGCCAGGGTGTTAACTGACTATAAAAGTCCAGTTTCCACCCTTGCTGAACTAGGCTGGAATTTGAGAGTTATCATTTGGCTGGACTAACAAGTCTATGCATAGTCCAATCAAAATCACATAACGAATTCAACATCTGGTTCGTAAACCAGCCTGCCAATTTCGGTCGATTGCAGTATTTGCAAAGTATGCATACTGTCAATTCCGTGTCAACAAAAATTTTCCAAATCTTTTCATGTTATTAAACAAGGTGCTCAAGTAATTTCATGCACGGGGTGAGGTAAGACCCGTTATATTACAATATGGATCATATTATCGATCAGATCGTCTTGACTGGGCACTGCCATTTTGAGTGAAGCAAATGCAAGTAATATGATAGGTGAAATCTGATTGTCAATAGGAGAGACTAAGAAGGGACAAAACTCATAATAGCCACTGGTGGAGCTACCATCAAGACGTGAAATTCAAGCCAAGTTCGGCAAGTGTGGAAACTGGACTTTTATTGTCAGTTTAATCCCTGCCTCAGGAAGATGGCTATTTCAAATGGTGTCCCTTCACCTCCAACAGGACCAGCATAGGTGTCTGGTACTCGGTACACATGTTTATTATGTATCCATGCAGGCCTATCATGGTACTGTTGTTTGTGTTCAGTCATACATTGCCACCTGCATTGGAAAAATGTAGAAAACTGGTTCATGATTTTGTCAACATCATTTGGGAAAGATCAGCAGTTGATGCAGACTCCGCCTTGTGAAACAGTGTTATTTGTAAATAAAATATCTGTTTGTAATTTCTGTTTACTGTCATATATACAGATTACACTGATGTGCCAAAGCTTCTCAGTGTTGCATAAATAAATAGTATTTTCATTTCTGCGGGGTATTTTGTTCTAATGACAAATTTACATTGACATAACAAAGACAGCTGTTGCTGGTTGACTTTTGAGACTTTATATGATTGTTTGTTTTGTTAATAATCTAGTTTGGGCTAGACAAACAAGTAAGCAATATGCCAGATATATCTCGGTGACATGTAAGTAAAGACAATCAAGACCAGACAACCAGTGATTGTTATAATGAGCAACGCCCTGTGCCTTTGGGGTATGATGACACACAGTCAACCAAGTCACAGAGCCTGACCTGCCAGATCCACTTAGTCGTTTCTTTGGTTACTTGAGCTCAATTTTGACCTGAAATCAATGTAGGTTGATGTGGTCTGTGTAAAAGTAAATGCTCTATGGCTTGGTGTTGCAGCTGCTACAGTCATTATATCCCACACAGACAGCTCCTGTCAGTCATTATATCACACACAGACAGCTCCTGTCAATCATTATATCCCACACAGACGCTCCTGTCAGTCATTATATCACACACAGACAGCGTCTGTCAGTCATTATGTCCCACACAGACAGCTCCTGTCAATCATTATATCCCACACAGACAGCTCCTGTCAGTCATTATGTCCCACACAGACTGCTTCTGTCACTCATTATATCCTATACAAGCAGCTCCTGTCAGTCATTATATCCCACACAGACAGCTCCTGTCAATCATTATATCCCACACAGACATCTCCTGTCAGTCATTATATCCAACACAGACATCTCCTGTCAGTCATTATGTCCCACACAGACAGCTTCTTTCAGTCATTATATCCTATACAGGCAGCTCCTGACAGTCATTATATCCTATACAGGCAGCTACTGTCAGTCATTATATCCCACACAGACAGCTTCTGTCAGTCATTATATCCCACACAGACATCTCCTGTCGGTCATTATATCCCACACAGACATCTCCTGTCAGTCATTATGTCCCACACAGACAGCTTCTTTCAGTCATTATATCCTATACAGGCAGCTACTGTCAGTCATTATATCCCACACAGACAGCTCCTGTCAGTCATTATATCCCATACAGGCAGCTCCTGTCAGTCATTATATCCCACACAGACAGCTCAGTATATCCTATACAGGCAGCTTCTGTCAGATGTTATGTCCCACACAGACAGCTCCTGTCAGTCATTATACAATGTATATCCCATACAGGCAGCTTCTGTCAGTCATATCCTGTATAGGGAGCTCCTTTTAGTCATTATATCCCACACAGACAGCTCCTGTCAGCCATATCCTATACAGGCAGCTTCTGTCAGTAATTATATCCTATACAGGCAACTCCTGTCAGTCATTATATCCCACACAGACAGCACCTGTCAGTCATTACATATCCCATACAGGCAGCTTCTGTGTCAGTCATTCTATCCCACACAGACAGCACCTTTCATTCATTATATATCCCATACAGGCAGTTTCTGTGTCGGTCATTATATCCCACACAGACAGCACCTTTCAGTCATTATATATCCCATACAGGCAGCTTCTGTGTCGGTCATTATATCCTATATAGGGAGCTCCTTTCAGTCATTATATCCCACACAGACAGCTCCTGTCAGTCATATCCTACACAGACAGCTCCTGTCAGTCATTAAATCCTACACAGGCAGCTTCTGGCAGTCATTATATCCAGCACAGACATCTCCTGTCAGTCATATCCCACACAGACAGCACCTTTCAGTCATTATATATCCCATACAGGCAGCTTCTGTGTCGGTCATTATATCCTACAATGTATATATGGAGCTCCTTTCAGTCATTATATCCCACACAGACAGCTCCTGTCAGTCATATCCTACACAGACAGCTCCTGTCAGTCATTATATCCTACACAGGCACCTTCTGGCAGTCATTATATCCAGCACAGACAGCTCCTGTCAGTCATATCCAACACAGGCAGCTCCTGTCAGTCATTATATCCTACACAGGCAGCTTCTGTCACTCATTATATCCTATACAAGCAGCTCCTGTCAATCATTATATCCCACACAGACAGCTCCTGTCAATCATTATATCCCACACAGACGCTCCTGTCAGTCATTATATCACACACAGACAGCTTCTGTCAGTCATTATATCCTATACAGACAGCTTCTGTCAGTCATTATGTCCCACACAGACAGCTCCTGTCAATCATTATGTCCCACACAGACATCTCCTGTCAGTCATTATGTCCCACACAGACTGCTTCTGTCACTCATTATATCCTATACAAGCAGCTCCTGTCAGTCATTATATCCAACACAGACAGCTCCTGTCAGTCATTATATATCCCACACAGACAGCTTCTGTCAGTCATTATATCCCACACAGACAGCTCCTGTCAATCATTATATCCCACACAGACAGCTCCTGTCAGTCATTATATCCCACACAGACAGCTTCTGTCAGTCATTATATCCCACACAGACATCTCCTGTCAGTCATTATGTCCCACGTAGACAGCTTCTTTCAGTCATTATATCCTATACAGGCAGCTCCTGACAGTCATTATATCCTAAACAGGCAGCTACTGTCAGTCATTATATCCCACACAGACAGCTCCTGTCAGTCATTATATCCCATACAGGCAGCTCCTTTCAGTCATTATATCCCACACAGACAGCTCAGTATATCCTATACAGGCAGCTTCTGTCAGATGTTATGTCCCACACAGACAGCTCCTGTCAGTCATTATACAATGTATATTCCATACAGGCAGCTTCTGTCAGTCATATCCTGTATAGGGAGCTCCTTTCAGTCATTATATCCCACACAGACAGCTCCTGTCAGCCATATCCTATACAGGCAGCTTCTGTCAGTAATTATATCCTATACAGGCAACTCCTGTCAGTCATTATATCCCACACAGACAGCACCTGTCAGTCATTATATTTCCCATACAGGCAGCTTCTGTGTCAGACATTATATCCCACACAGACAGCACCTTTCAGTCATTATATATCCCATACAGGCAGCTTCTGTGTCGGTCATTATATCCCACACAGACAGCACCTTTCAGTCATTATATATCCCATACAGGCAGCTTCTGTGTCGGTCATTATATCCTATATAGGGAGCTCCTTTCAGTCATTATATCCCACACAGACAGCTCCTGTCAGTCATATCCTACACAGACAGCTCCTGTCAGTCATTATATCCTACACAGGCAGCTTCTGGCAGTCATTATATCCCACACAGACAGCTCCTGTCAGTCATATGCCACACAGACAGCTCCTGTCAGTCATATCCAACACAGGCAGCTTCTGGCAGTCATTATATATCCTATACAGGGAGCTCCTTTCAGTCATTATATCCTATACAGACAGCTCCTGACAGTATATCCCACACCTACAGCTCCTGTCAGTAAGTATATCCCACACAGACAGCTCCTGACAGTCATTATATTCCACACAGACAGCTCCTTTCAGTCATTATATCCTATACAGACAGCTCCTGACAGTCAGTATATCCCACACAGACAGCTCCTGTCAGTAAGTATATCCCATACAGACAGCTCCTTTCAGTCATTATATCCTATACAGACAGCTCCTGACAGTCAGTATATCCCACACAGACAGCTCCTGTCAGTAAGTATATCCCATACAGACAGCTCCTGTCAGTCATTATATCCCATACAGACAGTTCCCGCCAGTCAGTATATCCCACACAGACAGCTCCTGTCAGTAAGTATATCCCATACAGACAGCTCCTTTCAGTCATTATATCCTATACAGACAGCTCATGACAGTATATCCCACACAGACAGCTCCTGAAAGTCAGTATATCCCACACAGACAGCTCCTTTCAGTCATTATATCTTATACAGACAGCTCCTGACAGTCAGTATATACCACACAGACAGCTCCTGTCAGTCAGTATATCCCATACAGACAGCTCCTGTCAGTCGTCATATCCCACACAGACAGCTCCTGTCAGTCATTATATCCCATACAGACAGTTCCCGCCAGTCATTGCATCCTATACAGGCAGCTCCTGTCAGTCATTATATCCTATACAGACAGCTCCTGTCAGTCATTATATCCTATACAGGGAGCTCCTTTCAGTCATTATATCTTATACAGACAGTTCCTGACAGTATATCCCACACCTACAGCTCCTGTCAGTCAGTGTATCCCATACATACAGCTCCTGTCAGTCGTTGCGATTATGGGTGGACTCGCCACAGGTCACATAGTGAGTACAATAGATATACCTCACATAGAGTTGAGAGGAAAGAACTGAGCATGACAAATGTTTCAGCACATTGGTTATCAAGGCTTCTGACTCCTGATCAGAGAAGAAGAAGGTAAATGAAAGTCTGCTTTAGATCGCAAGCGGGATTAGGTTTTCTGGGATTCCTCCCGGTTGACCACATCCTCAAAGTGCAGGCAATTAATGACCAATATAACGCTTATCTGTTTAGGCAACTGCGTGATAACATCAAGGCTAAACGTAGTGGAAAACTCGCTAAAGGTGTGTTGTCTCACTTGGACATTGACCCTGACTCTTTGAACATCCTCCGTATTCACCACATTTAGCACGATCAGATTTTCACCTCTTCACAAACAAAAAGAAACAACTGTCGTGCAAGCATTATACAAATGACGATGACTCCATTTCTGCTGTGGAAGACATTTACTGCACCAACGGGAAGCCTTCTTCACCAGTGGGATCCAGACACTCCTGCATTGTTGCCAGAAGTGTGTGGAACTCGTAAGGGATTATGCTGAAAACTTAGCAACCAACTTCATCAATGCAGTCTATCATATTTAGGCTACCCCAAGTATGTACGTGCGTTTGATTTGGTATTGGTTGAGTGAGGGAGGGAGGGAGGTAGTGAGGGAGAGAGGCCGCTTTAAACATTATACCAGTTATATCAACACATGTCAGCTTGAGGTGGGTTGAAAGTGCCAAGCCATGCAGGACCTGCGCACCGGATAAGTGCTGACAAACCAAGAAACAATCGGAGCAAACGGGGATTCGATAATCATAGGTGTCTGGCGTGCAACTCCGCACAGCGAATTGAGTGAGTTGGGTTTAACGCCGCTTTTAACAGTATTCCAGTTAAATCGCGGCGTGTCAGCTTAATGTGGGAGGAAAGCCCGAAGTGATGCAGGTTTCAGACGTTTACGTTTTCGGTAAACAACAAATGTGTACATGTTTTGTTTTGTAGGTGTATAAACATTTACTCGTCCATAGTTAGCTTGTATAAACATTCAGTTAAGGGGGCTATAATTTAATTACTAAGTGGAGAATTGCTAGTGATGACAACTTGTTTAAGGCCTCTGTTCAATGTTTACTTCACTTTCCTCGTAATTGTGGGTTGGGTCACGTGTGAGGGCCCAACTCATTCAATTATTGACAAACACGGAAGATGATGAATCTGTGATCTATCCATCTGTCTTAGAACTGAAGAAAGGATCAAGAAGAAGGAGTGTTCCTAACTTTTGTGCTACACGTTGTACCGCCAGAGTATCAACACTATCTGCAATAGTAATAAAGTATCAGACTGTTATGGACGCATTGGATCAGCTTCAAGCTTCAAGCTCTGGTGATGCCAAATCTGATGCTTATTAATACATTCTCATGATGACAGACCCACAGTTTATTGTTGCTTTGGTTGTGACCCAATTTGTTCTCAGTTTCTGCAGCTCTGTTACTATGTCATTGCAAGCAGCATCGTGTGATCTTGGTACAGCTTATCAAGACGGTGCTTTGTCACGAGATTTCAAATGCTCGCACAGATGATGCATGGTCTCGGGTTTGGAAGAGGATTGGAAAGATTGATGAGATAGTTGAGGTACCAGTCACCAAACCACGTTCCTGTGGAGTGTAAAGACACAGGTCAAATGCTGCTGCACACATGGAAACTACTCCCTCTGATTATTACAGAGTTAATGTGTTCTTTGCCTTCATCGATCATGTTGTAACTGAACTTGACACAAGATTCGATGACAGTCACAAAGCAAGCATAGATGCTGAAAATCTAATCCCATGTTATCATCATCGCCTGGATGAAAATTGTGTTGACTCTTTGGTGTCATACTATGGGAAGTTTATGACAATTATCATCTGGTATAGCTGCTGAGATTGAAAAATGGAAACGTTTCTTCTGCCTCGGATCTGGAGAAGAGAGACCAACCACTGCTACAGCTTGCTTGTCTGCTTGTCCATAAGAGATGTTTCCGGGCATTAAAATCATCTTAACTGTGTTTCTCACTACAATCATTGGTAGTGTAGCCTGTGAGAGGTCATTCTCAACCCATCGGCGCCTCAAGCTGTGATCATCAATGACTGATGAACGACTGAGTGGTCTTGCCATGCTGTACACTTACAGAGGCACAGATTACATTCCAAGCCAAAAAGCAGTTTATGACAGAAAAAAGGACTGGCGCAAACTGAAACAATGTTAGATTGTAATTACACAAGATCACTCCTTTAGAAGAATATGATATTATTAAGTTGTTTCATTTAATTGTGTTCAATGTTTTGCTGAAATTTGCCACATATGTTTCAAATAAAAATTACCTTTTTAAGTCATTTGCGTTGTTTTTTTGAAAAAGTAAATTGCACTTCAGTTCACTACAGTTTTATTTGAATCATGAAAATACAAGTTGGGGATAGTGATACTTGTACACATATCAGTGGTCATTGGTTTGTTTCTTTGTCTTACTGTTTGTCAATGTCGCCTCTTATATTCCACCTATGATGACGGCGGTCTGTAAATAATCCAGTCTGGACCAGACAATCCAGTGTATTGCATCATGAGCATCGATCAACGATTTGGGATACAGTGACATGCGTCAACGAGTCAGCGAGTCTGACTACCCGATCCCGTTCATCTTCCCGAGGCAAGAGAGTTAACTGACTTTAAAAGTCCAGTTCCCACTGGACTTTTATAGTCAGCAGAGACCGTATAATATGGTCTCTGTAGTCAGTTAACTCACTTGCCTCGCGAAGATGGATCCCGTTAGTCGCCTCTTACAAAAAGCACGGGTTGCTGAAGACCAGTTCTAACTCGGATTTCCAGGGAGGTAGAAGAGCTTGGCACAGTCACAACAGGGAGTCGCCACACTTTAGAAATATGTCAGAATACGTTATTGAATTGTTTTACAAGCAATGCTGACATGTTATGGCAGAGTATTATGAAATGATATTGACATGTTTTAAAACATTATAAACGTAGAGATACCAATCTGTACAAATAAGACGTAATTGCTTCTAACAAAGACCTATCAACAAAGAGGCTATTTAGAATGTGTATAAATCAAGAAAATTGAAAAATAATAAGAATAAAACGGTTCTCGCATTTGTATGTCATAGAAAATGGTTCATGGTTTTAACTAGTTCATGATGTGATGTGAAAATATTTTGGAAACGATGCGTTATGCCAGGTCTTATTTGAAAAATGTTGTTGACATTTCTAAAAACATAATGAACTGTGGAAATCAGGAATTATTTTTAGCGGTGTGCTGTTTAGACCACGAAGAGTTATGCACCACTTCCAGGTGGCGCTGTTGGGGTCGCGTGGAAGCGTCGTCTGCAAAATTCCACGAAAATGAAGTTTAGGACGTATAATAGATAACGCTGAAACACTTATGTTAGGTAATGAGTGATCTGTAGTACTCCTACACATCATATTCTGGTTAACAAGACTCATTTTGGTAGCATTAATATGCCTTTAAATAGGCCTGAACTCGTGATACCTAATTTGAACTATGCTGTATGACGAAGTTATGTAGGAGGGAATTTCAAATATCTATTTCAATTGAGATTTATGTATGCACGTAGGTTTTAACTCCCTAGGAGTGGTGATAAAAACCACTTAGAATCATAACATTTTGATAGTGCATTTCTATTTCACTGGTCTCAAATTTCAACCATGCCAACACAAGGTCAATAAGAGACCTGCCCCAAATTATACTGCTTCGATAGGGGCGTCAATGAACATACATGTTAATTTTAATATGAACACTCAGTAAAATCAATTTGGTAAACTTGCTACTATATACCATATCCACCAAGAAAAGACTTTGAGTCGGCATTATTCGCTACTTCAAAACTGTCTAGCTTTAATTTTTAACCCTGATCGATATTGTCAATATGAATGTAAATTCTCAGTTTTATCATCATGATTTATACCTAAAGTCTTCAATCTTTATAGATTTGACTGAAGTTAAGTTTATTATAGTTATGAATAAATTTGTTTTATATATATTGATAACTGGCAGGTGACCATGGACAAACAAGTACATATTGGTCACATTGTGAGTAGTGATACTCTTGGATTGTCACTGCATGACACAGCAAAGTCGGGCAAGAAAAAACGGCTGAAAAACATTTTGAAGAAAGGTAAACTGATTATACTAATTATTCACTGTCTTATGTAACAGGCATTTTAATTTATGTAAAGCAAACTAAGAAAATATTGTCTTATTCATGACCTTCCCTAATGGTTAAGCAGACAATGCATTCAAGATTCAAGATCATTGTTTAAATATGATTGTATTGCCATTCTTGGAGAACACATGACTTTTGTTGTTTGGAATCTAGGCCTAATTAATATTTTCTCCTTGTACATTTTTTTTCAAAATATCTCTTTCCGTTGAATAATTACCAGTTTAATCCTCATAAATGTTAATAAAAATAGATATGATTCTGGTGGTCCAATGTTTGTTTTCATTAATATATTTGTGTTTTAGGTATATATGTTGACTATCCAAATGATGAGGGACAGTCAGCTCTGTTTTGTGCCTGTTGTGAGGACAAGTATGCTTCAGCACAACTGCTGCTTAAATTTGGCGCAAATCCGAATGAGTAAGTCATAACTTATACTGAATAAACTAAACAAAATTATTAAATGTTCAGTTCATGGACTATAAATAAATCCAGTTGGTTGAAGGGAGACATGTCAATCATGACATGTTGAACCAGTTTGGAAAATAGTGCAGAGTTTCATCCCTTAGCTCTGCAAGGATTTGCTGGTCATGTGTTTGGATTCCAGATTTGCTCTGATTATGATCCTTGGTCTGTCGGCACCACCTTGGTGCTTATGGGTTTCTCTAAAATCATCTTTTGTCAGTCGGGGCTTTCCGCCCACAAATCCTGACATGCCATTAGATAAATGAATATATATCAAAGCAGCCATAACTTCACATACATTTAAGCCTAGCTTTGAGGGGTCCACTGACTAGAATATTGAGCGTTTGAAAAATAACTTTGGCATCCATGTCCATGACCTTGATTAATTCAACCAGATATTGTTCAAACATCTTCATGGTATAAAATTCATTCACTGACACAAATAATCTAATGTCATTTCTATTCACATAAAGGTGTTTTGTTGCAGGAGAAGCAACTGTGGGATGACCCCTTTACACATGGCCTGCTACAGTGGCAACACAGGTCTCTTAGTGAAACTGATTGAGGCTGGAGGGGATCTCAGACTGCATGACTATGATGGCAGATCTGCCAAAGACTGGGCTGTGGCTAATAGGGACCCCAAAAAGCGTGGGAAAATGGTAGAGTTTCTGGAAAAGGCACACATGTATGCGATGACCCATTCAGGAAGAGATGCTACATCTACCAGAAACATTGAGAGCAGGTTTGAAATGCAAAGTTTAATGCATTTGTTTGTCTGGATACTGGAATAATCTAAAATTTAAAGTTGATATTTTGATGAATGTCAAATGAAAGGTACAACACTCAATCACTAGTATATGTTTCAGTCATGATAATCATATTAATACTGAAACTAAAGATTCATTTGTAAGTATACATGTTATAGATACCTTTCATTTATTCACTGCTTAGACATTAAACATGCTGTATTTCACTTATTTGATGATTTGTTAATTAACAGCTCTCACGGGATACCATCTGTCATTCAGATCTTGAAGAAGAGAATAGGAATTGATCCAAGTGTTCACATTGACCCATTGAAGAGGGTGCAAAGTATGGGGTTTGGAAGTGTAAGAAATAATATTGTTTTGAAAATGTCGTCATCTATACATAACAAGTTTGATTATATAAGTGATCTTATTACTTGAGAGCAGATGTTTTTCATATATGGGTTCATCTGATCACTCCTTTAATGAATTGACATTGATATGACTCATTCAGAGGCCATGATTTATCACCAAGTATTATTAGGCAGTAGTAATATTGCAGCGATTGATTATGATTGATGATTGATATGTTGGAAAAAAATGATTCTGAACAATGATTGATGACAAAGGATCTCAACCAATTCCAAAGACTACTGTGCATAATACTTGAAGTACTTGAAGGTATGACCTTGCTTTCTTCATCAGGTGTATTTTGGAGGGGAAGCACAAGGAGCTGTTGTCTCTGCAATACCAGTTGTCAGTGAGAATGCCCTTTATCATGACACACATGGGGTTACGTACGAAAATGGATCCTTTCTTGTCATGGAAAGGTAATTTGTGTAATTTATATATCTATATATATCTATATATTGCAAGTATATAAAAAAGAGTGTTTAACAAGTTTTATATTATTGTGTTTTGTCCTGACAGTACTAAATGTTGCTTCGATTTTGCTAGAGTCAAATGGCAAGAGGACAGCTTTATAAATATTTCTAACTTCTACTGATAGTATGACATGGAACCATACACCAGTGACTGTGAAACGGCTCCATAAACAAGCTCACCCTGGTGGTTATGTTGATGTTCTCATCAATGAAATGGAACAATTAGGGTAGGTGGAGTGTAAGGAAAATTGATTTAATTCATGGAACAAGATTTCTAGGTTATTCTTTCATAACAACCTTTTTTTTTTCATAATGCTAAAATACTAATAAAAGGATTAAAATACTTAAGCCCATTCATAGGAATATTGTTTTAGATTCTGTTGGAACAGTTACAGGTTGTGAGCAAAAATGAGTTGGCTAACTGGAAACAATTAGATTGTTTGTTTTAGCCTAATTGACAAATCTGAAATGAATAAAAAAAATCGTTTTTTTACTGGAAGAACAGCCAAGTTTCAATCCTTTGATAAAGTGCTTTAAGAACATCAAGGGTAACATCACAGATATCTGGGTTATTCCATATTATCCGACATAAGCAATCAGAATTTGTTATCTATGTTGTTACATATATTGTTTTCCGTTTTGTCATGTATGCATTAATTATTCTTCCAGGAAAATTCGACACCCTAATGTTTTGCTGTTAATGGGAATATGTCAGACAACAAGCCTCGATTCAATTGTCCTTGTTTTCGAGAGGATATATCTTGGATCTCTCTTCTATTATATGCATCAAAGGGTAAGTGGAATATGAGAATTTTGTCCATATACTGATGCCATCAAGTAGATTACATTGTTAACAATGAACACTTAGAAGAACACTGAGACACACGTCATATTTAGTGAGCAGATTTTATAGAGATCATGTATATAATTTGTATTATCTGTAAAGAAGCAAGTTGTCTTTTCAACTGGACAACATGTAATTCTAGCATTCTCTTTAAAAAACTGTTGAGTCTACTAGCACAGATACTTATTAACTCAGCTGGTTAGACTCCAGCTTCAGACTGTAGTGACTACTGGTAACATCACAGACTGTTCTAGTGTGCTGCAAATCATCCTCCACCACAGTAGCCAGCTTCTCCAAGCTTGGACCCTGTAGATCTCTTTTGTTTTGAATAACCCATTTCAACCTATTTACCTTACTAACAAAGTGATGCAAATTAGTCATTTCATACGGACCAGCAGACGGGTAGTATGCAAAATTCATGTCAACCCTTAGTGGAGCCTAATATGGCACTTGATCAACTGGGCAGATTGCCAGTTACATATCACCAAAACAGGTACATCCCAACCCATTATCCATACCAAATCAGCACAGGTGATTTGTGGGAAACCACCAGTAATATGTCACCAAAACCAGTACACCTAAAATATGAAAATTAGCACTGGCATTAAAGGCCAGAGGAATATCAAGGTGCTCAATAACCCTGTACGAAACTAGTCACTATGATGATGCAACGCTTCCACCCTTCATACTTTTTCTGTTGGAGTGTTCCTTTCTTTCAGTTTGAGAGATTGCCCACTCAAAACATCCGAGATATCCTGCTACAGATCTGTAGTGCACTGATGTTTCTCCACAACCAGAATTACATTCATTGTAATCTGTCTTCACATGCCATCAACCTTGTCACACCATTCAATGCAAAGCTTGGAAACTTTGAGCACATGATCGACAGGTGAACTGCTTCTCTGCAACAAAACTGGTCATACCTATCAATCAATGTTATCAAACAATATCTTTATATGGACCAGTAGCTTTTCATTCTGGCCAGTATATGCTAGCCAGTATTTACTCTTTGAACTTACAACTTCTGTGAAGTAAACAAACACGTTTGTGATTTATGGCCCAGTGTTAAACTAATATCATAACTTATGCTATCTTGATGAATTGAATATAATTGTCAGTTTGTGCTTATTCTTGGAGGTCTTTATAAATTGTACTTATCAATCACTGACATAGCCATGTTTTAACAATTGAACATAAATATATAAAAAAACAGAAAACAATTACTTTCAGTTTTATGATTCATTGGATATTGAATATTTTGTGTCTGGCAGTGGTAAAGCTGACATGGGAAAACAGAGTGCAGTGTCCCAGATCAGGTACCAGAATGCCTTGTACAACTGGATGGCCCCTGAGCTGATGCAAGATCACCCAGCCACATTCCTCTGTGATGTCTACAGCTACTGTTCTATTATCTGGGAGATGTTTGAATGTAAATCATATTTCATTTCAGCGTTAGAAACTAACAGGTTTGATCCACTAGTCCTTATAATAACATATAGCAACTCTTAAAAGGGCAAATTTCTACTAGTCCTTATGATACCTTAACTATTGTGCAGTGTGGCAAGGACCACAGAACTAGTGCCAATTTCTAACGCTGCATTTATCTCACCAAGACCAACTGTCCAAGTGTACTTATGGCATGGAGCATTGTCTTTAACTTTTGACTTCTTTCTCTGAAATGGCTTAAGCGATGAATTGATAACATTAAGAGGATATCTAGCATAACACGAAATGTGCAAGTAAAATAAAGAAAAATAGTTTATCTTAAATTTTAATAAGAAATTAAAGTGTAATAACAGTTTTAGAATTGTTTCAGAAACCACGAGTGCCTGAAAGTGTGCTCTGGTGTGTTTTACGTCAATTGAATTAATATCACTCTTAATATCTGGTTCAGGTGAGATTCCATGGGATATGAGTGATGCAGAGTTGATCAAACACAAGCTATTGGTGGAGAAACAGCAACTCCGTATTGAATCAGCGAAGATACCTAAACTCTTCAAAAGCATCGTATCTGTAGGATTAGAGTTAGAGCCCTATAACAGAAATGCAGACTTCGACAAGATGCACCAGTGGCTTCTTTTACCTCCTGATGAGCCTATTGCAAACACAGTAAGATGTTTTTATCTAAATAACATGAGTTATTAAGTCTAGCTTTGGTTACCATTTGCCAGATGATTATTTAGAAAATGTCTGATCCAATGATTTCAGAAATATTTATTGCCTTTACTGTAAATTTGAAATGTATTGAAATTGTGAGATAATGACCAAAGAATCATATGTTGCTTCCAACTCATTTGATATGGTTTTACTTGCAAAATTATTTTATAATCAACTATCACTACAAATTCCTGATCATAAGACAATATACATTATCTAAACTATAGATATGAATGTTAAAATAAGTAAATATAACAAAGATGTTGAAAGATTGCCTTTTAGATAACTGGATGTGTTGCAAGTACTTGCAAAATAAGAAGCAACCCATTCACTGATTTCTTCACAGTCCCCCAAAGTCAAAACATGCACTTCCAGTCCGAAAACATTACTTCCAGACCTTGACTTCTTAGATGCCAATTCTTTTTTAATTTAATGATACCACCACTTTTTACAATACATCCTCAAAGAGTATCTTGACCAGTGATCAACATGCCACCACCATGTCCATAGGTAACTACAAGCAAGGCATCTCCAAGTAAATACTCGACAGGAAGAAGATCAAAGCCAACCTCTGCCACATCCTCACCTTCTAGACATGGAAAGGACTCAACCAGAAACCATTCACCGTCTGATGATCATGTGTACATGGAAGAGTACAGTCCAAATGGAAAGAGGAAAAAACCTCACACTAGCAGACAAGACTACCACAATGAAAACTACCATAATCTTCATTCTCCAAGAGGCAAAGCTGGGAAAGGAACCCGGTCAGTTCTCCATTATCAGAAGCTATAGTTATTTAAATTTTATTGCACAAATCGATGCAGTTAAATGTTCTCACACACATGTAATCCAAGAAGTTGGTATGATACTGACTCAGTACATGAAAGTACAGTGCCTTGTTATGAAAGGGGATCCAAAGTAAGTAGGACTTAAGTGTGTATAAAACTGTTTTTAATGAATTCATCTCAGTATTTGCGATTATTTTCTCATAATTACAGAGATTCATTGTTTATGGAAATACATGTATGAATATTGTTATCAATTCTTTTGTCTCATAATAGAGTGAAGATTGTTGAAAATGATATTTCACAATGTGATAGCAGAAAATATGACAAGACAAGCCATGGAAAGATACCATTTTCTGCTGGACAAAGGTAATGGACTGAGATACAAATCTAAAGAATGAATAGTGGAATTAGATTGTTACTGATGTAGCTTTATTGAGAAACTTCTAAATGTCCCCTGCTATAAAGTGGGAGGGGGATCTAGGAATTGGATCTGTCCTTTCGTCATGTTTTGTTTCCGGAAACTCAGAAACCGTTTAATATTTTATTATGAAACTTTGCATATGTATGCTGAGATCATAGTGGCTGCAATTGGGACAGTTGTTTCTCAGACACTACTGATGTTACATGAATGAAACTTGCTTGTTTTTTTAAAGAAATACTTGTCAAGACTGAGTTAAAAATTTGATGCGGTAAACTTTTTTCTGGAGTAACCCTCCCTTTCTCCATGAATATTCACTTCAATACGAACAAACAAAATTCTAATGAGCCCCATGGTGGGGAAAAGGGATAACGCTGTTTCTGGTATACATTGTTATATGTGGAAAGTTGCCTACAATGCATGTAGTTTGTATTGTGTGTAAGGAGCTAGAGTAGTATAGCTAGTTACATGGTGTAACATGGCAACATCCATGGATTTCCGAGCTGTCATTCATTGTAGTGCAAGTCTTCTAAACTTTGTAAGTTCTTGGTACTAGTAACAATGGTGAGGTAGTTGATGACTTAAGGGAAGATAGCCAGTGAGAGGGCAGTTGCACATGGCCATGTTGTAGTAAAGAGTGATACGAAGTGTTTATTGAAGTTTCAGTTGATCTGTGTTGTCAACAAGTGATCACAATCTCAGGCTGAGATATAACCATGTTAACCTACAATAAGAGTGCTTGAAAGAGACTTTGCATTTTCGCTATTGAGACCATTCAATATTACAAAGATTGCAGGGGTCTTTATGTTCCATTGTATGATATCATTCATTCAAAATATGATCACAATGATTAGGCATTCTAAAAGTTGATGAAGATAATCACAAACCATATTATAGGCAACACAGTCAAAACTTGTTATCTCGAACAACATTATCTTGAATGTACCAATATATCGAACCTATTCTCCGGTCCCAACTGCCTCACTATATCTCTATCATTTTCTCGTTATCTTGAATGTCCAGATATCTCCAAGTTACAACATGGCCATGTTAGGCTTGAGATAACAGGGTTTAACTATATAATTATATAACTAAGAAATCATCCTCCACTCTATTGCTTAATTATCCCCCGCCCCAATGAAGTTGGCGGGGGATATAGAAATGGGTTCCGTCCGTGTGTGCGTGCGTGCGTGTGGGTGTGTACGTGCGTGTACGTCCCGAAATCGTTTCCGGAGCATAACTCAGAAACTGTTAAATATTTCTCTACGAAACTTTGCATGTCTATCAGACTCTTATAGACATTGCTATTTAGGAATTTTATTAAAAAATTTTTTTACGTTTCCATGGCAACAAGTTGGACTTAGGTTCTATAAGGGTGCTGTTTGTTTCTGGAGCGTAACTCAAAAACTGTTAAATAATTTCTTACAAAACTTTGCATGTTTACCAGACACATACTGAACTGGTGCCTTTTGCTATTTAGGAGTTTTATAAATTTTTATGTTTTACGTTTCCATGGCAACAAGTTGGACTTAGGTTCTATAAGGGTGGTGTTCGTTTCCGGAGCATAACTCAAAAACTGTTAAATACTTCCTTGTCAAACATTGCATGTCTATTATATAAAGCACATACTGAACTGGTGCCATTTGATATTAAGGAGTTTTATAAATGTTTATTTTAGAATTTCCATTGCAGCTATTTTGACATGGCCTAAGAGAAATGTTGGGTCAGTTACCTGGTTTGGGACCATAACGTGTTAAAATGGCGGGGGATATAGATGACTTCGTCCACTATACGCTTGTTCTTTGTAGTGACTGGATGTGTAACTATGAGCGCAACCAAGATGCAGATTTCTATAGTTACAAGGCCAAGTTGCAAAAAGACACACGGCAGTCCGCAAAGTATGATGAGGAAACTACTTCTCCCAAAGAATATGTTTTGGGCAGGTCTTCAGAAACTTGCAGCGGGGATGATGACAACACAACTACACTGAAACAGTATCTGCGAAAGAAAGCAGCTGCAAAGTACTATGCAGATAGAGATGAGAAAGAGGCCTTGAAGGAACAAAATGACTCGAGGTTGTATCATTTTACTTTAATGTTATACCTCTTAAAATGTTTAAGGTGGGTGTTACTCATTATTTTAATTGAACCACCTTGAGTCATTGTTTCCACGGGGATTAATAATCTTCCTTTTATAGTACTGTACAGACAATTGTGTTGGTAAAATCAACAATGTATACAATTTCATTGAATATAACAAGCTATGATGTTAACAAAGTCAATGTAATCCTTCATTATTCATAAATGATAACGAGTAATGTAATTATTCATTTTAACGATGAATATTGTGTATACACTGTTTGAAAAAAGCATGAAAGTTAGTTAACCCTATAACATGAAGTAAAAAAATTGAAGGGGTCCTTAGATTCAAATACATGTAGTATAAATGTAAACCCCAGAGAACCATGTACCCACCTTAATGACTTTAAGAATTTTTTCCACCTACAAGACTGGATGATTTTTAACAGATTTTATTCTTTACCATTTGGGCTATTATCAGCTATATATATTGACATGATAGACATTTTACATAGCTTGAATGTTTTGAGAATGGTTGAAGGCATAGGTTGGGGGTTTAAGGATTCTGTTTACTTTGTTGTATCTAATGTTGACAATGGCTTCCATATTGAAGTTTTAATTTCATATATTATAATGACTGCAGTTTCAGGGATAATGAGGGCAGCCCAATCCTGTCTCCTCCACTGTCACCATCTCAATTCAGCTATCTGAGACTGAGCGAGGAATCAACTGGTGGCCAATCAGTGGTGAAACCTGCCAGCCACTGTACAGAAGCTGGATGTCCAAAATCATCTGGCCAACTCACAACAGCTGGAAGTCTGTTTGCACTGTACAACTCTGGAACAGACCATCATGAGTTCGCCAAATTAGCCATTGGTGCTCCTGCAAATCCATATGGCACTTTCCCTAGGAAGAGGAAGTCAACACAGTACTTTGAAGATGATGAACCAAGAGAAATACATGTGTTATCAGAGTAAGTATTAATGGCAGAATTGGTAAAAGTGTTTGAACAAATACATGATAATTATAACATGGCAAAACTTAATTTGATCAACAAATTTTTAGAAAATGTGACCAATATTGAGTGTAACAAAAAGCTAATTCTAATAAAGATGCCAAATATATTTAAACTTGAATCCTTAACAATATTGAGTGTAACAAAAAGCTATTTCTAAAAAAGATGCCAAATATATTTAAACTTGAATGTATTTAGGATACAGACCATTTGAGATGTCAGTTTTCACGAGGAAAGAAATGTTTGTAATTGTATCCAAAAACAGAAAATGCATTATGCTGACAACTTTAGTCTTTATTTCAAAGGAAGGCTCTGCAATTTGCCATTGCAGAGTTGCATCCCTTAAACGTTCCAAGATCTATTAATCATGGGTTAAACTTTGAATGCAGGGTCATCCTAATTATGATACTTGGTCTGTCAGCATCATACTTGAGCTCCTGGGTTTCACCAAAGTGGAAAACATCTAAGCCCTGCATCTTAAGCTCCAACATTAAGCTCACACTCCATTATATACTGAAAAACTGTTCAAAGTGGCATTCAACCCAACTCACTCCAGACTATTTTTTTTAAATCTTTAACCTGTCTCTAATCTCAAGCATTTTTTTCACAGACAAGAGGCTGATCCCAATTGGTTTGGAGGAAAGGGCAGTGTCAAAAACCTGGTTCACCTGTTTCAGGAACAGAATGATGATGTAAACTAAAAAAAATGAAACACATGAAATTCTCTCTCTTGTCACTTTATCAGTTCATATTTGTAATGTAATGTTAAGTGTACCGTGTTATCATATTTGGTCAGAAATAACTCAATATTTTTATCAGAAGTTAGAATACTATTACAATATATATGACATACTTTCTGTGCATTTCAGCATGAATTTCAGCAAAAGGTCCTTGAGGGTAAAGTAGACTATGGTAGCACTGTCAGGGACAGTATGAGAAAGGTACATACAATCCTTTTAAAAAATTCTATTATTTACAGTTTGGGGGTATTTGAACTGTCAAAGGTTAAACCAAGTTCCACTAAAACAGCTGAATAGGTGGATATTAGGGCTATATAAATAAATTATTATTGTTGTTGTTATTAATTTAACTTGTCTTATTGTCATAATTTAGACATTTAATTTCTGAGAACAGAATAAGATTTGAGAAAATGACTGGGTGACTATTAATGTTTGTTTCACCATTTGTAGGCAAAAACACCTGACAGGCTCTACTCAAGAGTTCATTCTAGAAAATCACCTGTTGTCAAAGGTATGTATGAACAGTAACTTTATAAATCATGAAATGAATATAAGTCAAAACAGGTCATAGTCAATAATTCTAGTTGTAAGTCAAATGTTGAAGTTCAGATATAAATGCAGCAACATTCACACAAGTGTTAAAGGCAGATGGGATAGACGAATAATTGCTTGTGACACTAGTCTTCATAAAAACTATATCAGGATAACAGAAAGGAATTTTATAGGTATCTATGACATGTGTTAAAGGGGCACTGATCTAAAGCAATTCCCCGGGACTGGTTGTTGCCTTTGTTATTGTTTTTTCCCACTGAGTAAACGGATGTATAGCAGAAATCTAGACTAGTTGGCGACCTCTGCTGCGCCATTCGTAAGCGCATTAGTCATTGTTATGGGTAGTATTAAGGGCGTATGGTCACATTGATCAACAAAATGAAATACTGTTTTCGAGATAATAAGGAAATGTAGGTATCTTTGTGGGTAGCATCGGTAATGGTGACGAAGTTTTGATAAGTCATTTGCTTGGTAATTTAGCGATTTTCGTTTACACTATTTTGACTTGCAACACAAAGTTTCACCTGAGCATTCCTTTTTTTATAATGTGTATTTTTTTTACTGTCAAAATGTGTAACATTTTCAAATTTATTAAACGCCTAAATATTCAGTTATTTTACAAAGTGACTGAAAAACATTTCCATCTGTATTATTATAACAAATTCCAAACATTTTGATGTTTAATGTCATCACCAAAAGATTGAAAATGTTACGTTGAAAAGTACATTTCTATGTTGTTTGGCTTCTAATCCTACATAATAATCTGTTGTGATGTTTGTAGGCCCTTTTGATCGTCTTAATCAATTTTAGTCAATCTGGACAGATTTTTTAGTCAAAATGACTGAAATATTTACACATTTTATAAATTGCCTAAGAGAATCACATTTTACAAATTGACGGTAATATATACATGCTTACAAAGGAAAAGACCTGTGAAAACAACGTCTATCGTGCATTGAAGAATTTCCCAACCAAGACGTAGAGAAACAAGAACGAATCGGTTCAATGCTACAGCAAATGAAGGAAAACAAAATGCAAATACCATAATTACAACCTACCAAATTTATGTGTTCAAATTTTAGGCACCTTCCTTGTTCGAGGAATGTATCCGTGAATATCCAATCAAAGGAACAATATCCCATTCGTCTGCAGCTGTACAAAGAAACTTATTCGATGTCACGTGTCTCTGTAACAATCAAATATTTTAAAAGATTATTATCGTTTCGGGATATTATAACCCGTGTTTCTTTCTCAACTGATCACTTAGATTGTTTCAGGTGTTTCACATAGGTGTCAAGTTTCAAAGGTCGGCTGAGAAAGCCCATGTGACAACTATTTTCATAACATCCACGGTTCCTAAAAAATCCATTGAGTGGTAGATAACAATGATCAATCAATCAACGTATTATCAGTTAACCCTTTGAACAAAGTATGTTGTTTTTACATCGGCACTTCACGCCATGATATGAGTGTATTCCATTTGTTTTAGTAAACCTAGACATGTAAACACTCACTTTTGACATATCCACTGTGCAAGATAACAGTGATTAATCAATCAACGTATTTTCTGTTAATCCTTTGATGACTAGGAACGATCCGTTGATTTACAAAAAAAGTAAATCAACTGATCATTCACCTCTTGCTGGTCTGCCATGTGCATATTACATAACACACATTTCACCTCACTTCAAACCCGGATTTAGATTGAAAAATTTCCCCAGACACAATAAATGCCAAATGGAAACCTTTGTCAGGTAATCTACGTGGTGCAACCACTAATTGTACCTGTAATAAATTCATTAACTGAGCATCAAGTGAATAACGACAAATACACAAGTGTAGGGTTATACCAGAAAACATGGATGAGAACTAGGGAGTAGTAATCGTATTATCGACGCAATCCGAAATCCGAAAATGATTTCACTGCATGGATACTTTTTATAGGGATATAGGAATGGGTGCTCTCCGTCCTTCTGGCCGGCCGGCCGTCACATTTCGTTTCCGGAGCAGATCTTGAAAACCGTACCATATTTCTTCACCAAACTTGGCACATAGATAGATCTAGTGGTGAACTGGTGCCTTTTGATATTTTGGGATTTAAAAAAAAATTATTTTTTGAGTTTCCATGGCATATTGGATATAGGAATGGGTGCTGTCTGGCCGTCCGTACGTCCGTCACCATTCGTTTCCGGAGAAGATCTTGAAAACCGTACCATATTTCTTCACCAAACTTGGCACATAGATAGATCTATTGGTGAACTGGTGCCTTTTGATAGTTTGGGATTTTAAAAAAAATAAATTTTTTTTAATTTTTCATGGCAACGACTTTGATTTAGACTGAAAATGGTGGTAGTCCTCGATTCCGGAGCAGATCTTGAAAACCGTATCATATTTCTTCACCATACTTGGCACAAAGATAGGTCTAGTGGTGAACTGGTGCCTTTTGATAGTTTGGGATTTTTAAAAAAAAGTTATTTTTCGAGTTTCCATGGCAACGACTTTGAATTAGACTGAAAATGGCGGTAGTCCTCGTTTCCGGGGCTGATCTTGAAAACCCTACCATATTTCTTCACCAAACTTGGCACATAGATAGGTCTAGTGGTGAACTGGTGTCTTTTGATAGTTTGGGATTTAAATTTTTTTTTTTTTTGAGTTTCAATGGCAACCAAACTTGGCACATAATGTCATCTCACAGTATTGAATACATTTCCTTTTCTTGTTGGTAAGTTCTGGATTGCTTGAGTGTATGTTCCTCCAAAAGTGTCATGGACACAGTTGTTATATTCACTGACTAACTTCATGCAGAAACACCACTCATTACAAATACAACAGTGTAACTGATCTTAAACCTACTCAACTGTATACTTTTTGGCGGGGTTCTTGTGGGCTACACTGCTAGAAACAATTAACTTGCTTCCAAATTAATACTCGTGCATAAGGCTACCTGCTTTTCAGCGGGAACCTTTCCGGGGTTACCTGCTTCTCAGTGGGAACCTTGTCTTTCCCGACTTTTCAGCCAGGGAATCGTAAAATAACATACGTTGGGGCAAACAATTGCCACGTATATGGGCCCGGCGGCGGAAGTCGTCTTGTCAAGCAGTAGCTGACAGTTGGGTCCGCGGCGGTAGTCGCACAATGGTTTTACTAATGGGGCCAGGTAGTGGGATCTGCTTTGGCCGGCTACCTGGGGCTGGGCAGCGGTAGTCTGACTTAGGCCAGCAACGGGGAGCTGCTTTTGGCAGCGTGGGAGTTGCCAAGCAATGGTAGTGTTTAAATATGCTACAGTGGGGGCCGGATAGCGGTAGCAGTCTCAGGCCAGCAGCGCTAGCTGCAAATCGCCGTTGGCCACGCTAGTGGCCATGGCAACGGTAGCATTTTGGTATACACAATTAGCAGCTTAGTAGCCCACTAGTACCTGCACACCCTCGGCCATTTAACCCAATCTCATCTTCTGTTTTTATTATAGGCACGGGCATCCACGGCTCGGTGGCCCGTGCCTCTCCTTGGCATATCGCGGGATAAACACTATATATTCTTGTCAACCATACTCTGTACTTCACTTGCTTGATAACGGTGTTAGAACCTACACTGAAACCATCGCTCCTAATTGTAATAAAGAAGTTGTTTGTCCATATGTCTCATCCTTACTCATTACAAATACAGTTACATATTCTATCATAATCTGCAGATGGCAAAACAACACCAGTAATAACTTTTTTAGTGCTGCAATAAGGCCATTACTAAAAGGTCCAGTGAACATAATTCACAGGAGCTAATGCATTGCACACAACTGGACATGTCATATTGGCGGGGGATGTGAGTATTTCATGCTTGTTTTAGTATTAAACTATAACCACCTGGGGTATTTCCAAATGATGACATCAGATGAGCTCCACCGATCTTTTTGTCTGTTTGTTTAGCCTGAAGAAATTAATTAACATGCGCCCTTTGTCGAAATCTTTATAGATCACAGTTAACCAATCAGTGTTCATGCAAAAATGCGTAAAACAAATATTGCCACCAGCCTCCAAGTTTATTTAGCTGTCCTTGCAGACGGTAGTCCAGTCTCTGGTCACGCTCAGTTGCGTTGCGTTATCATCCGGGTACTCACGGGGAAAAAAACAATAACAAAGGCAACAACCAGTCCAGGGAATTGCGTTAGATCAGTGCCCCTTTAAAGACAGATGGGATAGAAGAATAATTGCTAGTGACACAAGTCTTCATAAAAAACTATATCAGGATAACAGAAAGGAATTTTGTAGGTTTTTATGACATTGATTATATTTTGAGCATGAAGAACCACCCTTTCTCAGTGGGAGGAATGTTCTGATTGTGTTTCTGGTTAAAGGTTTGGAGTACCAGCAGTTTGTGGAGATGTCCCACCCTGCAGCTGCGTACAGCACACGGCCAGAGTATAAAGACTATACAGATTACATTGATAGCTACACAAACAGGACAACTGGTGAAAAACACACTGGACACCTAGATGCAGACAGTCAGTGCAGTTACTCTTCTGAGTCCACTTCCAGTGTTGGTCAGTAAAGATTTTGTTTCTTTTTACCATTCTTAGGTTCATTCTCAACAGTTTTGATATGTACATGTATATAGAACTAATATCCATGTACAATCAGCTTTTTTTTCTCCATTGTTTCAAAATAATATCTAATTATTTATATATTAAGAATTGTAATTGTCATATGCAATAGTTTGGGATTCAATTAATCTGATAGCTCAAATGTGCTAAGAAGATTCTTTGTTTCTTGCAGTTTTATAGAACTGTACACATGGCAATTCAGGAATCATGAATATAATGTAATTTGTTGGTCCAAATATTTTGCCTAAAGGCACCCAAGGCAAAGCAGATCACAAATGTGCACATTCACCAAAATGCATCAATGTAAACTGCATGACCATTGCCCATGTGAGATGCGCATGCTCTTTTACCTGTCTCATTTATCAGAGGGATTGCACAACAGCAAAAACATGCCGTGACTGAGTGAATCAGAAAGAACACAACACCATCGGTTACTTGGAAACGTGCCAAGCACTATCACAGTACTTTGAACCCCCATGGCAACCTCTACAGTATCTGTCACTCAAGGCTTGCTTTGAATATCAGCCCAGATGGTGATTAACTTCCTTCTTAAGGCACGTGCTCGAGTCTGATGGCCTGTTTGAGTTGTCATTTTGACACAACCAACATCATAGACTATGATGTCACTGGTGTATGGCCTCATGGAGAATTGGGTTTCAGCGACAAGTCACATTTTTTGCTTCGTCATGTAGATGGAAGATGTCGGGTGTATAGACATTGACATGAATGTTTTGTGTCAAACTGCATTCATGAAGTCGACAGATTTGCTGGAAGTATTTCTTGCACAATGGCAGGACCAACCAGGTTCATGTTCAGGGCGTCTTAAATGCACAACAGTACGGAGATGACGATCTGCAGTCACACTTTATTCCTATTATGCAGAATGCCAAGGTGGTATTCCAGCACGATAACCACAGACCATACACAGCACAAGTCACAATAGCATACCAACACAAGAACAATATTCAGGCCTGACATGGCCTCTTGATCACCAGATTTGAACATTATGACATGAGTTGGATAGACGGGTATGACAGCAGCAACCACAGCCGCAGACTCTGCCATAGCTGGGTACTGGCACTACAGGCCAAGTGGGCCAACCATCCCCAAGGTCTGATTCATACCAATATTGCTGCCATGGGCAGATGTCATGCAGTTCTTGATTCCCTGGGAGAGCACACGCGATACTGACTGCAGATGGCCTTGACCTTGACTTTTGATGACTGTGGTAGCGTGTGTCATCAGCTGCTTTCCGATGACCCATTAAATAATTCGATGAATGGTGGAGGGTGGGTGGTGATGGTTTTATATTAAATATTAAACTGTATTCTATGTATATCTATTTTTTATGAATATCATACAACTTAGATAAAAGTGCTTTGCATTTATTATTTCCACTAGAGCAAACATAATTACTTTAATGGTTTTACTACATAACTTGGTTCAGTGTCAACTAATATATTACGTATCCTTTTTACTATTTTGCCTCTCACCATTTAATTTCAAATGTTACTGCTGACTGGGTTAGAAATATAAAAGTTGCAGGTTGTAACCCAGATCAATGTAGCAGTGTTGATTCTGATCTCGTTTCTTCATGGATCGCAGACCAGCTTCAGAAGGCAAAAGCTGACGTGGCAAGAGAAATAGCCTCAGGTAGTTAAAACTGAGACAAAATTGTCTGAAAATTGAGAATGGAATTACTACTGTTTTGAAATATCTGAAACTAATTTCCTATTGAATGGAAAAACTTCAAAGATCTTTTTAGAAGATTTTCAACAAAGAGCATACAGTTAAGTAGAATCAGAGTTTTAGAATATTTCAGTAATCAACATCTTCATTGTTGTGACCACTGTACTGTAGAGTACACATGAATTACAGTTCACCTGGTGTATCTTATTGTCTTTTATTACTTGCTCGTGAAGAGATAACCCTTTAATAAACATACAGCTGTATTACACATTATGTAATACCAAAATGCATGCTTATGTACTGTCGGAACAAGTTTCCCCAACAAATATTGAAAGCTCTCAACATCCCTTGGCTTATTCAACAATATTGCGTGTGGAGATCATAGATCACTGAGAGGAGCTTATGCACTCTCAAAGACCCCAGCAACCCTGTTGCTAGGCTGACATCACATGGCATTGTTTCGATGATGGATCTTGCAACAAAATTCCACAAATTACATGTAAACTTGGTGCAGAGCCCCGTTCCACAAGGCAATCGTAAGACTATGCGCTACGATAACTTTGTGGAACAGACGTCTGAATTCTAAAGGTGACCATAATATAGTATTAAGTTAATAAGTTTCAACTTTTGACGTGTTTGAAGTATTATTCTGTTAAACTCAATTGGATTATGCCGTGGATCGTGTAGGTGTCAGCCTATTCACACATGACAGCATACGTTTAAAAACGTTGTAAGTGGCAAGTAATAAATAAAATACTAAACTGGCTCCTGTGTAAAACCAATTTTATGAAATTTGTGAATGGTTGTAGTATCTGACTCGCTTTCGCTCGTCAGATACCAGAACTATTCACTCGTTTCATAAAAATTGGTATTACGCGGGAGCTTGTTTAGTATTCTATATGTGTATCATACATAGGTTACGTAGAAGGGATGCATAATATACACAGAAACTCAGACAATATTAAAGTTTTTATATTTGTTTTCAAAAGCAAAAATATCAGTAAACACAAACATCTGAACACCAAAATGGAGTGCTCATATCACACACAAGAACATATCATGTCCAGTGCGGGGTCAGCTTAATTACAGCTTAATCACTTTTCTAATTGCTTAAGAATATGAAAGACAACGTGAAGTAGGATTGCTTGATGAGATTATGGAGGAAATGTCCAAATCTCAGCCCACCAGACCAGACAAGAAACAAGTGTATGGTTACAGAGATTTATATGAGGTGAGTATTTTGGTTTATACTTTGGTAAGTTCAAAACCATCATATTTATCCCAGTACTGGAGGAATTCTTTGTTGCAACAGAAATATTGAGGCACTATTCAGTATTATTCTATAACAGTTAACCCATGCTTGTTGTAAGCAGCAACTAAAATTGGGATGGTGTGATTTCAAATACTGCTGAATGTGTATCAATATTCTCAGAGTGATTTAGCATATTATCAAGACTGTAGTGACCAAAGACTTGTCTATTCAAACTCAGTTGTATGTTGCAGGCATCTCTTGTAATATTGCTATCTACACCACAAAAGCATTCATTCTTGTGCTACTATTGTTAATGAGTTCTAATAAGCCTTGATGCAGTGACAACAACCAAGTGATTAGAGGTATATATGTGTGACAAATCATGATAAGCAGCAGATTAACATTGACAACAGGTAGTAGATAACAAGTAGCATACAGATAATTGGATGAAGCCAAATGTACAGTAAGAATAACGAATAGCACACAGGTAATGACGGTTCAGGAAGGTTGACAAGTTTGTCATCCTCAGAAAAAAACAGGACCCCACCTCACTACTTCAGCACCTCAACACCCAACACCCCAGAGTTAAGTTCACCATGGACACAGAGAACAACCCCCTTCCTAGATGTCCTTGTATCCAGAGGGCCAACAACAAGATCCAAAGCACCCACTACAGGAAACCTACCCATTCTGACCAGTACATTCACTTCAACTCTAACCACTCCTCCAAAAACTAAATCTGGCATCATCTCCATACTGACCAAGATCAACATCTACTCCAGCAAACTTGACCTTGACCATGAACTTAAACATCTGCAGCATGTCTTCACCAATCTAAACCTGTACCCTACCAAGAGAGCCATCTCCACCACACCCCAGCCCAAACCCAAACCAACCAGACCAGAATCCGCCCTCATTGCAAAACCTCTCATCAAATCAGCAGATTACTCGCAGGCATCGATACCATCTTCGCTGGCTCCCCATCCCTTAGAACCATACTCTAAGCTGATGGCCACACCACACACCCCTCCAACAAGCAACCCTCCAACGGAGTAATCTATAAGATTAATTGTGACTGTGGTGACTCATACTTTGTTGAAACCTCTCGCCCAGTAGATACCCGCATCAAAGAACATAAGACTTCAACAGCCAAAGCAGAGAGCAAATCAGCCCTCTCAAACCACCAGCAAATATTCCCTAGCCATCAAATTCAGTTTGACAAAGTTCAAATCTCTCAACCAAACATCAGGACTTCACCAAGAGAAAACTTTCAGAAGCTAGAGAAATCTGCCATCACAACCCTTTGATCAACAGAGATCAAGGGTATTACATCTCGTCTGCCTATGAAGATCTAATCAAGTAACAGACTGTTTTAATTAGGACCCACCTGCTCCTAACATCTGTTTCATCCTCTTAATCCTTATCCTTACTGTACATCCGTGTGATTCATAACTTGTGTGCTATTTGTTGTTCTAACTGTACATTTGGCTTCATCCAATCATCTGTATGCCACTTGTTATCGATTACCTGCTGTCAATGTTAATCTGCTGCTTGTATACCTCTTATCACTTAGTTGTTGTCACTCCAGCTTGATAACAGTGTAAGAATGTACATCAGAACATCGCTATATGCAATAAACCAGAAGTTGTTATCCATATGTTTTCTTACTCGGTTATATTATAATGTAGGAGGAAAGCCTGTGTGCCTGCATAAATAATAATTATTGGCTCTGAACCAGATCTAAATTGAGTTAGTTACAATATCAAAACAGGTGAGGTAAGGTGAAATTGGGTTTAACTGTGCGTCCAAGATTATTGCACTTATAGAGCGACGTGCATGCACGTGTGTGTGTGTGGCTGCTTGTACTAGTCCAGACTGATGCTGATTTATAGTGCTAGCCCACTGAGATGCCATGCCGCAGTTTAACATGAATACCCCACTCACAGTACACTGACTCCGAGCTGACCAGTCCTTGTTTTAGCCCCTTAATACAGAGTGCCAGACAGGGTAACAACAAGTACCATCTTTAAACATCTTTTGGTATGCCGCGGCCGGGGATCAAACCCCGGACCTTCCACTCCTCGGGGCGGATGCTCTACCACTAGACCACAGAGCAATATCGAAACACCAAAAGTTTTGAGCTAAACGCAGAGGTTAATTGACTTTAATCACTACTGCTTGAAAAAACATTATCAGTGTGAGTACAAGCAAATATACCCACAGCATATATTTTCATGTCTTAGTTCTCTTTGTCATGTGTTTTCATCAAAGTTGTGTTATGTTCAAGATTACCATGTCTCCATAGATTGCATGTCAGTGAGAAGTTGAAGTGATAGAACTATCTTATTAACCTGCTGTTGATCAGTATGTTCTATCTTAACCAATAGCAACAGAAGAAAAAACAAGAATTTGACTTAAAGGAGTTTTACATTGATGATGACATCAACAATGACCCTGATGAAAGAAGTCACATCAGACTCCAGGGGGGTTCCGAGGAAAGAGGCACAGACTACAAGGACTGGAAATACCAGGCTAAATCAAAGTCTGACAATAACTCTGGGAGAGGTCAGTGTTTCAGCTGATGCAACTAATACTCTTGTCATCAGTCATAATGACAAGTGAGGAGTTAGTTTGGTTTAACATCGCTTTGAACAGTATTTCAGTAATATCAGTGTGTCCGCATGCTTTTGGAGGAATACCCATTGGATACAGGTCTTAAATGTTTTCCACCTTGGTGAAACCAACAAGCATGAGTACATGGAGTGGATCATGATCATAGAATTCTGGTGGTGGTGGTGGTGGTGGTGGTGGTGGTACAGGGAATCCTAAACTTTAGCAATTTCCACAAGTCCTTACCCCTTTGGATGTAAGTTTTCATAGGGACAAAAGGACTAGTGATTGTTTCTAATGCTTTGCTTAGTAGAACATAGTAAAGTAACAAGTAACAGCAGAGCAGCAAGTAATATAAAATCATGTTTAATGATTGTCAAAGTACAATAATTTACTTATCTTGAGGAATAGTTTATTCACTGTTTTCTGTATATGCCTATTTTAGAGACAACTTGAGGAGATGAAATGCTGATTAATTACGTTAATCTTCATATTACAGCCATAAATGCAAAAAAGAAAAATGAAAGGAAACACACGCGAGAGAGTGGCATTCCAAAACCCAAAGTTGGAACCAGGCTGATGTCAACAAAGCAAACAGTTAGTAATGCTATATGTTTCTCCCTTATTCAATACTAGTTTGTCATGGCCCAGTGAGGACCCGGGGTGAAAATTGTCCCCAGCACTCCAGTGCCTGTCGTAAGAAGCAACTAGATTATGGGAACCTGTCGGGATTCCAGTTTAGAATTGGTCCCTAGCAGCCTTTGATGACTGCAAGAGGTGTCTTAATGGATAGAGTGGTCAGACTCGGTGACTTGGTTGATGGCGTGTCAATGTGCCCTGATGGCATGGATAGGTGCTCATAATATCAATCACTGGAATCTCTGGTCCAGACTTATATGGAGGCTGTCATCATATAGCTGGAAGAATATTGCTAAATGTGGCATTAATTAACAAACCCACATACACACCTCAAGGCAAGTGATTTTAATAATATTGCTGAAGTGGGAATGTATGAAAAATATAATTAACTTAGCTAAAAACGTTTATCATGTTCAAATACCCACATACCTTAAAGTTTCTATAACACCATGATGCTCTAAGGATTCTGAAACTTGTCAGCATCACATCATTGTGGTTTGCTGTGGGGAGATGCACATATACATTTTGCATTTTCAACAATAATTTACCTGAGCAAAAGCATGTTTGAATAAGCACTGGCAAGGAACGCACTTAGAGAGCAAATCAGGTGTAGTATTGTATGCTTTACATTAGGGGAAACTATTCATATATTATTTATGAAACTGTATTTACCATTATGCTGTTCATTATGTTCTCTCATATTCCTGCAGGGTAAACCAACTTCTAAAGGTTTTACCACCACAGTTACTGTGGAATCCAGTCTCATTAATCCGGGAGAGCATCAAGTCCGTCACACGGCTACAGACCTAGCAACTGGGGAGACCACAATGCTTCATGAAGAAAGAGTACAGGCTGCAAATGTACACTCCAAGCTGCAGGCTTAATCTCTAACTCAGTCCTAACTATTAACTGCAAATAATCAAATTAAAAGAGCATAATTTTATCTTAGAAATATTTCAAAACAATGTTAGTTAGTTATTGTGTTATCTCTCATCAACTGTACATTTTGCGAAACAATTTGAAATCATTATATAGACCTGACTGTTTATGCTCTACCTGATCCTTGTTTTACTGTTATATTGAAATTCTGGAGACTACAAAGGATTGTTTATTGTTGAATTCAAGCATATATTTACAAATCCTTATTAATAGTGTTTCTTTTTCTCTGCTATATTGCATGAAATGCTTAAAAATAAAATGAAATATTTTATGGTAATTACAAATGAAATGAATAATATATTTTTGTATTATCATGGCTGATTTTCATTGTTATATGACTGTTCACATACATTTGACAAGCAAATTAAAATCTTATTAAGGTTATTTATTATTCCTTTATTTGGTAATCATCCTGCTTAGAACTATAGTGAATTATAGACTTAATTCAGGCGAAATCTCAATTTAAAGTAGTAATGAAAGAACACATTAGTTTCCCCACAGTAAATATCAGTGTATTTTCATTCCGCTAATAGATGCATCCTGTGCAACATTTTCGGCATATGCCCAAAATAAATTGATTTGCCTCCAAATCAACTTATCAACTTCTGGTGTTTTAGTACGATACGTGTATATATATGAAACATGAAAAAAGAGTTAGGTCTGTCCTTATACAATCCACACATTTGTCCTGTTTATGTTTAATTCCCTAAATAAAATACCATTCAATGTGTCATTTTAAGACATCAACTGATTTTGGCTTCATTTGTCAATAGCAATCACCTGAGGTACAAATTTTGTGACAAAGCCATGTATAGAAAAGAGCCAATTATGGGTAAAACAACCACAGGTACCTAAGTGCAGCAAGATGTACCACCAATAAGAAATGTTCTATGAATGTACTGCTGCAATTAGAAATGATAACAACTACTGTATCAAGTTATGATAACCACAGTAAAGAAAAATATGTCTCTTTGGCATCCAAAGGTAAAACCCAGTGCACTTTAATGCACACTAGCTACATTAATGGCATCCTTCTGAAGGCTTGCATGCTAGTCACAATTCAGGTGATCGTAATTTCCTATAGATTTGAGTTGTTGATAATTTTCTATGTAGACTTGTCTACATGTGATTTTAAAAATGAATTTAAATGCAAGAAATGTTATGATCAAATACACATCTTATAGAAATGAAATAATATGAGCAAAAATATTGTACAATTTCTCTTCAAACATCATGCTGTTGTGTAAACAGTACAAAGAAACGTTATTCTAAATGCCAATTCTGATACCATTAATTGAACAGCAGACATTCAGCACCCAAAACATGTTTAAAAGTTTGTAAGTTTAAAAACACCCAAAGCCTACATTATCCAGCGAGTGTTTTAAGTCATTGTCAACAGTACTAGAGGTATTTCACAGTGGCATGGTTTGTTTTCCTATCCAAGTGCAACCAACTAGGAACAATGAAACATATTGTACGAGAAGAAAGAAGTTTCAATAATGTATTTACATTGTGACTTTTCCAGTAATGATTTACTTGTGTTGCCTTGATCATTGTCATGAAATGTCTCTGAATGACTTCAAGCACACAGCCATTTATTGGTTTTTGATCGATCTAATAACTTTACGGCTGATACCTTTCATAATCCCTTTCATGTTAGGTCATCTTGGAAAAAAAATGCAGTCATGCAGCCATTGTGAACACATTTCCATTTTCACAATTTGAGCAAATTCATTGATCATTAAAATGAATGATACGAAAGAGGTGAGGTGGGATGAAATGAGGTTGAATGTTGCTTTCCATATTATTGCACTTACGGTATATAGCAATGTGCATGCATGTGTTTGCATGGCTGCTTGTACTACTCCAGACTAATGCAGGTTTTATAGTGCTCGCACACTGAGATACCATGCAGCAGATTGAACATGAACTCCCCACTGACACATAGTATGGAGACTCCGACCTGACCATTTCTTGTTTTATCCCCTAATGTTGTGAAAGAGAGCCATGTGTAGTTCTTACATAGATCAATCAGTATTATGCAACTGATTTATGTTCACCACCAAATAATGATTTTTCTTCAACAAATTTAGCACAAAATGTTCATTCATTAGAGTTTTATTTCACATTGTTTCGATAGTCATTGATATACAAGCATCAGATACACTGACTAGAACAGTATGAAATTTAAGAAATAACAAGGTCTTAAATAATTCTGAAAATATGTATTTTACCAATATACATATGTACAATAATAACGTGACAATCATTCATATTTACAATATTTATATGATGCAACAACTATAACAACAAGTAGAAATTGTTTGCTAATGAAAATAAAGACAAACTGGCAAGATGCCAGTTCAAATAATACACGTAAACATAATCACTTGTGCAACATAAACCGCATCATTTGTTAAATGCCCAATTATTACTGAACAGAGTGGATAGCGAAAACATTGTCAAGCATCCACTGTAAGGACACAATGGCTCATAATTAATGTGCTAAACAGATTGGCTTGCCTGAGGGGAGTTTGAAAATAGTTAAAACTACCCTATGCACAACCTCTAGAGCATTTCCACCATTTGTGACATGAGTTCCATTCTGAGAGTTAAGTATGAATTATCTTTTCTAGTTTTGATTTTTTGCCAGCAAGATATTGCAACAATATTACCATATTTACTCATGCAATCTGATTTAACCTTGTTAAGAGAAGACTAAACTTTTGACTGAACCATGTGAAAGACTTAAGTACTGCACACATCAGGGGATAATAATTTGCACTAACCCTGGTCACTTTGTCTAATGATAGAAGTATCCCTATGTCAAGTAGAGTTGCAGGCATTCAGGGACAGTTCCTTGTTTCAGGTCAATTTCCACTGTTCTATATAAAGACAGTATGCTACAGTAGTAGCACATACAACCTGCTTGATTGGCAACAAATATACTACTTAAAAGAAGTTGAGGACCGCTCAATTCTTTCATATTACAGTTAATCTGTCATGCCATATAGTAATAGGAAAGAATCGGGTAGTCCTGAACTTATTTTGTGTAGCATATATGCATCTTCTATCTTAAGATGTAATTATCATGACAAAACCTTCACCAAGAGACACTGAAATAACAAGAATATTGCTTTTAAGAACATGCGTAACAGATGTTAGATGCCATGAATAAAATGCCCAAAAGGTTGAGATATTCATTGTGACATCCATTTTTGCATAATATTCAGCTAGCCTGCACAGATTAACATGTGCACTTTCAAGCTACCAAAATATATTTTGCAGCAGCTCTAAGGCTAGAAAATACAAACATCTTTCTCAAGTAATGACATGAAACATAGATGGGGACAGGCCAAAGTGTTAAAACCTCTACAACACAGAGAAGATACTTCCATACATTTTTCTTGCATTTTTATGCTGATGCAGAGACTATAAACATATTGTTATCAGTCAGAATAATAAAACTACAAAAACATTTGAAACTTAACCTCCCGGATGCCTTTTGTGTCTTGAACATTTGATTAAAAATTCTGTAAATGGTCATACACCACCTGCATCAATGAAATGAGATGTGGACAATTATATTTCGCATGATGTGAAACATATTCATGTCATGACTTGAAACCCATTGCACAGATAAAACTGATAAGGAAGATGGACAGTGACAAAAGCTATTAATAGTTTTCCACCTAAAAGTTTGCCATATAACTTAGTCCTGGCATTCCAACATTCATCTGATTCAGAGATACGACTCTCAGTATTGAATAAATGACAGAAATCATGAAAACTTTATCTTTGGCATGACATGTTTTTTAGGGCTTTGGAGGAAGACTTTGACAGTTCATTCTTTACATCAACGTGAAGAATGCCTAGAATAGACAAGCAGTGAGAGCAATTTATGTCCAAATAAATATCACCTTGTTAGCTTTGTTGGGATTAAAACTTCATTTAAGAGTTTCAAAATAGCTCATAATTAATGTGCTAAACAGATTTGCTTGCCTGAGGGGAGTTTGAAAATAGTTTAAACTACCCTATGCATAACCTCTAGAGCATTTTCACCATTTGTGACATGAGTTCCATTCTGAGAGTTAAGTATGAATTATCTTTTCGAGTTTTGATTTTTTGCCAGCAAGATATTGCAACAGTATTACCATATTTATTTCATTTCATTTCAAAATTATTTGTGTGCATATTTTATAAAGATATGCTCTGATGAACAATGTTCCAACAAGTCACAAGGTTGTCCAAATGTTTTGTATACTGTTATAACATGCAATATCACTGCATACACTACTTTGCAATAATTACACTTGAAGAAATGTCGGAGTTGTCAGCCAAATGACATTTTCAGCATGGCTTACAATTGGATAGGACTTCTGTGAGCAATGTTGAAAGATACTATCCACATGAGGTTCCAGCTTCATAGGCCTCATCAGTGTTAATATCACAGCAAGAGAGGATGCTATAATATAAGAAAGAGGGAGGGTCCACTTATGAATTGAAACTTCTTTTTGCTACTACCTTTATCAAGCGTAAGAGGCAACTATATGCTTGTCGTAAGAGGCGACAAACAGGATGGAGTGATCAGGCTCGCTGACTTGGCTGATGCATGTCATCATATCCCATTTGCTTGGATAGAAGCTCATGCTAGCAAGCACTAGATTGTGTGATCCAGACGTGATTATTTATAGAGCTGAGGCGTTAACAAACCTTTATCAAGCAAGTGACAGGTATCTGAACTGAAACATTTCATTTTAAGAATAAAAAAAGTTGACATCCATAAGTAAACTGGCTTCATCGATACTACAGCTTTTAAAATGCCACTTCAAGATATTGCCATTACTTAAACTCACTTGAACCATTCATTTCAGCATAAGCTCAAAAGTAATCTAAAAGTAAAAAATAGCATGATCAGATATTTACACAACAGGAAAGAAATAATGGCTGTACTCATTCATCTGACTCGTGCCTTGACAAAAGATAGTTTAACTTAAACATTTTATTATCTTCCTCCATGTCAGAATGTTGAAATCTGAATGTGTCACATGATCTTGATAAAATACTATGTATCCATGGGAGGGAAATATATTTTAGAGCAGGAGAATAAATCCCTTATACCTCGCCACAGAGAAAATAGGCTGCACATGGATTTCTGAGTGGGACAGTAGATCTCTTGCACCCTGCTACAAAGCAAAAAGCTGCATGTTTATGAGTTAAAGAAAATCATATGACACACCATAAGTTAACCTCAGGTCAATGAAACAGGTGTTTTCTACAAATTTTCAATTTCTGTAAAATACTTTTACAATGGCAGATTGAAACAGGCAAGATACATTCGTTGTAGCAGTATCACACAGGGTGTACAGGGTTTTATGCATCCCCTTAGCCTCTGGCTCGTGGCATAAAGTATAAAACCACATATCCCTTGTGATGCTTCTACAATTCATAATGACAAGCACAATAGCATGAGACAAAAGTGACCTACTTACAAGATCACCTCCTTATTGGACCCGTGAAGATCCAGGGTAGAATAGGTCTTCAGCAACCCATGCTTGCCGTAAAAAGTGAATAACAGGATCGGTCGGTCAGGCTCACTGACTTGGTTGATGCATGTCATCGATCCCAATTGCTTGGATCGATGCTCATGATATCAATCACTGGATTGTCTGGTTCAGACTCGATTATTTACAGACAGCCATCATATAGCTGGAATATTGCTGAGTGCGGCGTTAAACAACAAACAAACAAACCAATCATCTCCTTATTGGCACACCAAGACATTGACATTAATGAGAAAGGGTACAAAAGCTCACAGATGACTTGATGCTAGCAGTTGTACACAGGCTATTCAAAGAAGTATTTCATTAATTCAAGGATAGGTGAAAAAAATGCCATGAATTTCTTCTGGAGTATTTTCTCATTCATTTCAGAAATACTTGAATAATGGATGTCACAAAATTGTTATCTTTTTGACATATTTTGACTTAGATGGCCTTTCACAGTGCCACAAGTGAACTGAGTCTACTAGCTCCTATTCTGATTCGGCATTAATTCAGAAGATTCTACTCTGAACTTTTGTATGTACAGTAATGGACTTCAAGCAAAGCCATCTAGTCTGCCCTATACTTTGGACAAATGGCTAAAGTCACAGATAACTATTACTTGCATACAAATGTCTGTACAATGAAATCTACATGGCCATGACAGCACATCATAACATCATAACACTACGGACTAAAGAAACTATCTTTTACTACCTGAGACAGGTAAATATTAAAGATCTTGTCATTTTGAGGTAACCATTTGTGAATTGTACTCAAAGGCTGAATAAGTAAGAAGAGATTATGTCGATGTTGCACACATTCCTATCTTGATCATGATACGTCAAACAAATGGCAATACTGATGACAAGACCTGATTAAGGGTTATCACAGGAACCTCTTGACTGTCATTGTGAACAATGAAATACCTAACATTTTCTGAAGTAGATATGTTTTTTTGTGGCAGCTCAGGAGGGGCCCAGTCTCACATTTAACAAACAGGACATGGAAAGGTCCAAATATCTCGAAGTATATTTAACTGCTCCAGATAGATTGAAGTGAAAATGTTGATAAAAACTTCATGCCAAACTGGAACATGATCAAATGGGAAGAGCATATGATAATGTCATCACAAGTAGCTTCCTAAATCAATTGTCAAATAATCCTTGACTGAATTATCCCTTTCGAAAAGAACCTTCAACCCAAACGTGAAGGACAACCCACTGAGCATGCTGAGAAATGAAAAAAACAATGACATTGTACCCTTACAGAATAATGGAAACATTATGCCCTTTTTATATTGGATATGACAAAGTGGGCAAGACAAAGCCTGTATATACTGTTACTGAATGTCTCAACTTGCTGCTATTACAGTACACATCCATGTTTCACATGGTGCTGTGAATATTGGAATAAGCATAATCCTGATAATGTATCAAACAAGTGAAGCAAACAGGAATGTTGGGTGCTGTGAGGTAAATATTTACTGAGGAACTACTTACTGAGGTTCTCCGGATGTTGTACATGGAATAATAGTCATATTGGTGTACAGAATAGTTGCTTGCCCGATACCTGCTATACAAAATGTCAAACAATAATTGTGTGTCAGTTGTTGGACCTGGAAGTTAAAATCTTTATGCCTTAGCTTTACCTTCTAAAATAGCATACTGTATTCAACGTAATAAGTGCCCAGGGCACTCTCAAAATTAGAAATAGAGGGTGTTTATTGGAATATAATTTTGAAAAGAAAAAAAAACAGAATTGAAAGATCGTAAGGGGCGCTTATTGGGATTGTTCGCTTGACAATATATTAGCAAATATTGCCATGGGCGCTTATTACGTTGAATACGGTAGTTGTGTTATGTCAAATGCACACTAATGAGGGTGTCATGATACACCTACCTCATGTACCATGCTGTGACACCAGTCTTGATACTAAAATTGTGCTGTTCTTGTGTGAAATTGCCCAAGTAAAATGGGGCCCAGAAAGTGATGCTGTCAACCAGTTTGTGTCATACTCCTTTGGTTGGATAATCTAGGCTCGTCCTAACACAATTACGCAATTGGATTAAACATTTTGTTCAGTGATGAGAAAGTAAAGTAATGCTAGCCCAAGTGGACATCATGCCGGGTTTCTGAAAAACTTCATAAATATTTCTTTTTGAAAATCGACACAGAATTATAACATGAATTGGTACACTGGTAGGCATATCGTGTTTTGTATCATAAGATGTAATTTCGTGAATCGGTGAATCATGGCATCGCTACTTCTGATACAGCTTGGATCACTGAGAAAAACCTATAAATCAGAAATATTTTTGTTTTACATTTAGGTATCATGGTATTTTGTTTCAAAGTTCTTAAACAGACACACTAATCACTGTGGCTCGTGACATTTTGAAAGTATCTCTCACACTGATTCCCATATTGAGTGAAGAGGTCTCGTAAGTTTTCGATCTAAACAAAACTGTGACAACAGTATTTTATAGTCAACATTAACAGAACATGAACATTAAAATCCAAATGTCTTACAGTTGTTAAAAAAAGAAAGATAAACATCTGATACACACATGGTAGACGCTTCTAATACATACTACATGTATATCACAACATAAACTTGTGACAGACTGTAGCTCACATAGAAAATCATTACTGGCATATATACCTCATTAAAATCACATCTTTGTTTTTGCAACTGCTAAACAAAGATCTGAGGGCACCCCATTATGGGTCACGCCAGAAAGACCTTTCACAAACTTTGACCTACCAATGAAATGACTAACAGGAAGTCGGTATTAGTCAATCAGAAAACAGGTTTCTCAGGTACCCAGTTTCGACCTGGGTACTTTCCTTTCCAGACTAAACTTTGAAAATGTCGAATCAAAATTTGAAAAAAAGAATAAAAGAACATTCTGTGGAATGTCAAATAGACGGCCTTTACTGCATGGCAGTACTTCCCATTGGGCTATGTAAAGAGTCTTCCGTTCCAGTGCTTATCCCATTGTAGAGCCAAATAAACAATGATTTTTACGGATTCAGTTATACAGCCCGTCGTTCAGAATAACCCATATTAACCTTTCCGAGGTTGCATGATTAGAAAACACATTCCGACTGTCACTTTCCCGATTGGGTAAGTGACTTTCAGTTTGGTCGGATGAAAGGTCGTTCTGACATGACCTGTAATGGGATTTCCTCAGATCTTTGTTTAGCGGTAGCGAGAACTAAGATCTGATTTTCTTGAGATTGGCTGCATATACAGGTAGAAATCCAGATGATATATTTTGATAGGAACTAAAACAGTAATATTTTTATCAATAATCATGATATGTCATTAGTCTGCAGCCATACAAAAGGTCATATCATGTTTCCTGTGACTGTACTTAAACTTAACAGGCATTACCGTAAATCCTTGAATAAACGCTGGAATTGAATAAACAACCCTCTGCCTTGAATAAACATCCGGTCATATAATAATCTACAAAATTTAGTAACATAATGCTCCCTTTTTCCAGCAAATAATGTCTGCAAGGATCTATATCATATACTGTATGAGTTTGAGGTACAGAACATGAGAAAAAAACACAAGACTTTGATGTAAAAAATACCTTTCAGAAAAAATAAACGCCTGCCTTAAATAAACGCTGGGTCTCAGGACCTTCCGAAACAAATAAACACTGGGCGTTAATTCAAGGATTTACTGTACATGATCGTTCCTGAGTTAATGACATGATCATCTGTTTCAAGTATTTAAATTGTTTCCAAACAATGTATCTGAATATTATCTGTGTTGTATCAGTAATTGTATTAGATGGGTAAAGGCCATTATATGAAGATCATGACTTATGATCACTGACATTGTGAACAAGTTGAATAAGCACATCAATTATTCTCATTTACAGTTACATAACTTTGCCATTTGTCACATCCATTGTCCTCATATATACGTATAAATATTGCTACATAAGTGAGGTGATCAGTTGAATTGTGTAAGTCATAGTTCCTATACATGTATCAGTCTATACCAATTCATACTACTGGCGATATGACATATTGCACTCACTGTTGCTCCCAGGGTTTGGGCACTGCAATGCCACAAGACACATGTTGCTTTCACTCCCATCCAGTCCTGATCAGATATAACACATCCCATGTTGTGAACATAGTAATTTTACAAATGTTTACATCCTTGATAGTTTTTTCTTTCAACTGCATCAGCGCCATTCAAAGTTTTGATTTTCGAGCTAATTATTTACTAATAGTTCCATTCAGATAGCACTTATATATCAAGATTTTTCACATAAACAAATAACATGTTATGTCTAAAAATATTTGACTTTTTATCACCGTATTTTAACATGGCAAGTTTGTTTGAGATTGCCAGGTACAGGTTATCTCTCCTGTATCACAGTGGTCTATTTCCCCACGTCTTGGATCTGTCGTGAAACTGCCCCCCCCCCCCCCCCCCAGAACAGATCCAATTCATCTGAAGGTGTTTTGTGTTGAGTTGTGTAACAAATTGCAGTGAGACATGGACACAATCACAAGGTACACATCACAGGCACATATCACGCACTGATCCCGGGGTGATTGTTCATAGGGGAGCCGATTGGAGACGTCCGCGTAGGGGAGGACGGACGCGAACTGTCTTTCAGATTTGCATAGAGACCTTCGATGATCGGCCGCACTTCTGACCATACTGCTGCAAGCTGGAGATAAATGATAAATGTAAGGATTTGTTTCCAACAATGAGTTAACACATCATTGATAAACAGTGAAAACTGCATTGTACATGAAGGGGAACCAACAGGAAAAAGCATTAAATCAATTTCATGTGTATCACAAAGTCAATGAAAAGAAAGAAAGAAATTATGATAGAACCTTTCTCCGGGTAATAAATAACCAATATCAACTTCCGGTTAAGAAATAAAGAATATCAACTTCTCTGACACTCCACTCCAGTTACTCTCATGGTTATAACTTTAAAAATCTGAGTGAGTGAGTGAGTGAGTGAGTGAGTGAGTGAGTGAGTGAGTGAGTGAGTGAGTGAGTGAGTGAGTGAGTGAGTGAGTGAGTTTATTCCACCACCTCCACTTTAATGAGAAAGTTGGATTATATTCTGTCTCTTATTTATATCTCTAAGTGGGTGAGTGAGTGAGAGTATGAGTTAGTGAGTGATGCTTTGACCACTAGGCTACCCCACTGCCTCTAATGATTCCTTGCCCCAAGATGCTCCTGGTGTTGAGTCTCTGCACTGCCTAATAGAAAGCAATGTGTGACAAAAACTTCATTCATCCAATACACAATCCCTACCTCAGCATGTGCTTTAGCCTCAACATCTGTCATGGACTGCAAGGTCTCATAGAAGATGTCGAGGTTTGCATGTATGAGTTGCGTCTCCATCTGCAGACAGTGGAGCGAGTAATAGTTCCGGTTCTCCATGTTGGCAATCTGACCTTCTTGCTGTCAATGCAGAAAAAAACACTTTGTCTATAGAGCAAAATTCTTTTGAGAAAAGATGAGATGAATTGGATTTTAACATCACGTTCAAAATTATTTCAATTATACAGCCATGTGTGGTGTGTGTGTGTTTGTCTGTACTAGTCTGGGAATAAAAGCTGGTTTTATAGTGCAAGCCCTGAGATACCATGCTGCAGTTTAACTTGGACACCCCACTCACAGTATTCTCCGAGCCCACCAGTCCATCTTTTAGCCCCTTAATGCCAACAACCAGGCAGGGTAAGAACAAGTACCATCTTTTATGTCTTGTATGGTATGGCCAGGGGATCAAATCACAAACCTTCTGCTCTCCAAGCAGATGCTCTGTCCACAAGACCATGGATACAGTAACTATAAATCGTATGAAGGTAGTGCACATGCACTGTATATAGGAGTAATACAGTCATTACAGTGACACCAGGAATGGGCTTCATGAATTGTAAATCAACGTGGACCTGTGACCATACACAATAACTACTGACCTAGCCTGTACTCCCAAAATTTGGTTTGAATAACACTTCATTCTCACATCATGACGTAACAGTGTCAAGGCTGTAAGAGTTTGTTTATTTGTTGTTTAATGCCTCACTCAGCTTTATTCCAGCTATAGAATGGCCGTCTGTAAATAATCGAGTCTGGACCAGACAATCCAGTGATTGACATCATGAGCATCGATCTACACAATTGGGATACGATGACATACGTCAAGCATTGGTTGCTGAAGACCTATTCTACCCCGGATCTTGATGGGTCGGCTGTAAGAGAAATTGTAAATCACACAAATTGTTGAAAATACTATTGAACATGTTGAAAGAAATGTTGTTCAATAGAAATGAGAGTCCTTCTAGTGTCAAAGTAATCCCATATTGATTGAAGACCTTTGAGTAAGCAGTACTTCATACAAACCTCTAAGATCTTCTGCTCTAACTGTTCTACAGCTCCTGTCTGAAACATATTCAAAACAGTTAATGAGGTATTTTAATGAAAACCAAAACAAGAAGTTGTGATGTTATGATGGGATCTGTACAGAGAATAGATTTCCAGGTTTCCATTGAGTGAGTGAATGTTGTTTTACACCACAGTCAGCAATGCCCCAGTTTCTGCATGTAAATAACGACCAGCATAACCAGTGGTTGAAAGAATAATTGACAATCCACATATATGGGGCAAAATGACACACTGTACTCACACATTGTAATTATCTGATTCTCATTAGTTGACTTTCATAAAAGGCATGCAGTATTGGGACCTACTCTGCCCCAGAATCCCCATGGGGTATCCATCTTACCAACCCACCTCTGGTCCCTGAACGGTAGCAGACATCTTCTTCTTTTTGTACTGCCCCATCTTCTGGATGGCTCTCTGGTGGTCATTGAGTACACCCTTCTCATGTCGCTCACATAGGTCCTGCATAGCACAGAAACAGTGAGTGAGTGAGTGAGTGAGTGAGTGTGAGTGAGTGAGTGAGTGAGTGAGTGAGTGAGTGAGCGGGAAACAAATGCTGTGTCCAATATGTTACTCCACTACCTCAACTTTAGTGAGAGAGTTATCATCTTCATATTCTGTATCTTAGTCAGATCTCTTAGCTTACTCAGGGGAAAAACTCAATGTGATGCAGGATTCTTACCATTTTCCTGAAATCCATGAGCAGGGTATGGTGCTTAAAAATCATAAGGAGGATAATCTGGAATTTCAATCAAGGGGTGCAGCAATGCTAAGAGAATTGCAGCACCCACCTCAGGGGATTGCACCACCTGTATCCACTGTCATCTCATGGTTAGAGAGCTGGGTACTTAGTGCACAAGCCCTTAGGTCTAGATTTGATAGTTTTTTGGTTCATTAATGCCACACACAGCAACATTCCAGCTTTTCCATGGCAGACAATCCAGCGATCAATATTGTGAGAAGCGATCCACACTTTCAGGGTATGATGACAATCAACCAAGATAAAGAGCCTAACCACCCAGTTCATTTGGTTGCCTATAATGACCAGCATTGGTTGCTGGGGACTTATTCTAACCTGGCATCCCCACAGGGGCAAAAGGTCTAGTGACCACTTTAGATAACAATAATAACAACAATGTGTGAAACAAATAATCCATCTGACTTGGTCAACAGTGTTTCGTCATTATCTAGTGTTAAATATGAGTCAACATACCCGATATGCTGTCAATAGGTCCATGAAGAGAGAAAGTTTTTCTACCACGCCTTCTTCCTCATCAACAGCCTGGAAACAATGGTTAAAGTACAATGGTACTACAGTATGTTGATTGTGATTGATGTGCTTTTCCTCAGGGCAGAGTGTACAATGCATGGTACAGCCTCAGTAGGCTATTATTGCCTAGACTGTAGGGAAAACAGTTTACAATAACGTCACAATGCCCTATGACATGATTTGTGGAATTTTGTTGCAAGATCCACCAGCAAAACAATGACATGTGATGCCAGCCTAGTAACAGGGTTGCTGGGGTCATCCAGTGTGCATGATTGGTTGGTTTGTTGATTAATGCCGCACTCAGCAATATTCCAGCTATATGATGGCGGTCTGTAAATAATCGAGTCTGGACCAGACAATCCAGTGATTGATATCATGAGCATCGCTCCACGCAGTTGGGATCGATGACATGCATCAACCAAGTCAAAAAGCCTGATCACCCGATCCTTTTATTCGCCTCTTACGACAAGCATAGTCGCCTTTTACGGCAAGCACTGAGTGTGCATGAGCTCCTTTCAGTGATCTATCATCTCTGCAGGCAATGTCATTGAAAAGACCAGGGATGTTGAGTTTTCAATATTTGTTAGTGAAACTTGTTTCCGCAGTACATAAGCACACGCTTTTGTATTACACAATGTGTAAGACAGCTGTATATTTATTAAACAGGTGATCTCTTCACGGGTGAGTAATAAAATAGCCTGTCATGTTCTGTTATGTTGTGATTAATCATCAAAAATGAATAATGAGTTTATATTAATAATTCATGAGTGGTTTCATAAAAATACGACATTTGTTTTTCTCCTGTAATACAGTAAACAAACTAAATTTAGTGGTCCCTTTGAGTATGTTATAACCATAGTTTACTGCATTGCAAATACTATCCTGTATCAAGGATACACAATGAATCTTTACATCTTATCCATCATATTATTAAATAGATTCTTTCACATTTCAGCACCAATGACATACTGAGCACCTTCAGCATTCTAACAGTAGACTGCCATTAGTATGGCAGCCTTCTACATGGATAATGGGAGCTTACCTTTACTGTTGCCTTGTCAGACAGTGACGCATATTCTACAGACAGGTGTTTAAATCCCTTCTTGAGATGGTGCCAGGTATCATTGTTGCCCGTAGCCCATGCAGTCACAGGTGTAGCATCATTGCTGAGCGAGCTGAGGAACAACATGACACAATTAGCATAGCACTGACTCGATGAGGGAGTTAATGTCAGTCAACTGCTACTGAACATGCTGAACAACACGACACAATTAGCATAGCACTGACTCGATGAGGGAGTTAATGTCAGTCTACCGCTACTGCTAAACACAGATCCGAGGACATCCCATAACTGGTCACGTCAGAATGATATTTCATGTGACCAATCAGAGCATTGCTTACCAGATCAGGAAAGTGACAATCGGAATGTGTTTTCCAATCATGGAATCTTGATAAGGTTAACATGGGGTATTCTGAACAACAGTGAGGGGCTGTTCGACTGAATCCCTCAAAATCATCGTCTATCTCTGACTTCAATGGGATAAACTTCTGAACGGCCTGTGGGAAGTACTGCCATACAATCCTGGCTATCTATTAAACATTCCAGAATGTTTTCTTTTCAGTTTTCAAATTTTGAATCGAGAACTTTGTCAAAATATTTTTCAAAGCGTTGTCTGGAATGAAAGTTGCCAGTTTGATACTAGTGCATAATTCTTAGTACATTTTAGTGTTACCAGATGAAATTTCATTAGCTGATCTTACTAGACAGAAGAACATTTTACTAGACTCGTGCTTCTGACCAGTGGCTACAGTTGCAGACATGAAAATGATGCCAAGAGCAGGGTATGAAACTCCCAAAAATTTCAGCCAGACCACAGGACTGGCTAGCTGAAATACTTGCCAGCCCTGACCAAAACCTGCCTGCCCACTATAATCATATGTTTCTCAGGATAAGCTAACGGGATTTCTTTTTGGTCACATTTTATCATTCAACTTTACATGTGAATTAATGATTATCATCGGGAAATATTTAGAATATTGTCACATATGAAATATAACCCGACCGTCCGGCAGGGGTTTTTGAAAATCTGCCAGCCCGAGTTGAAATCAACCCGTCTCGGACGGTCGGGCAGGCAGGTATTTCGAACACTGCCAAGAGGATGTAAACTGTTTACAAAGCAAGTTGTTACCAACCAAACATACATGAAATGAAACTAGGTGTTACCTCAATTCCCTGCCAAACTGCAGCATGTCTGAAGCAAACTCTGCCGACCGCTGAACCATCCTCTCTCCAATGTCCTTCATCTTGGCCACACTGCTGAACAGCAGGCGGATGTGCTCCTTGCTGTTGGACAGTTGAACTTGTGTGTCCATTGGAACCATGTCCTACACACATGTGCCTGATTAACTCACATCTATAGCCACACACTAAAGGTCGTCACATTCCTGTGAGTGAGTAAGTTGGGTTTAACCCCGCTTTGAACAGTATAACTATATTCCAGTTATATCACTGCATGTCAGCTTAATGTGGGAGGAAAGCCTAAAATAGTGCAGGTCTAAAAAATTTACCACTTTGGTGCAACCCATGAGCACAGGAATTTGTTCTGACAAACCAAAAACATAATCAGGACGACTAAGATTCACACCCACAATCATAGGTTTCTGCACGCTCAAGGGAAGCAGCTCTGCACCGTGAATTGGGGCGTCTTTACATGACTGGGTCATATAATTTCATTGCTAAAATAACTCTGAAGGGCATGTTTAATTCCCATTATTGTCTAAAACCACCACAATATAACCATCACAAAAATCACGTTCTCAGTGTCCGAGTTCGTTAATCACAGCAGCGAACACTAATGCCAACTCAGGCTCTATCCTAGTTACCTTTGCTTTACTTGCAAGGTTACTCGTCATAAACTCATCCGGAATTCCACGAAAATGTTCCTTGATTTTATGTTGTGTGTCCTATAAAAAATGAAAGTTAATATTAATTTCAATTCAAGTCTTACATGTGAATTTGGATATTTGATAAATTGGAACGGATGCCCTGGATATAGAAGAGGCATGTTTGGGGGTCTGTGATATATATGATTGAAGTAAAGAAGTAAATTGCAACATGTGGTGTCAGTATAAGTAATAATTCCACATGTTCTCTTACAGAGATTCTGATGCTATCATCGTAATCCAACATTCAGAGTATAATGATCCCTTTATCATAAGCAATATGTACTACAATACTTCTTCATCATAGTTGTTATTGGATTTCATGGTTGAACTATGTCAGGAATAAAACACAAACTGTTCTATTGATCTTATGTTTGATGGCACAACAAACCTTGAACAACACAATCTAGTTGCACAATATAGCTGCTTTATTAAACTAGCAGCCATCTGAACATTAAATTCAGAAAAATATAATTTCACTCACTGTTCCATTGAATGTAAGGAAGAACTTGGTAAGTTTGTCATCATGCATGTGGGGATGTCGAGACACGATGTTCAGGAATCTCCGCAGGCACTTTCTTCGGTGTTCAATAAACTCTCTATTTGCTAAAAATCAAAACCAAAATGAGTGATTGAGTGAGTATGGTTTATCACGACAGGGGACACCAGAAATGGGCTTCACACATTGTACCCATGTCTGGAATCGAACCCGGGTCTTCGGCGTGACGAGTGAACGTCACTAGGCTAACTGACCGCCCCTAAAACAAAAATGCCCAACATTGTTCCAAGCTTGAAGGTTGATATTTTCTTGTGTGAAAAATGGTTTTATTTGAGTTTGCTGTAACAATTTATGATAAAACAAGAAATCTGGATTAATGTACCTCCCATCATCTTCTTTGGTGGCAGGCGTGGTACAAGGCGATATGGAAACCGTAGCATGAGAAGCTCATGGTATGCCAGAAAGTCATTATAGCGACGTAGCACTGTTGTCTTGTAGCGCTGCAACAATAACAAACATAACATGAAGGTTCTACATTGCATTCTTCACTTTTGCAACCAATATGGCAAGCATTGAATACAACTAGAAACAAGTAACAGAAATAGCCCTATCCCCACCATTTCCTGAAGCCTTCCCACCTGAAACATGTACAGTATCATAAGCCATTCTGACTTCACCAACTCAGGTGACAGCTCATCTTACCAGCATCTATCTGCGTTAACCTTTGATCCCTAATGTTGTGAAATGCTGTACAACTTAGTCCTGTGTGTCTACTTACCCTACATCAAGCACTTCAGGTTTAAATATTTAGTTCTAGAAATTGGTACTAGTCCTGTAGTCCTTGCCAAACTTAGCAATAGTTTACGTACATGGGTATCATGAGGACAAGTAGAAATGTGGCATTTTTTAAGGGTTTTGTTTTATGTTATCATTATAAGGACTAATGGACTGAAAGGGTTAGTTTCTACCACAGATATCTCATCTTTGGCTTGGAAAAACATGTCAAGTGCAGGACAATTTTAAACAGAAAATCCCATATCTGTAGCTACATTAATTAAAAAAAAGTCATATGCATTTCTGGTTTAATCATATCACTTCTGATTTAGAAAATTCACATGTCTAACGAAAGGCAACTTTACAACAGAAAGTCCCTCAATAAGCATCCGCAATAAGAAAGTTATATACACCAGTTTAATCACATGCTTGATCATTTCAAGTTGAAAACATGGGTATAAGCTCTCAAAGACATGTCATATAAACATAGGGTTCAGTTGGTTCAGTACATAAAGCAGCAACACTACTTTAACAATGACCACTCCTAATATACTTTTTCATGTCATGTCATTACAGATTAACTGTAGTAATATGAAAGAATCGGGTGGTCCTTGACTATTTCTGACTAATCCGAATTGAGCTGTGGATGAGTTAGTTAAGATTTATAGTCACATCGGCAGTATTTCAGCCATAATGGGACTACAACAATGTAAACATACATACGAAATGGATGAGTTGGATGTGACCAAAAGTGGCTACCCCTGAATATGTTGTACAAACATGACCTAAATTATACAGGGTTTGACATGGTGACTACAAGTCCTGGATACACAAATGGTACTTCGTTGACTAAATGGATTAAGCTCATGTGGACTACATTATGTTCTCTATTGCCATGTCCACCAACGCCTCACTGGACCGACCCGTGAAGATTCCGGGGTAGAATTGGTCTTCAGCAACCCATGCTTGCCGTAAAAGGTGACTATGCTTGTGGTAAAAGGCGACCAACGGGATCGGGTGGTCAGGCTCACTGACTTGGTTGATGCATGTCATCGATTCCAATTGCGTGGATCGATGCTCATGATATTAATCACTGGATTGTCTGGTCCAGACTCGATTATTTACAGACCTCCATCATATAGCTGGAATATTGCTGAGTGCGGCGTTAAACCAACCAACCAACCAACCTCAGTGGACATGATGCATGGTCATCACCTACATTACCTCAAAGAAAAATACAATGCTACTGCTAAAACAAATAATAGTCTTGGTTCTCGCTTCATCATAAAGTCTGTCACACGTTTTGTTTTTATTTCCATTTTCTCCCCAAAATTTAAAATCCTAATACTTAAAAAACATGTGATCCAATATAGCATGCAGTTACTTTCCTTTCAATGCGTACTGCTTCGCTGTGTAATTGTCATGGCAGCAAAGTGTTTGTATGCTTGTTTAGTAGGGTGGCCCTTTCCCAGGTTGATGGTACACAACTGTTTATTTGGTTACATATTTGTTTGAACAAGCCCAAAAAAAGTACAAGCCAAAAAAAAACAAAAAAACACTATATTTTCAAAAGTCATTGCCTGAGAACCAGTTCTTTTATTTTCTAAAGCTAATGTTGTTCATGTATAAAAGTCAAGTATAGACATGGGATGGATTGTAATCGGCTACAACAAAATAATACTCTCCTCTTATCATGCTTATATTGAATACACTGACATGGGACATTCTGTCCCTTTCAAAGTCAAGGTCATGTCTTTAGTTCAGTGTGCTAACTATTGCTGACAGATGAAAAGATAGATACACAGACTAAAACCCTGATCTCTGACTGTACATCATAAACCATTGAATTGGAAACATGCCATACAAAAAATAACATGAATACTTGGCAAATAATTTTTCTTCTTCAAATATAATTTTACAGTTTCACCGAAATTTTGGTGGACCACAAATATCAGTTATTTTGAAAACTATGTTCATTGGACCCACACAAAAGTATTTTCCTTAAGCCTTCTTACAGCTGAGAACAAATATACCGGTGTGTGTACAATGAAGCTGTAAAGTAAACATGTAACAGTATAATCTGTTGTAATCTGATAGTACCGGAAGTTGTCAACATGACAATACATAAGCTGCTTACTAGGACTGCATGAGGACACACTGATGCTGTACATAGCATAATCCCCCAGATACATTGATCCTTATTGTAACTTTACATGATCGACAGGAGTAGGGTCCATAATTGTTTTTTACTTTTTGTGATTGCATTTAATCCCTGTTGTTTTTTTATACAGTGTTTGATAGTCACAAATGTAAAGTTTCAGATTCCTGTGGTTTAGAGCATCATATTTTGACTCCTATATATCTGTACTGTGTTTCACTGGACCTCTTTTGTAGTCTATCTCTTTCTAATATTGGTGTTACAAGTCCCAACACCATAACTGTGGTGGGAAAGTCAAGGACAACATAAATCCTGCTTGAGTGAGTGAGTGACTCTCTGCTGGTCATTGAGAACACACCCTCTCATGTCGCTCTCAAAGGTCCTGCATAGCACAGAAACAGTGAGTGAGTGAGTGAGTGAGTGATTGACTGAGTAAGTCATGTTGCCCTGAAAGGCACAGAAACAGTGAATGAGTGTGTGATTGACTGAGTAAGTCATGTTGCTCTCAAAGGCACAGAAACAGTGAGTGAGTGTGTATGAGTGAGTGAGTGACCTTAAGTGACTGAGAGCTGAGTGAGTAAGTGAGTGACTGACAGAGTGATTGAGTGACTACTTTAGTGAGTTAGTGATTGAGTGACTGAGTGACTGAGTGACCAAGTGAGTAACAAAGTGAGTGTCTGAGTGAGTGACTGACAGAGTTAGTGATTGAGTAAGTTAGTGATTGAGTGACTGAGTGAGTGACTAAGTTAGTAAGTGACTGAGTGAGTGACAAAGTGAGTAACTGAGTGAGTGACTTAGTGTGTGAGTGAGTGACTAAGTTAGTGAGTGAGTGAGTGACCAAGTGAGTAACTAAGTGAGTGACTAAGTTAGTGAGTTAGTGATTGAGTGAGTGAGTGAGTGACTAAGTTAGTGATTGAGTGAGTGAGTGAGTGAGTAACTAAGTGAGTGACTGAGTGAGTGAGTTAGTGATTGAGTGAGTGAGTGAGTGACTAAGTTAGTGAGTGGTGAGTGAGTGAGTGACAAAGTGATTGAGTGAGTGTGTAACTGAGTGAGTGACTTAGTGTGTGAGTGAGTGACTAAGTTAGTGAGTGAGTGAGTGACCAAGTGAGTAACTAAGTGAGTGACTAAGTTAGTGAGTGAGTGACTAAGTTAGTAATTGAGTGACTGAGTGAGTGACCAAGTGAGTAACTGAGTGAGTGAGTTAGTGATTGAGTGACTGAGTGAGTGACTGACTAAGTTAGTGAGTTAGTGAGTGAGTGACGGAGTGAGTGACCAAGTGAGTAACTAAGTGACTGAGTGATTGAGTGAGTGTGTAACTGAGTGAGTGAGTGAGTGACTAAGTGAGTGAGTGAGTGAGTGACTAAGTGAGTGAGTGAGTAATTAAGTCAGTGACTGAGTGAGTGACCAAGTGAGTAACTAAGTGAGTGATTGAGTGAGTGAGTAACTAAGTGAGTAACTGAGTTAGTGATTGAGTGACTGAGTGAGTGAGTGAGTTAGTGAGTGAGTAACTACGTGAGTGACTAAATTAGTGAGTGACTAAGTGAGTGAGTGAGTGAGAGAGAGAGGTTGGTTTAACATAGTTTGAGTATTATCATAGTGTTTCAGTCTTATCACCTCACATGAGCTTACTGTGGCAGGAAAGCCCAATGTGTTATTTTCTTTCTGCAGTCAGTAAAGTGCCAGTAATAAATAATTAAATCTGGACCAAACAAACCCAAGTTTAAAGTTATGACAATGAGCAATGACCCACGCACAAAGACATGCAATCAATTAGTTCACTGAGCCTGACCAAACGTTCGACCTAGTCACCAATTACAACTAACATAAGTTACTGGTCACCTATGCAGGTGTACACAGTTACTTTGGTGGAACTCATGAGTGTGATCCTGAAGGGCAAGGGTATAAGTGTGGCCGAAACTTGCACCCATTATCAGCATCTCCTGGAACATCTAAGGACACAAATCTGCACAGCTGATAATACACCACCTGTGAGGTGAGGTGAAATGGGGTTTAACGTCACGACGTGCATGTACATGTGTGTGTTTGTGTGGCTGCTTGTACTAGTCCAGACTGATGCCAATTTATAGTGCTAGCTCACTGAGATACCATGCCGCAGTTTAACATGAATACCCCACTCAGACACAGTATACTGACTCCAGCCGACCGGTCCTTGTTTTAGCCCCTTAATGCCAAAACACCAGACAGGGAAACAACAAGTACCATCTTTTAACGTCTTTTGGTATGACACGGTCGGGGATCGAACCCCGGACTTTCCGCTCTCCGGGCGGACGCTCTACCACTAGACCACGGAGGCGGTCTAGACCACCTGTGAATAATCACAGACGAATAAGCTTGATACAAGAAACGGACAGTGCTTACCTGACTCGTCACCTCATACTCCACGTGCTTGAGGATGAGGCCTTTCTTCTCTGGAACTAGCTCCACCTTCACGATGTCAAGGTTACACAATTCATTGTAGTTGAAGCCAAGCACATTTGGATTCCTTTCTCGTCGCATCTTTACACTCATAGCTTTCAGGTCAGACAGGTCACCAAGGGTCGGCTTAGGTAACTCTGCAGGAACAAATAATACTGCTATGACAAGGTAACTAAGGACAATACCCTGAAGTCACAATATGTAAGTAAGTGCTGAAGGTTTTCAAGATCCAATAAAAAAACCCGTCGAATCGGCATTTCCTCAAGCTGTGTGTAAAAGCACTGATCTATTTTTATTAAATGTCTTATAACAGTGTGTATGAGGAAGTAAGCTGACTATGAACATTATCCTTATAGCTCTTAGCACCTAGTTCAGAAAAATGTGAAAATACAAGCATGTAGCTTTTAGGTATGTCTAAAATGCAATCTGCAACTTCAAGCCCCTTGTCTAGCATAATAGTCTTTTAATTAATGTTAGTTTTTGTGTCAATATATATTTTCTGTCATACAATTGGTATAAACTGTCATAGAGGACATGGTGATAACTTCTGAATCTGGCTTGTTCTATCTTTATCATGTGACAATTTTCGTATTTGATTGCATATTAATGCAACACCAAAGACAGGTGATGGGGAAAAGATGTATAAAGGTGTAATTAACTATGGTATGAAATAGATCAAAGGGAACAACAGGACAAACAAATATGGTAGGAATTTGTACACATTCCATTATATCAAAATCTAATACCTTGTCCTGAGAAGGTGTCAAGAAACTTCTCATTAATTGCCTTTCCCTGCTGTGCCAGAGCTGTGAGCGCCAGAGCTTTGTACAGGCCATTCCGAGTGAGTGAACCTTGGTTGCTGTCTACAACATCCCATATCTGAAATAAAACACAACCACTGCAATGCAAACTTGAATGTGAGAGTGACAGGTTTTGAAAAAATTGGCAATCCTTCAGCTATGTTACCATGGTAACAGTATCCTATATTGGTGTAATTGGTCCTGAGAAATAATACCGAGGGGATGGTTACCCTAAAATGGCAAATTACTACTGGACCTTCTGACACCTTACCTATTGGGCAAATTGGCAAGGACTATAGGACCAGTGCCAATTTCTGCCGCTGGAGTGGTGCTTTTGTTGTAAACAAGTGATCAGTACTTCCATAAACCTAAACTTGATTTGTGACCGGTCCATTGCAGAGATAAAACTGCAACAACTACATGGTCACTTGAGAAAGTCAGCAGGGAAGAGGAAATACACTACTCTCCATGACTATCCCTGTCTTCTCAGCTCAACCATGCTCCCGTGGTGCTGGTTTACAAGATGCTTACTGAGTGAGTGAGTGAGTATGGTTTTACGCTGCTTTTAGCAAATCTTTTTTTTTGTATCACTACCTCGACATTTCCCTCATGTTACTTGTATGTCAATCAGCTTAACTCATGTGGATGTTACTTGTATGTCAATCAGCTTAACTCATGTGGATGTTACTTGTATGTCAATCAGCTTAACTCATGTGGATGTTACTTGTATGTCAATCAGCTTAACTCATGTGGATGTTACTTGTATGTCAATCAGCTTAACTCATGTGGATGTTACTTGTATGTCAATTAGCATAACTCATGTGGATGTTACTTGTATGTCAATCAGCTTAACTCATGTGGATGTTACTTGTATGTCAATCAGCTTAACTCATGTGGATGTTACTTGTATGTCAATCAGCTTAACTCATGTGGATGTTACTTGTATGTCAATCAGCTTAACTCATGTGGATGTTATTTGTATGTCAATCAGCTTAACTCATGTGGATGTTACTTGTATGTCAATCAGCATAACTCATGTGGATGTTACTTGTATGTCAATCAGCTTAACTCATGTGGATGTTACTTGTATGTCAATCAGCTTAACTCATGTGGATGTTACTTGTATGTCAATCAGCTTAACTCATGTGGATGTTACTTGTATGTCAATCAGCTTAACTCATGTGGATGTTACTTGTATGTCAATCAGCTTAACTCATGTGGATGTTACTTGTATGTCAATCAGCTTAACTCATGTGGATGTTACTTGTATGTCAATCAGCTTAACTCATGTGGATGTTACTTGTATGTCAATCAGCTTAACTCATGTGGATGTTACTTGTATGTCAATAAGCATAACTCATGTGGATCTCAGGGTGAAAATATGAGACGACACTTCTCGCGGGCCGGGTATTTAATCTGGTATTTCCCCATGATGTTAGGGAGTAGTAATACGTGAACTCACTATCAGTAACAATTAAAAAAAATTAAAAATTATACTCTCTACTTCATTACACACAGTGGCGACAAGAAAGAGAATGATGTGGCATTGGGTGACCAAACCGCTAAGGTCACGGTGCACAGGGTTTGTAAATGTGTGACCCAATTGTTTGGGTGATGGCTATGGTGATGTGAGGGGTTATCGGGCAAAATAGTTTTAGAAGCTGTTTAACCAAAAGTCGAAAATACAACTTTCATTCCATCTTTTTCCAAGAAGGAAATTTGCATGTAAGGCACACATATATCTGTTTAATTTGGCAATATCATGAAATGATCTTGCACTTTTATTTCTATGCAGGCTACCCCAATCAAAGACTTAGAGCAGAGACGGGTATTACAGATGGTGTTGCATTAACCAATGGATTTATAAATCTCATCTAAATCACGTCTAAACATACACATTTACCAACATAAATAAGCATGTCAATAGTTTGTGTGAGTCCTCTTCCGGAATGAACAATTGATTGTCAAAAATTATGTACTATCAATCCTTAACAATCAATGTGCGATACGGCCTCTTTGAACTCTAAACAACTAAGCGATATCTATATTAATGACCTACATGGCCTCTAAGCCAATCATATCTTGCTGAAGTTAGGTTTCCACCAGATATTTATAGACTAGCCACCCGTGGACTCGATGACATATTTCTGTTCCACAATGCAGTCTTCCCGCCACATTGGTGGTCATTATAGTCAGTCAGTATCAGTACCGGCCTCCACTTGCAAGGTGAGTGTGGCATTTACTGATAACACAACCACTGACAGTCCTAGTTGTATATGCAAATATTCAGTGACTTGAAACAACTGAGATTTATGTTTCTCTTACTTAAAATTAACTTATCTGAGATGTATATACACGTAATATACATCTGCAATATATACAAAATTAGCACTAAATAATATAGAATGCAAAATACACAAGAAAGATGAGTCCACTCGATTTACAATTGGATGAAATTATTCACATACATAAAGTAAAGTGCTAGTATGAATAAATTGAAATAACAAAATGAAATATTACTGGATCTAGTATACCTATATATGTAAAAAAAACAATATATATTGTAACATGTAAAGTATTTTGACATTTATTCTTGGTGCCATTTTACAAAGAGTTACATGTTGTTGATTTCATGTAAATGAATTAAATCTTTTTACTGGACTTGATCTGTTTTCTTTCATAAATGAGTATATTAAAATATATATTTCTGCTGAACAGTACCTGTGGTATTCAGGTTCCTGCATCTGCACTGTCTCTTGTGCAATATATATTGTGTGAGATTTAACGCTGTTATGAACAGTATTTCTTTGATATCAGGAATGGAGAGTTTTCAGGTAGCTAAAGTACAAATGATGTGGGAATAATCGCAGTATACTTAATTGTTCATCACTGGGAAAATACAAATATGCCTGTGTGCGTATCTAAACATTTCTGTTGTAATCTTAAGGAATTTTTAAACAAGCTATAATCCGTCGACGTATTCCAGTCGCATGACCACATTGATATTATTATTGGTCTTACACGGTTGTGATTTCATAAGTATATTTAGCACTACCCATAGGTACTTTTTACTTATAAAGTTTGAGTTCAATTCATATTATCGGTAATTGCCGACCAAAGTCATCGGCAGATTCACCCTTCATCAGTAAATGACCAACTTACGGGTTTGTGTTTGAGTGCCGTATTACGGCCATATTATATATTGAGGTAATATCCTGAAATCACATTTGGAAACACATCTTCTTATTTGCATAGGGTTTCCCCTTTACCGTATCAGTAATACCTGCCTCTGCACTATGATATAACTGCATTATGCAAAATAAAAAAACAACTGAAACACTGAAATAGATTCCCTGTTATGACACAACACCACAGTGATAACATAAATACCATAACTGTCACCTCATTGCAACATATGAAATGCGCATTTGACATTAAAATCACAAACAGGAAAATTGTCATTTAAATCTTGATGCAAGACCAGAGTTCTCTGTGGAAACGCCCACTTTTAAGTGAAAGGGGATCTTATAAACGACAACCCAGTTGACAGGCCGCCATTACTTTTGACAGCTGCATAATGCAATAAATACAATCGAAATCTGTTTCGTCACATAAGTATGTATCAATTGCACAACAAAATACACACCTGCATAATTGTTTGTTTGGGCAAACTGGATTTCACCATCATTTGCACGAATAGTTCGCGGTCGACATGTTCTTGATTTGGACAGACGATCTCATAAACCTCGCGATACAGAGGAGGGACCGACCCTGAAAATAAAGATAACATTAAAATGGATGATTCTACCAACACAGTGCGTAATTCAAGCTATTGAAAATCCTGACAGCTGATTAGCGCATCAGGTGTGGCTGTTGTAACACGCCTCCCGCTTACCAGATACAAGGTCGGCCGACATCTTGAATGGGTCATGTGATCGGTAAAACATAGTCTCAAACCATACTTATTAATTTGAAAACATTCCCTATTAGGTATAAATCAAAGCTCGTGACATTCATGAGTGACAATGGCCTGCATACAATGACCAAGAATGTATTGAATATATTTTATACTGATATGTCTATGTGGGGCAAATCACTTTGGTACGAGGTTAGAGGTTATTTTCATGGTTGTTATGTTTATATCCAAGTAACATTGAATGAAATTATCGAACAGTTGACATGCCGGGTCATCTTTATTAAAGCGGCCCCGTTAAAGCTGCTTTGGTTATCATAACGACTATCGTTTAAAAAGGTGGTCTGAAAAATAGACAAGTCGACGTATATGTTGTTGGCGGAACGGGCACCTGCCAGTTTCAGATCGAGAACAAGTCATCTGTAGTCTAGTCTTAGAAACCAGTCCAGACATGAGGATGTAAGCGTGGAAATCACCGGCCAAAAACATCATGTCACGTAAAACACAGGTTAGCATTGCTCTGACATTCTCTTACATGCGCTGACCATGTTGTTATGAATGCCTATATTTCAACGTTTACATAAGGTTGCAATGCAGTTGGGTATTTTGTTGTGGTACAAGCGTAATTTTATTGGTTTGAGTACTATGACAGTAAATATAGTAAAGAGACATGTCTGTCAATTTGTGTTATTACTAGTCATTCTTATTAGAACAACTTTTCAGCGAGTTTTATTTTGCCTTTTACAAGGAAAGAATGTGTCCTTTTGATATGTTCAGCTTCAAATCATATTCACCAGGGTCAGGATTTTGTTTAGGCAGAATAGCACTGAGTAGGTTACACGTTAAGTTTATGCCTTCGTCATACAAGACCCAGTGGTATATAGATGACAACCATCTTGTGACATTTCTGATGGACTGTCAAAACAAAAATCTATCATACCCTGGTGCATGGTCACAATATAAGCCACTGGTTTGTTTGAGCCAGATTAGCTCAGAATACATTACTTGACCTAATTACCGTATTTGACATAATAAGGGTGCACAGCAATATTTGCTAATATATTGGCCAGTGAACAATCGAAATTAGCACCCCTTCCTATTGATCAAGACTTATTTATTCGTGTATAATATGCACACATGTGTTACATGCACCCTTAGTTATTCTTCTGTGTATCATTTCAGGCTGTCAGCATAAACCACAAAATTTACAATCTTTCAACTCTGTTTTTTTTCACCAAATTTATATTCTAATAAGAGCCCCCTATTTCTAATTTTGAGACCGCCCTGGGCGCTTATTACGTTGAATATGGTACCATGATTACACCATGTACACTTCCAAGAAAGTACAACCTTCAATTGTGATAGCATTATACTCTATTTGACAATTTAACAAGGATTTCTACTTGTAGAGCTACATGTATGTTTTTTCAGATTTATATACTTTGCGTCATAATAACAAATGCTTGACCAAATTAAATTTGAAAAACTATCTTGGAAAAATTATATTCGCAACAAAATTTTCACTTTATTAGCCCTTTAAAAGTGAAAATGTGTTGGTCCAGAAATCTTATCTTCTGTAAGATTACTGCTGGGAAACTATATATATGATCAAAGTTACACGACTCCCGAGATTTGTTGACAGGAAATTTTCTAATCCAGACCAGTGTTTGAAATAAAAAAAGAATTATCAGGACCCACAGACTTCTGAAGCTGCAGGCCCTGACTAAACTTTTTGGGCCCTCATTGAAAAACTGCAGCTTACTGTAATAAATGAATTGACTCTAAGGACCCATACAAATTTGAAACTACAGGCCCGACACGCGTTCTACCTGACACGGGGCTACGGACAGGCGTTTATTTTGAACACTGATCCAGACCCTTGTTTAGATTCCGGTTCAGAACGCATGTATTAGGATAGTAAATGAGTTTTTTTTTATATGAGCATAACTGATCATTGTATATGGTTGTATTGCTATCGAAAATCACACTTATTGCTATGATAAGTCTTGACAACTGAAATAGTCCTAGTACCATCTGTCACGTTTATGATGGCAGTAAACCAATAATTAGGGCGTGGATCACATCACTTCTGTTTATGGTGAGCTGGCTAATTGGGTATTGGAGCATTCCCTTTGAAAGGACAATACCAGTGCAATTGATTTGAAAAGGTAATTAGTGATTGCTAATTGCTTATATTATCCTATCTTATTGGCTTTGTGTTATCTTTGTACATTAATCCTATCTCATTGGCTTTGTCATTATATTATTATCCATGTACATTCATCCCACCTTGTGTTGTATAAACATATCAATCATATATATATGTATATATATGCCGCACTCAGCAATATTCCAGCTATATGACAGCGGCCTGTAAATAATCAAGTCTGGACCAGACAATCCAGTTATTGACATCATGAGCATCAATCCACACAATTGGGATACAATAACATGTACCGGGGTATCAACCAAGTTCAGTGACCACCCGATCCCGTTAGCATGGTTAGTTGCCTCTTACGACAAGCATGGGTTGATGAAGACCTATTCTGACCCGGATCTCAATGGGTCAATATCTATAATGACACATAGATGTTGCAAATAGAAATTGTGGAGATAAAAATAAGATAAAAAAAGTTTTATAATGTTCACTGTACCAAAATCATGTAATATTTGTATGGCATACAGGGTTTTACGCGATTAGCAGTACGCACAAATGTAGAGAATGGAGGCAGAAAGAAAAGATGGTGCATCCCTCGGGATGCACAATAATACATAGTATTCAAGAGCTGTTATTAGCATCTGTCATATCATCCATCAATCATGACCACTGTCCACATGATCATTGATTCATTCAAGGTTCTAAAGTAATTATGTAATGTACAGTACACTACATCATTTCATTACTCATATTGCCTGCAAGGACTCTTAAAATTCATCATTGGGGGTCCCCTGGCCCCACACATTTGTAAGTCAAGGTTATGACCTGACTTTTTTTTTCTTCAAACACGTATTATATAAATTTTATTAGCACATTAATCATTTGATATTTGGATATTTTGATGTTTTCCATGTGGTATCTATTAATAATATGTTAAGCATAATAGTACTCTAAAATAAATGAAAGCTACTATCATGATTATGATCAACATGATTTTTTATATTGAACCAAGTGGGGTGGGGGGTAACTCCAGGTTTGATGTTATCACAGTTGGATATGAGCAACCTAGTTTGGAACTAGTCACAGCATGGAGATTCCCCTTAAGTGTTAGCCGGCACCCTTGGTCGCACTATGATTAATGGTGTGACACAGTGAGTGATTTCCCTTTAATCTCCTATTGTAAGGTGTATTTAACATGTTTAACAGTGACATTTTTTTTTTTTCGTAATGTAAGACCTTTGTTATGTATGGGTTAACAGAGTTTCTTGGGTAGATCAAACTAAACTGGTTAATATTATATATTATTTGGCATATTTGGCAGAAGATATTGTTTGGATCAGTCTTCCAAACAGGAAATAAATAATTTAATAAATGTGATCAAAGCTGAAGTATTTTAAATTGTGGTCATCTGCATAAAGATCAAAGGAACAAGACCATGAAGACAGATCTTGTAAAGCAATAATAATAGAATTTTCTATGACGAATAATAACTTGTACTGGTAGCCGCAGATGGTACACAGATACAGCTTATTGTACATGCTGTATTGTCTTGTTGTTTTGTAATTATCAGTCCCCGACCAAAACAAATTCTGTGGTCAATTTTGGTTAATTCTGCATCCTAAATTGGGGGGCAGGGGGTGTAGTTGTCTAAGGCGCCGCAATTCACTGTGCAGAGTTGTGTCTCTTATGCAGGCCAGAAATCTATAATAGTGGGTTCGAATCCCGGTGCGCCCCGGTTATGTTTATGATATTCAGAAGCATTTTGTATTTTGTCTTTGTATTAGGCATGGATGGTATGGCAAAACAAAGAATTTCCACAACTCTGAAACTGTTAGCATGATTAGTTTGTGTGAATTTGACAAACATCTTGCATCAAACTAGTGACCATTACATCAACTGAAATTTGGAATGGCAATTGTTATCACTGGGTATCATGGTTATTGTTAAGCTTCTGTGTCTTATCAGTGCTTATTGTCTGATTGTTTAAGTGTTCTTACTTATGTTCACTCAAATAATACATATGGGTCAAACCAACAATTAGTCATCTGGACAGTCAACTAAGGCTCATATTATGGCTGTTACTTGTTGATAGTGTCATGTATTTGTCAAGTATCATATAAACGATGTAAATTAATGCTCTCTGTAGTGAAAGTAAGTAAGGGTTCCCTGCCCCAAGGCATCTTGGGATTGTTTGTAATGGCCAACGAACATGGGCGGAATTTCTGCACCTGTAATAAACCTATCCTATTCCATCTTGGGTCTGTCAACCTCATACCACCACAGTATTCACCATTTTATCACAATGACTATACAGTAAACGAACGGTTACCATGGTTACAACAAACTTGAAGGGACCACTAATTTTAGTTCGTAATAACCGTAGTTTGTTATAAGCATATATACAGCATATGTACAACAAATGGTCGGGACTTAATAATAAGTTCGTTATATCAGTGTGTTCGTTATAAACGTAGTTTACTGTACATCTAAGAAATGTATGGGCAGTTCACCAGTATAACAACATGCTTCTTTGAGACAAAACTCATAAACAGGATAAGGACAACTGATACCACCTTGCCTATTATGTTACAGTGAACTATAATTAGCATTAGCATGATTAGGGTTAGGACAATACACCAACTGAGGCACACTGACGATTGGCAGTTGGCAGTGTCAAGTATAATGGAAGAATGTTTTCACTACTCATTTCACTATTGATAAGTGTTTGGTGCAATCTCATTAAAAACAGATCTTAGTTCTCGTTACCGCTAAACAAAGATCTGAGGACATCCAATTAGTAGTCACATCAGAACCAATCAGAGCTTCGCCTACCAGATCATGAAAGTGACGCTCAGAATGTGATTTCTTATCATGCAACCCTGAAAACTTTTTACACAGGGTATTCCGAACGATAGTCACGAGGTTAACGACTGAATCCATACAATCTAGACCATCTATTAGCCATTCCAGAATGTTCTTTTGTTCAGGTTTCAAATTTTTAATCGAGAATTTGTCAAAATATGTTTCGAAGTGTAGTCGCTAATTTGAAATTAGTGCCGTAAAGCATGAGTAAGCTGCCTTCTGATTGGCTAATGTCGACTTCTCGTCAGTCATTCCATTGGTCGATCAAAGTTCGCGCAAGGTCAGTCTGACATGACCCGTAATGGCAGGGGTTGAAAAATACCATTGCCCGACGCCCGTGCCAAGTAAGGTTTAGATGTCGGGCGTGTAATATACGTTTTCTAGCATGCCCGTGGACAAGTAGAGCACACAAAATGAACTGGGTCAAGTTTCACGCGAATGTAATCATGTGATCATGTTACGGTATTTGATTGGCTAATATTTTGTTAGTGTCCCAGACTGACAATGTAATTTGCATACAGCTACGCCAGTCAACCAATGGGATTAATACATTTCGATGTCAGGCAGGTCAACAACGAGAACCAGGCTTGTTTCATTGTTAAATCGTAGTAACACTTCCATATATGGCACATGTTTCTTGGAAATTGTAACGCGAGGTTGAAACATTTTCCGACTTTAGATGCTCCGTTAGGCCTAGCTTTGATAAAATATAATTTTGTCGAACTACAACAAACGGGACTTTTAACGGGTGAAAGTATGGCATTTATTTAATAGGTGTTTCTTTTCGTTGTCAACTCAAGTTCATTCGAGCCGTCAATAGCGATAACCTGACCGTGGTTGCTGTAAATAACGGCGAGTTGTGCGATCTATCGACCCCTTTACGCACGATTTCGGCAAAATTGATCTAAACTGTATTGAATGAAATTTTAAATAAAATTAATAAAATATGCTACAAACATATGTCAAGGTACAAACGTGTTTTTTTATAACCAGATAGTAATAATAGGATTTAATTGCGGAATTTGTTGATTGGTATTTCCTGTGTTGCGTGCAGGTGGTAATGTTTTTGCGATGGGGAAATGACATCGTGTCAGTGACTTGAGTTTACTAAAAGTGTATATAAGTTTTGGGAACCATGTGTTACCGCACACAATAACCGAGTTAGCGCTATATTGAAGAGTGCAATAGCGAGGGATCACTGTAAGTAAATCTGTTGTTTCAAATAAGTAAGCTAGTAAAGGACAGAGTAGTCTCCCTTTGCCTCATTAGCACCCAGAGGGGTATCTGCAATAACAATTTATATTGCCAGTACCGCACATGGCCGATCATGTCTCAGCGGTCTATTTTAAGTTTCTTTGGCGGTGGGGACGAAGGCAGAGGGAAATTCCGAAAGTTGTATATCGGCAAAGAATAAGAAGTATGACGAATGTAAACGAAAACGAACATTCATTGCTGGGTGGAAAGACCAGTTTCCTTGGGTTGCGTATGATGACACAGCGAAAGTCATGAAGTGCACCATTTGTTTCAAGTACCCAAACATACACGCTTGCAATCGTAAGAGAACGTTTATTAATGGATGTTCAAATTTCAGAATTTTATTCTCAGTTCTGCAGCAGTAACATTTTACTGAATTTATTAGCTTGATTTTAGGCTAGTACATTTTAAAATAGGGCAAGTGAGAATGTTGGTCATACTTGCCCTTGGTCAAGTAACATTTTTAATAATTTTTCAACCCCTGAATGGGATGTCCTTAGATCTTTGTTTAGCAGTAGCGAGAACTAAGATCTGATTTTAATGAGATTGGTGTTTGGTGTAACAGTTATTACGAAATTTTAAGGTATGTATTGATATTTTGTTTAGTGTGCCACTGCTATGGTCATGATGGTACTTGTATGGAGAAGTAAAAACCTGTGATCCTTCCATGCATCTGTGTATTGTTCCACCGCTGATATGATGGTTAAAGGTATTTCACATTTTCCCTTGTTACAGAAGAATATATAAGTTTTTGTTAAATATCCAATGATTTTTTCAGAACCATTATGATGAGGACTTTGAATATGATGAACTTGAGGACACAGAAACTCTGGTATGTATACATGGTATGCCATGCAGAGCTCCAGATAAGCAGCGTATTTGCGTAAAATACCCCCCAAAATATTCAAAACCCAATTACCTTTACTAACTTGCGTACAGAAACGCATGCATTAAATGAACATGATGAAAAACTCAAATGTATAAAAACAGCACCCGTAAATACCCAATGAAGCTTTTTCAGCAAGGGTACAAGGGAGCTAATTTCCGAAACACAATTACGAGCTAATTTACTTTCTGAGTCCAGCCTTTATATTTAGAATAGTTATCATGGTTATATACATCTAAAACATTATTTCATTTTTTTAATCTTAAAATGTTCACTCTTTTGGGGAAATACCCAAAAGAGTGAAGAATAGATGAGTGAAAAAGTATTGGTTACCCAAAGAAAAATGTAATAACCCAATGAAAACAGAAACCCAAGAGTAAAAACTCAATTGCTCAAAAAGTTATCTGGAGCTCTGGGCATGTGAAATATGTATTCCTTGTGACATGAAACAGGTTACTGTAAACATGGTAAAGGGACTGCTTGTTAATGTTACTACCATGATTACCAGGTCATTACCCAAATTCTATATGTTTCTTATGACCACCTCCGTGGTCTAGTGGAGCGGAAGGTCCGGGAATCAAAACCCGGCGGCATCAAACCAAAAGACGTTAAAAGTTGGTGCTTGTTGTTACCCTGTCTGGCGCTTGGCGTTAATGGGCTAAAACAAGGACTAGTTGGCTCGGAGTCAGTATACTGTGTCTGAGTGGGGTATTCATCAGTTGTTCGATCCCCTGACTGTTTTATTCCAAAACATGTTAACAGATGTTACTTGTTACCCTGCCTGGTGCACTGTATTTAGGGGATAAAACAATGACTGGCGGGCTGGAAGTTAGTGGTATCTCAGTGGGCTAGCATACTAAGGCTGACTTAAGTCTGGACCAGAACAAGCTGTTACACACTTGTTCCTTCACACTGCTATATGAATGAAATTATCTTGAACATGTTGAATGGGATGTTAAACACCATTTTAATAATGTAAAGATAAAGATAATGTAAAGGGAGATAAATCTGTATTTCTCACATGTTCCTTGTGACAATTTCAATAAATTATGTTTCAGATATCTAGAAACAAGCCTCCACGATACAAGTCAGGTATGTGTGTAAAATAACCATTTGGTATATTCTCTTACTATGCTTACAAATATACAAAGTAAAATATATTGCTTCACACTGATTGTTTTCAAAGTGGCCACCAGCAGTGTAATGTCCTGAATAATAAAACAGTCTCAGGGCGTACAGCATCAGTTGTTTTGAGACAGATGATTGTAGCTTGTGATGTAGTATCTAGGTCTATGTTAACATGGTTCAAGTAAACAGCATGTAATATGTATAGTGACGGTGACGATGTTGAACATCCTGGTTAATTACAGCTCCTGCTAAGAAAACCAAGAAGACAGGTCGCAGACCAGGTGAGTGTGAAGAATATGTTTGTATAGGCTGCCGTGCCACTCTTGTGTCAATATACAAAATAAGGTTAATAAATCTTTAATGATTTCTCTGTCATGGCCGGTGGTGATAACAAAAGAGTGATTACCATCCCCTCAGTATTTTCAAATTTGCACTTCCATAAATGGGAGTGAAATTTACAAAACAATAAATTTGAAGGATGTCTTGGTCCACCTGGCAATAGGGATATTTAGTTTTTATGATTTAGTATAAACGGTAACATTTCAAAATTCAGAACTGGATACAAATCATGATCATGATCATAATATTAATCATGATTTCACGATAATATATGATTTGCTTACTGATCAGTCTGCTGATGGCAACTTGGACTTTTTGAACCTGTTGAATAGGTCATAATATCAAGATGAAACTTCTGCACAAATATTTTGTGAATGAATTCGCTAAAGTTTCACTGATTATGAGATCCTAATTTCCAGGATCTCCAAACAAAGCAAAGCCTAAGCTTGGTAAAGATTTGTGGATGACTGCCATCAAGAAACGACAGACATGTGAGTTTCAATTGATTCAAAAATTAATATAGAATTATATAAAGTTTCATTGATTTGTTGACTTTTTTCATTTCATTTATTTTATTTTATTTTATTTTATTTTATTTTATTTTATTTTATTTTATTTTATTTTATTTTATTTTAATGATGGTACTTCTTATAAACATGCTATTTAACGTCACATCAGCATTATTTCAGCCATATAGCGACAGATACTAAACATACTTAATCATTAATCGCATAGTAAAATATCAGATACAATATATGCTTAATGTCAAAGTTAATACCAGATACTAAGAAGAAATCAAACCAACTTATAAAAGTGTTTTTATGCAACAGAAATCCAATAGTTTTTCATCTTAAGAGATTTTTTCACTCCAAAAAGAGCCTACTCCTCCATTGACTAATGGTGAGCAATTTCAAAATATATATAATGCTAGTTTGAAAAAACCCCGACTTTGAAGTCAATGTAAATGTATATTCAAAGTGAATGTGTGTGAATAAGATGATTATAAACATGATAAAGGGATTTCCTTAGGTGATTTCATAAAATATTATTCAATCTCTAGTGGGAATTGCAAATGGCCGCCATCCAGACACCCCTCATCACAAGACTCCAATTGAGTTTTGGGTTGACACTCTTCGTAAAACCGGCGTGGGTAAGTATTATTCAATATCTACCACATTCAACTATATCAAGTCTTGACAAAACAAACTGATTAAATCAGCAATGTTCTGTATCTTCTGTTCTGGGCACAACAACTCACAACACTAAAGTGACACATTTTTACAACCCTGTCATCATAATTACAGATCCGGGGTAGGATAGGTCTTCACCGACCCATGCTTGCCGTAAAAGGCGACCATGCTTGTCATAAGAGCCGACTAACGGGATCAGGTGGTCAGACTCGCTGACTTGGTTGATGCATGTCACTGTAAACCAATTGATGGATCAATGCTCATGAGTCAATCACTGGATTGTCTGGGCCCCGTTCCACAGAGCGATCTTAGCGCTAAGTCGATCGTAACTCCCATTCTTCAACACTGACTAACGACAGTCGTAGCGCTAAGATCGCTTTGTGGAACGGGTCCCTGGTCCAGACTCGATTATTTACAGACTGCCGTAAATAACCAAGTCTGAACCAGACAATCCAGTGATTGACATCATGAGCATTGATCTACGCAACTGGGATAAGCATCAACCAAGTCAGCGAGCCTAACTAACCAATCCTGTTAGTCACCTCTTACGACAAGCATGGGTTGCTGCAGACCTATTCTGTACCCGGATCTTCACTGGTCACGACAAGCATGAGGTCCGATATACTTAGTTTTACCCAAAATCCTTATCATGCTTATGAAGCATTGAAATGAATAATATTATTCTACTTTTCTTTGATATTTCGTCGTTGGTTTGACTGAGTACTCATGACACTCATAAACAGAGTCGCAAGTAGCCACCCATGACGGACTGATTCCATGAGTATGATGAGGGATGTGTAGATTATAAAAATTATCCAGGTCGTAATTTTAGTAGCATTAATTTATGACACTAGTGTCATTACATCCCTGAGCTGGAATTTAGGATATTTGTTGTTATTCATAGTTAGTATGACTTCTACCATGAATACTAATAATAGTTCTGGAGATAATTGTTATACTTTTGATACCAGGACATTGGGACTGGCAACGTTTGAGAAGGACTGGTAAGATTTTCAAGAAGTCCATCCTGTTTGCAACCCTGCCATAACTCAGCAAGGTTCTTGTGGCTTTGGTGACTTACTGTTAATAGTTATAGATTTGGATTTTAGGGTTAGGTAAGTGTTTATTTTGGTTGAGGACAGGTGATTTTCAATGACTGCATATATTTGACCAAATGGAGTGGTTTCCAGTAAATCCAAGTGAGTGAGTGAATATGGTGTTACGCCGCTTTTAGCAATATTCAAGCAATATCACGGTGGGGGACACCAGAAATGAGCTTCACACATTGTACCCAGGTCATCGGCCTTAACCACTAGGCTACCCGATCACCCAAATCCAAGTGAGAGAGTTTCACGTGTGGATGACCCAGCTGTTGACCTGCCCTTGTTTGTGACAGGCATGAGCACAGAGAGTTCAGGAAACGCTATGACAGGTCTGAAGAAAGGCAATGACTTGAACCTGGCCTACCTCAGCACCAGCCACTACATGCGCCAGATGATGGGGACGGAGAAGCCACGGAGGAACATGGACGACCCCACAGGTGGGTGATCACTTCAACTGTGTCTCTGATAAGTACATGATGGATCTGTTTACAACATTAGACAGTCAGACTTCATTGTTCAGACTTAAGATGCATACACAGGATACAGGTATTGTGTGAAGATAACACATTGCTATTGAAGATTGTAAGTGACACACATGCAATGCTGTTTGTAATTGCCAACATGGCTCCAAAGAGTTCAGGCACAGAATATATGGTTTTCATTCTTTCAAATAATGTAAGAATGATTATGATTGTGGCCTAGTTTTGAGGAGTTGACTCAAAGTGACCCTCTGTTTGCAGCCAAGGCTCATGCAGGCACCCCAGCATATAAGTCCCCAGAGGAATACTATGATGATATCCTGGACTTAAAAAAGGTAGGAGGTGTCTGTTTGGTGCAGATCTATATGATGTTTACACAAGTAATAGAAGTGGGTTTATTGGAGCTTTTCAATTTTCAAACACACCAAAACAGATTTAGATGTTTTATTGTAAAATTACTGTGCAGAAAAGGATAAATATGAGTTGAACTTAATAAGCCCTGATTATTGTATGAAGACTTTGTGTAAACCTTATGAGGAATATGATTGTTTCCATTGTGACAGCACATCTCCTCCCTCAGTCAGGACAACTCAACAATGAAGGCAAAAGTGAGACGTCTGGAAGAAGACAATATTAAAAAGGTATATGTTTTGTCAAGATAACAACATGTTTTTGTTGTTGAAATGAAAAATCAAACTTTGAAGGTGGTTAGTTTTGAATGTTTCTTAAAGGAATGTCATATCTGGTCAAATACAAACCTGTAAACTACTGTTACAGCTAACCAGCTATTTTCTATTGATCACGTGATGTTGGTTTGTATACTTCCAGGAGAAGGAGATTGATGGCCTACTTCACCCGGAAAAGGTGAGATTTAGTGGAATTGTATTTCATATGTATACAATTATTACGTTAATTCTTTTCTGAACTTCATAAGCTATTATTTGGATTTAGGAAATACATTTTGCTTACCATCAAGATAAGTCCCTAGGACAAGCTGAACATGTCACAAAAACAAAGCAGATACTCATTCACATAAGAAAGGTTTATTATTATGACATCATCTGTGTCTTCTTGATGATTGGTTGTTTGTGTGACAGAATGAGGAGCTGCGACGGACGATGGGAGATAGAAAACCCGACACTGGTGCAGTCATACACAGCCTTAAGCAGAAGATCCTCAAGCTAGAGATGCAGCTCCGAGACAAAGAAGCCTCATATGTGTAAGTGATGATATACAGTGTATTGTCATGGCAACAAGGAAGCCTCATTTGTGAAAGTGATGATATACATTGTGTTGTCAAGGCAACAAGGAAGCCTTATATGTGTAAGTGATAATATATGTGTGCTGTCATTCTGAGGAGGTAGGCTCGTGAGGGTACATAATGATATGCAGTGTGTTGTCATAGCAACAATGAAGGCTCATAAGGATAAGGGATGGTATACTTTGTGTTGTCATGGCAACAAGAAAGGCTTATGACAGTAAGTAATGATATGCAGTGTGTTAGCAACAATGAAGGCTCCCATGTGCGACTAAGCATCTGCAGTGCATTGTCTCAGATATGGTTTTATGTATAACATATGAAGACATTAATTAAGCATCATGGAATGGGTTTTATGACTAAATGCAATGATGGTGATGTTGCAGGAAGCTGGTGAGTGAGCTGAAGACAACGAGGGTGGAGGAGATGAAGATACAGATGGAGGTTCTCTACCAGGAACTGCTCCGCTTGCAGAACTCCCACGACACTGGTGCTGACAAATCTAGGTACATCTCACCCTTCAGTTCTTTAGAAGATTGTTTGCGCGTAAATAAAAGTTATGAGGATTGCTTGAATGTGCCTGCGATTGTATATTGAGATTTCGTAGGGTTGTCATGTTAAATATATAGCTTTGTAACATTATCTTATCCAATGTAAAAGATCATTCTCAAGGATTATAGGAGATTAATAGCAGGTACATGTCATCCTGAGGGTAAGGCCACTGACTGATGTTTGTGTATGACCTCCATTAGGTAAGGCCACTGACTGATGTTTGTGTATGACCTCCATTGGGTAAGGCCACTGACTGATGTTTGTGTGTGACCTCCATTGGGTAAGGCCACTGACTGATGTTTGTGTATGACCTCCATTGGGTAAGGCCACTGACTGATGTTTGTGTGTGACCTCAATAGTGAAAGGCCACTGACTGATGTTTGTATGTGACCTCAATAGTGAAAGGCCACTAACTGATGTTTGTGTGTGACCTCCATCGGGTAAGGCCACTGACTGATGTTTGTATGTGACCTCAATAGTGAAAGGCCACTAACTGATGTTTGTGTGTGACCTCCATTGGGTAAGGCCACTGACTGATGTTTGTGTATGACCTCCATTGGGTAAGGCCACTGACTGATGTTTGTGTATGACCTCCATTGGGTAAGGCCACTGACTGATGTTTGTGTGTGACCTCAATAGTGAAAGGTCACTGACTGATGTTTGTGTGTGACCTCCATCGGGTAAGGCCACTGACTGATGTTTGTATGTGACCTCAATAGTGAAAGGCCACTAACTGATGTTTGTGTGTGACCTCCATCGGGTAAGGCCACTGACTGATGTTTGTATGTGACCTCAATAGTGAAAGGCCACTGACTGATGTTTGTGTGTGACCTCCATTGGGTAAGGCCACTAACTGATGTTTGTGTGTGACCTCCATTGGGTAAGGCCACTAACTGATGTTTGTGTGTGACCTCAATAGTGAAAGACCACTGACTGATGTTTGTGTGTGACCTCCATTGGGTAAGGCCACTGACTGATGTTTGTGTGTGACCTCCATTGGGTAAGGCCACTAACTGATGTTTGTGTATCACCTCAATAGTGAAAGACCACTGACTGATGTTTGTGTGTGACCTCCATTGGGTAAGGCCACTGACTGATGTTTGTGTGTGACCTCCATTGGGTAAGGCCACTAACTGATGTTTGTATGTGACCTCAATAGTGAAAGGCCACTGACTGATGTTTGTGTGTGACCTCCATTGTGTAAGGCCACTAACTAATGTGTGTATGTGACCTCAATAGTGAAAGGCCACTGACTGATGTTTGTGTATGACCTCAATAGTGTAAGCCCCCTAACTAATGTTTGTGTGTGACCTCCATCGGGTAAGGCCACTGACTGATGTTTGTGTGTGACCTCAATAGTGAAAGGCCACTAACTAATGTTTGTATGTGACCTCAATAGTGAAAGGCCACTGACTGATGTTTGTGTGTGACCTCAATAGTGTAAGGCCACTAACTAATGTTTGTGTGTGACCTCAATAGTGAAAGGCCACTGACTGATGTTTGTGTATGACCTCCATTGTGTAAGGCCACTAACTGATGTTTGTATGTGACCTCAATAGTGAAAGACCACTGACTGATGTTTGTGTGTGACCTCCATTGTGTAAGGCCACTAACTGATGTTTGTATGTGACCTCCATTGTGTAAGGCCACTGACCGATGTTTGTGTGTGACCTCAATTGTGTAAGGCCACTAACTGATGTTTGTATGTGACCTCAATAGTGAAAGACCACTGACTGATGTTTGTGTATGACCTCCATTGTGTAAGGCCACTAACTGATGTTTGTATGTGACCTCCATTGTGTAAGGCCACTGACTGATGTTTGTGTGTGACCTCAATAGTGTAAGGCCAAGGACTGATGTTTGTATGTGACCTCCATTGTGTGAGGCCACTAACTGATGTTTTTATGTAACCTCCATTGTGTAAGGCCACTGACTGATGTTTGTATGTGACCTCCATAGGACAAGGCCACTAACTGATAATGTGTGTATGTGACCTCCATAGGTTAAGACTACTAACTGATAATGTGTGACCTTGTGACCTCCATTGTAGATCAAGATTTACTGATAATATTTGTATGTGACCTCCATTGGGTAAGGCCACTAGCTGATGTTTGTATGTGACCTCCATTGGGTAAGGCCACTAGCTGATGTTTGTATGTGACCTCCATTGGGTAAGGCCACTGACTGATGTTTGTATCTGACCTCCATTGGGTAAGGCCACTGACTGATGTTTGTATGTGACCTCCATAGGACAAGGCCACTTACTAATAATGTTTTTGTGTGACCTCCGTAGTGTAAGGCCACTAAGTGATAATGTTTTGAGTGTGACCTCCAAAGGATAAGGCCACTTACTAATAATGTTTGTATGTGACCTCCATAGGACAAGGCCACTGACTAATGTTTATGTGTGACCTCCACAGAGCATGGCCACTAGCTGATAATGTTTGTATGTGACCTCCATAGGACAAGGCCACTAACTGATAATGATTGTATGTGACCTCCATAGGACAAGGCCACTAACTGATAATGTTTGTATGTGACCTCCATAGGACAAGGCCACTAACTGATAATGTTTGTATGTGACCTCCATAGGACAAGGCCACTAACTGATAATGTTTGTATGTGACCTCCATAGGACAAGGCCACTAACTGATCATTTTTGTATGTGACCTCCATAGGACAAGGCCACTGACTAATGTTTATGTGTGACCTCCACAGTGCAAGGCCACTAGCTGATAGTGTTTGTATGTGACCTTCATTGGCTAAGGCCAGTTACTGATGTTTGTATGTGACCTCTATTGTGTAAGGCCACTAACTGATAATGTGTGTATGTGACCTCCATAGGTTAAGACTACTAACTGATAATGTGTGACCTTGTGACCTCCATTGTAGGTCAAGAGCAGTCTGTAGTTTGTTCATGATGTTAGTGTGTCATGTACTCCATCTTTCACCAGGGATAAGCTAAAATCTGTCTGATGTAAACACATATCTTTTGCGTGAAAAGTGAATATGTGAAACTGATGATAACAGTTGTAGGTCATGTTCAGTAAACCATAGGGAAAATCATACCTTGGTATCTGTGTAAACATTATGCCAAACAAACATATGGAATACTAGAGTTTTCTTTAACAAAACAATCAACAAACAAGGATTAACATTTGTTGCTCTTTTAGATCAGGAAAGGAAAGTGGTGCAAAGGTGAAGGCGCTGAATCAGACTGTGCTCCGACTCAGTAAAGTCAACGAGCAGCTGCAGTCAGAGAACAAGGGACTGAAGGAGGACCTAGAGAAGGCCCTGGAGGAAACTCAGGAGGCCCCATCAGGCAGACGTAAGTACTGGGGGCACATAAGGCAGACGTAACAGGGGGCACATAAAACAGACGTAAGTACTGGGGGCACATTGGGTAGACGTAAGTACTGGGGGCACATAAGGCAGACGTAACAGGGGGCACATAAGACAGAGGTAAGTACTGGGGGCACATGGGGCAGACGTAAGTACTAGGGGCACATTGGGCAGATGTAAGTACTGGGGGCACATGGGGCAGACGTAAGTACTGGGGGCACATAAGGCAGACGTAACAGGGGGCACATAAGACAGACGTAAGTACTGGGGCACATTGGGCAGACGTAAGTACTAGGGGCACATTGGGCAGACGTAAGTACTGGGGGCACATGGGGCAGACGTAAGTACTGGGGGCACATAAGGCAGACGTAACAGGGGACACATAAGACAGACGTAAGCACTGGGGCACATTGGGCAGACGTAAGTACTAGGGGCACATTGGGCAGACGTAAGTACTGGGGGCACATTGGGCAGACATAAGTACTGGGGCACATTGGGCAGTCGTAAGTATTAGGGGCACATTGGGCAGACATAAGTACTGTCAAGCAGTAGTGAGTAGAAGAGTGGGGGAGGCACATCAGTAGCAGAGAGTACATGATGATACAGTGAGTCACAGCATCAGAAGCAGCATCAACCTTAGAAGGAGGTGGAAAGGGGTTCAAATGCTAAAAAATAATGTTAAGTTGTGAAGTGGGAGATAAAACAGGGTGTTTTCTGTTGTTACTAATGATAATCGATCAAGGTTGTTTATCATTTCAGGAGAGTACGAGGACATGAACAAGAGGCAGTTGCTAGTAGCAATATCTAAAGCAGAGCGGGTACGTCAAAACAGTCATCCCAGACTTCTGTCACAATTCTCTAGTCCAATGAATTGCGTTGTTTTTTCCAAAGGTTCATTTCTCAAAGAACTATATTATGCCATTCTCAAAAAAAAACTAAACAAAATTTTATTTAAATTTGTAATAAAATCTTCTGGGGGGTTTGGCAGTGCCATAAAAATATGGACAAGAGTTGAGAGAGCCAATGACTTGATAACAGTAATTTTACCTATAAGAGTCAAGTTTCTTCTTCTCCAGTTTGCCAATAACCTATTTATTGTTTCAAGTCTTTTTCGGGTATTGATAACCCATAGATCTTGCAAATGGGGGTTGGGAATAATTCCCAACACTTCAAAATTGCCTACATGCCAGTCTAACTTTAAGTCTTCACAAATATTTGTTGAGCTCCCTGCTTTCGACCCGATCCATATGGCTTTTGTTTTATCAATATTTATTTTAAGTCCAGACATTTTAAAGAAATGGAATAATAAACCAGATAAAATTATAAGGCAAAATCTGAAAAAAAATTATGCTGATGGTGGGCTTAGAATGGTGGACATTAAAATATTTATAGAATCACTAAAATTATCTACTTTAAGAAAGTATTTAAAAAAGAGTACATGTGATAATCCCTCAGTTTTTTCTTTCACTGATATGATAGATTTAGGAGTCAATGCTGATAAATATTTATGTGTGAAAAACCCTTTTTGGAGAGATGTTTTAAATGTTTGGGGAAATTACGGCAGAAAATTTACAACAAATTCAGAAAGGATCTCCGAAATTCTATCACAGCCCCTATGGCTAAATCACCAATTTAAACATGAAAACTACATAATTAAAAATTGGTTTAAAAAGGGTATAGTGACAATTAAGGACTTATGTAATGAGAATGGATTTTTGCCATTTGAAATATTAAAAGTACGTTATGATATACAGGGTACAATATTAGATTATAATAAGGTTAAACTTAGTATACCTAAAGAATGGAGAGACACTGTCAATCATTATATCAAAATACCAATATATGACTTAAATCTTAGTCCACAACTGAGGGATATATTTATACCTGTTCAAGGATCTAGGTACTTTTATGATAGACTAATTACAATAACAAAACCACCCTTAGTAAATGGAAAATGGCAATCTCTTTTTGATAATGATATTCAATGGAAAGAAGTTTATTCAAATTTCAGAAAATGTACTAAAGATACTAAATTGATTGACTTTCAGTTTAAGTTTATCCACAGAATAATTTACACCAAAAAGGAATTATTAAGAATGAAACTAGTTGATAATGATATTTGCTGCTTTTGTGACTTAAATGGCGAAAACCTTATACATGTATATTGGGAATGTGAATATGTTAAACACTTTTGGAGCAAACTGGAAACCTTTTTAAACCTTGACACAAATACTAGGATCTCACTTACCAAATACTCAGTTATTTTTGGATTCGACAAAAATAAACTTTTACTTAATCATATTATAATATCCAGTAAAAGATATATATATATATATCAAGTATTAAGGGTGAGAAACCAATTTTTGATAATTTTAGGAAAATACTAAAAGAGACAGCGATGATTGAAAAATTCATTGCCACCAAAAACAATGGTCTATTACAATTTGAACGAAAATGGGGGAAAATCCTACACAAATTAATATAATAATCATGCCCTGTACAATAAGGCTATAGATCAGCTATGCCTCAAATAGCAATACTACCATAATTGTTTTAGTTATATCTGACTATTGATACAACTGTTCATGCTCTTCTTGAGGCATATCATGTGTGTGTGTGTGCGTGGTCGTGTGCGTGTGCGTGTGCGTGGGTGTGTTTCAATTATGCATGCTATATTTATATCACAAGAAATGTACATCTATGTAACGTATTTTCACTACAATTGACTAAACCTACTGTGTAACCTCTGAACCTGATGTACAACTCTTCGAAAGGAATACAAAATGTCCAAAAAAAAATAAATATTATGCCATTCTCCCAGCTTACCAAACATTGTGTTAATTGTTGTCCAACAAGTGTAAAAATTTTGGAAGCCCTCTATAACAAGATTAATGCTATTATTGCCAAATTAAAACTGGTTGTTATGGATTTGCGGTTACTGAAAATCAGAGGTTCGATAACCCAAGTGAATCAGGTCTGAACTTGAACACACACAAGCGATATCTCCTGTGGGAGCCAGTTTTGGATGATAAATGTTAATCCTTGTTTGTCAGGACACAAGTAGATTATGTGGATCACAGTGTTAATACTTAATGTTTGTGCGCAGAGAGCAGAGCGGGCGGAGAGGAAGGCGGAGGCGGACAACACCTCCATGTTGTCTCTAGACAGTCGACGCAGTGAAGTCCAGGGTACGTTCACTATCTGTAGAACCTGGGCCCCGTTCCACAAAGCGATCGTAGCGCTACGACTGTCATAAGCCTATGCTAAAGAATGGGAGTTACGATCATCTTAGCGCTACGATCGCTTTGTGGAACGGGGCCCTGCTTGTGTTTGCAGGGTGATCAGCAACAGCTGTTCTGTTTGCTCTACAAAACAGGAAAAAACCATCATGAAGCTACATAGATTGTATTTAGAACCAGTATTTCTTTGTGTCATATAATATATGTGCAAATTGAAAACAAATAATATGACCTAGTTCTTCTTTTTCCAAAACAGGAATTGATACCAATTTTGATACCAATTAATTAGTTGTGTAACAATACGTCAATACAGTATTGTATCGCAATATGAGCCCCATAGTACAATCGATTGACGAACCCTGTATCGCGATACATATGATACATTACTATGCAAGTTATTTTGCTGTAAAAACATGTGAATTATAACAGTAACAGCTCAACAACTAGCTTGCACAGATTGTCCAGTATTTCCTGGTTAGTTATAAACAGCATAACAGCATAACAGCATAACATTCACATTGCCTTCTAGCGTTTATGTTTATTCACACTGGGTAACAATGTGATTTCCTGCAGGCAAGATTGTGCTCCATGGCAGCATGGAAGAACGGTTGCACCAACTTGACCAGAGAGAGTCCGAGCTACTGGATGAAATTGAGAAACTCAAGGTGAAGGTCAGGAGGCTGAATAACGAGATGAGCAAGAAAAGGTATGTTCTTTGATACTGACTTGTATTTGTAAACCTCCTTGCACTTTATTGTTGCATCTGTTGATGTTGATACTTTTGCATGCTACAGTATAGTCTTGGATCTCTGGCAGTTTTAGCAGCAACAGGAACGATTTAGGTGAAAGGGCATTATCGGTAATTCATATTGGGAAAGGGAGGTCACTCTAATTACAATGTGGAGCTATTTCCATTGTTTATTTTTTTGCAGAAAATGGTGTTAGTCTCGCAAAACGTTTTTGTAGTTCAATATATAAATTCACCATCTTATTTGCAATGTTCGTAGAAATGAGTTCTGCTGTACTTTCTACAAACTTTACTTACATATATTTACAAAATAGTATTTTGTAGTACAGGTTTTTGGTGGTAGTGCATGTTCCCTTCCACAAGTGAGTTTAGTTTTAAATGTGGGCCTACCTTGCACATACAATTGGGCAAGCAATGTTAGCTCCCTTCTCACACGACTAATAATATGGTTTCACCGAGAATTGTGCTTTATAAGAAAGTAACATGCTGCACCTGTCCCACTATGACATAGAAGCTCTACTCAAGTGTTGTGTTTTAAAACTAACTGCATTCGAACAAGCCATTTTCATTTATTTTGATGTGTTACCATTACTTGTTTTATGCCATGCTTGTGACTAGCATTCTTTGCTGGTATTCCTCATCAACAAATTATTATTTCCACTGTATCATTTCAGCCGAGATTCATCTGGTACACCAAGACGGCGGGACTCCCCCACTGGTGTGACTCCAAGAAGGCGCAGGTAAGATTATATGTGTGCTGGTCATTTTCTCGTCAGATGGTTAATGTTGGTTGATATCTTGTGTTGGTTGACCTAGAACTATAGATTCAGCACTGTCCCAATCTCATGTGTACAGTCTTTGTGTTCCAGATCATCCTCAATAGACTCAGGCAGAGAGACAAATGTCCAGAGTTTTTCACAGAAAAAAGCCGCCAAAAGTATTCAGAGGCAATGGCGTCAGCATCGGGAGAAGAAACGTGAAGAAGAAGAGGTAGGGTAGACAACTCTGCTCTTGTAGTGGACACATGCATGACATCGTCTCCTGTTCTGTAAACATTCAGATTATGTCAGTAATGCACAAGACCTCTCCTTTCACCTAAGTTTAAGATATAACTTTTCATCTGAATCCTTTTCTCCCATATCCAGTATCTCTTGCATGCATGCACAAAACTGTCAAAATAAGAATTCACAGATAGGAAATATCAAAGTAATGTGATCATCCAAATGTGGCACTCTGTGTGATGTGTGGTGGCCTGCATGTGAGTAGCAGGGCCAGTGATGTCCACAGTCCGTCTGTCTCTACCTATCTCTGTTCTGTCCTCATGTGTCTAGAGATTAGCTATTCGAGTCGAGGAGATGCGTCGAACCCATGCGGCTCGGACAATACAGCGGAGGTGGACCAAACATCAAGGAGAGACCGAGAGAGTAGGACATTTCCCCGAACATGCTTAAGCTGTTGTCACATGTTATGCCGGTGTTGTGTCCGTGTTGTGTCACCGTGCTGTTACTTGAGTCACCAGTGTGGTCTCCTGACGCGCCTTCCCTTTGCCTCGCACTGCACCTGCATAGTGTTGATGAGCAGTGTAGTCACTGCCCGAAACACACACACACCATCAGTGATACCACCTCCCTTGCTTGCTGTGCATTGAGTTACTGCACCAATGTGTCTACCTTGCACCGATGTCCTGGAACTGCATTGCTTATCATTGCAGTGTTTGTATGCAACTTCACTCTGGTTATCAGTTCTCACACACATGAAACTCATGAAACACATACATTGGTCTTAGATGTCACAATTTGCTGGGCAGAGTTGCTCTCTTATCGCTGCCAGCTGGTTGTGGTTCAAATCCCAGGTTCGTCCGGAGTATCATCCTTTGTTTGCTTGCACCATATTGATGTTCCTTGGTTTCACCAAGGAGTAAATGTCTTACGACCTGCATCTCATAAGCTGACACACCTATAATTGACATACTGCTCACCTAACAACTCATTCATGTACATAAGACTTTGGTCTAATTATAGGTGGAAATACTCTCTCCCTTGTCTTCCTACATGAGTGGAACACATTAACTGAGATTTTCATTTAAATACATGAGTTAGTTTGCTGAGAAAATACGCACACCATCTGCATGGATTTTGCTCACAGAAAAAGTTGCATGATGGAATCACTCTCCTGACTGTACAAGTACCTTGTGTGTGCAAGTTCTGTTTGATGACCTTTTGGATGCTTGAACATGCTATTTGTTACCCTGACTTGTCGCACAGCTTGGTGTTGGAGGCTGACATAGACAAAAGCTGATGTCAGGAATTAAGGAGATGGGTCGGGCCGAGATTGAGGTCAGAGCAATAAGGATGATGGGTTAGGCCAAGACTGAGGTCAGAGCATTAAGGCAGATGGGTTGGGTCAAGATTGAGGTCAGAGCAATATGGAGATAGGTTGGGTCAAGATTGAGGTCAGAGCAATAAGGATGATGGGTTAGGCCAAGACTGAGGTCAGAGCATTAAGGGAGATGGGTTGGGTCAAGATTGAGGTCAGAGCAATAAGGAGATAGGTTGGGTCAAGATTGAGGCCAGAGAAATCACAATGATGGGTTGGGTCAAAATTGAGGTCAGAGCATTTAGGGAGATGGGATGGGTCAAGATTGAGGTCAGAGCATTAAGGGAGATGGGTTGGGTCAAGATTGAGGTCAGAGCAATAAGGAGATAGGTTGGGTCAAGATTGAGGCCAGAGAAATCACAATGATGGGTTGGGTCAAAATTGAGGTCAGAGCATTTAGGGAGATGGGATGGGTCAAGATTGAGGTCAGAGCATTAAGGGAGATGGGTTGGGTCAAGATTGAGGTCAGAGCAATAAGGAGATAGGTTGGGTCAAGATTGAGGCCAGAGAAATCACAATGATGGGTTGGGTCAAAATTGAGGTCAGAGCATTTAGGGAGATGGGATGGGTCAAGATTGAGGTCAGAACATTAAGGTAGATGGGTTGGGCCAAGATTGAGGTCAGAGCATTAAGGGAGATGGGTTGGGTCAAGATTGAGGTCAGAGCAATAAGGAGATAGGTTGGGTCAAGATTGAGGCCAGAGAAATCAGGATGATGGGTTGGGTCAAAATTGAGGTCAGAGCATTTAGGGAGATGGGATGGGTCAAGATTGAGGTCAGAACATTAAGGTAGATGGGTTGGGCCAAGATTGAGGTCAGAGCATTAAGGGAGATGGGTTGGGTCAAGATTGAGGTCAGAGCAATAAGGAGATAGGTTGGGTCAAGATTGAGGCCAGAGAAATCAGGATGATGGGTTGGGTCAAAATTGAGGTCAGAGCATTTAGGGAGATGGGTTAGGCCAAGATTGAGGTCAGAGCATCAAGGGAGATGGGTTAAAGGGTTAGAAGGTAAGCATGATCATGAACTTTTGGGTCAAGGGGTCAATAGTGTGGTGTGTTAGATCGTGAGGGATTCAAGGGTGTAGACCAGGACAAGGAGTAGGAGTCTGTTGCTTCAGTAGGGAGAGACCCACTACAGCCATCAGCAAGGGGCAGCAGCTTCTACAGTTGTACTCAGCTTGGTCTGTGCTATAGGGCTGTTTCCTCAGTACAACACATATCACGTTTAGTGATAATATGCACGTCAGCATACATATTCTCAGAGCTACAGATAAGCAGCGTATGAGCGTAAAATACCCCCCAAAAGTATTCAAAACCCAATCACTTTCAATTAACTTGCGTACATAAACGCATGCATTAAATGAAAATGAAGCTTTTTCAGCATGCCTACAATGGAACTAATTTCCGAAACACAATTTCGAGCTAATTTACTTTCCGAGTCAAGCCTATATATTTAGAACAGATATATACATCTAGAACATTATTTCTTTAATTTCTTTTTTAAATCTTAAAATGTTCACTAATTTGGGGGAAAACCCAATCGAGTCATGAATAGATGAGTGAAAAAATACTGGTTACTGAATGAAAATTGTAATAACTCAATTAAGATAGAAACCCTAGAGTAAAAACTCAATTGCTCAAAATGTTATCTGGAGCTCTGTATTCTGCAAGAAGAATAGGAATAAACTTTTTCAATTTGTTGTCATGTCTTTATATATTTAGTTTAATGATCTTTGTTTCTACGAATGACTATTAACCTTGACTATACAACTGTTTCTACATCACTGTTTTTATCATGTGAACTGTTATGACACCCTATGTAAGTTAGCACACTCTATGTAAGTTATGACACCCTATGTAAAGTGAACAACATATGAGCAGTGCACCGTGGCATCAACAGTAAAAGCTGTTGTCTATTCAGTTTTGAATATGAGAAATGTCCATGCTCCATCCAGTAACCTGCCAGACGGGCCATGTGCTTCCTGTTTGGCAGGTGGACATATTCCCATTACGATGCCATGTGTCGTTCACGTCTGTATTTATGCATGGTTTATTTTCTCGTCTTACTTTTGTCTTTGGTGTCCTTTTGTGATCAGATGCACAATGTGAACAAATTCCGTGAGAATCACGCAGCAAAAGCTATCCAGACCAGATGGCGTCGACATCGCCAGGACGAAGAGGAGGATGAGGAAGTAGGTCGCAGGCTCACTGAACGATAACTGTTGGAAACACTGTGCACTGTGATGCATAGATATGGTTGAGGTTGTCTCAGTCTGGGGTTGAATTTCTATGGTTGTCAAAGGTTCCTGTACTTGAAGTCGATAGAACATCGATAAATGTGATAAGAGTCTAGTGTAATGCTAGCAAGGCTAGATGTTGCTTTCATCCAAACTATCAAAATGCACAGCTATTTAGCTATTGTTAGGGTATGCATCTTCGGTGAAAATTTCCATAGAATTCCAATGTTACTTTTCTGTTCTAGTTAAAACATGACTCTCAAAAGATTTTGGTTTAAAATGTAAAACCTCTGAGCAGGTCTCACTGTTAAGTAATACCTCTCACAAGATTACTAAGAAATAGCAGGATACCCATAAAACAATAGGCAAAAATGGCAGTTGGTTTATAAAAGTCTTGAAAAGCGCTATGCTTTGTACATGGGAAGCAGTTATTTTGCTGAAAGGGTTGCTGACAAATTGAGCTCAAAACTGTTTGGGTTCCTGAGTTTGGGATTATGGTAAATCCACCTTTCCAAGTAGCTGGTACTAACATCTTCGGTAATGTTTAATGTGTATGGGTAGTAAGTCAAGGCGTCGGATCACGAAAGCATGTTCACTAACCTGTGGTCGTGCATGCACTGATGTTTTGCTTCGGAATGTGAATTATGCAACATTTGTGTGTAAGACAACTGTGTTTTTCTGTCTCTTCTGTCTGTCATTCTTGTCTCTCTGTCCGCTGTATCTGATACACCCAGTATGTTCCACCTCCAGTATACAGTCGTGCAGAACAGCATGAGTGTCATCGCTATGAAGGTGACAGTTGTGGGTGTTGCAGTCGTCACTGTGAAGGTGACATATCAATGAGAGTAGTATTGCAAGGAGTGCGTTGTCTTGGTGACCTGAGTACTGTAATTCCTACATTAAGAGCCCAGGATGCCGTTCCACAAAGTGATGTTAGTGCTAAGGTGATTGTAACTCCCATGCCTCAACATAGACTTGTGACAGTCGTAGCTCTACGGTTGTTTTGTGCAATGGCACCCGGCCTTTGATCACCTGTTTACTATTGAACCCAGCCAATAGAGTATAGCTCTTTTTGAGACCAGGGGCCACTTGCACAAAGCGATCTTAGCGCTAAGACTATCGCAAGCCTATGTTAAAGTATGGGAGTTACAATCATCTTAGCGCTAAGATCGCTTTGTGCAAGTGGGCCCAGGGCCCTGTTCCACAAAGCGATCTTAGCACTAAGGTGATCGTAACTACCATACTTTAACATAGACTTACAAGGATCGTAGCACTAAGATCACTTTGTGGAACGGGCCCTGGATCTTATTTCTTGTGTCGTCAAGGTACAAGGACACCTTTGTTCCAATATAATTTATTGCATTGAAATGTAAGAGGGATACTCATTAGCTGACCTAGCCCTTATATGACTTGCAGCTCTTATTTCAAAGTCTTGTCCCTAGACCAAGGTCTTAGCAGTTTGGGGAATGTACATCAGTATTGATTCCAAAGTAGATTTGGACGTCAGTACGCCATGTTTGATGTAAGTCTTCAAAACTGGTGATCGATGGTAACAGTGTTGGAAGTTCATATTGCATGTAACAGTACCTGGTGGATCACAGCTCTTGTTATCAAGCACAGATTTTTCTGGTCCAGTTGAATTTCCAGGCTGCCATGATACAGCTGCAGTATCACTGACCACTGCATGAGCAATACTGTCACTGTGTTAGTATTGATCTATTAAGGAGATTTGAAATAGGTGACCCACCAGGAGATAAGGGACCTTATGTGTGAAACATCACATTTTGACTTAAATATTTTTTTTAAACCACAGTTTTTAAAAAATCAAAAAATCAAGTATAAAAAAATCATAGCTTCATTTCATATTTGTTACAGAGATACATGGCATCAAATGTTTGGACTAGTTTTCTAAAAAAACTGTTTATGTAAAGATTGCAGTTTTTAGATATAATGTCTGAATAATTGAAAGTAGACATATGCTGAAATGTTTTGAAATAATGTTTTATTACATTGCGAACTAATGGGAGAAAACTAAGATATTTTTGTGCAGTCCGCACACATGGCGATTTTTGCGGAAGTAAGTTGACGTTAAACGTCTTTCTTTATGACGTCACAGCACAATTGTTTCCTGGCAACCATAAAGTCCCTTTTCTCCTATCCTATGACTTATGTCATAATGCAAGTAGGTTGTATCCAGTTGAGGGGAGTCGTGGTATTTGGTATCTACAGGAGGGGTAAGGTGTTTGAGGAAGCAATATCTTTGGTAAAATAATTAAATTAAATGTTTGTTTGTTTTTTAATGTGCTGATTTAACGTGTCTAGAGATGGATGGTACATCTATGTGAAGGAGGGTAGACTAGTGGCTCAGGGAGCATCAAGACTTGAGGTGTATAGTATCGGACTAAAAATATCAAAGAGCACTGTTTGTTTCTTATGTGCTGCTTGTTGGTATTTCTGTCAATGTTACAAACAGTTATGGATTTTATATCAAATCAAACATACCAAATGTATCAAAAAACATAATGATCTTATTAGGAAAAGATATTAGGAAGTTCTCACAGAAAGTTTTTTTTCTGGAAATTTTAGGCAGCATACGTTATCCAGTCTGCCCTCCGAGGACATCATCAACGGCGACAGAAGCTGAAACGATATCAAGATGATGATTATGACGATGAGGAGGAGGCAGACTACAGCACAGGAAGTGATGATGCTGTCTATTTGATACAGTCTTCCTTGAAGGGCCATTCAGCTCGCCGACAGAGGATGAGGAAAATGAGGTAAAACTGCATCCTCGATTGTCTTGTGTTATATTTCCATTCTATCATGATAAATATGATATGTATTCAGTCATGAGGCAAGTGTATTATGATGCTTATCGAGTTTCCAGCATTTGGGCTAAGGGACCATGCATTGTATCTTTTTAGGGGATATTTATCCTGTCAAGAGACAAGTGTATTGTGATGCTCCTAGCGTTTTCAGGACATGGGCTAAGGGACCATTCATTGTATCTTTATAGGGAATATTTATCCTGTCAAGAGGCAAGTGTATTGTGATGCTCCTAGTGTTTTCAGCATATTTGCTAAGGGACCATTCATTGTATCTGTTTAGGGGATATGTATCCTGTCATAAGGCAAGTGTATAAGGCAAGTGTGAACCCTCATATCATGATTTCCTTGTTTTAGACTGGATTCAACAGGGGATGAGGATTATGATGATGAAGGTCACCGTGGTTACACTGGCCAGAGGTACTCAGGTTCTCGGCGACCGTCATCGGGTATGAAACTTTCTTCTTTTTTATGATGACAACAGGTGGTATGAAATATACTATATATATTCACAATCTGTGAAATTGCTACATAGCTGAATATTGAGATACATTAGTAGTGAACGTGGTAAGGACAGAATGTGACTTTAAGATCCTGTGTATAAATATGCTTTTGGTCTTTCAGCTCATTCTCGGGGAAGTTCCGTAAAGGTAAGCAAGACCAGTTCATCTCTCTAAACTATTCTGCAAAGACTTTTTAGAAACTTCTGTGTGGAAATTGGTCTTCAGCAACCCATGCATGTCGTAAGAGGCAACTAATGGGATCGGGTGGTCAGGCTCGTTGACTTGATTGAAGCATGTCATCATATCCCAATTGCGTGGATCAATGCTCATGATGTTAATCACTTGATTGTCTGGCCCAGACTCGATTATTTACAGACCACTGTCATATTGCTGGAATATTGCTGAGTGCTGCGTTAAACCAAAAAACCAAAACCATATCTTACAAAATTATTTCGCCCATCACCAATTGCAATCTAACTTCCACTATAGTAAAAAAAATTGTATTAATTTGCTCATTAGTTAATGTGATGAGAAGAACAAACTAACAAACAAATCAAGCAGAGGTACAGGATAACAATGTTTCTTATTATTACAGAAAACGTATGCCACATACCCCAACTCACGTCAAGCAAGTATGGACGATGATGATGACATCATAACCTGAGGGAGGATCGATGTCTCTAGGGGGAGGGGGACGGTGCTGTGACCCTCCCCCATCACACAGTGCCTGTTGCTCTCATCAATTCATACATCCACACTGTGATATCTCACAATTCTAGATTGTCTAAGGACGGCCTACCTTCGGCTGCACATTTTGCTCAGTAGCTGTTGTCTGACATGTATTACTTTTGTAAATCAGTTTATAATAAACATTGCTTAGTAGGATCCTGTCATTGACCAGAATCAGTGTCTTCGATAAATCATGCTTTAGTGTAAATACCTGTACAGTAGAATTACACTGCGTATGTGTATGAAGTATTGATAATTTGTGTGTAGGAATAACACTTCAGTTTGGAGGATGCTGGAGTCTGCATCATGCTTTTGTTTGAATTTTGCTGCATATGAATAATGTCAGAATTAAGCTATAGTGGGGTCTGTGTTCTGTGCTAAGCTTGTAAACCTCACGGAACAATGTGTTTCCGGTAACCTGGCCCTCCCAAAAGATAGGGGTCACTAGGTAGGGCTCATCTTTTCATTTGATTTTCTTTTTGCAATGTTAACACAGATGGCTTGTAAAGGACTTGTGTTGGTTGCAATGTTTCTCAAATTTGTACATCAAAATATCTACAGCAATGATAAAGTGTAGAAATTCCTGATATTAAATATGGTTTTCTTGACAACTGTTTCAAGCTGTGTTTAAAAGAAATTCGAATCTCTAGTGAAATGGCAGATCGGTCGGGTTATCTGAAACACAAGTTTGTTTTAAGGCTGAATCATGAAGTGTGGATCATGGTAACCTGCCATTGTTGAATTAACTCAGCACCATTCAGTCACGGCAGCTGTCTGGCAGACATGAGTTACCCTATGTGGTAGGAATGTAGGATTGATGTAGGGAGGCATCTCTGTTTCGTATTTCAATGTATACCAGAGATGCCTGTGTTGGTGCTGCATGTTTTACTTCTATCATCTGGTTCCACCATGTTGTAAGTTCTTTCATATGTATTATAGGCATTTGCTTACATGTGTAGGATTTACACATATACAAAATAAGACGTGAGTATGTTCATTATGTAAACACAAATTCACTCCGGAGTTGTTTTGCATATGGTGCAAATTTTTACCTAGTTGGACGAGATGCAGAAGTATTCTTACATATATTCAATTTTACACCAAGAGTACCGGTAACTTGTTTATTGACCCTGAGTGGCTCTTTGACTAGTCAAGATCCGGGGTAGAACAGGTCTTCAGCAACCCATTATTGACGTAAAAGGCGACTAATGGGATCGGGTGGTCAGGCACGCAGACTTGGTTGATGCATGCCATCGATCCCAATTGTGTGGATCGATGCTCATGATGTCAATCATGATGTTCCAGACTTGATTATTTACAGACTGCCGTCATATAGCTCCAATATTGCTGAGTTCTGGCGTTCAACAACAAACAAACAAAACAAAAAACTTGGACTCGTCTCCTGTGGCTTTAAGTTATCTTCTAGCCCTGAACATTATAACTGAAAGGTAGGCTTGGTCATACAGAATTACTCTTTCCATTCAGCATTTGTGAATGTACCCACGACTAATCATTACCTCAAATCAGATGTCTGCTCTTTTTGTCCAGATAGTCCTCCCCCATGTTTGTCCACATACGAGGCCAAAACAGAGTGTCGACTCATTTTAACAATTATGTTTATATGTAAAATTGCATATATGTAAATTATGCACATGTAAGCAAATATGAGCATGTAAATGAGGTTTGCACTTCTTTCAAATGTATTATTTACAGTTTTTATGATGTGTACCACATGTCATGATGTGAATTGATGGATAACCAAACAGATTATTGTCTTGATTTGTACACCAGTGCCATTGTACAAAACAACCTTCGTGCTACGACTGTCGTAAGTCTATGTTGAGGTATGGGCATTATGATCACCTGAGCGGTAAGATCGCTTTGTGCAATGGCACCCTGATATGTAAAGAGATGCAGTAGTGTTCTTACATCCATGGTAATTATCCAGTAAACATGATCAGAGGCAGAACCATGGACAAGTGACCAGCTTGTCACCGTATTGATATTATAAATTTGTATATTTTTATTTGTAATCTACATTGTTTACAAGAGCAACTCTGACTTGGCTGTTTTTCAAGATGGTGAAATAGGTGTGCATTTTATGATAACTAATTGGGTAGGGTTAATCTAGAATGTGATTATACACGCACGTAAACAGGACTGTAACAAGCCACTGTGCACTGAGGAATCGGGCGGTGGGGTAGCCTAATGGTTAATGCGTTTGCTTGTCATGCCAAAGGCCCAGGTTTGATTCTCCATGTGAGTACCATGTCTGAAGCCCATTTCTGGTGTCCCCCGCCATAATATTGCTGGAATACTGCTTGAAGCAGTGTAAAACCATACTCACTGAGGAATCACTACGTTATGAGTTGAAGTATTGTTTAATGAGGTTATGTATGGGTTTTGAGTAGATTAAAATTTAACATTGCATTATCAATATTTCAGCCATATCGACATGTTGTATGACATGAATCATGCATGAGATATACTTTTCTGGCAGTAAGGTTCTCAAACCATTGTTAGTTTAAATAATTGATAAAGTGTATCTGGTACTCAATATGTTTTCCTGGACAAACTATTTACCCGTTGATGATTGAATCCAGCTGGATTATGTGATCACTTTTCATGCAGCATACCTTCGATCATATCACAACCTTCCTGTGTTGATGCATGTCATAATGTGACAGTGTATTGTTACAGTGCTGTACAACAAATACGTCATCTCACATTCCACGAGTCTGTCATTCAGACCTATTCTAGTTCTGTAGTTGCATAGCTTTTAGAACTGATTTACTGACACAATGTCTTGATTTTACATGGTGGATTCTGAACTTCTTATATTTTCCCTATTTTTTATGTACTTACACCACTATGGTGCGTTATGCCCATTGTTTATTGGTGGGGTGTTATTTTTTGTAACAACCCTGCACATGCAATTGCCGCGACTGGGGACTGGGCCTCAGTTCATGATGTCGTGTAGAGCACTTCGCTTCTAGGCCCACATAGTGTATGTGCTTTTGGCTCACTCTTGAGGAGGGCAATAACCTATACATATCCAGCTTGAGGCTGACTGCTCGGTGTTCAGGGCATGACAGTGGAATAGAAGCAGACAATATAAAGGAAATTATGTCATCCACAAAGTTGGGACATTCTCAACCTGAAACTGTAATTTATGAAATATCCTTGGTGTCAGTTTCTTGGACTTCCTATTAGTATTACCTGGTAGTATCTGAAGCCAGTCAGATGAAGAATCCGTCCATATGTATTAATTTATTTCTAATTGATGAATAGTATTTATTCTCTACTATGTTGGATTTCTGTACTCCCAATTTGTTGAGAAATTCTGTGATCTTTAATAAATGTTACATAAATTAGCCTTTTGTGTTCTTCTCTTCATTGTGGAGTATCCCTTCACCTCAACAGTGCCCACTGACAATATTTCAAAAGGATATCTTTCAAGTCTTTTGAAAAGATCATCAACAATGTCTTGACAGTAAATATGATTTAATTCATTATCAGAGATTGCATTATGTCCATCTTTTGGCGTATGTACACGGTATTCTTTGTGAAACATCATGTGAAGAACAATGCCATCAACTGTTGGAAGACCAATCATCCATTTTACTGTATACTTACTTTAAATTCTTCAACAATAAAATTCAATGAAATAGTTTATGTTTTCTTAAACATGATGACATGGATCAAAGGATAGTTACAACAGTATCTTCTGGCAACGTGTGGCATTTTAGGTACACCTAAATATACCAGGATATCACCTCCGAACTGTCCAGATATCCCCATTTTTGGCATATTTGACATCAGCAGTGTGATGCAGACAAAACCAAGTTATGCTGTTTCAATGAACAGAACACTGGCACCTCACATAACTGCACTGAAGTAAGTTGGCATAGTCTTGTTTCCTGTACCATCTCAAAGCACACATGAACAGATCAAAAACCTGTCATGTCCCCACCCCAACACCATCTGCTCCCTCTTCATCCAACAGACCAAAGGATTTGTACACCTTGTGCTGGCGAGAATTCCGGAGCTTTTTCAGATCATCTGCATACTGTTGTTCTCGCACCAGCTGTCTGCGTTGCTCCTCGAGTTCGGCCTTGTGTTGGTGCAGTGCCCGGGTCGTCTGTATCAGCCCCAGCAATTTTCGCCTCAACTGCCGGTTCTCCGTCTTGATGTGGTTTGTGTGTTCCGTCAGACATTGAGTTGCCTCCTAGAGAAATGAACAAGGAGAAATCATTGACCAAGGTGTTGGACCAGAGCATGCATCTTCAGACACACAGAGTTTTACATTAAAATATATAAATTGAAAAACTGGACACAAATAATATCCAAAGCAAGTTTTGACCAAAAGAGTATGTCTGTTTGAATCATTTAGACTTATTTAATTGTAGCATGCAAATAAAGCTCATTTGACATTACCATTCAGATAACAGAATTACTATCAGGAGATCAAAAGATCATCTTCACTCAATCACTAAGTTTTGTTTTGAACAAGGAAACCAGTACTTAGACCTCAAGTAGGTCACAGTGGTCAACATGTGACTCCCTAACTCACAGATAGACCACTGTATTGTAATATGCATTGATCTATGGTTACATCCCACTCTTCCCCGTAAAGATCTGGGGTGGAATAGGTCTTCAGCTACCCAAGCTTGCTGTAAAAGGCGACTGTTTGTCAGGCTCGCTGACTTGGTTGACGCATGTCATCGTATCCCAATTGCGTGGGTAGATGCTCATGATATCAATCACTTGATTGTCTGGTCCAGACTCGAGCGGCGTTTAACCACAAACATACAAACATCCCACCCTTACCTTGTTAGCCTTTTTCTCAAGGGTTGTTATCCGAGTTTCGGAGTCCTGCTGGAAGTCATGTTTCTCAGTGAGAAAATTTGACTTGAGTTGCTGGATTGTCTCGGAATGCTTGGCACGCATCTTCATCACTTCCTTCTCCAGGTTGCGGATCTTGGTGAGCTGCTCTGTCTGGAGGTCCTGTGTACACCGATAGAGAGGACATGGTCACTGAATGTGCAGAGGTGTGGGCAACAAGTTGAACTCTTGGATGGGAACAAACTAACTGTAGATCAAACTGCAATTTCCATAGTTTCAACAACAGTATATCAACTCTTCATACATGTCATAGTTAACAACATGTCTTGAATAAATGTATAGTTTATTCCTCCAGTAATACACACGAGTCAGTGTTCAACACACTTTGAATATAGCTGGTGAGTGACACAGCCAGTTATACTCTCAAACCCCTGAGTCTGCACAGGATAGTCTCGAACCAATTGTTCTGGCTTGATACATGACACTTTTTCAGGTGACAAGGTATCATATTTGATCTGTAACTAGTCATACATTAAGACCATGCTATCAGACATGACACATCAAGAAGTTTGTCATCAAACCTCATTGTTGACATTTTAATCTCAGTGTTTGTTTACATAAAGCTGACCTTGTATTCCTGAAGGTCACTCAGCTCCTGCTTTGTCTTGGTTAGCATATGCTGCTTCTCCAGCCGCACATTCTCCAGGGCTGGACAACAGAAGACACAATATCATCAACCGAAGATGCACAGTGGATATACCAACAACAGAACACAGTGGATAAGAACAACAGAAGACACAGTTGATATACCAACAACAGAACACAGTGGATATAACAGCAACAGAACACAGTTGATATATCAGCAACAGAACACAGTGGATAACAACAACAGAACACAGTGGATATACCAACAACAGAACACAGTGGATATATCAGCAACAGAACACAGTGGATATACCAACAACAGAACACAGTGGATATACCAACAACAGAACACAGTGGATATATCAGCAACAGAACACAGTGGATATACCAACAACAGAACACAGTGGATATACCAACAACAGAACACAGTTGATATACCAACAACAGAACACAGTTGATATACCAACAACAGAACACAGTTGATATACCAACAACAGAACACAGTTGATATATCAGCAACAGAACACAGTGGATATACCAACAACAGAACACAGTGGATATATCAGCAACAGAACACAGTGGATATACCAACAACAGAACACAGTGGATATATCAGCAACAGAACACAGTGGATATATCAGCAACAGAACACAGTGGATATACCAACAACAGAACACAGTGGATATACCAACAACAGAACACAGTGGATATACCAACAACAGAACACAGTTGATATACCAACAACAACAGAACACAGTTGATATACCAACAACAGAACACAGATGATATACCAACAACAGAACACAGTTGATATATCAGCAACAGAACACAGTGCGTATATCAGAAACAGAAGACAGTGGGTATATCAGCAACAGAACACAGTGCGTATATCAGAAACAGAACACAGTGGGTATATCAGCAACAGAACACAGTGGATATACCAACAACAGAACACAGGGCATAACAACAACAGAAGACACAGTGGATATGAACAACAGGAGATGCACAGTGGATATCAACAGAAGACACAGTGGAAATCAGCAATAGGACAAACACTGGATTTCATCAAAAGGAAAGCACTGGATATCAACAACAGAAAACACAGGGGATATCAACAACAGAAGACACAGGGGATATCAACAACATGATACAGTGGATATCAGCGACAGAAAACACAAGGGATATCAAAAATAAAAGTGAGGGAAGTAATATACTCTAGATTCTCAGACACTGGTGCATCACAAAGTATCTCCAAATAGCCATACTTGTACAAAAGTAATTCCCTTTAGAGAAACAAATAATCTGCTGACCTACAGCTCTCCTAGAAATAAATGGGAGCTTACAGATCTTCCTAAGGGAGCTTCATGCCTATGACATGTGACACATACTCAGTCCAGTAGTAGTATATATTCTAATTAAATATATAACATCTAAATGAAGGGACAACAAAAAATATGAATCTTTATTATAATTCCTTTAGGAAGACATCCCCTTTAAGCCTTGTTCATGAGTCCCAAGACTCAACTTCAATGGCAATGTAATCATTGTCTGATTTTGTTCATCTAAATACTATGTTTGATATCATCAAGAGGAAACCGAATCTGAAAAATATCATGACTAAGCCTAGATGGCAACTTTAGGACTTTTAGCAACCAAGGTCACTCTGTCCATCTCAAGATCTTCTTGCTAACCTTTCTTTTTCTCATCGAACTCCTCCTCCATGAGCTGTTTCTGCATCTGAATGTTGCGTATCTCCTGCTTGTTGTGGTCACTCAGTGTGATGATCGCAGTCTGACGCTTGCTGGTCTTCTTCTCCATGTAACTCATGTACTCATGCTGGAAGATACACCCACATCACAACATATCCATACACAGTAAAACAAATGTGTACAGCATAATACAATAAAAAATGTCAAAAGAAGGAAAAACGGTCACAATCTTTAATGGATGGGTTAAACATACACAGCTGAGACTTTAATTCCCTCCTGCTAACCTTTCATACCCATTAAAGCAACTTTCTTGAACGGCAAGAAAACAATGCAATAAAACGGCTAAAACATGCACAATCTGGAATATGGGCTAATTTGTGAACGTGTCACAGATTGACTCTCTCCATTTAGTTACTGACCAAATTCTACCTGAACTTCTGTTCCGTCATTGTCATGTTTACAGTTAAAAGTGGAAGCAATGACAATTGCAGCCACCCATTGGGAGTTGACTGCAGCAAACCCACAAAGGTAGACTTCTCTGTACTACAGGAACTATAAGACTAAAGAAATGGAAACGTGTCTCAGTACTTACACTCTCCACTCGCACTTTGTGAGCCTCCTGCTGCAACCAGTCATTCTCTTCCCGTCTGAGAGTGGGAGTTAAGTTTACAAAACACATATGTTACTTATATAACCGAATCAACTCACTATAACGTTGCACTGATCTATGGGGGTGGGGTGGGGGTTTGGGGTGGGGGTGGGGTGGGGAGATATGATAAAAGTATGTAATGCTAACAAAATGAAGATCTTACAGTATGCTGACATAAATGATTTGACTTGAGCAAACATCAGATAATTTATGTTAGCATACTGTAAGATCTTTATTTTGTTAGCATTACATAGTAATTTATGAAAATAACAACAAAGCTTTATGACTAATTCAGATCGGTTCATTTCTAGGACAGTGACTCAATGTCACCCAAAATATCAGGAAGATTTTGTATATATTTGGTATTGATACACAAGAATCTCCTGGCAAAATTATAATGTCATGAAAATGTCCTCATGCCATTTTCCTCTATGAAAATCACTGTAATGAGTATGAAGATATGTGGCAAACATGTGTCCCACAGCTCACTCAAGGACAGACTGACAATGACATGTAAAAGGTATACCTCTGGAGAACAGGTAACACATGGATAAGTTGTGTGGGAATAGGGATGGTAAGAGCCAGGCTGCACAATAATAATAATAATAATAATAATAATAATAAAAAATCCCTCTTTGTTTAAGGATACAAATCTTCAACCTTTTTCTTTGAATTTTCAAGTTCTTCTGTGACCTTAACCAACCTACAAATAAACATAAAAAGAAATGTTAGTTTTGATCATGATGCTTTATGTAGTGCTAAGTGTCAATGTTTATATAAAAATTTAAAAAACCATCATTTACATCTTTTATTTTTGTGCCATCATTATCAAGAATTATCAGTCTCTGAAAAACCGTAGGCCTGTAAGCCTATGACTTCAGCATGCCTAAAAATTTAGGCTAGCCTAGGCCATATTAGGTTTATCTGGATAGAATCTAGTGTGTAGGGGCCTATATATCAGTATATAAAAACTTACTCTTGCTGCAGCAATATCTCTTTCTCGGTTGGTTCTGGTGTTTTTGGTCTCTCGTATTCATTTGATGCATCATCTTTTCCCTTTCCGCCTTTCTTTCCTTTTTTACCCTTCCCCTTCTTCTTTGGTGGCATCTTTGTAAAGTCGCTGAACGATCTCGTATAGGCGTTGCCTGGCAACGAATAATAGCTTCGTTTGAATTAGTTGTTTCGTATGATAGGAACAAATGTTTTTGTTCTTCAGAAACATATTTGTCCGTTTTTAATAGAGAAAAATGTATATCAACATTTATAATGTCATGTCAGTTGGAAGCGAGAATTGATAAATGTTTTGAATGTTGAATACGCAACTTTACAGCAGAGCTGATTAAAAATGGCAGCCCCCACGGATAACATGTCAGACGTCAGTGACGAAGAACTCAATCTATTCTCATCGAATTTTGATCCTTTGCGAGCTTTGTACTCGACCAATATCCCTGTTCAGTTTCCAGACGTTCGAGTGTTTAACAATGTCGCAGAATACGAAAGCAAAATGCAAGGAAAAGGGAGAGCTCGTCAAGATCCACATGTGTCAATGTCCCAAAATCCGCCGTCCCAGACAGCGAGTAGACCTAAAGCTCCATCACACAAACCGTCTGCTCAGGGCAGACCGGTTCTACAGATGCCTGACGCCAGTATGCATAGTGTAAGACGTAGGATGCTAAGGAATGTGTTGACACGAATGGATCAAAGTAAGCTCTCAAAATATTTGACAAAAAGTGGAAGGCAGCAACCATTTAATTTTCAGTGTGTGTGTGTGGTTCTAAAAAAAGATAAACAAGACCTTGGTTTACTGATTTCTTTTTAACATATGCCTCGCATTGTAGGAAAATATATAATATGCCCTCTTCTTGCAGATAAACGTCAAAAGAATATAGTTCATTTTTTACATTTATTTAAAAAATTTCATTGAGCATGTTGAGTATACTCAGAACCCATGGTACCGCGGCATTCATCGTATCGCAGCATTTGTGATTTCCAGTTGTTCATGTGGGACATACATCCTAGTCGCCGTTGTCTAAATCAAATAAGTAACCAGAAAGTCCACGCTTCATAAATAATTTCAATTTCTGCAGAATGTTCTATAAGTAAGTATTTATTGACATGTTGATACTTACTTCTGAGTCCTGACATCTATTTAATATTGCCTTATCACATATATCATAACACAGTTTCCCATGTAAACTTTCTCTATCGACCTGAACTAGATCGTCTGCATGTTCATGGTGACAAATAAGGTAGCGGAAGTGACGTAGTCGTCATAATTTTCCTTCTATAAAGTGGCCAGAATATTTTAGGAGATAATAAGGGCCATAATGCCATCCTATCAATATGTTCTTCACCAGTAGCCAAATGATAAATACATACTGTTGTCACTAAAGGAGTGCTTTTTAGATATTTATTGTTAACATTTAACACATTTTCACTTTTTGGGACAAGTTATTTTCATCCTATTTTTTAATAAAAATCTTAAAATATCTTTTCTGATGTTTTGTTATTGGTTTTTAAAAAAAATCTTAGTTTTCGGTAAATATGTTTTGAATACCTATTAATTATTACACATAATGAATATTACTTGTGCTGTCTTTGCACTTGTCTGGATAATTCACATAAGTCTGGCATCATCATACTTTGTGGTTGGTAGAAATATGTCCTGTTTTGACAATTTTGGGCCTCCATACACAACTTTTCCCTGTACTGCAGTACACTGGAGTTCTCTCCCTAGTTAAACTGAGTGAGATGCCCGGCTTTCACTCGGTGCATCTAATGTAAATAATGAACATTTATCGGTAAAATATGCATAGATAGATAAAATACATGAATCTGATCAAGAGAACATGAATAATAAATCATAAACATAATAAAGGTCAGTGAGGGCATTTTGTTCACTTTTGCCTACATAACAAGTAAACGTGATAACCCAAGGTTGCAGGCTACTTGTATATTATGTAAACTTATGTTTATATGTTTATTTGAGCTGCTGAACATTAAAAAAATATGCTGATCTGAAATGGTTGCTCCTTTATTTACTTTTTATGTGATTCGGCTTGACAGCAGTTTACCTTGTGCATCTTGTTGCGCTAATTAGCTCCGGGAAACCAGATGTGGCTCTTGCTTCATGGACCTTGCCTGCCTCTTTGATCAATAGGGTTAGTTGTGTTGGGGTTGGGGAAGGTTACCACAACTCTGCCCTTACCCTTGGATATGGGAATAAAACAACTAGTCCGTCTAGATTCTTAGTAGTCTCAGAACAACGGACTAGTAGGCATGTCTATCCCTGGATAAATGGTTATGGCTAGGGTTAGCTATTTCACCTCCTTTAACAAATTTATCAAGTGTTATTTCAGGTAAATCCTTACAATTTTACGAGTATGAGTTGCGCAATGAATTATGGCTACCGCGGATGCATATTATAATAGAAATTGAAATTGAAAAATTGGGTACTGATCACTAAGTAAACAAAAATGAATTATTTGTGATAGCACACGTTGTCCCATGGTAAACTGTTGGTTTATTAGATTAACTCATTAGACTAGCTAGCTTCAAACTGGCAACGCAAGTTCGAAATCCAAAAAAGTGCATTCCAGTAAAGTGCAGTACTCCCGATAATATTTATCTGATTCGTTAAATGTCTTTAAGTCTCCTTCTCAGCAAATACATGAAAACAATCCACTCACATTCATAACAATGATCTCAGGGAGTCACTTGTACCCATAACAGGCCTATCACACCTACACGTTACATCCTCTACTGCTGATAATATTGTTGAATAATAACAATTCATTTTTATATCCGCACAAGTGCAGGCCTTATCATGCTTATTGCACAATAGCATGCCCAGACACATGTTCAAAGAAAGTGTTCTTCTGTACCATGTATGTAAAAGTTACTTCCAAACATTTTCAGCAGACCCAGCTGATTTTGTTGTGTCTTGGGTTTACCAATAACAGCCAGAGACTAAGTAAGAGTCAAAGCAGTGGCAACATCTGACGTCTCCTTCTCCAAAAAAGGTAAAGTCTGTTCCATCAGCTGGCAAGGTGATGGCTTCCAGTTTCTGGGATTCACCTATTGTTGGACTACCTCCTGAAAGTCAGACTATTATGATCTCTTACATGATTAAGACTATGCTAAGCTGCATAGGCAACTGCATGTGAATATCAAGGCTAAACATCATGGAGGTGAGTCTCTAAAGGTGTGTTGGTCCATGAGGACAATGCATCTACACAAGTTTGATTGTGCTATGTCGGCAATGCAAGACTGGCTTTGAATTCAGTTAACATCCTCCGTTTTTACCAGATTTTGCATCATCATATTTTCACCTCTTCCCAAGCTTGAAGAAATAAATGTCTGGCAAGCATTGTGCAAATGATGATGATGTCATTTCTTCTGTGGAGGAAATTTTACACTCCCAGGAGGAAGCCTTCTACACCAGTGGGATCCAGGCACTCCAGCATTGTTGCCAGAAGTGTGTGGACTTCGAAAGGGATTATGTTGAAGTAGTGTCTGAAACTCAGCAGAGTAAAATGAAAGAGCCTTTAATCATGTTAATAATTGTAGGCCCTGTGGAAAAAGTGTAGGCCCATGCATTTTAGCTGAATCAGGGAGACATACTCTTGGAGGATAAATTACAGAACACAACCAGTCAACCAGTGACTTCGTGGTGATAAATGAAGTCTACACTTATCGGGAAATTATCAACTTGTGAAACATCTTTGCGACTCCCGGTACATGTCATACACCATTTGAAAGGTCTAATTCTACTGTTTATTAATATGAAAGTTATGTTTATCCCATTACTTAAATAATGCTTAATAAATCATTACTTAAGTAAACTGCATACCATAAGCATGATAAGGGGCTATTGAAAATAAAGACTATCAGCCCGAGAACAAATCTGTCTGCCTCTGGCCTACGGGCTGATGTCTATTTTGAACACTGTGTTGAAGAAAGATTAGCAACCAACTCAATCAACACAGGCCATCTCCGTCACTCTTCATACATGTACAGATTTATATCAGTTATGATTTTTTATCTTTGAATGGAAGCTTGAAATATGAGGAATAATAATCTCATCAGCACTCTAGTAAGGAATAATCATATACACAGCAACCGTTGAACAAGCATATTACATGATTTCAAAAATGGAGATCTGAGGGGTTTGGTACTTGGCATTTGTGTTTTTATCTCTCGGTCATGTGGTTACCAGAAATATGAAAGTTATGTTCATTGATTAATCTGAAAGAAAACAGGCAAAATAATTTTCCATAGTCACTAACCATGCTAAAAACATGTTTTCTACCTTGGTATGTTTTCTTTTTTAGGTTTTGTTAACATGGTTAACAACACTTTTGTTACATACACTTGATCTTTGGACCCGTGAAAATCCCTGGGAGAATAGGTCTTCTGCAGCCCATGCTTGCCATAAAAGCCAACTATGCTTGTCATAACAGCCGACTAACGGAATAGGGTGGTCAGGCTCACTGACTTGGTTGTTGCATGTCATCGTATCCCAATTGAGCATGTTGAGTGGATTGATGCTCATGATGTCAATCACTGGATTGTCAGGTCCCGACTTCATTATTTACAGACCGCCGTCATATAGCTGGAATATAGCTGAGTGTGGCGTTAAACAACAAACAAACAAACAAAAACATTTGATCTTTGCTCATTCAGTCGATTGTGATCATTGTTGTTTGCAGCAAATTCTACCTCTACTCAACACATGACAGTCACTGAATGAAACAAGACCTTTCTTCAGCATTGGCATTGAGTTGTAGTAAGGTGTGAGTGGTACAGCCAGATATGTGTTCTTGTTCCAGGCTTCATCAGTGGGCCGCTGAGTATCTTGCGGCGCTGTGTTCAGGAGAAGCTGCAGACATACATATGGACTCGCAGTGCATGCAGTGTTCGGGGGATTCTCAGAGGATATGTTGTAGCTTTCGACAAACACTTTAATTTGGTAAGGGTTAACAGTCTGGAAGTTGTCATGTCAGGTGACCATTCTCAAGCCCTCGAGGGGCGGTCGGATAGCCTATTGGTTAAAGCGTTCGCTCGTCATGCTGAAGACCCGGGGTTCGATTCCCGACATGGGTACTATGTGTGAAGCCCATTTTTCTGGTGTCCCCCGCAGTGATTTTGCTGGAATATTGCTAAAAGCGACGCTAAACCATACTCACTCACTCACTCACTCAAGCCCTTGATCGTTTGTCCTACCATGCCCACAAAGCAGGTTAATAATGGATTGTCTTTGAATTGTTCACAGTGCTAAATATGTCTCTGTTTCATCCTTCCTACGGAAGTTTAGAATTACTGTCACTACAGTCGACTTGGTCTGTTTTGTCAGCATGCTCCATATGTTGGAGATCAACGAAGTACACAATGGTACAATCAAACCCATTTATTTCTTATTGTGTGCAGGCAATGATTGATGTTGATGAAGTCTACAGAATTCCCAGTGTTTGCAGGAAGAAAATGAAAAAGGTACAAATATATATATATTTAAAATTTAAAACAATACTTCCTCCGACATGTTTCTTTCGTATCATCAGGGAGAATTATCATCATATTGTATCATCAGATTCTCCCTGATGATACAAATGAAGTATGTCGGAGGAAGTATTTGTCGTTGTGTTTTGTTTTAAATTTATAATATATTGGAATGTACACTCGAATTGTAAGTACATTTATTTATGTTAATATATATATCTTTATGAGCTCAATATCGATTTTGTTAATGTCACTATTCATCGGTCCTGTTTTGTATGTTTAGGGATGAGTTTTGATAATGTAATATGTTAACATCTTTTTATGGAATATGGAAGCTGTATCAATGCTGACACAGTTGCCTTATGGATTTGAGCTTCTACATTCTTTCAATGTGATGTTTCAATAAGGATGCTAGTATCTTATCAAGCAAGTGATCAACAACTGGGTAGGACATGGTTAGGTAGCTAACATTACATATCTTCTTGTTTCTGACAGATGAGAGATGTAAAACAAGATCGCCTGGCTCAAGAAAGATCTGCAGATGTAGAGATGGATGAAGCTGATGCAAGAGCCACCCCTCGCAGTGAAGATCAACGCAGACATTTCGTATCAGAGCGATTATCCTCCACACAGACAACTCGTCGCTCTACCTCAACAACTCATACACACCAAACCTCAGGTCAGGTCTTGCAATGTGAAACACCTCTGCCCCGTGAAGCAGCCTGGCTTGGACTGAGACCAGAAGATGTTCAGTGGCGACATGTGAATCAATTGTTCATAAGGGGAGATAATGTGGTGTGTGTCAATCTTGTCGGTACTTGAAGGAGATAAATCAGATGACAACTGCTGTGTTTGGTTTACATTTGTTTTTATTTGTTTTAGTTTTTAAGTCAACAGATCTGGAAAATAATGAAGCTCCTCTAAAATCTGACACTATTTGATGTCCCTGAAATCCCACATTTAGACATGGTTTTCAGTATGTATTGGGTTGGGTACTACATGTAGTTGTCAGTGGCTGACTATACCTTTGGAAGATTGAAGAGAGTAAGATTACCGTATTCGAGGTAATAAGCGCCTAGGGGGCTCTCAAAATTAGAAATAGGGGGCTCTTATTAGAATATTATTTTGGTGAAAAAACAGAGTTGAAAGATAAGTTTCATGGTTTATGCTGACAGCCTGAAATGTTTATATACAGATATATTTTTCCAGAATTTAATTGCCCATAATTGAGGGTGTATATTACACACGAGTGCGTATAATACACGAATAAATAGGTCTTTGTACATGTTGTATATTGTTCAATCGGAAGGGGTGCTAATTGGGATTGTTCACTAGCCATTATATTAGCAAATATCGCCGTGGGCGATTAGAGCAGGGCGCTTATTACGTCAAATACGGTATTCACGTTTCATTTACTCCCAAGTTTTATATTTGGTGTATACGTTTTGCCTACACTTTTCTCATAACAAATCTATGAAGTACATAAATGTGTACTAGGTGTATGCCTGAGTTAAGAATAAGATATATGGTGTCAGCATTGACGATACAAGAATGTCCAAGCCATATAAGAAATTACACAGGTACGGTTGGAATGATGTTTCTGTAGATAATGTACATTAACCTCCCAGCTCTGTTCCAGCTTGTGACATGGGACTGTGTCAGGCTACCAATAGAACTGTGTTTACCCACAGTAAAACTAGTGTTTACAATAGGGATATCCCTCTAAAGAGCCTACAGTGTCAGTGGTTGAGGTTGTTATAATTATTAAATATTAAGCTCCAATGTGATCTACTCTAGGACAAGACCGCCTCTGTGGTCTAGTGGTAGAGCGTCCGCCAGGAGAAGGTGAGGTGAGGTGAAATCGGGTTTAACGTCGCGTCCAAGATTATTGCACTTATATAGCGACGTGCATGCACGTGTATGTGTGTGTGTGGCTGCTTGTACTAGTCCGGACTGATGCCGATTTATAGTGCTAGCTCACTGAGATACCATGCCGCAGTTTAACATGAATACCCCACTCAGACACAGTATACTGACTCCGAGCCGACCAGTCCTTGTTTTAGCCCCTTAATGCCGAGCGCCAGACAGGGTAACAACAAGTACAATCTTTTAACGTCTTTTTGTATGACGCAGCCCGGGATCGAACCCTGGACCTTCCGCTCTCCGGGCGGACGCTCTACCACAAGACCACGGAGGCGGTCGCCAGGAGAAGGTCTGGTGTTCGATCCCCGGCCGCATCATACCAAAAGACGTTACAAGATGGTACTTCTGGTTACCCTGTCTGGCGCTCGGCATTAAGGGGCTAAATCAAGGACTGGTCGGCTCGGAGTCAGTATACAGCGCGCGCCCACACGCACACACACATGTCACTATATAAGTGCAATAATCTTGGACACAACGTTAAACCCCATTTCACCTCACCTACTCTAGGACAACATATGCAAATGAGAATAGAGTATGATTATGCAGGTGATGTGTGGATGTAAGGTAAAGACCTGGAAGAGGATGTAGGTAGTATATTAGATGCCTTCCCGTGAAGAATAATTCTAATTCCCTTATTAAAGTTATAGTGAAGATATATACATCTATATAGCAGACCTGTCCAAACCATGTGTGTCAGCTTGTAACTTTAAGAACTGTACACGTATATCTACAAACACATTTGAAATCTCGTCACATTAACTAATGATCAAATTAATAACAATTTTTACTATTGTGGAAGTCAGATTGCAATTGGTGATGGGTGAAATAATCTTAAAAGATTTTTTTGTTGTTGTTGTTGTTGTTTAATGCAGCACTCAGCAATCTTCCAGCCTTGTGACCATGTTCTGTAACTAATCAAGTCTGGGCCAGACAATCGAGTGATTGACATCATGAGCATCAATCTACGCCTTTGGGATACGATGACATGCTTCAACCAAGTCATTGAGCCTGACCACACCATCCCGTTAGTGGCCTCTTAAGACAAGCATGGGTTGCTGAAGACCAAAAATTAATATATGGGTCCCGTTCCACAACACGTTCATAGGGCTATGATTGTTGTAAGTCTATGTTAAGCATGGGACTTACAATCGCTTAGCGTCGCTATATAAGTGCAATAATCTTGGACGCGACGTTAAACCCAATTTCACCTCAACTACAATCGCTTAGAGTGAGTGAGTATTGTTTTACACCGCTTTTAGCAATATTCCAGCAATATCACTGTGGGGGACACCAGAAATGGGCTTCATACTTTGTACCCACGTGGGGATCATTGCTTTATGGAATGGGACCCTGAACTGGAATATGGAGTACAGTCTTCAGTACTGATGACACAACAGCACATGCCAGTTGTATCATCATTGTTTTAAGTCGCAGCTGTCATTCTAACCTCGAATCCACACGGGATGTGGTATCTTGCCTGGGTGGCAAGGTGAATATACTTTAAAGGAGAAACATCCAGTTCCACCTTCTACACAATATCAAGAGTGCCTTCATGGTCTAGTGGATAGAGCGGCTACCCTGACTGGCACTCTGAATGAAGGGGATAAAATAAGGACTGATCAGCACAATGTGTCTTGAATAGGGTATTCATGTTAAACCAGAGCATAGTATCTCAGTAGGCTGGCACCATAAAACCAGCATTAGTCGGACTAGTCCAAGTAGCCACACATACATGCATACAACACTATATAAGTGAAATATTCTGGAATTCGTTAAAACCCATTTCTACACTATATCATGTTGTTAATGCAATGAAATAAGAGCATGTATTTATTGTCTTGTAAACCAGATCACAAGAAAACAGACAGCTTCATGGAATGTGTGCATAGTGACTATCATTCATTATTCACCAACATTTAAACTATATCACATTAAAACACTGCCAAACTATTACTTGCGTGCATCCATTTATCCTTCTTATGCAAAATGGCTTATGCATGATAATAATCTCATTACTAACCTCCTGTCACAGTGAATTTGAAACCAGATCATTAAAACATATGTTGTATCTGGATGAATCATCTATTATTTTTTTATTTTTTTCTATTATTGTTAATGCAGCCAGTAACGTTACAGCCGCATTACAGCTGTCACGGTAGCCAGTGAGCCTGGACAGACCAACAAGTGGTTGACAGCATGGGCGATGATCCTTCGAGGAACGTGGACACACACGCACATGGTACTATGGGTCTACTCGGTATTCTTCCCTTTGGCAGGACATTTGAGATGTTGGTTCGAGGTTGTATGGGTCGTCAATATTATACGCTTCATCAGACTTATTGTGTGGACGTTTTGGTGTAGTTGAAATAATAGGTCTGGTCAAATGTGCCGTCATCTTGGTAGTTCATGTAGAAGTTCTCGATGACGGCGTCTGCAGCGTCTTGAACGTTGGGAAACGTGTGACCACTTAGACGAGCTGAAACACACAGCATCCTTCAGCATACTGACAAGGCTTTAGTTTGAGTTACAGTTAGTGAATGTTACTAACGCTGCTGTTATCGTTTCCCATTGCGTCGACCGATGTTCATTATGTCAATCACTGGATTGCCTGGTCCAGACTCGATTATTTACAGACCGCCGTCATATAGCTGGAATATTGTTGAGTGCGGCGTTAAACAACCAACAAACAAGCCAACGCTGTTGTCAGCAATATTCCAACTATATCACATCAAGGCTTGTATAAGCGGGTGTGCACCAGACAAAACTATGACTGAAAACATGAGGAACGACCTATACACGTACTCTCGCATACACATAGCCATTCAAGACACCCAAAGGCTTACAAATACACCTGACCCGTAAAGATCCGGAATAGAAAAGAGACCATGCTTGTTGTAAGAGGCGACTAACGGGATCGGGTGGTCAGTCTCGCTGACTTGGTCGATGCATGTCATCGTATACCGATCGTCGATCGATGCTCATGATGCCCCACACTGGATTGTCTGGTCCAGACTCAATTATTTACAGACCGCCGTCATTTAGCTGGAAAATTGCTTAATGCGACGTTAAACAATAACAACAACAACAAGAAAAGTACACATAAATCTGATCCCATAGTCACGTCCCGCCGAAAATCACGGTTCGATTCCCAATAGGCTGGAAAATTGCTAAAATACGTTCGCTCACTGAGTCGCCAACGAAGGGTGCAAACAACGTTTACCTTCGCCGATGAAGAAGGAGGAAAAGTAGTGTGAGATGAGGACTCCATTGCTGGTATGGTCCAGCGCTTGCTTGGGGTTCCAGTCGAAGTTGATCACCTCGGGGTGCCACTGGGTGCCATAGAACGGGTACTTGAAGGCTGAAGCGAAGGCAGTATCGAGATGATGGCCATAACGAGACGTCCCGAGGCTTTATACACAAAAGTTAATCGTTCAAAGGACCTGTTGGATGTACTGGAATATAATGTATCGTGGGTCTCAAGTAGTCTGTCATACAGACCCTGATACAAATATATCCAATACAGCCCGTTCAAGTCTATAATGTTTGGCAAGTCTAGATTACTGCAGTATCTGAAAATGAAGAGTCTCTGGGCTCCTATTTACTATATTTTTATTACGATAATTTAACAACTGTATTTTTTTTCTGTAAGATTTGTTCATTTCAGAGACTAGATGTCTAGGTCCCATGCATTGGTTGACTCCTCCTTTCAAAGAAATACATTGTATGTATTCTACTCCACTTTTGATAGGGATATTTTTTTATCTTTCCAGGTTACACAAAACTGTCAGTCATATCTAAATATAGTATGATATATATAGTTATCCATATCAATAGTTGAGTAATATATTTAAGGTGAGGTGAAATTGGGTTTAACGTCGCTTCTAAGATTATTGCACTTATAGCGACGTGCATGTTCGTGTGTGTGTGTGGCTGCTTGTACTAGTCCGGATTGATGCCGATTTATAGTGCTAGCCCACTGAGATACCATGCCTCAGTTTAACATGAATACCCCACTCGGACCGTTATACTGACTCCGAGCCGACCAGTCCCTAATGCTGAGCGCCAGACAGGGTAACAACAAGTACCATCTTTTAACGTCTTTTGGTATGACGCGGCCGGGGATCGAACCCCGGACCTTCCGCTCTCCGGGCGGACGCTCTACCACTAGACCACGGAGGCGGTCTGAGTAATATATTTAAGCTCTGAATGAAAATATATTATATCTCAAACAAAATATCATGTATACTATAATCAATGACACTGCTTTACCATCTGCTGATTCCAGTCCATCAGCAGCCAGAAATGACACAGGAAATGCAGCCGTCGTATCTTTTCATCCAATACTAAGTATCAGATCTCGGATTGTGTTCTTCATTCGAATGTGTCACTTGTATTTGAATCCCTTAACCTCACCGATTCCTGTAGTGTATGCCAATCTCGCATCGTCTCTACTCTCTGCTACAGTCATCAGTACCCGTCTGTCCTCTCAATATCTTCTGGGGGCACGGGTGGCCAAGTCGTCTAAGGCGCCGCGATGCGCTGTGCAGATGTTGCGTCCCTTGGGCACGCCAGAAACCTATGATTGTGGATTCGAATCCCTGTTCGCCCCGATTATGTTTCTAGGTTTGTCAGCACCATACCCGTGCTCGTGGGTTTCACCGCAGTGGTAAACGTCTGAGACCTGCATCACTTCGGGCTTTCCTCCCACATTAAGCTGACACGCCGCGATATAACTGGAATACTGTTAAAAGCGGCGTTAAACCCAACTCACTCACTCACTCAATACCTTCTATGGTGGACGCAAACACCTTCCCCTTCCGGCCTCTGTTTGTGGAGATGAGTCTGTAGAAGGAGGTGAGCGACTTGGTCTGGCTGTACGTCTGGGGACAGAGTATATACAGCATATGATGTTTGTTTGTTGTTTAACGCCGCACTCTGCAATATTCTAGCAATATGACGACGGTCTGTAAAATAATCGAGTTAGACAATCCAGTGATTGATATCATGAGCATCGATCCACACAATTGGGATACAATAACATGCATCAACCAAGTCAGCGAGCCAGACCACCCGATCCCGTTAGTCACCTCTTACGACAAGCATGGGTTGCTGAAGACCAATTCTAACCGGGGTCACCACGGGTAACAGCATATGAACATGGCATGGTTAAACCAGAGAATGTTGTTATTTATACGACAGAACGTCCCTAATACATACACATCATATGAACATGGCATGGTTAAACCAGAGGATGTTGCTATTTATTCGACAGACCGTCCCTAATACATACACATAATATGAACTTGGCAAGGCCAAACCAGGGATGCTGTTGTTTTAAAAGTAGGAACGTCTGGAAACAGAATGCACACGTTATTGTTAAACCAGGGCACATTGCTTCAGTATTGCTCCTTAAAGGAGCTAGCAATCTGATTTATCTGTCTCCGTCTTGTAAAAAAGACACACAAGTCGGCTGGTCGGCCTGTGGGGATATCGTGATGTCTCATGTCACATTAGGGGCGGTCGGGTAGCCTAGTGGTTAAAGTGTTCGCTCGTCACGCCGAAGACCCGGGTTCGATTCCTGACATGGGTACAATGTGTGAAGCCCATTTCTGGTGTCCCCCGCCGTGATATTGCTGGAATCTTGATAAAAGCGGCGTAAAACCAAACTCACTCATGTCACATTAGCACTTCGAATTACCATACGTCCGATGGCGACCACACGAACACAAACAAATACTCCCCCGAAATATTTCTTTGAACTCGTAGTGATATCAAATTATTACATGTGTCAATAGACCTCCATGCCTCACCTCCAGCAACAATCCGTAGTGGTGGAAGTTGGGGGTGACGTTCTCAGTGGTCAGTATGTGAAACGTCTTCTGTGACAGTCGACTCAACAGCCTGCTGGACTTGGCATCTAGGGGATAGCATTGACCAGAGCTTGATTTATACAGTGCACATATTATCCTTAACACAACATTTACCAGAGCATGATTTATACAGTGCACGTATTATCCTTAACAACACAACATTGACCAGAGCGTGATTTATACAGTGCACGTGTTATCCTTTACAACACAGCATTTGCCAGAGCGTGATTTATACAATGTGCGTGTTATCCTTTACAACACAGCATTGGCCAGAGCGTGATTTATACAATGTGCGTGTTATCATTTACAACACAGCATTGGCCATAGCGTGATTTATACAATGTGCGTGTTATCCTTTACAACACAGCATTGGCCAGAGCGTGATTTATACAGTGCACGTGTTATCCTTTACAACACAGCATTGGCCTGAGCGTGATTTATACAGTGCACGTGTTATCCTTTACAACACAATATTGGCCAGAGCATGATTTATACAATGTGCTAGTTATCATTAGCAGCACACCATTAACCTGAGCATGATTATTACAGTACATATGTTATCCAAACAGCAGAGGACTAACAAGAGCATGATTTATACAGAGGACGTGGTATTAACATCACATCATTGTCAAGAGCATGATTTTTAAAGAGCATGTGTTATCTTTAACAACACAGCATTGACCAGAGCATAATTTATACAGAGCACGGGACAACGAATTAAAAACACACATGAACAAAAGATTTAGCAGCTATTACAAATAGAGAAAAGAACGTCTTTTGATATCAAATATATCAACACGAGTTGATAAAGTGGGAAAACTCCGAGGCTTGCCGAGGGTTTTTTACACTTTTATCAACAAGTGTTGATATATTTGATATCAAAAGACACGAGGGTGGGATTTTATTTATCATCCAACATCATTCTTCCAACTTTTTCAGTTTGTAGACAGTAATAAGCAGTGTCTTAAGTGTAACAAATACTGCTAACAACTTCAGTAGCAGAGCCATTAGTGATGTCATTTGATTGTGACGTCATGGTAACCAATGGCGTCACAATGGTCTGCAAAGCATTGTGATGCAATTTCATTTCAGCGATATCTACAGTGTAGATATCGCTTGATCTCACCCAAGCGATATCTCCTGTGGGAGCCAGTTTTGGATGATAAATATAGTCAAATTCTTTGAAATCAAATAATCATTATTCATTGTTTGTCTATCACAGAACCTTACATTGCTCACACGTAAGAAGAATGTACATCCCATATCAGGTTGTACAATCGATATTTACGTGGATGTTGACAGAGTGATAGTGATGTGTAATTTCCAAACAGCAATTGCCTGAACATCCTTCCAGTACATTGTCTCACCCGGGGTAAGGTCGAGAGGTAGGCTTATGTTCTCAGCATCAGTGGGCTGCAGGAGGTTGTGCCGGGCCGTCAGGTTGGTGAGGAGTTGGAAGCCCTGACAGGTGCCCCACAGGGGGAAGTGATCCCCGGCGTCGTTAGCCTGGCGGAGACACGGGGCAACAGAACACCATGAAAAAAAGCATCTGCTGAGTTCTCTGTTTACAGGATGTACGAAGCATGTGAATTAGTCGTGATTCGACTTAATCGCATACATGAGTTTCCATAGCAATATGTGTGTGTTGCGTGCGTTTGTGTGTGTATCAGGGAATGAGTGAGCGTGGTTTTACTACGCTTTTAACACTATTCCAGCAATATCACGGCGGGGGGCACCAGAAAAGGGCTTCACACAGTGAACCAATTTTGGGATTCGAACTCGGGTCTTCGGCGTGACGAGCGAACGCTTTAGCCACACGGCTACCCCATCGCCAGGTAATGTTGTATACTGTGTCACCTGCTGCGTACAAGGACAGTGTTTGTGTCTGATCTGACAGCACACAACACAGGCTACACAGGCTCCTACCTTCACCGCCATGTCGTAGATGATCCTGGCCGCCTTGGCGTAGTCGCTGCTCACAATGCCGACACTACCCCCGGGGAACAACACTCTGTGGGACACAAGTGTTCTCATGTCACGGCAACATAGTAAGCACGTATAACTGTGTTAATCATCACACGTCAAAGCTAGCTTATGAAGAACGTGAAACAACAAGCACACAATGGCCTTACCCGTTGATCTGCGAGAAGAGCTTGGCGTAGTAGGAGCCTGGTTCCCTCACTCTGCAATGGAGGATGACAGACATCAGCGTCATGTGTCATACTTCAGTCACCGTTACAACCCGTGTCCACTAACTCGTGTTCTCCGGGTTATCCCAGACTATACAATCGCCGGATAGTCTCCTCAATCTCGTGCCTTGATCAGCCAAGTTCGGAGTTACATTGAATACCATGAAACTGTCGTGAGGAAGAACGGGTGAGGAGGAAGGGGAACTAACTCTACTACAACAAGTACCCAACTGCGTTGGGAAGGTGACCACATGGCCACGTCTGTCAGATGAATGACCTCACCTAATCAATCTGACCTATTTGGCACTACCCTGGCCCCGCCGACCTGATGTATTCGATGATTGATCTCGCCTGACAGGCACTACCCTGACTCGCCTACCTGAAGTAGCAGATGATTGACCTCACCTGACTGGCTCTACCCTGGTCCCGCCTACCTGAAGTATTAGATGACTGACCTCACCTGACTGGCACTACCCTGACCCCGCCTACCTGAAGTATTCGATGACTCACCTCACCTGACTGGCACTACCCTGGCCCCGCCTACCTGAAGTATTAGATGAGCGACCTCACCTGACTAGCACTACCCTGGCCCCGCCTACCTGAAGTATTAGATGAGCGACCTTACCTGACTGGCACTACCCTGGCCCCGCCTACCTGAAGTATCAGATGACTGACCTCACCTGACTGGCACTACCCTGGCCCGCCTACCTGAAGTATGAGATGACTGACCTCACCTGACTGGCACTACCCTGGCCCGCCTACCTGAAGTATTAGATGACTGACCTCATCTGACTGGCACTACCCTGGCCCCGCCTACCTGAAGTATTAGATGACTAACCTCACCTGACTGGCACTACCCTGGTCCGCCTACCTGAAGTATTAGATGAGCGACCTCACCTGACTGGCACTACCCTGGCCCCGCCTACCTGAAGTATTAGATGAGTGACCTCACCTGACTGGCACTACCCTGGCCCGCCTACCTGAAGTATTAGATGACTAACCTCACCTGACTGGCACTACCCTGGCCCCGCCTACCTGAAGTATGAGATGACTGACCTCACCTGACAGGCACTACCCTGGCCTCGCCTACCTGAAGTATTCGATGACTCACCTCACCTGACTGGCACTACCCTGGCCCCGCCTACCTGAAGTATTAGATGACTGACCTCACCTGACTGGCACTACCCTGGCCCCGCCTACCTGAAGTATTAGATGAGCGACCTCACCTGACTGGCACTACCCTGGCCCCGCCTACCTGAAGTATTAGATGAGCGACCTCACCTGACTGGCACTACCCTGGCCCCGCCTACCTGAAGTATTAGATGACTAACCTCACCTGACTGGCACTACCCTGGCCCCGCCTACCTGAAGTATGAGATGATTGACCTCACCTGACTGGCACTACCCTGGCCTCGCCTACCTGAAGTATTAGATGAGCGACCTCACCTGACTGGCACTACCCTGGCCCGCCTACCTGAAGTATTAGATGAGCGACCTCACCTGACTGGCACTACCCTGGCCCCGCCTACCTGAAGTATTAGATGAGCGACCTCACCTGACTGGCACTACCCTGGCCCCGCCTACCTGAAGTATTAGATGACTAACCTCACCTGACTGGCACTACCCTGGCCCCGCCTACCTGAAGTATGAGATGATTGACCTCACCTGACTGGCACTACCCTGGCCTCGCCTACCTGAAGTATTAGATGAGCGACCTCACCTAACTGGAGCTACCCTGGCCCCGCCTACCTGAAGTAATAGATGATTGACCTCACCTGACTGACACTACCCTGGCCCTGCCTACCTTAAGTATTAGATGACTGACCTCACGTGACTGGCACTACCCTGGCCCCACCTACCTGAAGCATAGATGATTGACCTCACCTGACTGGCACTACCCTGGCCCGCCTACCTGAAGTATTAGATGAGCGACCTCACCTGACTGGCACTACCCTGGCCCCGCCTACCTGAAGTATTAGATGACTGGCCTCACCTGACTGGCACTACCCTGGCCCGCCTACCTGAAGTATTAGATGAGCGACCTCACCTGACTGGCACTACCCCAGCCCGCCTACCTGAGGTATTAGATGACAGACATTACCTGACTGGCACTACCCTGGCCCGCCTACCTGAAGTATTAGATGAGCGACCTCACATGATTGGCACTACCCTGGCCCCGCCTACCTAAATTATTAGATGAGCGACCTCACCTGACTGGCACTACCCTGGCCCCGCCTACCTGAGGTATTAGATGAGCGACCTCACCTGACTGGCACTACCCTGGCCCCGCCTACCTGAAGTATTAGATGAGCGACCTCACCTGACTGGCACTACCCTGGCCCCGCCTACCTGAAGTATTAGATGATTGACCTTACCTGACTGGCACTACCCTGGCCCCGCCTACCTGAGGTATTAGATGATTGACCTCACCTGACTGGCACTAACCTGGCCCCGCCTACCTGAAGTATTAGATGAGCGACCTCACCTGACTGGCACTACCCTGGCCCCGCCTACCTGAAGTATTAGATGAGCGACCTCACCTGACTGGCACTACCCTGGCCCCGCCTACCTGAAGTATTAGATGAGCGACCTCACCTGACTGGCACTACCCTGGCCCCGCCTACCTGAAGTATTAGATGACTGGCCTCACCTGACTGGCACTACCCTGGCCCGCCTACCTGAAGTATTAGATGAGCGACCTCACCTGACTGGCACTACCCTGGCCCCGGCCTGCTCCAGGTACTTGACATAGTTGGCCGGGATATAGGTGTCGCCATGTGTCTTGCTGGCTGTGGCCTGGGCGAGGACACCTGCAAGGGGGGATAACTCTTATGTGTGTGCAATGATGCAGGGTGTGTGAAAACGAGATAGACAGCTGGTATCTATCCATCAAGCGCCGATACTGCTTTTGTTTCAATCCATCCGAGGACATAACTTGTCAGTGTATAAAATACATCCTGCTTTCGGTCTCGTTGTCCCAGTTTCGTTTCCCTACACCTTTTCACTTATTCTCCTGCAATCCGTTCTCTTGTTGCCATGAATACTATCTTAAAATTTCGAACTTATTTTGTTGTAAACGTCCGGAGAATACGTATACTATACTATGTAGAGAAAAAGTAAACAACGTTATCTTGCCCGACGTGGTGTACATGTAAGTTTGTTATACCATACTTTATTCGTATTATCGGTGAATAAACCAACAGTTATGTACCAAACGTGTGGGACTATCCCAGAATATATTTATACAAAAATGATATATATATATATATATATATGTGCAACCACATAGCCGTGCACCAGTTGTATGTACCCGGCAGATCTGCACACTGACGCCACAAAACACTGTAAATTTGTAGGTCTAAAACACTCATGTATACTGGTAGGGATATACTCTGACGTAACTCGAGGCTGTAGAGCTGATCTGACCGAGTCGTTGTACCCCGTGAAGCAGAAGGCTCTTCGGCAAATCGAGACAAGAGACACAGAAATTAACCCTTGCTTCAGTAGGTGCTGACTTACCTATCACTGGTCTGTTGTTGTATGTGACGTGTCCTGCTGATGTCGCCACCACCAACACGCTGAGCTGCAGCAACACACACATCGCCATACCGTCCACGACAAAGGAGGAAGTATCTTGATTAACACTTGCACAACATACAGCTTGTACTGGTTATATATAGTAACCGCTCCACAAACACAGCTTGCAAGGAAAACGAGAGCAGCTTGTACGAAAATGAGCTTAATCATTATTTAGTCATATTTATATTGCTAACAGATGTGAGTAACTGTCTTTAGGTAATATTGCAAAATAGAATAACTCGTATATTGAAACATCGACTCTGCACAATAGCTACGATTGCAGCAACGACGCCCCTTCATAGATAAAATTGGAATAGGGACTCCCCCTAATTAGAGCATAGACGCCCGCCCCATCATAGACAAAATATAGTTATGTCGCATTGTCGCGCTTTGGTTAATTTTGACTCTTTTTGCTATTTTTAACGCGACAATGTCCCTTCTAGGATTTGATAATTACCATGTGTGTGTGTGTGTGTGTGTGTGTGTGTGTGTGTGTGTGTGTGTCTGTACATGTGTCTGGTCCCTATGTTGCTATAGCAGGTGTTATCTGTAACGTCATGTGACCGAGATAACGGTGTTTGTTCAATTGAGTCAACATGAGTGGTGTTCAGGTAGCCTGTTTTCTGCTGGTGGCGTCTCATATCGCCTGCCTGCCCCTCAACAACAGACCGATCATTGGTAAGAAACTACAACACCAAGTCACGTTCAGTTGATGGCCAATATTCTTTTCTCAGACAATGTTAAACTTGACGTCATGGATTTGTGTCGGCCGGTGCCTCAATTGAACAGAACCCACAATCAGATCTGCAATATGTCCTTGACCTTTATAACCCAGTGACCCCGTATGGATCACGGGTAAGGATAGGTCCCCAGCAACATATGCTGGTCGCAAGAGGCGACCAAATGGATCGGGTTGTCAAGCACGTGACTTGGTTGATAGCTGTCATCGTGCCCCGACGGGGTGGATCGTTGTTGATAATATCAACCACTGGTTTGTCTGATCTCGAATATTTACTGTTAAGTAGCTCAAATACTGCTGAGTTCGGCGTTAAACAATATACAGACAAAAGCATATCCAAGTGGGTAGGATTACAGCGGCGGATGCACGATTCATGAGAAGTCATGCTTCAAAGGGCAAAATGTTGTTGAATTAGGGTTAACCACAAAGCAAAGCTCAGGGATCAAACAATAAGCATTCCGCAAGGGTTAAACATAGAAATGACATGTGTTGATATTATTATTGTTGTTGTTGTTGTTGGTGGTGGTGGTATTTTTATTGTTAGTGTTATTGTTATACATGTTGATTCTGTATGCTGTACAGGTGTTGTTGACCAGTGCACGGGTTTAGACCAGCCATATGGCGACACTTACATCAGCGCGACCTATGTCAAGTTCCTGGAACAGGCGGGAGCCAGGGTAGTTCCAGTGAGGTGGGTCATTCAGTCGTTGAAACCGTAGGGGTGTATAAATCATGTATGTCTATCCTGGTTGCGTCCCCTGGCCGTGCACCGCTTCTGTGGTCAAGTGGTAGAGCGTCCGCCAGGAGAGCGGAAGGTCGGGGCATACCAAAAGACGTTAAAAGATGGTACTTGTTGTTACCCTGTCTGGCGCTCGGCATTAAGGGGCTAAAACAAGGGCTGATCGGCTCGGAATCAGTATACTTAGTCTGAGTGGTGTATTCATGTTCAACTGTAGCATGGTATCTCAGTGAGCTAGCTCTATAAACCGGCATCAGTCCGCACTAGCACAAGCAGCCACACACACACACACACACACACACACACACACACACACACACACACACACACACGTGGCTATAAAAGTGCAATAATCTTGGACGCGACGTTAAACCCAATTTCACCTCACCTCACCTCACCTCACCTCACCTCACCCCTTGGCCGTGGGAGGATTAACTGAGTAAGGATAAGAAACAATGTATATGGATAAACAATTTCTTTATTACAGTTAGGCGCAACATTTCGGTGTAGGTTCTAACACCGTTATCAAGCAATGATTAACTGGTTGTGATTTCTAATTTAAGACTTAACCCGAAGATGATCCTTGGTTCGACTCAAGTATGTATTTGAAGCCTGACGGGCCCATAGTTGTACGTCACGGTAGCTCAATCTCAGCTCATATATATGAAGACCTTTGATTTTTATGTCACGGTACTTGAATCCTAATCAAACAATATCATGTTCCTTGGTGTAATGGATTCTGAGAGGGCCATTGCAATACCTTGTCTTAGAAAGTTAGACCTTCTGTATATTTTTATGTGGATAGTAATCGGTTAGTCTAATTCGTTCCTGTTGTTATGAAATGGTCAGTTCAGATTACTGGAAGTAATAATGAGGCTCTTCTGCATTCCGGTTCCCTCCACAGAGTCAAGCAGCCTAAAGAATACTACGAAACTCTCCTTTCGCGCATCAATGGGTGAGTTTATCTCGACCTTGAAGGATACGCTTATGTCAGGACGCCATAGTAAAGTAAACTACGTTTATTACGAACACGCTTATAACGAACTAGCGAATATAAGGAACCGTTTTTGTGTCTCAGGCATTTGCCGTGTAATTGCTGTATATATGCTTACGAACAACGGTTATAACGAACTAAATTAGTGCTTCCTTTGAGTTCGGAATAACCGTAGTTTACTGTACTTTGTTCACGATACTATACTTATCACGATACATTATTTCACAGAGAAATGGCACAAATTGTTGTTGTTTTTTTATATAACAAAATCTCGTATTGGTTAAATAATATGTCGATGAAACATAAGGATTGACCTGACTCACATAACAAACCAGCGCTGATTGGAGAGATAAGATATACATAACCAGCACTGAATGACATTTCTCACTGTCCTCTGTATACAGAGTGCTATTCCCCGGGGGTGACCGCAATCTGACCTCCAGCTACCTCGCCACTGCCGCTAGGATCATATACGACATCGTCGTCCAGGTAATCTCACGTCGGACGTGGCAACTGTAGTTGGAAGTCTTTAATAAGGCGTAGATAGCGTTGTGGGGGTTGAGCAACGCTTGACGCGGCCATTGTCTCGCAATAGTGCACATGAGAGCTGGAAGGTCTCACCCCACTGGCAATTAAAACAAACAAACCTAATTCATATATAAACTCCCACATTTGAGTCAAGCAGGCTTTTTAATGACACAATTGCATGAATGTGTTCTGAATTATCAGAATCAATGAATAATGTGTTTTTTTTGTAGTCTGATAAAGAAACTGCGTTGAATGAAATCATTGTGTGAGTGTGTTTATGATCTGTCGGTTTAAATATTTGACTTGAGAAAGACAAATACGTGCAGAGCTGGTGAACACCATATAAACGGCAAAACGCCGTCAGATCCTGAGACAGTTGTGGGGATTCTCACAAACGCGTCAATGTAGATTAATATGTGTATATACTGATGAGCAATAATTAAGCATAACCCAATGTTTCGGATGTGTGTTACATTAAATACATGACTGGTGTTGTCCATTGTTCCGAGAGAGTAGTACACTTACAAACAGACCGTCACTACCATCACACAAATAATGAAGCTGACACAGCAATCGCTACCGATTTATTGGCGTTATGCGAAGAACTATATAACCAATGCTGAAAAGTATCAGTACCCTGCCCACACCACGAATCGGACAGTTAAAGTATGCAGTGAAATGTGAATACTGTCAACCGAGGAATCACCACTGACTCGGCAATCAGTATCTGGAGTGTCCACCACTCTCACGGGTGATATTCGCGAGGCATCTCTTAATGTTGCTGGTCAGAATTCTAATTTTCAACGTTGGGATCCTCTTCTATTCCTGGTCCAGTGTCAGAGTGAGTTCATTCGGGTTTTCAACTGGAGGGTATCTAGCTCTCACTTGGAAGTCAAGGTAATTCTAAAGGCGTTTATTTGGGTGCGGGCCAGGGTTTAGCGTTGTTTCTCGGAATTAAATGTTGACTATGGTGTGCTTAATTTATGCTCATGTGTAAATTTACTCAAGCAAACACTGCAAATGAAAAAGAATGGGTACAGACGAGCTCTTGAACTAGATGCAGTGCAATTTCCCCTTTAATCGGATGCTTCCATTTCGTTAAGAATGTGTATGTGAATGAAAAAGTAATGTTGTTTGATGAAGTGGAGTGGAGTGGAGTGGAGTGGAGTGGAGCTGTGCTGACAAACCTACTGAACCTAATCAGGGCGAACTGCGATTCCACGACCCTATGTTTCTGATGGTTTTATGATGTCACATGTGCGTATTGACCAATGAAACCGCTGGGTTTTGTCATCACTTGTCTTTGCCCCGTGTCTCCGGCAGGCTAACGACGCCGGGGATCACTTCCCCCTGTGGGGCACCTGTCAGGGCTTCCAACTCCTCACCAACCTGACGGCCCGGCACAACTTCCTGCAGCCAACTGATGCTGAGAACATTAGTATGGCGCTAGACTTGAAGCCAGGTGAGCTGTGACAACGTACTGGGACGCGTAAATCGTCCCAGACTTAACGATACGATTATCATATACTTAATTATACTATACATCACACCTATTGCGGTGGAGGTAACCTAGTGGTCCAAGCTTTCGCTCGTCACGCCAAAGGTCCTGGTTCGAATCCCCCCAATAAGTACAATGTGTGAAGCCCATTTCTGGTGTCACCTGTCCGATATTGTTGGACCATTGCTAGAAGCAGCGTAAACACCATATTCACACATTCACGGACCTATTATCTCACCTGTACATTCGACAAGGTATTTTGGTTCACCTGTTGGGACTTTTTTTTCAAAAACTGTTTCAAGTATGGTATGCACAGACAAAAGAATGGACCCTACGTCTCGATGCTACTTATATATATCGTTGCAGTTACGGGCTTGTTGGAAACACCAGCCTCTAGAAGCATGTTGATTCCGCTTCCTTACAGATGAAACTGGCGATAATTTTAATACATGTTTCTGAGAATAGTGAGATGTGCTTTTTATTTGTAGCCTACAAGGAAAGTCGCTTGCTGGGCATGGCCAGTCCTAGGGTCATCAACACGCTCACCAGGGAGAAGGTCACGCCAAATTTCCATCATTTCGGTGTTATGGAGGAGGTATATTAATGTTACACACACGCGCACACATACCTTTTACACACATATCGTGTAATGCACACACACAAGCATCCCGTCCCGGCTTACTATATGCATCAATATGCAATATGAAGAGCCAGAGCCAGATTAAAGTCAACAGGAGGACGTAAACAAAGATATATTGTGAGGTCATAATCATTGCGACGTGATTAAACAAAACGCAACAATGCTGTTCGAATAACGTCAACAATGGCCTTGATTCACATAGCTGAAATGTAAGGATAATAAAATGATATTATAGAGAATCCAAACTGAGCGTCTTTTGATATCAAATACGAGTGTTGAGATATTTGATATCAAAAGACACGAGGATGAGATACTATTTATCATCCAACATCATTTTTCCAACATTTTCCTCAGTTTGTAAGCAGTAATAAGCAGGATCTTGGCTTTTGTAGCAGAGATTAGTGATGTCATTTGATTGTGACGTCATGGTAACCGATGAACAATGGTCTGAAAAGGAGGGATCGCTTGATTTTGTTTATCTCCCGTGAAGGCCACTTTTGGATGATAAATATTTAAATACGTTTTCTCTGTTACCCACACCGTCAGACATTTAGTGCCACGCCCTCTCTCCGCGACTTCTACCGGATCATGTCTACCAACAAGGACAGGGGAGGGAAGGTGTTCGTGTCCACCATGGAAGGTGTGTATCTCAATAAAACCATTTTAACTCGGACATTTTTATTGTCATAGTTAGTGACATGCAGAAACACAAGTAGTTGTCGTCTTGTTATAATCTCATTACGTCCAATGCTGATTCCAATGTGTGCGTAGGACCGTAGTCAAAGATACCCATCTCTCTGTGAAGGGCTGTATCCCTTGCTGTTTCCATTCCTACTCGTGCCATTCCGGGACAAACCTTCTTGTAGGTTACGGAAAGTTACGTGTGGTGACGAATGTAGCTGATTAAAGGTCTGTCCCGGCACGTGACATCTTTACCCTCGTTGTATCATCGTTGTCACTAGTATGCAAGCCGCCCTTACAAGAATCTTGAAACTTTTCCCTCCAACTTCTACTGTAATGGTATATATATCTTTGTGTATATCTTTGGGAATGACATTCTAGTGAATTGAGAAAAGGTTGACTTATATACTATTTCCCAGATGAATTTACGTATGTTTGTTTAATAGTGAGTGAGTGAGTGAGTTGGGTTTAACGCCACTTTAACAGTATTCCAGTTATATCATGGCGTGTCAGCTGAATGTGGGAGGAAAGCCCGAAGTGATGCAGGTCTCAGACGTTTACCACTTCGGTGAAACCCACGAGCACGGGTATGGTGCTGACAAACCTAGAAACATAATCGGGGCGAACCGGGATTCGAACCCACAATCATAGGTTTCTGGCGTGCCCAAGGGAAGCAACCCTGCACAGCGAATCGCGGCGCCTTAGACGACTGGGCCCCCCGTGCCCCCCGTTTGTTTAATCAGATTGGTTGGATATTGCAGACTAACAGAAAAGAACCCCTTACAATATCATCACACTTAATTAGATTTCTACATGGTAGTTGAAATTCCAACTGAAAAACAAACAAAATACTTTAACTGGGGGAAGAGTATTTGGCTTCACGACATCTTGCTGGTAAACATAACGGTCAGGCAGTTGCTGGTTCAACTCCATACACGGTTGAGGGCGCCTTACACAGTAGGCATCGGTCACACCGGTCGCAGCGACAGTATTAAAGAGAGCTCCGCGCCGCGAACGGGCTATCTACTATGGCTGTGAGGTGCTTTATAGTTGGCTGGGGGTTCGAATTATACTCGAATATATTAAGTTGTGTTTGTTTGTGTGTTGTTTAACGCCGCACTCAGCAATATTCCAGTCCAGTCTGGGCCAGAAAATCCAGTGATCGACATCATGAGAATCGATCTACGCAACAGGGATACGATGACATGCATCAACCAAGTCAGAGAGAGCCTGACCATCCGATGCCGTTAGTGGCCTTTTACGACAAGCATAGTCGCCTTTTACGGCAAGCATGGGTTGCTGAAGACCTATTCTACCCCGGATCTTCACGGGTGCGATTATAATACGACCCAACAAACTGTCAACTATTACACGAAAAGAATTCCCGATGTTTTATCTCACGATATCCTGTTCTGTCTCCCCCAGCGTTCAAATACCCGTTTTATGCCACCCAGTGGCACCCGGAAGATATAAACTACGGTTGGAATCCCAACGACGACATCGACCACACACGGGAGGCCATCCACGTCACCCAGTACCTCGCCAACTTCTTCGTCGACGAGGGTAAGCGAGTTGGGATGAGTCTGTGCAGCGCGGGTCGGAAGCGAACTGTGTGTTTGTTAGGAACCTCTTAATATCTATCGTATCTTGATATATTTTAGCAACTTAACATTTCATACTTCTTTCTTCCACAGCCCGGAAAAGTCAGCACCGCTTTCCAGACGTCGCCACAGAGTCTGCAGCCGTCATTGAGAACTACCAGCCTCTGTTTCTTAAAGACGGATCTTTCTCTGAAGCATATATGTTTAATTTTACCCAAATTCCTTTTTATTAAGCTATGTTTTCACACTTCTGTCTAAACTGATCAATAATAAAATGGATGCACCTGATAACAGTCGGTCATTCCTCCTATTCTGGGAGGTTCTGGGCCCCGTTCCACAAAGCGAATTTAGTGCTAAGACGATCGTAACTCGCATACTTTAACATAAACACAGTCGTAACGCTACGGCCGCTTTGTTGAACGGGGCACTGGTTAATAGTGTCTCACTATGGTTGAGTGAGTACGGTTTTACGCCGCTTTTAGCAGTATTCCAGCGGTCCATAGCGGGGGACACCAGAAATGGTCTTCACACATTGTACCCGTGTGGGGAATCGAACCCGGGTCTGTGTGACGAGGAAACTCTTAAACCACTTGGCTACCCCAACACCCCTGGCTCACTTTGTTATACAGATGCCTTACATAGGCTTAACACATGTAACATAAGATTTTAGCTATTTATAAGATTAGATGACAGAGGACATCACACCGCATGTTAGAATTTTTAACTAATAATTCAGTGGCACATATATAATTTTAAAATTCGCTTTGATAATTTGGTTGAAACAAGTTATTTGTGTCCTTCAGTTCACCTCACTACCTCTCCCCGCTGATTTCATCTGGCTGGCTATGTAGGTGTATAAAACAGGCCGCCTCCGTGGTCTAGTGGCTGGAGTGTGAGGGTGTTGGGTGTAACGCCGCTTTTAACATTATTCCAGTTATATCACGGCGTGTCAGCTTAATGTGTTAGGAAAGCCCGAAGTGATGCAGGTCTCAGACGTTTACCACTTCGGTGAAACCCACGGGTATGGTGCTGACAAACCTAGAAACAAAATCGGGGCTCTAGTGGAAAGAGCGGTTGCACGGAGCGCGTGTTGTTACTAGCTGTTGAAATAGCAGTCAATGCCATAAACGGTGAACTCTTTATAACAATCTTCACACATGTGAATAGCACATCTCTTTATATATAGAACACGTGCACGGCATCGTAAAACAATACACTTCCCGAATAGCCTGAATATTTGTACTTGTATTTTCATGATTCAAATAAAACTGATTTCTGACCCCCCCCCTACACACACACACACACACACACACACACACACAAAACAGAAACCGCCTCGTCAGAGCATTGTTGATCCGATCTTCCTGTTACACATCGTGTGATGAGCGGTATTCCCTGTTACTATATATAACCAGCACACGCTAACTTCGTCTTCAAAATACTTCCTTCTTTGTCGTGGACGGTATGGCGATGTGTGTGTTGCTGCAGCTCAGCGTGTTGGTGGTGGCGACATCAGCAGGACACGTCACATACAACAACAGACCAGTGATAGGTAAGTCAGTACCTATGAAAAGGTCCCTCCCTGAACTGTTGAAACGCCTCCTGCATACGCTCAGCTCAGTCAGAGTAACTCTGTACTCGCTGTGGACAAAACGGAGACCTGCACAGAGCGCAGCGACCTCTGCCGGGTCTTCGTGAATAGAATACTGGGGGTCCTACATACACGATCTGCCCGTATATCGTTGTCAGGCTTATTCTAGAGAGGAGACCCCAGTACAGGGGATTCGGGGTTAGAACATAGCTAGGTTTAGGGCTGGGATGGGTAACTCGGATAGTCGTGTCGGGTGGGTCCTGAGTAGGACCCGGGTACCCACATGACTACCCGGACCCGTGGTTAGTCACGTGACATACTGTTTACAATAACATGACATTAACAATATAACTCAATGGTTACACTACAAGATAGTATAGCTATAATGTTCACATTTCTTTCTCACAATGCAGACTTTTATATGTTCGAGTAAGGATAAAGCGTCTATCAACTGCAGTGTATACATGATCATGTATCTAATAGTTTTTGCCAGGGCTGCGGTAAAACGATTCCCATTCGGACATTTTGTACCCAATTCTTGAGACCTATAGCGGGTATCCGGGTAGGGCCGGATAATAGGGTGTCGGGTACCCGGGTAGTAAATTTGGAGTCTAAATGGATCGGGTGGTCAGGGTCGCATAGTTTATGCATGTCATCGCATCCCAATTGCGTAGATTGGTGATCATGATGTCAATCACTTGATTGTCTGGTCTAGACTCGACAATTTACAGACTGCTGTCATAAAGTTGGAATATTACTGAGTGCGGCGTTAAACAACAAACATATAGTATAGAGTATAGTGACATGAGGTGATATGGATAATATGAAGCCTCACAAAACAAAACCACAAACATGTAGTTATGAGTGAAATCTCATTCATGAGGTGAGGTGAAATGGGGTTTAACGTCGCGTCCAAAATTATTGCACTTTTATGGCGACGTACATGCACGTATGTCTACGTGTGTGTGTGTGTGTGTGTGTGTGTGTGTTTGGCTGCTTGTACTAGTCCGGACTGATGCTGATTTATAGTGCTAGCCCACTGAGGTACCATGCCGCAGTTTTACATGAATACCCTACTCAGACACAGTATACTGACCCCGAGCCGACCATTCACCCCCTTAATGCCGAGCGCCAGACAGGGTAACAACAAGTACCATCTTTTAACGTCTTTTGGTATGATGCGGAGGGGGATCGAACCCTGGACCTTCCTCTCTCCGGGCAGAAGCTCTACCACTAGACCACGGAGGCGGTCCATGCAAGAGGTAATCTTATGTCATCATAATTCCATCATTATTGAGTTTTAAAGCGCCTAATATTCGACCAGGACTGCTCAGTGGCGCTGTTACATAATAATATTAGTATTATTACCGGTCAATAATTCAGTGTGCGCTCGATAATCGTTCTCAGCTCCCCGAAGAGTATGCAACCCAAGCTGTCTGTGAGGCGCTAGGCGGTTAACAGTCGTCCTACCGGGTACCCATTCACTGCTGGGTGAACAGAGGAATGTTATTGATAAAGTCACTTGCCTGAGGTGACATCACATGAGCTACACGTGCTTCAGTGTGGGGCGGGACCGAAGCCCAAGAAGCACTTAGGAAGTCAACGCGGTCATCCATCCGCGACCAACGTTGCATGCTTATCGTCACCTGATTTGAGACCCATGCGCTGTGCAGGGACCACGCGCCACCACGCGCCACCACGCTGTGTGACAACATAGTAATACCAACCCACTAACATGTAAAAGTAAATCATACGAAAGAGAACCACCCACCATCCACTGGACTATCTATGTGTATCGGAGGGAACCAGCCTCGCGTTGTGTGCCGTGGTTCACTTCACGCTCTCTTGATTCAATGCTGTTTCACTGTGTCCCTGTGTATTGGGAGTAATTCGTCCTTGGTATTTGTGTTACAACTCTCAGCCTATTGTTGAACAACCTTCAGTAACTATGTCATGTGCATAGCTGTTAAATCCACTGATTTTTAGTATGCAGATGGTAACCGTTATAGGTTTACTGATACAAAATATGTAGGTATACATCATCAGTGTAGATCTCGGTCTGGTGTTGGGTTACCTAGCTGTTAGGATTATTCATACATAACCTAGACTCACCGCCAAGAGAAACGCGAAACATAGAAACATATAGAGAAGTATATACGTTAAGATGAGATGTTTCCAATGTGTACCAATTAATGACAAAACTAACCATCAGTAAAGAGATACCACAAAGTGTCTTAATTCTTATCACGATATGCTGCACATTATTTTCCAAACTTCTTCAAACTTTACACGCTAATGCTGCACGAGACAAATGGTGCATCTCGAGTCATGACGTCACATGTGATGCGTTCATGAGCATCGGAGAGAGAGAGAGAGAGAGAGTACATTCTGCACGATAGGGAACACTTACACATTCCTGCATTAGTCATGTATGTCACACCGGAAGTATTCAATGGCTCGTGGGTAAGTGAAAGGACAACTCGACATAGAGCTGAACACTTGCTTGAAGGCATGTGTCCTACATATAACACAATCTTCCTGAAGGCTGTACAGGAAGTGTATAGAGCTCATTGTCTGTTTGCTAACTTCCTACATTTAATTGTTGAATATATTTAACAAACTCTCTGCTGATTCTGTTCCCATGAGAAGTGAGTGACGTCTTACGCCGCATTTAGCATAGTGCAGCATTATCTTGGCGGAGAACAACGCAGATGGGCGTAACACATGACACTGGATTGTCTGGTCCAGACTCGATTAGGGATTTTGTATGGAGACCAGCTATTTTTTGGGCTACATCTGCAAGCAGGAATATTACGTTTAGTGTCATTGCTTTCGTGATCATATCACAAAACGTATAACATATTTCCATTCGTCCATCATTGTGAATTACTTATAAATTTCTTTAAAAAAGTACTTACAAATCAAACATGTTATACATTTTTTGAAGTAGTCATAAATGGTATTTTTTCGATTGTACGCGTCCTATATTGTAATACACAAGAGTTATCACCCCTTGCAGGTGTCCTCGCCCAGGCCACAGCCAGCAAGACACATGGCGACACCTATATCCCGGCCAACTATGTCAAGTACCTGGAGCAGGCCGGGGCCAGGGTAGTTCCAATCAGGTGAGGTCGCTCATCTAATACTTCAGGTAGTCGGGGCCAGGGTACCGCCAGTCAGGTGAGGTCGCTCATCTAATACTTCAGGTAGGCGGGGCCAGGGTTGTGCCAGTCAGGTGAGGTCGCTCATCTAATACTTCAAGTAGGCGGGGCCAGGGTAGTGCCAGTCAGGTGAGGTCGCTCATCTAATACTTCAGGTAGGCTAGGCCGGGGTAGTGCCAGTCAGGTGAGGTCGCTCATCTAATACTTCAGGTAGGCTAGGCCGGGGTAGTGCCAGTCAGGTGAGGTCGCTCATCTAATACTTCAGGTAGGCGGGGCCAGGGTAGTGCCAGTCAGGTGAGGTCGCTCATCTCATACTTCAGGTAGGCGGGACCAGGGTAGTGCCAGTCAGGTGAGGTCGCTCATCTAATACTTCAGGTAGGCGGGGCCAGGGTAGTGCCAGTCAGGTGAGGTCGCTCATCTCATACTTCAGGTAGGCGGGGCCAGGGTAGTGCCAGTCAGGTGAGGTCGCTCATCTAATACTTCAGGTAGGCGGGGCCAGGGTAGTTCCAATCAGGTGAGGTCGCTCATCTAATACTTCAGGTGTAGGCGGGGCCAGGGTAATGCCAGTCAGGTGAGGTCAATCATCTATTACTTCAGGTAGCCGGGGCGAGGGTAGTGCCAGTCAGGTGAGATCGCTCATCTAATACTTCAGGTAGGCGGGGCCAGGGTAGTGCCAGTCAGGTGAGGTCGCTCATTTCATACTTCAGATAGGCGGGACCAGGGTAGTGCCAGTCAGGTGAGGTCGCTCATCTAATACCTCAGGTAGGCGGTACCAGGGTAGTGCCAGTCAGGTGAGGTCGCTCATCTAATACTTCAGGTAGGCGGGGCCAGGGTAGTGCCAGTCAGGTGAGGTCGCTCATCTATTACTTCAGGTAGGCGGGGCGAGGGTAGTGCCAGTCAGGTAAGGTCGCTCATCTAATACTTCAGGTAGGCGGGGCCAGCGTAGTGCCAGTCAGGTGAGGTCGCTCATCTATTACTTCAGGTAGCCGGGGCGAGGGTAGTGCCAGTCAGGTGAGGTCGCTCATCTGATACTTCAGGTAGGCGGGGCGAGGGTAGTGCCAGTCAGGTGAGGTCGCTCATCTAATACTTCAGGTGTAGGCGGGGCCAGGGTAGGGCCAGCCAGGTGAGGTCGATCATCTAATACTTCAGGTAGGCGGGGCCAGGGTAGTGCCAGTCAGGTGAGGTCAATCATCTATTACTTCAGGTAGCCGGGGCGAGGGTAGTGCCAGTCAGGTGAGGTCAATCATCTGCTACTTCAGGTCGGCGGGGCCAGGGTAGTGCCAAATAGGTCAGATTGATTAGGTGAGGTCATTCATCTGACAGACGTGGCCATGTGGTCACCTTTCCAACATAGTTGGGTACTTGTTGTAGTACAGTTAGTTCCCCTTCCTGTTCACCCGTTCTGCCTCACGACAGTTTCATGGTTTCCAATGTAACTCCGAACTTGGCTGATCAAGGCACGAGGTTGAGAAGACTATCCGCGGATTGTATAGTCTGGGATAACCAGGAGAACACGAGTTCGTGGACACGGGTTGTAACGGTGACTGAAGTATGACACATGACGCTGATGTCTGTCATCCTCCATTGCAGAGTGAGGGAACCAGGCTCCTACTACGCCAAGCTCTTCTCGCAGATCAACGGGTAAGGCCATTGTGTTCTTGTTGTTTCACGGTCTTCATAAGCTAGCTTTGACGTGTGATGATTAAAACAGTTATATGTGCTTACTATGTTGCCGTGACATGAGAACACTTGTGTCCCACAGAGTGTTGTTCCCCGGGGGTAGTGTCGGCATTGTGAGCAGCGACTACGCCAAGGCGGCCAGGATCATCTACGACATGGCGGTGAAGGTAGGAGCCACGTGTAGCCTCAGATCAGACACAAACACTGTCCTTGTACGCAGCAGGTGATACACAGTTAACATGTACCTGTACACCCCAAAGTGACACACGCACAATACTATATGTCCTTGTGCGCACAAGCACACACAAACACCATACACGCACGCACACACATATGCGCGAAGTACAACATAGGACTCAGATTCATGCGTATTATTTACCTGCTGGATACAGACAGAGAGCTATTTAGAGTCATCCAAAGCTATTACACGATTAATGCACGTGCTTAGTACCATGTAAACCAAGGACGCTGCAACTGGTCCGTTTCATGGTGTTCTGTTGTCCCGTGTCTCCGCCAGGCTAACGACGCCGGGGATCACTTCCCCCTGTGGGGCACCTGTCAGGGCTTCCAACTTCTCACCAACCTGACGGCCCGGCACAACCTCCTTCAAGCCGTGGATGCCTCCGACATCAGCCTGCCTCTTGATCTAGCTCCAGGTGAGACAACGGTGTGACCATCAACCAGGTAGCTAGGACGTTACACTGTTTCACAGATGACGTCTCAGAAATATTGATAAGCTGCACTTGAACCATCGTTGTCTCGATTCGCCATTGACACGAACAACCTAGTGATACAATTCTGTGACTTACCCCCCCGGACATGTGTAAATTGTAAGAATTGTAAGAATCTTTGGCTACAGTTTGGCTATTATCTTAGTGCTGACAAATGTATGTTGATCTTTCTTGTTAGTAATTGTTATGTGGTCCAGCGCCATTGTTTTGTATTTCGCCAAGGCAACGTGTAAATCATGTTCTGGTCAATGTTGTGTTGTTAAGGATAACACGTGCACTGTATAAATCATGCTCTGGTCAATGCTATCCTTCAGATGCCAAGTCCAGCAGGCTGTTGAGTCGACTGTCACAGAAGACGTTTCACATACTGACCACTGAGAACGTCACCCCCAACTTCCACCACTACGGATTGTTGCTGGAGGTGAGGCATGGCTGGTGGGGTACGTGTAGTAATGGGTAGGACACGTGTAATGAAGGGAAGGATACGTGTAATGAATTGTAGGACACGTGTATTGAAGGATAGGACACGTGTAATGAAGGGAAGGACACCTAATGAAGGGTGGGAAACGTGTAATGAATTGTAGGACACGTGTATTGAAGGATAGGGCACGTGTAACGACGGAAGGACACCTAATGAAGGGTGGGAAACGTGTAATGAATTGTAGGACACGTGTATTGAAGGATAGGACACGTGTAATGAAGGGAAGGACACCTAATGAAGGGTGGGAAACGTGTAATGAATTGTAGGACACGTGTATTGAAGGATAGGACACGTGTAATGAAGGGAAGGATACGTGTAATGAATTGTAGGACACATGTATTGAAGGATAGGACAAGTGTAATGACGGAGGACACCCAATGAAGGGTAGGACACGTGTAATGAAGGGTAGGACAAGTGTAATGACGGAGGACACCTAATGAAGGGTGGGACACGTGTAATGAAGGGTAGGACACGTGCTATGACTGAAGGAACTCAATGAAGGGTAGGACACGAGTAATGAAGGGTAGGACACGTGTAATGAAGGGTAGGACACGTGAAATGAAGGGTAGGACACGTGAAATGACGGAGGACACCTAATGAAGGGTGGGAAACGTGTAATGAAGGGTAGGGCACGCATTATGACTGAAGGAACCTAATGAAGGGTAGGACACGTGTAATGAAGGGTAGGACACGTGTAATGAAGGGAAGGATACGTGTAATGAATTGTAGGACACGTGTATTGAAGGATAGGACACGTGTAATGAAGGGAAGGACACCTAATGAAGGGTGGGAAACGTGTAATGAATTGTAGGACACGTGTATTGAAGGATAGGGCACGTGTAACGACGGAAGGACACCTAATGAAGGGTGGGAAACGTGTAATGAATTGTAGGACACGTGTATTGAAGGATAGGACACGTGTAATAAAGGGAAGGACACCTAATGAAGGGTGGGAAACGTGTAATGAATTGTAGGACACGTGTATTGAAGGATAGGACACGTGTAATGAAGGGAAGGATACGTGTAATGAATTGTAGGACACATGTATTGAAGGATAGGACAAGTGTAATGACGGAGGACACCCAATGAAGGGTAGGACACGTGTAATGAAGGGTAGGACAAGTGTAATGACGGAGGACACCTAATGAAGGGTGGGACACGTGTAATGAAGGGTAGGACACGTGCTATGACTGAAGGAACTCAATGAAGGGTAGGACACGAGTAATGAAGGGTAGGACACGTGTAATGAAGGGTAGGACACGTGAAATGAAGGGTAGGACACGTGAAATGACGGAGGACACCTAATGAAGGGTGGGAAACGTGTAATGAAGGGTAGGGCACGCATTATGACTGAAGGAACCTAATGAAGGGTAGGACACGTGTAATGAAGGGTAGGACACGTGTAATGAAGGGTAGGACACGTGTAATGAAGGGTAGGACACGTGTTATTAAGGGTAGGACACGTGTAATGAAGGGTAGGACACGTGTAATGACGGAGGGACACCCAATGAAGGGTAGGACACATGTTATGAAGGGTAGGACACGTGTAAAGAAGGGTAGGACACATTTAATGAGAGATAGGGCGTGTTTCCTGAAGAGTGTACTAAAGGGTGGAGCACGTTTATGGAGGATGGCGCACCTATACTGTATGTATTATCGACATTCTACTTCATGGCATAACATTATATCCACGTTTAGCTATGTCATTTTCAAATGCGCTAGATATGTACCTATGACCGTGGTTCTGGCTGATAAATATCAACATCCCTTGCCATGCCATGCCATGTTCATATGCTGTATATACTCTGTCCCCAGACGTACAACCAGACCAAGTCGCTCACCTCCTTCTACAGACTCATCTCCACAAACAGAGGCCGGAAGGGGAAGGTGTTTGTGTCCACCATAGAAGGTACAGAACACTCCTGTAACCTCCTGCAGCCATCTCGTGTTACATCCTGTAAGCCTGACATATACCACAATACCCCTGTAACCTCCTGCAGCCATCTCGTGTTACATCCTGTAAGCCTGACATATACCACAATACCCCTGTAACCTCCTGCAGCCATCTCGTGTTACATCCTGTAAGCCTGACATATACCACAATACCCCTGTAACCTCCTGCAGCCATCTCGTGTTGCATCCTGTAAGCCTGACATATACCACAATACCCCTGTAACCTCCTGCAGCCATCTCGTGTTACACCCTGTAAGCCTGACATATACCACAATACCCCTATAACCTCCTGCAGCCATCTCGTGTTACACCCTGTAGTTTTGACAGACACCAGAATACTCATACATGCGTCATTGCGACCTCTGCTGTAGTACATCTAAAGTAACGTAAGCCCATTAAGTTCCGATCTTTCTACTCTGATACCACAGCTCTCTGTGTTAAGGTTTCACGACTTTTATCAGATAAGGAGTGACGATTAAAATCAGTCTAGTGTCACCGCCTTCGCTTCAGCCTACAAGTACCCGTTCTATGGCACCCAGTGGCACCCTGAAAAGATCAACTTCGACTGGAACCCCAAGCATGCGCTGGACCATACCAGCAATGGCGTCGCCATCTCACACTTCTTCTCCTCCTTCTTCATCGGCGAAGGTAAACGTTGTGTTCATATATAGTTAACCTGGTGATTGTTAGTGAGTGGTGTATATTTTAATAACAGTATTCGACCCATGAAAATCCGCGATAGAATAGGTCTTCAGCAAAACACTCTTGCTGTTAAAGGCGACTATGCTTGTTGTAAGAGGCGACTAACGGGATCGGTTGGTCAGGCTCGCTGACTTGGTTGATGCATGTCATCGTTTCCCAATTGCGTGAATCTCATGATATCAATCACTGGATTATCTAGTCCAGACTCGAATATTTGCAGAATGCCGTCATATTGCTGGAATATAGCTGAGTGCGGCGTTAAACAACAAACAAGCAAACAAACAAACAAACAAACAAATAACAGCTGTATTCCAGCATTATCATGGCGGGAGACTCATTGTTATCATGAAGAGGTGCTAGATCTCCATGTTCAGGAGTTGGCATCATGTGCGCTAGTGGGGAGGAGTGTTAGGCTCTACTATTTAGGTTCGACATGGGAGCTGGTTTGCACGAGAGATAGTGGCTTGACATCGGGGGCGTTAGAGGGGAGGAGTGTTAGGCTGTACTATTTTTATGACAACGGTCTGTAGATAATCGAGGCTGGACCAGACATTCAAGTGATGGATATCATGATCATCGATGTACGAAATTGGGAAAGGTTGACATGCATCGACCAAGTCAGCGAGCCTGACCACCTGATCCCATTAGTCGCCTCTTACGACAGGCATAGTCACCTCTTGCAGCATACATCGGCTGCTGAAGACCCTTTTCTAACAAACATCTTCACGGGTGAATGTTTTGTGAGGACATGGTAGTACATACATGTATTTCGAAGAGACAGATGTGTACGCCAGGGGGTATATGAGAATATGTCGGTGTTCTTTGAGGATAGGTATATCATTTGCAGAAATGGAATAGTTGAGAAGCTGAACAGGGCGGGTTTTTTTTTTTTATTTCTACGGCCCAAATGGATGAGGTTGCTGTATGTTTCAGCTCGTCTAAGTGGTCACAAGTTCCCCAACGTTCAAGCCGCTGCAGACGCCGTCATCGAGAACTTCTACATGAACTACCAAGATGACGGCACATTCGAGCAGATCTACTATTTCAACTACACCAAAACGTCCGCATAAATTATCTACATCCTGGCACATCTACTATTTCCACAATTCTACGACCTCAAACCTACTTCGGAATAATCCAACAAATCTACCACGTTTGTAACTTAAAGCAAACTGGCGGACAAAAGAAAGTATACACACGTGTGATGGTGGCTAAACCTGGAACAAAGAAGAAATGGCTGTTCGATCTTCAGCGACTGTTTTAATAACGTTTGTAATTTATTTTGTCAAATTCAATTTGCGAATGTATACATTCTTTTGCCCAGCAGTTAACGTCAGTTGGAGACATGTTGTACAGCTACTATTTCGTCTGTCTGCAAGTTCTTGCAGAACCCCATAGAAATATCATTTTCAATCTCATATATTTACTTAGTTGGTGAGTGAATGCTCTTTAACATTGCAGCTATATTCTAGCTATATCACCTCGTGCACATATCCAGTAAACTAACATACCCAGAATTATCTGGTTAAAGGTGATGACGTCATGAAACCAGATACGTCCGGGGCTAATATTGGGACATGCGTGTTTGTGTTTAGTGGTAATGGGTGAGATTGAGTTGATATTTAACGTCGCATCGGTATTATTTCAGCCATATAGCAACGTGAACAAGTTGATATATATACAATTAAGTCATGAATACAAAGTTATATATAAAAACAAATATGTCAAACATATTTGGGCATAACAATATGATTAATAACTGGTTTTTTTTACATTAATTTTCATTGATCATAATGCAAATTGTAGATTCATATACTGCCGCTAGGACAGGGTAAATCTTTATTCTTTAGTCTATTGGCAAGTCTTGTTATGACGTTATATGGACGTGGAAGTTCAAATGTGAGTATTTACATTCCAAAACAAATCTATGGATGGTCAGTGAGCACAAATAAGAAAAATGTTCCGATTCCAGAAAAGGAAACATTTAAAGAATCGTTTGAAATCTATTAATGTACTGTATAAACGTGGCCGCTGAAACAAAATGTCCAATTCTTTCATCTTGCTTGTATTGTATTGTTTACTGAATATATATGTGTATTTATGTGTACTACCTTTGGTGTGTTTTCGAGTCATAAAAAAATCTGATCAAGGAAAGCTACACACAGTGCACACACTACACATTCCCCTGTCTATATTGTCTATATTGTCTATACTGTCTTTACTGTCTGTCTATATTGTCTGTACTGTTTATACTGTCTATATTGTCTCGTCATCTCAGGCATGTTCAAGTGTTTTATTCTTATAATAAATATATCCTTATATATCCTTTGTATTTGTACCGGAATCAGCTGATGTGGAGATATGCCCACAGTTACAGTGGACCCGTGAAGATCCGGGTTGAATAGGTCTTCCGCAACCCATGCTTGCCGTAGAAGACGACTGCCCCTGTCGTGAGAGGCGACTAACGGGATTTGGTGGTCAGGCTCGCTGACTTGGTTGATGCGAATCATCGTATCCCAGTTGCGTGGATACATGCTCATGATGTCAGTCACTGGATGTTCTGGTCCAGACTCGATTATTTACAGACCGCCGTTATAAAGCTGGAATATTGCTGAGTACGGCGTTAAACAACAAATAAACAAACAAACAAACACAATTACAGTCGAACCTCGTTGAGTCGATCTTGGATGTGTCGAATTCCCTATTGTCTTGAACTCATTTGGGAGACAAAAGTATTCAAATTAAGCATAAAATCACCTGATGTCTCGAACCCCGGATAATTCGAACTTTATTCCAGGTCCATGAGCTCAACACATCGAAGTTGGACTGTATGTTCAATGGCCTCGTGATCATTGCTAGTTTTCCTCTAGACTTTGGAATTACTTCGTTAATAAATCACGATTATTTCCAGGCCGCCGTCATACAGCTGCAATATGACTGAGTGCGTCAATATCTTTTTTTAAAAACAAACAAATATATACTCATGTCATCTATGACATCAGGTATAGACATATTACACGTGATATATATTCCAAGATGGTGACCAAGTGTCATTGAACACACGAACACAATAACCATCAAGGTTTGCTTTACACACTATTTTGTGTACTATTTGTTTGTTTGTTGTTTAACGCCGCACTCAGCAATATTCCAGCTAAATGAATAGCTGGCAGTCTTTAAATAATCGAGTCTGGACCAGACAATCCAGTGGTTTTGTCATTCAAGGGATGAGACATATTATATTTCATCGCCGTCAATGACATGCTTGGACGGCAATGTTGTACCCAGGTCTGTCAACACGGGTAACTAATAGGAGCCTTAGATCTCAAATTTAGCTGACACACTGTGACATGACATAGTTCCTCTATTCGACGCGCGACCCCAAATACAGGCTAGCCTCTTATTGACGCTGGGTCCTATGCTCTGTCCAACAAATAGAAATCGGAACTATTAGATGCCGAGTCCCATCGCTTCCTGCAAGTGTACTTACCCTTCCTATGATTTTGTTTAGTGAGTTGCCACTGTGCCATCATTGTTCAGCATAGACGCCAGGCCTCTAATAGATGCTGGGCTTGCGCGAAATTAATAGATGCTCGGGCGTCTAACAGAGTAAATACGGTAAATATACATTAAACCTGACCAAGTCGCTACTGGTATATTATAACGGTCGCGCTTTGTGCGTGCAGAGTGTGTTTGTGTTTATGTGGGCTGCCTGTGACTCATATAGTCAATGCAGAGTTGATGCGGAACTATAAATATCAAGGAAATGCAAAGTCATCGTCCTGTACACGCACGTGACGCTGCACAATGAGCTTATACAGAAGGGTGCTGATCAAGCCGCCATCAACACGCCAAATGAAGTCGTGCACTGTAAAATAAGGTAAGCCTAGTACGTATACAGTAGGTTTCATCACATAAGTGTCGATGCAGGCTCCAGATTGTCGTATATAACGTTATGACATCATGGAAGATGTTTCAGTAACTTATTACTCACAAATGTATCGCAGATAGAATGCTCATTGCTAAAAAAGAGGAAGTGAGTAGTCAGTTCTGACACTTAAGCCCATATTTTGTTAATCAGTGGGAATTTATCGAAAAAAATTAATTGTGCCAGAAAATGCTACTAAAACAATTAAAACAAATTATGGTATGACAGATGTAGCTGAATATCTAGTCGCAATATAAAATCAAATGGTCCAACCTTAATTATCGGGAGTTGTGAGCACACACATGTATTCATACGGTTCAATTCAATGCCTCTATCAAAGGCGTATACAGATGTATGTACGTCTATGTCACTATCAAGCACCCACAGTATGTATTGTTTAGAAGATTTCACAGTTTGTTACGTTTCGCTGTAGGATCCTTCTTCCTTCCTTGATCATTGATAGTTAAAGTTGTAACAAAAGGTTCTTTTTTGAAGTTCAGATGGCGTCAAAAGCCAATAAGGACCAAGACCCATGCGTGGCACAGTCCAAACGACATCAGCCAGGAGTTGATCCACCACAGATCGATGTTACAGAACAGGTTACGCCATGCTGTGAAGTGGGTCATTGTGACGCGGAACGGTTGCGTGATGGTGCAGAAAGTGAGGATGTGGACAGTTGCGCAGCCAAACACACTGCTGGAAGAAAGGATGAACACGGTGAAACACATGAAGATCCTGGACGGAAGGACCACACGCATGAAGCACAGGAGGAAGAGGTAGACGAATGCGGGGAAATGTGTTCTCAAATACAGATTGATCAGCAACAGAATGAGTTGGAGGGAGAAGCGGATCTGTCACAGGAGACTGACAATGTACATCGGAGAAGTGTCAAGCAGTCAGTGCTACGTGATGGAGATGGATTTCTGCGTCATGCTACTGGAGATGACAGTGGACCTGGGGAGCTACCCAGCCCCCATGCCTCCTGTTCTGACATGAAGGAAGTGAAAGAATTACTCACGGTCGTGCTGAGTGTGCAAAATGTCCTTTTGGAAGAGACTCGCATGTTGAAAGATGCACACAGAAAGAATGCTGTGACAATGAACGAGGCGTTAGAGAGTCACAAGTCTGACTGTAGGACGTATACTGACAACCAGGTGCGATCCCTGGACTGTCGTCTCCACGGTCTGTCTGCGGTGCTGGACCACGTTCAGACGCGGTGCATGGAGGCCGAGCTAGCAAGGGAAACACACAGGCAGTCGGAGACGTTGTCTTCATCTGACGCCCTGGACGACGACAATGTCGGGGCAAAAGCAGGTATGATTTTCTTGATGTCGTACCTACACCAGATGTTCTGAACACACAATGCCATTTAGAAAGTGGTCAAAATGTTATATCTGGGATAACACTAACAGATTCTAGTACTTTTGAGGGTTGAGTCTCATCCGGGATTCGAACCCACCACACTGCCATAGTGAGGTACCAACACACAAACTTAGCGATCTAATCCACTGAGCCACCGAGGCTTCCACAAAATGAAAGTCCGACAACTGGTACTCTAGATCATGTACTCTGTGTACCCCTCTGACCAATGTAAATTGGCACGGCTGCTGTGGCCGAAAGCTGTGAACCCACAATGCCACTTGGAAAGTGGTCAAATGGGAGTTATCCCAAATGTAACATTTGTTACACTACATGTTGCATCTTTCACACATTCTGCAGGTAGGCATTAAGGCACTTCTTAAGCTCCGTACATCGATATCATCGTAGTATAACCTTTCCAAAATTAACAAGTATCGCTTAACCTACTATGAAACAATCCTTCATGAAATCAGCCCTACTTCACTATGGGTGTATGAAAGGCTTTGAAGATTGATTGGACCTATAGTGGAACATTTCTGAACTTCCGTTCTGAAAAGAAATGTACACTGACAGAAATAGTTAATGAAGTTTACTTAGTGAATTTCACTGTCCACTCAGACACGATCATGTTTGAAGGTGTTTCTAACCAGTTACAAAAATATTTGCCAACTGGAGTGGTACAGGTGGCCTATCGTAGACTAGTACAATTTACAAATCAGTTAGGAGAGATTACTATCCATCTTTCAAAGAATCTTCTCATAATTTACTAACTGCAAGAGATTCAGTTTATTCAGATTTCCAGGTAATATGACCCATAGTACATTACATACATCTAACATTTAATGGTGCATCTTAATATCTCCTATGATACGAGGAACTTTACGGTCACACATCACGGAACTTCTTTTCCCAATTGCCAAGTGGTGTTTAACTGACAATTCTGTAATTCCAAAAACAAAAAAAAAGCCATGGTTTAAATTTAGTTAAACAATACAACAAAAAGTAATTGACAGGTAAATAAAATATACAAGTCCTTTTTTACACTGGCAAACTAACCTGCCTTCTCATTGAGTACATGCAATAAAGTTCATAAGTGTGTCAGTCATTAAAGTAACATTAACAACGTTGTCAAGTCAATATGTAGCTAACACTCATAACCATCTCCTTATTTCCTCAAAATGGCGAGCCTGACACCGACCATGGCGGATGTGGGGAATGTCACGTGGTCTTGACGCCGAAACTGAAATATGATACCCTTTCTCTCCACCGCTTCCGCGTGCAATCTACATGGCAGGTAGTAAAAAATTCGCTGTTTACTAACCTGACCACTGTTGCTAATTAAGTTGGAAGAATTCACTTGACTTTTTGCTCAGTGTAGAATTACGGCTTCGATTTAATAAATTGATTAGTTTGTAAATGTTAAACTTACTTGGAACCAACATATCTTTTGGCATTGAACATTCAGACTAATTTTATTACTACTTGTTTGTTTTGCAGGTTTACCAGACAAGCTTCACCAAGTAAAAAACAGATCATGGCTTCGTCAGAATCATTTGATGTTAATCAACAATTTGGATCTGAAAAATGGACTATTGATCGACAAACTTGTCCAAGACGATGTCTTGTTTCAGTCTGACGAGGAGACAATTCGGTCCCACTCCACAAGAAAGTGTCAGGTCCGAGAACTTGTGTCTAGAATTAATCGATGTGATTCAGATCAGTTCCTGAAGTTCAAGAACCACTTGAGTTCAGAATATCCTCATTTGGAGTGTCTCTCGTCTGCTGAGGACAAAGAGAAGAAGAAATTTAGAGAAAAGTGTGTCGTCTGCAACCTCACAAAGATCGTCGATGTTCATGACATTGTGGATCACATGTACCAACAGAAGTGCATTGATTCTTGTACATACGAAACAATATGGAGAAGAGACGTTTCTCAAGCGGGATGGTGTCGTCTGCTTAAAGGGGTGACCAGAAGTGATTCCAAATGTACAGAAGCCCTGGTGGCCGCATTGTCCAGGAAGTATCCTGAGCTTGCTCAGCGTGTAGCGTGTGCACAAGGAGACGTGCTCACATGCTGCTGTAGCAAGATTAAGAAGGAGCATTAGACATTCACCAGGGGGGGGGGGGAAAGGTCTCAGTAACGTTGTCTCTTGATGTAATACATGTTCAATTAGATTTTGTACCACATTCTCAATATCGAGAAAACTTCATGAACCTCAGATGAGCGTTTTGACAATGATTTGTTTGTTTGTTTGTTTGTTTTTTAACGCCTCACGGTGGTTCGTAAATAATCGAGTCTGGACGAGACAATCCAGTGATTGACATCATGAACCACGCAATTTGGATACGATGACATGCATCAACCAAGTCAGCAGCCTGACCACCCGATCCTGTTAGTCGCCCCACACGACAAGCAAAGTCGCCTTTTACGGGTTGCCGAAGACCTATTCTACCCCGGATCTTCACGGGTCGTTTTGACAATGAACGCACATTTGTTCAATAGTAATATGTTTCAGAAATAAAACGTAAAAGGTGTTTTCATAACGTTTTTGATGGTTATTACCCTTACGCTATACGGATCTAGAGATCGACAAAAGAAAAATGCGACTGAGTTGTGCAATCAGAAGACACACCAATGGCAGCGACAAATGGTACCTAGGAGCGTATGCGTGTGTGTGTGTGTGTGTGTGTGTGTGTGCGTACGTGCGTGCACTCAGCATTGTGAATCCTATATACAATTCTTACAGCCGTGTCTTGACCGACTTTCCAATTTCTATTATATATTCCTGTCCTGACGCACATTACATTTTTGCAATACATATTTTACACAATTGAAATTGTCATATTCAGTAGCCATAGCGTCATGTCCCTCTTCCTAACAATATACACCCCAAAAGCCCGCGTCACATTCCTATTCCCGTCAACAAACCCAAATAACCCGCGTCATTATCTTATTCCTGTCCATGCACCCAAATAACCTACGTCATAATCCTATTCCTGTCCATACACCCAAACGACCCACGTCGAATTCCTATTCCTGACAACACACCCAAACAACCCGCGCAATAATCTTATTCCTGTCCATACACCCGAACAACAAGCAACATAACCATATTCCTGACAACACACCCAAACAACCTGCGTCACATTCCTACTCCTGACAACACACCCAAACAACCCGCGTCACATTCCTAGTCCAGACAACACACCCAAACAACCCGCGTCACATTCCTACTCCTGACAACACACCCAAACAACCCGCGTCACATTCCTAGTCCAGACAACACACCCAAACAACCCGCGTCACATTCCTACTCCTCACAACACACCCAAACAACCCGCGTCACATTCCTAGTCCAGACAACACACCCAAACAACCCGCGTCACATTCCTACTCCTGACAACACGCCCAAACAACCTGCGTCACATTCCTACTCCTGACAACACACCAAAACAACCCGTGTTACATTCCTATTCCTGACAACACACCAAAACAACCCGAGTTACATTCCCATTACTGACAACACACCAAAACAACCCACGTCACATTCCTATTCCTGACAACACACCCAAACAACCTGTGTTACATTCCTATTCCTGACAACACACCCAAACAACCTGCGTCATATTCCTATTTCTGTCAACACACCCAAACAACCCACGTCACATTCCTATTCCTGTCCATACACCCAAACAACCTGCGTCACATTCCTATTCCTGTCCATACATCCAAACAACGTGCGTCACATTCCTATTCCTGTCAATACACCAAAACAACCTGCATGACATTCCTATTCCTGTCAATACACCCAAACAACCCGCATCTCATTCCTATTCCTGTCAATACACCAAAACAACCTGAATCACATTCCTATTCCTGTCAATACACCCAAACAACCTGCATCTCATTCCTATTCCTGTCAATACACCCAAACAACCTGCGTCACATTCCTATTCATGTCCATACACCTAAACAACCTGCATCACATTCCTATTCCTGTCAATACACCAAAACAACCTGCATGACATTCTTATTCCTGTCAATACACCCAAACAACCCGCATCTCATTCCTATTCCTGTCAATACACCCAAACAACCTGAATCACATTCCTATTCCTGTCAATACACCCAAACAACCTGCATCTCATTCCTATTCCTGTCAATACACCCAAACAACCTGCATGACATTCCTATTCCTGTCAATACACCCAAACAACCTGCATCACATTCCTATTCCTGTCCATACACCCAAACAACCTGCGTCCCATTCCTATTCCTGTCAATACACCAAAACAACCCATGTCACTTTACTATACCTGTCAACACACCCAAAAAAACCGCATCACATTCCTATTCCTGTCAACACACCCAAACAACCCGGGTCACTTTCCTATACCTGTCCATATACCCAAACCACCCGCATCATATGCCCAAGAAAATCTCGCCATATTCCTGTGTGGCCACAGTGAAATATAACCATGTACATATTGCAGTGGCTATGTATTATGTAGAACGGGGTAGATATTATGTAGAACGGGGTAGGTCGTGACGAAGATATAGTTTCCTCAAGGAATAGCAACCGACATCGTTGTCATGTGATACATTGCCAAGCCTCTAGGCAAGACTGCCATTTGTAACATGCATAGAACAGTTGAAGGGATACGGGTGTCCAACTCCCCATCCTCCTGATACGAGGTGATCACGTGGTGCCTGTGTTGGTGAACCACTGTTTCAGTGTACTGGGAGGATGCATGGGAGCGTGGCGTGGTGGTTCGTGGTGCTGTGTGGCGGGGCCGCTTTGGTCGTTGAGGGAGCCACTGTTTGTACAGACAGACCGGTCATTGGTAAGTGTCCGACTCGTCCCGCAATGCTGGTAAACGGGGTATTTATACTTACCTGTCTTGCAATGTTGCAATGTAGTAATGCATGAAGACAACATTTGTAAGACTCTTTTGGGGCATGGGTGGCTCTGTGGGTTAAGTGAGTGGGTGAATGTTGTTTTATGCCGCTTTTAGCAATATTCCAGCAAGATCACGGCAGGGGACACCAGAAATGGGCTTCACACATTGTAACCATGTCTGGAATCGAACCCAGATCCTCGGCGTGACAAGCGAACCCTGTGGGTTAAGGCGCCGCAAATCTAAGGGTTGGATGCCAGAGCCGCCCGTTTATGATCATTCGGTTGTCAGCACCATAACCAAACTCGTGGGTTTCACCAACGTGGTTGTCTAACGTTACGTCACCTTGGCCTTTCTCTCACAGTGCGTGACCCGCCGTGGTATAACTGAAGCGGCATAAAACAATACATGGTTGTAAACACAAACACGAAGAAAAGGTAAGAAAAAGAAAAGTCCTATGAAACATTGATTATAGATATACTCAAGTACAGTGTGACTTGTTGACAGGGATCATAGCCCAGGCTTCCAGCAGCAAGCGCCATGGAGACACCTTCATACCAGCCAACTACATCAAGTACTTAGAACAGGCCGGGGCGAGGGTGGTACCCATTCGGTGAGCAAACTTGATAACAATCATTTATTACATGGTACTGAAAGTTGAAGTGACAATTTCGATCGCATACAATTGAATAAACTTACTTACTTACTCAAAGAGAGACACGCATAGCTCAGTGGTCTAAGGTGCGGCATTTCGCTTTACAGAGTAGTTTCCCTTGGCCGTATAAGGAGCCGTTGATCGTTGGTTCTAATCACAGATTCCCCCTGAATCCTTGTTTTTTCAGCACCATATCGCGATAAAGTGGTACACATGTACGTCTATACGCTGATAAACCGTGTTATAACTGAAATACTGTTCAAAGCGGCGTTAAATCCAACTCGCTCACTGTCACAATGGTTAACCTGTTAAATGTATAAAATCATTCATGATATAGGCCTACTATGTTACAGGAGGCACGGGTGGCCGCGATTCGCTGTGCAGAGTTGCGTCCCTTGGGCACGCCAGAAACCTATGATTGTGGGTTCGAATCCCGGTTCGCCACGATTATGTTTCTCGGTTTGTCGGCATGATACCTGTGCTCGTGGGTTTCACCGAAGTAGTAAACGTCTGAGACCTGCATCACTTCGGGCTTTCCTCCCACATTAAGCTGACGCACCGTGATATAACTGGAATAATGTTAAAGCGGCGTTAAACCCAACTCACTCACTCACTCACTCACTCACTACTATGTTACAGTGCCATCTGAATGTCTGACATAAATTGTTTTGCAGTGTACGACAGACCCAACAGTACTATGAACAACTTTTCTCCAAGATTAATGGGTAGGTCTTCGTTGAGTGGACGGTCATCCCCGGTTGTTTCGAAGTGTCATTGCTTGTTAAATTGTGCCGGTTGCAACTCACAACATATGAAAATTTACAAAAAACTATTGTTCTTAAGCATTACCCTATGCCTGTCTGGTCGTTACACGCGTTATGGACTTTTTTCGCTTATGTTTAATATTCTGTGGTTGACGGAGACGGTTGAGTGGGCAGTGTGGTATCTGCAGATTATAGAATAAACGTTCAAGTCAAACCTCGTTAACTCAGTCATCAAAACCATCGAAACTACATCGGGTTATCACAAGTTCGAGACTTGGAGTGACGATGAGGATTCAGTTGAATGTTGGGAGATGATGGAGTTGGATTTAAACAGGTTTCACTGAATGTCAACCAAATACTGCAATATCGTATCTAGTCGTGAGTTCCTTTAGTCTTGGGGTTCGATTCCCGACATGGTGCAATGTGTGAAGCCAATTTCTGGTGTCCCCCGCCGTGATGTTGCTGGAATTGTGCTAAAAGCGGCGTATAATCATACTCACTCACTCACTCCTTTAGTCTTTGGCTCAAGTAATGAAGATGCAAGTCCCGAAAGGTGTAAACTACTTATGTCATACACTATTCCAGTATTTCCTTGCCGTATACAAGAGGCAAGTGTACACTGTTAGAAACAGAGTTGTTTATGCAGCGGCGTGATGGTTCACTACGACAGGACTTGTGTGGCCGGCAATGTTGATTGTATCTATACAGAAAAGTTATGTCATTCGAATTATCCTGCAGCACAAAACCGACTCGCGACCAGAGCATCAAATGTATGATGGTCGATGCGTACATCGGCATGTTGTTTTACGGCATGTTGAAATCAGATACCTTTACAGCATAGTGGAATCAGATAACGTTTATATCATGTTGAAATTGGATGCGTTTACGGCATGATGAAATCAGATACCTTTACGGCATAGTGAAATCAGATAACGTTTACGGCATGTAGAAATCAGATGCGTTTATGGCGTGATGAAATCAAATACATTTACGGCATGTTGAAATCAGATACCTTTACAGCATGGTGAAATCAGATGCGTTTACGGCATGTTGAAATCAGATACCTTTACAGCATATGTTGAAATCAGATATTTGTACGGCATGTTCTAATATTAACTTCATGCACCAGCGTCCTGTTTCCGGGTGGCCACGTTAGCATCGTCTCCAGCGACTACTCCAAAACTGCCAGGATCATCTACGACTTGGCTGTTAAGGTACGTGGACCATTCCACATTTAAAATCCCAGGTATTTGCGATATCATAGTAATACAACATGCGTATGGTGCCGAAGAACCGGGATTAAAACGCGGCGACAACGGAACATATCACGACTAAGGGGCGTAACTCTTCATTACTTTATGCAGCGCCTTAAACCATTGAGCCACTCGTCTCTCACCTTAGTCCATTCTATGGAAGCGTATTAGTGCCAATACAAAAAATGTATCATCTTGGGAAAAGGATGCTTACTTCAACGTACATAATATAGTAATCTACGTAAAAGAAGGAATTATCTACTAATGAATTATCTATGAACACACAATGCCACTTAGAAAGTGGTTCAAATGTAATCCCAAATATACCATCTGTTACATCTGACCACTTTCTAAATGGTATTGTGTACAAAGGTTTCGGCCATGGGAGCCGTGCCAATTTACACTTGTCAGAGGGGTACACAGAGTACATAATCTAGAGTACCAGTTGTCGGACTTTCATTTTTTGTGAAAGCCTCGGTTGCTGAGTGGGTTAGATCGCTGACTTTAGGTGCCTGACTCTGACAGTGTGGGTTCGAATCATGGATTGGATTTAACCCAAAAAAGTACGAGAATCTGTACCTTATTGAGAAAGTGTTATCGACTTAGGTAAGAATATTTTAATAGTAATAGACACTAGTTACGGGTCAGTTATATATAACCTCTGGATTAATTAATACTGACCGATATGTTTGACTTACTGCATTGACATGTCTTTATTGAGGTACGATCTAAACATTGCATAAAGTAAATCTTCATTTCAAAGTGTCGAAGTTACTGGAGAATGACACACGCCACACTCTCTTACAACCGTAAAAAAAGAGAAGAGAGCACAAAATGTTCCCCAAACTACAAACAAACAAACAACTACAGTCATGCCCCGCTTATACGGACTTCAGATATCCGGAAACCTCGGTTCCCGTACGATTTTCATTAAAAAAAGTAATAATTACTACATACATTTACCCGTATATACGGAAATTCAGTTTCCGGAACCGGACGGTCATTTTCATACACAAAACACTGAAATGCACACAAAATTGTCTCACTTACCCGGACAATACACTTCCGCTGGTGGTAATCCTTTGATTCGTGAGAAGTCAATTAACAAAGTGGCACTGAGTTACGTTGAGACGAGCTTGTTTATTGTACATGTAATCCCCTTCGATAAATATGGCGTCTGGCGTCCAGTAAAAAGCTGGTTTCAGTTATACGGAAATTCGTTTATACGGACGAATTGTATAGGTCATTTTTCAAAATTTTAGCGAAAATATATATCAACCATAAGTCGGATAAGTGTAAGTCGGAGAATATGTTGATTCTCATGATTTCTCTATCACGGAAATTAGGTTAGAGTGGTAAAACGTGAATATGAAGGAGTGAGAATCACCCAAACTATAGAAACTTTATCAAACCAAAACTCGTCATTGTATTTTTTTTTATTTTAGAGCTTTTGTTTGACCATCTGAAATGATATGTTGTAAAAATACGGAAAAGGCCAAATAAAAATAAACGACCAAGATGCTCCCAAACATTTAATTAAATTAGTTGGAATTAACACGTTGATCTACGTAGATGATAACAAATGAAACTGTGGCACTAATACGCTTCCATACTATTCCTAACACACGGGTGGTGATTAGTATCAGCAGCAGGGGATGTGGCGACGTTGTGATGATGGGTGTATCCGTCTATAGATAACCGATTTACGAGTCGCTATTACTTATAGTCCAAGAGATAGGGTATGTTTATTTACCCCGAAAGGTCCATATGGTTTGAATACTTGTAACATTTGCATTATGTCTGGGCTATTCAAAAACATATTTCTTACAAAATATGTCTTGACCATTTTGCCAGTAGGGGGCGGTAAAGGCTTGAGCCGCCCTTTTTCTGAAGGTGACAGTATGTTTTCAGAGATGATCAGGATATGTATGTGTTACCTATAGTGTTCAAATTCTATGTGAAAAAAAATCTTGAAAGTTGATATTTTATTTGAAAAATAAAAAAAATAACAAATTGTATTTAATTTATATATTTTTTTACAGTCAAAATGGCAATTTAAGTTTATTTTTTTGTTAAACTTCAACTTCTAATTTGATTCGTAACCAAACTATTCCACAAATTCATGAAATAATGTTGATTTGGTTAAAATGGGGCATAGCCAGTATAAAACACTGCAAAAGTTATTCATTTTCTGACAAAATAGTGTTGGGCAAAATTACTAAGAAAATTACAAGCTTTTATTACAGGAGTAAGAAGAAACAAAAGATTGTACAAAAGAAGTGTCAGTTATATGAAATCGTCGTTAAGACGCCTCAATTCGATGTGCAGAGTTGCGTCTCTTTGGGCACGCCAGAAACTATGATTGTGGGTTCGAATCTCGGTGCTCCCCGATCATGCTTCTTGATTTTTCAGCACCATAGCCATATATAGCGTCTGAGACCTGCATCACTTCGAGCTTTCCTCCCACATTAAGCTGACACGCCGTAATATAACTGGAATATTGTTCAAACCGGCCTTAAACTCAAATCACTCACTCACTCCCTTCATACAGTCTACAAGTTTGTTAACTGTAATGCTTTTTTGGCATCCTTCAGGACAATTATTTGCCTCCGTTATAATTTGTTACACGTACAGGACGCAATGTTCGGCCTCAGGAGACCATCACTACAGGGATTCATGGTCATTCAAGGTTTCCCGTTGTTCGTATATGAGATGACTGAATTGTGGATCTCTAGGTCAAACTCCGTGACTCGCGTGTGTGTCATAGTATCCTAACACAGTTGCTCGTTGCAGGACATGGTTACCCTTTCGCGAACTGATTTTAAGTTATCCATTCATATGTTCACCGCTATTTTGCCCCTCACGTCCAATGGCATCTTTTTCGGTGGATAATCGAGACTGGTTATTCTCTGGAGTTGGCATTTTGTATTTACTGCCTTGCATGCCAGAGCTCCGTGCCACAAAGCGATCTTAGTGCTATGATTGTCATAGATCGAAAGTTAAGGCTAAGGCTAAGGGTGGGTGGGTGAGTGAGTGAGTGAGTGGGTGAGTGAGTGAGTGAGTGAGTGAGTGAGTGAGTGAGTGAGTGAGTATGGTTTTACGCCGCTTTTAGCAATATTCCAGCAATGTACCCATGTCGGGAATCGAACCCGGGTCTTCGGCGTAACGAGCGAACGCTTGAACCATTAGGCTACCCGGCCGCCCATGTAACGGCTAAGATCTTCCATAAGGAGAGCTTAAGGGCTGTCGTAGATTTAGGGTGATCTTATGACTTAGTGTTAGAGACGGCTTTGTGTAACGTCCTTAAAAGGTATGACATGGTTTACGACGTGGTTCGGAAGGTCGTAGCGCTAAGAGGCTTTCGTGAAACGGCACCCTGGTCCAGATTTGTATTTTTTTATTGGATGTGATATAACTGGAACATTGCTCTCCGATGTCTTTTAACTACACTCACTATCTCACTCCCCGAAATGACGCGACTATGTTTGTCGTTAGAGGAGACTAACGGGATCGGGAGGTCAGACTCGCTGACTTGGTTGATGCATGTCATCCTATCCCAGTTGCGTGGATCCGATGCTAATGATATCAATCACTGGATTGTCTGATCCAGACTCGATTAGTTACAGACCGCCGTCATATAACTGGAATATTGTTGAGTGCGGCGTTAAACAACAAACGAACAAACCCCCAAATGACTGCTTGTTTAGGCCAACTCCGAGGGCGAGGTGTTCCCCCTGTGGGGTTCGTGTGAGGGGTTCCAGCTGATGACGTACTTGAGTACAGGACACAGACTGCTGCACTCATCAGAGGCCTACAACGTCAGTCTGCCTCTCATCCTGCAAACAGGTAGGCAGCCACTGTCACTGGGGGAATACAAAACTGCATCTCAATATAGTAGAGGAGAAACTTGGCCTTGGCATACATTTGGCCCGTGTAGGGATTTCGGATCAGAAAAAGTCCCCAGTACCCAATGCACGTAAGAGGCGATTGATGAGGATCGGGTGGTCAAAATGTGTGATCTAACAGACCGTCTGCCATGTTCTCATGGCATGGATCGTTGGTCAGGCTATCAACCACTGGTGTACTTGGACGGGACGAGATGATTACATACCCATCCGTGGAGATCCTGGTTAGAATAGGGGTCTTCAGGAACCCATGCTTGTCGTAAGTGGCGACTAATGGGATCGGGTTGTCAGGCTCGCTGACGTGGTTGATGCATGTCATATTATCCCAATTGTGTGGATTGATGCTCATGATATCAGTCACTGGATTGTCTGATCCAGACTCGATTACTATAAATCTTGGAATTAACCCGAGCGTGAATTAAATGCGAAAAGGAGAGTGCATGGTCTTTGCTCGCATTAACTAACTTCACATTTATATCTCCAAATGATCAACAATAAGACGGCCTCACCGCACACTTAGGATAGCGGAAATACCAACTTGAATATAAACACAAACACGGTTTATTGAGCAGCAGTTGTAACAAGTGTATAACAATGTCATTTAAAGAATAGGAATTACACAAAGGGCAGACCGCCGTCATATGGCTGCATATTGCTTAGTGCGGAGTAAAACAACAAATTTATCCAAAAACGAAAGCAATTACATACCGCCGTGATACAACTGCAATATTTCTGACAGTGGTAAAACAATATTCACTCACTTATGTTTGACTTCCTTGATGGTTTCATCTGACCGGTGTGCCATATCGATGATGTTGTGTACAATCACGTACAGTTCATCTTCCCGAGGCAAGAGAGTTAACTGACTTTAAAAGTCCAGTTTCCACCCTTGCCGAACTAGGCTGGAATTCCTGGGCTCGATCGTATCGCCACCAGTGGCTATTACGAGTTATGTCCCTTCTGAGCCTTTCCTATGGACCAATCAGATTCCATCTCTCGTATCACTTGCATTTGTTTCAAACAAAATGGCTGCGCCCAGTCAAAACGATCTGATCGATAATCAAGACCTATATTGTGAAAATGGGTCTTACATCGCGAGGTGCATCAAATCACGTGAGCACCTTGATTAAAAACACGAAAAGATTTGGAAAATATCTGTTGACAACAAGTTGGCGGTGCACATGCTTTGCAAATCCTGCAATCGACCGAGTTCTGCACGAAAGTTTACTGGACTTTATAGTCAGTTAACTCTTTTGTCTCAGGAAGAGTTCAATCACACTGTCACTCGAGGCACTTGTACTTTGGAACTTGATGACTAACCAAACGTTTGGATAAACGATGTGTGTAATTTCTTTCTTTGCAGGTTACGAAACAAGCAGAATGCTCGGAGGACTGACATCCCAGCTGACCACAATTCTGACCAGCGAGAATGTTACTCCTAACTTCCATCACTACGGCGTGTCGGTTGAGGTACACCGGTCATCATTTTATATGTTAATTCGCCGAATTAATACATTAGGAGACTGAGAACAGTCATCATGTTCAGTGTGTCGGGTAATCCAGTTACCCGCGACCTTTCGGCTTATTCCGCCGCATACAGAATACATCGGGTTGCACTCGTGACCAACTCGTCCCATTCCGGGACAAGCTTTATTGTAGGTTACGGAAACATGCGAGTGGTTACGAATGCATCGGGTTGCAATGTCATTGTGACATTGCATGAATTTACTGGAAACGATGAAACGACGGTCCCGCCGCGTGTAGTTCGTATTACACGACGGACGTTTTTGAAGACAGATTATGCCGAGGTTAAAACTAAATATGTCTACTCTTTGATATGAAGACAAAACCAAACATTTTGAACATTCGTATAAGGTTCACTACTGCCGCCACGAATAAAACAAGTTCCAAAATGGACTATCTGCCAGTGCTGTCCGAGATCCTATGCTTGACTGAGACCAATCTCATTAAAATGACATCTTTGTTTAGTGGTAGCAAGAACTAAGATCTGATATTAATAAAATTGGACGAGACGAGCCGGCTGGTGACACAGTTGTCTCCCTTGGACTAGAGGCCCTGATTATCAGTACACATGTATTTGACGTTTTCGCGTTACCAGTTTGCGTAGTAATTTGTTCATTTGTTGTTTAACGCCGCACTCAGCAATATTTCGACCATATGACGGCTGTAGTCAGTATATTAATGTGTTTTCATATATCGGAACAAAACAATTTTATATACAATGGAATCAGGATATTAATTGTATAATACTATTTTCTGACGGAACAAGATTTCTCAAGCTATCAGTACTTCAGCTGATCAGGTTTACTGGCAATGACTGGTGTGTTTTCACTGGATCACTAGTTCGCGAAGTACTACTGTCTAGCGTGAAGTGTAAACGTATCATATTCATAATGTATCGTGTACTGTATATAGCGACCTAACTTTCGAATTTTGTCACGGCACAGAGTATCGTTGTAGTTTTTGATGCCCTGCCTTGTTAATTCGTGATCTCACAGTATGATTTTAGAGGCGCTTCTATCAGTTTTGCTAATGTTTTATTATGAAATCGTTACCTGCATTGTTAACGAGATACATTTGTTTCAATACACACACTCTCTATATCTTTGCAGACATACAACAAGTCGGCGTCTCTAAGACACTTCTTCCGTGTTTTATCCACAAACAGGGACAACAAGGGGAAGTTGTTTGTCTCGACTGCTGAAGGTAAAACTAATGAAAACAGTGAAGTTACAGGCCTACCGGGACTTCTTGTATTTAAGCTCCAGGACAGATTACGGAAAATGGCGCCTTCTCATCCAAAATACGTTATCCGAAATTAAGCCCAGGGCTCAATTTCGGAAGCGCTAACGCTTTCTGACCTAAATAGGGCACGCCCTTGGCTGAAAAATCAGAAACTTAAAAACAACATGAATTTTGAACCGGAAATAACTGCATAAAATGAAAAACTTGAACTTGCATTTACAGTAAACTACGGTTATAACGAACTCAAATGGACCACTAATTTTAGTTCGTTATAACCGTAGTTCGTTATAGGCATTTATACAACATCTATACAGCAAATGGCCGGGGCCAAAAATTAAGTTTGTAATATTCGTCAGTTCGTTATAAACGTATTTTACTGTACTGTTGAATGAATATTGGGATTTCAGTTATGAATTTAAGGAAGATCACTCCCAAATAAACATCCGAATTTAAGTCAATGGGCCTAAATACGGAATTATTTCTCTGTTTAGGCCCATGAGCGTAGTTAAGTGTGGACATAAATACGGGAGGTCCGGGTACATGGACCATCACGGCTGGATTTCTATAGCAGAACATTGAGATTGGGATATAGTCGAGATACTTGCAGTGTGTGTGTGTGTGTGTGTGTGTGTGTGTGTGTGTGTGTGTGTGTGTGTGTGTGTGTGTGTGTGTGTGTGTGTGTGTGTGTGTGACGTATTGCTCAACTCTCCTATCTATGCGGCCCGCATAGTACCTCTGCCACAGGCTAGCGCCATGTGACGATCCGTCACATCTTACACAGTCCATTCAAGATATTGCATGTTTTTCAGCTGTTTCATATTTACAAGTCTACATATCTTGATAAACATATGTCATAGAATAGTTAACTTTCATTGAGAAAATATCCTAAATCGTGAAAAATTTCAATTTGCGTAGTTATCCTATGTTTACATTGGTTGTACGGCTCCACGTGCTGCCGTCAAAGCCCAAAGGAGAGCTAGCGATTTGGTCACTTTGACTTTTGTATAAATATATATTGTCATGCAACTCACTGTCGCAGATGTTATTAGCATATCTACATATTAATGCAAAACAATATGCAAAGCGACCCCAAATACCTGCATTAGTCCGTTCTGTTCCGATTTCTGAAAAAGCGCGTTTATTTACAAACATGTCCGGTCACGTGATATGCAAATTAGCCTGTGGCAGTGGTGTTATAACAAGGGCAAAAACCAGTCCCGGGGAATTGCTTTAGATCAGTGCCCCTTTAATAGTTTCTTTGGGACGTTTGACAGTGGACCATTGTGACACAGCCATCAACATACTTTATCGTGATATTACCTAACTAGAAGTGTCGGAATGATAATCTGTCGAAGTACCACCGGAAGTAGCGAAGTGTGAAAAAGGTCAAAAGCCTGTATCTATACGATTAGCTACTCTGTTTTAGCTTCAGCAGATTGCGCCACAGCCATTATAATCATACCCGTATTATTCATGTCAGTCTAATGTTCCCCTCCCAGCCTACAAGTACCCGTTCTATGGCACACAGTGGCACCCGGAGAAGATCAATTTTGAATGGAACCCCAGTCTTGCTATCAACCATGGAGCTAATGGAGTCCTTGTGTCACAGTACTTCGCCAACTTCTTTGTCAATGAGGGTAATAGTGCTCACAACCTATTGTTCTTGTACAATCCAATTATAATGACAGTCAAGGAATTATCGGTTTTATAATGGAAATGAGGGAAAAAGTGCTCACAACCTATTTTTGTAAAATCCAATTAAAATGACAGTCAAGGAATTATCGGTTTTATAATGGAAATGAGGGTAATAGTGCTCACAACCTATTTTTGTAAAATCCAATTATAATGACAGTCAAGGAATTATCGGTTTTATAATGGAAATGAGGGTAATAGTGCTCACAACCTATTTTTGTAAAATCCAATTATAATGACAGTCAAGGAATTATCGGTTTTATAATGGAAATGAGGGGAAAAGTGCTCACAACCTATTTTTGTAAAATCCAATTATAATGACAGTCAAGGAATTATCGGTTTTATAATGGAAATGAGGGAAAAAGTGCTCACAACCTATTCTTGTAAAATCCAATTATAATGACAGTCAAGGAATTATCGGTTTTATAATGGAAATGAGGGTAATAGTGCTCACAACCTATTTTTGTAAAATCCAATTATAATGACAGTCAAGGAATTATCGGTTTTATAATGGAAATGAGGGAAAAAGTGCTCACAACCTATTTTTGTAAAATCCAATTATAATGACAGTCAAGGAATTATCGGTTTTATAATGGAAATGAGGGAAAAAGTGCTCACAACCTATTTTTGTAAAATCCAATTATAATGACAGTCAAGGAATTATCGGTTTTATAATGGAAATGAGGGGAAAAGTGCTCACAACCTATTTTTGTAAAATCCAATTATAATGACAGTCAAGGAATTATCGGTTTTATAATGGAAATGAGGGAAAAAGTGCTCACAACCTATTTTTGTAAAATCCAATTATAATGACAGTCAAGGAATTATCGGTTTTATAATGGAAATGAGGGGAAAAGTGCTCACAACCTATTTTTGTAAAATCCAATTTTAATGACAGTCAAGGAATTATCGGTTTTATAATGGAAATGAGGGAAAAAGTGCTCAAAACCTATTTTTGTAAAATCCAATTATAATGACAGTCAAGGAATTATCGGTTTTATAATGGAAATGAGGGAAAAAGTGCTCACAACCTATTCTTGTAAAATCCAATTATAATGACAGTCATGGAATTATCGGTTTTATAAACATACACATTTACACAATGGGGTTGGAAATAAGGGTAAAAGTACGTACAACCTATTGTTCTGTATAATTAAATTATAATGACAGTTGTGGAATTATCGGTTTTATAAATACACATTTTTACACAATGGGATGGAAATGTATTTTCTATTACAGCTAGAAGAAGTTGCCACCAGTTCCCGAGTGACAGAGAAGCCGGTCACTTGCTCATTGAGAAGTTCTTCATGAATTACTGGGATGGCGGTTCCTTCAAACAGATCTACTACTTCAACTTCACTCAGCCTGAGGGCAGCCACTTGGTCGGCTAGCTTCACTCCAAGGACAGCCATTCTGGACCACTCACAGGAGAATAACCACTTGAGTGGCTAGACCATGCGGAGTAGAACCACTTGGTCGGCTAGCCCATCCAGTGGAGATTTACTTGGTAGGCTAGTCTATCCTGAGGACAAACACTTGGTCGGCTAGCTAGCCCACCTGGAGGAGAACCCCTTGATCGGCTAGCCCATCCAGTGGAGATTTACTTGGTAGGCTAGTCTATCCTGAGGACAAACACTTGGTCGGCTAGCCCACCTCGAGGAGAACCCCTTGATCGGCTAGCCCCTCCAGTGGAGATTTACTTGGTCGGCTAGTCTATCCTGAGGACAAACACGTGATCCGCTAGCCCCCCCTGGAGGAGAACCCCTTGATCGGCTAGCCCATCCAGTGGAAATTTACTTGGTCGGCTAGTCTATCCTGGGGACAAACACGTGATCCGCTAGCCCACCTGGAGGAGAACCACTTGGTCGGCTAGCCCATCCAGTGGAGATTTACTTGGATGGCTAGCCCATCCAGAGCAGAACCACTGTGTCGACTAGCCCCTCCGGATTTGCTTGGTAGGCTAGTTTATCCTGAGGACAAACACTTGGTCGGCTAGCCCAACTGGAGGACAACCCCTTGGCCGATTAGCACATTCGGAGGAAGATCACTTGGTCGGCTAGCCCATTCAGAGCAGAAACCCTTGGTCGACTAGCCTACCCAGAGCAGAACCAATTGGTCGACTTGCCAACTCCATGGACAACCGCTTATCTGTGTCTTAATCTCCTGTGCGTGGTCACGTTGTATTGGCCTTGAGGTGATGTTTCACCTTGTACATAACTATCTGACTCCGGCAACTGTACCAAGACAAGGAAGTAGGTTGAATACCTCATGATGTCCAATTATTATCTAGCATATTTTCCGAAACCTTAATATCAGAAGAGCACTGGTGCTGGGAATGACAAAACTGTTTCTGTGTTGACAAGTTACAAGTTAATAAATAATAAATATAAAGAGTACGTGATTTTTTCCTCATGCCGCATCATCAACCCGGATGAGATTAGGATGATGATCCTACGGTTGGCTGCACATCCATCAGTAGTTCCTCATAGCCCAAGAGGAAATAAAAATGTCTGATTTTAACTACCGCATTATGTAATAAAATATTTTCCTCACATCTTTCAATTTGGGAGGACAAAGAGGTGTTCATTTTGTAGTTTTTCTTTTCTACCCACACTTAGGGCTTTAATCCACCACCTCCCTCTGACAGGGTAAACCATGCTGTCTGGTCGTCTGCAGATAACCGCAGCTCCATACATATCCCAGAGACCCACATCTTCATATCCCATGCGTCCCTTGGGCACGCCAGAAACCTATGATTGTGGGTTCGAATCCCGGTTCGTCCCGATTATGTGTCTAGGTTTGTCAGCACCATACCCGTGCTCGTGGGTTTCACCGAAGTGGTAAACGTCTGAGACCTGCATCACTTCGGGCTTTCCTCCCACATTAAGCTGACACGCCGCGATATAACTGGAATATTGTTAAAAGCGGCGTTAAACCCAACTCACTCACTCACTCACTCATATCCCATGCATAATATATTTCGGTTGAAGAGTCAAGGGAGTCTGGAATACAGATACTACACAAGGATACTATTTACCACGGCCAGTTAGCCTTCGTTCGTGTGGAGGGGCGGTCTGGTTGAAGCGTTCGCTCGACACGCCTAAGACCCAGGTTCGAATATCCACGTGGGAAGATGTGTGGTGTCCCCCGCCGTGATATTGCTGGACTTTTGCTAGAAGCGGCGTAAAACTGTACTCATTCATCCACTCCTTCGAGTGGTCATTTCACAAACGTTTGTTCGTTCGATTCTTTGTTGTTTAACGCTGCTCTTTTACAGCAATTTTACAGCTATACGACGGCGATATGAAAATAATCGAGTCTGGACCAGTAGATGTATTCATTGACATCATGAGCATCGATCTACGAAATTTGGATACGATGACGTTCAGCAATCATGTCACTGAGCCTGGCCACCCGATCCCGTTGGTGGCCTCTCACAAGACCGGATCGTCACGGGATTCACAAACGTCATGCGTGTAGGCTTGAGGTAACACATACTCGGAGCACTGTACAATCTCTACTTAATCAACTATTGTTGTTGTTTTTTGCGAGATATGTGTTTAATCAAGATATTGTGCCGCTGATGGGTGCATGAAGAAAATTCATTTTGGAAACCTAATATTACCATAACACCCTGTGCATGGTAGCATAATTTCACCTATATACATGCCTGACCTAGAGGTCGCCTATAATAGCACCTGCGGCTACTGGCCCCGTTGCGATTAAGATTGGTCCACGGTAATCTGTTCGTGCAAGGTGACAAACAGGATCTGGTGGTCAGACTCGTGACCTGGTTGTGTCATCGTACCCCGACAGGGGCGTGGGGCGTTGCTCATGATATCAATCACTGGTTCGTCTGGCCCAAATTCGATCATCTGCTGGTTGGGCGTTAAAAAATAAGCCTGCAACTGCATGTACACGGATCCAAACCCCAGGACTACAATAGATATGTCCAGTCGTTGACGCCGTCTACAGACGTCTCTAAAAGCGCATGTCTGTCAGCGCGTAAAAATCGTGTGTGGAAAAAGTATGGACATTTGATACACTCCTGGATAGTTGCGGATGCCTTCATATAGAAACAGTTTTCATGAAATCTAATAACAATTTCCTTATTTGATTTCATAATCTTTGTTCCCGGAGATGAAAGGAATTGCATGGCCTACAGTTGTTTTTCAGCACGTTCTCTAATGCTGGTCACGCATGTTGTTGGATTTGTATGGAGGTGATTCTCCATTGGATAGAGTACAGAAGAGTGGCTTCTGACAGTCCGCCTGCATTACTGCTTTCAGACCTTAAACTTGCTCAGGGTGTTGAAGCTTCAGTTCCCTGTCGTAGTTCGGACCTGTTTGTACTACAACTGTCGTATGTCTGTGTTAAGGTGGGGGGTAAAAAGTCTATGAACACTTTGTGGGAGAGGCACGGGGCATTATACGTTTTTTTATATAACATATCTACGCGAAAATCGCAAAGAAGAACAAAGAACAAAGTGCGGTTTATTTCACGATAAAACATTGTTCTGTCATGGCGTCATTTCTGGAGATTCGAATATGCGCTTGCAACTTGTCATATATTGGACGACGTTATTTTGGAGAGGGAAGTGTCAAGTAAGTTGTTCCCCGCAGATGTAGCTGGGCATCTATATTATTACAGTAAACTGCGGTTACAACGAACACGCTTATAACGAACTGACGGATATAACGACTTCCTTTTTTGGTCCCGACTATTTGCTGTAGTTATGCTGTATATATGCTTATAACGAACTAGGGCTATAACGAACTAAAATTAGTTGTCCCTTTGAGTTCGTTATAACCGTAGTTTACTGTAATATACCACGGAAACAGAATTTGTCACTGTGATCTTTTACTTTTTGTACACTCGTATATTCGGGCAAAGCATCTGCTTTCGTTTCTGTGTGGCCTGGGTTTTGGTCGTCGTATCTTGGTAGGATACGCAGTGGCCGAACGATCGCATCCAAAAGTGGGAGAGATGTGACAATCGGTATTAGGAGCAAAGGTACATGTGGTCGACGTGAGGATTGTGAGATACTACACGTAACCCACCTTTCGTAAAATGGACTTGTCCGACATTTCCAAGGTCGGATTCTACTCAGGGAGGCATCATTATTAAAATTTGGGTAAATATTTTTAAAGCTTGTACATTTTATCAATATCCTTAAAGAGGCTGTACATAATGTTCATATCTCATATAAGAAATAAACGACTCGTGGTCGTTTTTTTTTTTATCGTACAATAAAACACTGCAGGGAGAATAAACCACTCGGGGCTGCACCCCTCATGGTTTATTCTCCCTGTTGTGCATTATTGTACGATAAACAACGACCAAAAGCAGGGTATGAAACTCCCAAAAAATTACAGCCAGACCACAGGACTGGCTAGCTGAAATACTTGCCAGCTCTGACCAAAACCTGCCTGCCCACTATAATCATATGTTTCTCAGGATAAGCTAACGGGGTTTCTTTTTGGTTACATTTTATCATTCATCTTTAAATGTGAATTAATGCTTATCATCGGGAAATATTTTGAATATTTTCACATATGAAATATAACCCGACCGTCGGGCAGGGGGATTTGAAAATCTGGCAGCCCGAGTTGAAATCAACCCGTCTCGGACGGTCGGGCAGGCAGGTATTTCGAACACTGCCAAAAGTCGTTTATTTCTTACATATAGCCAGACCACAGGACTGGCTAGCTGAAATACTTGCCAGCTCTGACCAAAACCTGCCTGCCCACTATAATCATATGTTTCTCAGGATAAGCTAACGGGGTTTCTTTTTGGTTACATTTTATCATTCATCTTTACATGTGAATTAATGCTTATCATCGGGAAATATTTTGAATATTTTCACATATGAAATATAACCCGACCGTCGGGCAGGGGGATTTGAAAATCTGGCAGCCCGAGTTGAAATCAACCCGTCTCGGACGGTCGGGCAGGCAGGTATTTCGAACACTGCCAAAAGTCGTTTATTTCTTACATATAGCCAGACCACAGGACTGGCTAGCTGAAATACTTGCCAGCTCTGACCAAAACCTGCCTGCCCACTATAATCATATGTTTCTCAGGATAAGCTAACGGGGTTTCTTTTTGGTTACATTTTATCATTCATCTTTACATGTGAATTAATGCTTATCATCGGGAAATATTTTGAATATTTTCACATATGAAATATAACCCGACCGTCGGGCAGCGGGATTTGAAAATCTGGCAGCCCGAGTTGAAATCAACCCGTCTCGGACGGTCGGGCAGGCAGGTATTTCGAACACTGCCAAAAGTCGTTTATTTCTTACATATAGCCAGACCACAGGACTGGCTAGCTGAAATACTTGCCAGCTCTGACCAAAACCTGCCTGCCCACTATAATCATATGTTTCTCAGGATAAGCTAACGGGGTTTCTTTTTGGTTACATTTTATCATTCATCTTTAAATGTGAATTAATGCTTATCATCGGGAAATATTTTGAATATTTTCACATATGAAATATAACCCGACCGTCGGGCAGGGGGATTTGAAAATCTGGCAGCCCGAGTTGAAATCAACCCGTCTCGGACGGTCGGGCAGGCAGGTATTTCGAACACTGCCAAAAGTCGTTTATTTCTTACATATAGCCAGACCACAGGACTGGCTAGCTGAAATACTTGCCAGCTCTGACCAAAACCTGCCTGCCCACTATAATCATATGTTTCTCAGGATAAGCTAACGGGGTTTCTTTTTGGTTACATTTTATCATTCATCTTTAAATGTGAATTAATGCTTATCATCGGGAAATATTTTGAATATTTTCACATATGAAATATAACCCGACCGTCGGGCAGGGGGATTTGAAAATCTGGCAGCCCGAGTTGAAATCAACCCGTCTCGGACGGTCGGGCAGGCAGGTATTTCGAACACTGCCAAAAGTCGTTTATTTCTTACATATATGTAATATAGTAGTCAGCATTAGTGTCTTTGGTATCGTTTATACAATATATTGAAATATTTCTTGAAGTAAATCACTGTTTTAACAATAAAACAATAAAACAATTAGGGTATACTTTTCACAGTGATATAGTGTAAGATATGAACACTTCTTTTGCGACTAAACTTCAATTTTATTTGAAATGAAATGTACAACATGGCATTTGTCATTTATGTATGTGTAGAACTAACGGGAATGTGTCAGAGAGTAGGTCAACCAATTTCTTGCAGAAGTCCTTTAAGTCTCGCCACAGGATCGATGTTGTCGTCAAGCCTCGTATAAGATGTGCGACAAAGTTCGCGATTGTTAGCCAAAAATTCCTTGAGATCATCCAAAGGTTTCCTGTCGCCTGCCGTCAAGCAGTTCCATATGGGAAGATCAGACGCCACAGGAATCCTTTTAAGTGCATTATCCAGATTCTCAATTGCAGCACCCTCTGCCCATTCCTCGTCCATGGGAACAGATTTTGTCACTGTGATATTCATTTGACCACTTCCCTTTACTTTTTGTACAGTCGCATATTCGGGCAAAGCATCTGGTTTAGTTTCATGGGGCGGGTTCTTCGTCTCCTGTGTTTTAACCGTCGTATCTTGGTAACTGTCCAGTGTAGAGTAACCAATGGCCGTGTCGTCTGCGTCAATGGGTGGTGTCTGCTGACGTTCTTCTTGCATTGCTTCTTTAGCCTTGTTGATCACATACAGAGAATTCTCCCGAAACACATCTGGGTTGGTTTTGGGAGGTCCTGACCCGTCGTCTGTCGTCCTTGGGAGAAAGTCGGCGACTTCAGCATACATGTTTGACGAGGAAGATAACACCCTTTCCGGTGGGCCACCAAGTGCGAGGCAGTCTGCGACGTCGGCGTACATTGCAGACGCCGTGTTGCTGCCGTAACCCGTCTTTTGTTCAGGTGGCGCTAGGGAAGGAGCCGCGGCGTCGTCGATGACGATCTCTTCATAGCCGGCATCAGGGGCAGCACGTCTGACGGACATTAACGACAATGTAACCATGGCCTGACTTAATTAAAACACAGATTTGCAATAACATTGAAACAGAAACAGCCCAATCATGTACAAATTGATACACCTCATAGTTCACTATAGGACAGGTCAGTGAAATTTGATGACCAAGGTAGTGGTTGGAGAGATGAGGTGAAAAGGTGTTCATCGTCGCGTCAAAGATTACTGCACTTATATAGCGACGTGCATGCACGTGTGTGTATGTGAGGCTGCTTGTACTAGTCCGAACTAATGCCGATTTTATACCATGCTGCAGTTTAACACAAATAACCCACTCAGACCCAGCATACTGACTCCGCGCCGACCAGTCCTTGTTCTAGTCCCCTTGTAATGCCGAGCGCAAGGCAGAGTAACAACAAGTACCAAGTTTTAACGTCTTTTTTAACGTCTGTTGGTATGTGCGGCCGGGGATAGAACCCCGGACTTTCCGCTCTCCGGGTGGACACTCTACCACTAGACCACGAAGGCGGTCTAGTGGTAGGTATAAACGTTTTAAAAAAATGAATGACTATTTAAAATGTAGTCTTTCGGATCCCATCGGAGGTAGTGGTGTGCTGAAATGTCTACAGCGCACATTGGTAGACTTTTATGACGACTAACACCGTAATCTCAGTGTGAACTCGACATTCATTCTGAGCTCCCTAGGGAGTATACAACCCGAGCTGCCATGCCAGGCACAAGAAGGTTAACAGTCACATAACTATCTCGTCCTGCCGGGTACCCATTAGTGACATATTGCACATATGATCATAACCTGAACTAATGAGGGGCTAGGGTAACAGCAGTCACTTTAAGATTAGACTATACCTTCTGCCGGAGGCCGTCCTGTCCTTGTGAATCATAGCCTGTTGGAGATGTCGCACCCAGTTGCTGCACTCGGTGGCTGTTGCTGCCGTCTAAACACGTGGCATGCGATTTCATCATAACATATTCAAGTCCAAATGTAATTAAGAATTTACTTCTTTTTTAAATACGATGGTTTTGTTTGTGCACGCAACACAATTGTTTGTTTGTTTGTTGTTTAACGCCCCACTCAGCTATATTCCAGCTGTATGACAGCGGTCTGTAAAATAATCTGGACCAGACAATCCAGTGATTGATATCATGAGCATCGATCCACGCAACTGGGATACTATGACATGCATCAACCAAGTCAGCGAGCCTGACCACTCGATCCCATTAGTCGCCTCTTACGACAAGCATAGTCGCCTTTTACGGCAAGCATGGGTTGCTGAAGACCTATTCTAACCCGGATCTTCACGGGTCCACAAAACAATTGAGAAATGGAGAGGGAGAGTTCAAGTTTCACGTTACAGACCCTTTTACTTATACTGATGAAATGTTACATCTTTTATCTTGGTGGGGTCGGGTTGGGGGGTAGGGGGGGCAGAGTTGCGTCCCTTGGGCACGCCAGAATCCTTTGATCGTGGGATCGATGCCCGGTTCGCCCCGATAAGGTTTCTGGGTTTGTCAGCACCATACCATACTCGTGAGTTTCACCAACGTGGCAAATGTCTGAGTCTTGCATCACTTTTCTCCCACTTTAAGCCGACACTCTGTGATATATCTGGAATACTGCTAAAAGCGGAATTAACCCCAACTCAATCACTCATTCACTATATCAATGGCCATGGTTAAAGAGTCTCCGTCTTAGTCCTTCTTCCCCCGCCGTTCACACAATATACCACTAGTTGTCCAGCCGGACTCGATTATTGACAGTGAGTTTCACTTCGGGCTTTCCTCCCACATTAAGCTGACACGCCGTGATAGAACTGGAAATCTGTTGAAAGCGGCGTTTACCCCAACTCACTCACACACTAATGATGCTGACTGTAGCGTATGGGGTCATGTAGTCAGTCACTGACTCTTAGAACAGCCTGTCGTGGCTAACCTAACGAGATAGGGAAACAGGGAAACAGGTGTGAAAGATTATCACCATGCAGGAAGTGGGGGTAGATATCTCTGATAACACGTTCTGCCTGAAGTGGGTGTAGGTGTGATTTGATCGTGTAATCTGTGAGGTGATAATACAGATGACCTACAAACAACAGCGTCCTTTGCTTCTTTGTGATAATCTCAAACTGTGTTCCCTGTTTGGCTCCACTGGTCTTTCTCACCATCTGGGCCTCATTCAACATCAGCGCCTCCACCACTGACGACCTCTGAAACACACAGCAGTACGGCACAACGGGACAAGACAGCACAACGTGAAAAAACGACGACGGCACAACAAAACCTAGACTAACATCTAGTCTCTGAAATGAACACATCTTACATAAAAAAACAGTTGTTCAGTTATCTAAATAAAAATATAATAAAAAGGAGCCCAGTGACTCTCTTCATTTACTGCAGTGATCTAGACTTGCCAAACATTATAGACTTGCATGGGCTATATTTGATATATATTTGTATCAGGGTCTGTAAGACAGACTAAACAAAGCCACGAGGCGCCATTTTATCACATTAATCCGTATTTTAAGATCTTAGTTATTTTTTGTTTTAAATATCAATAAATATATATATTTGATATAAAAAATCGATTTTTAGATATCTTACAATTTTATATTATATCATAAATTAGATATTTAGATAAAGTTAAATAATTGGTATCTAAAATCGATAGACACTTACCAGGAAGCCATTTTAAGATCTCTATATATAAATAAGTTAAGAAATATTTAAGTTACATACAGTTAGTGACATCTCAATTCCGATTTAGGGTGAGTGAGTGAGTTGGGTTTTACGCCGCTTTTAACAGTATTCCAGTTATATCAGGCGTGTCAGCTTAATGTGGGAGGAAAGCCCCAAGTGATGCAGGTCTCAGACGTTTACCACTTCGGTGAAACCCACGAGCACGTGTATGGTGCTGACAAACCTAGACACATAATCGTGGCGAACCGGGATTCGAACCCAAAATCATAGGGACGCAACTCTGCACGGTGAATCGCGGCGCCTTGGACTAGGCCACCCGTGCCCCCTCCGATTTAGGATATCACCAAAGACGTATATACATACAAACACACAAACACACTGCATGCACGTCGCTATGTTTGATAGGAGGATCGTGTAACTGATAAGCACAATGTGCAAGAAAAGTCCATTGTACAACTTCATAAAAAAAAAGTACTGTCGGAAATGCTAGAAAACTGCTTTTCTGGCTTCATTTAATAAATACGAGTCATAGGACTATAAAAAGAGCATATAATAATTATCAAAATAACGCGAATTGCCCTAATCTAGCCTGTCCTAACTGACACTGTGATTACCCTTAAAATGTACTTTTACAGGTAAATGATGATAAACTTAGAAAATATTCGGGTGTTGTCATGCATGTATGTAATAGTCTATAGCCTGAGGTAATTACCTAACACCTGTCTCGAGGTGATGACCTCACATCGTCCCGTGCATTCTCACATGTGGAAATGTCACCGAGTTGGGGGTGGTGTCAAAATATTGCTGTTATTGTACTTAATTGTCATGCGTTGATGAGGTAGCAATTTAGGATATGTACTGCATTATATTTGCTTGGAAACATGATGGACAAGTTAAGAGCTATGAAACGGGATGAGTATTGGAAGGGTGCGGTTTTGGAATCCAGAAGTATTTGTTGTTCTACAGATGGTTTCTTGAGGTAGCATTTTTCTCCGCTGATGACGTATATGAATCGGTACTTTTGAATGTTGTGTTATGTCTTGCCACGAACCCTGTACATTTAGCCAAGATAGACACAACAGGGTTGACCTCTCAATGTCTGACTGGCGTACGTAAGACAACGTAACCGTGTCGTGCCGCCAGCACATATATCTTGTACTTTACTGGTTTCTTATTCAGCCGAATTTTCTCAATGAGTTGAACTTTTGTTTCATATGGTCTGAAGTCGACCAATGTCATATATCCCTGTATGGTCGCCTTCAGACTACTCATGGTTTGAGCGACAGTATCCGGACGTTATATTAACTGGCGTTATCTATGACAATCACACCGGCGTTGTTTACAATGGGCAATAGCTAAAGTACCAACCAGTCTATGAAAACATCACCTCCTATTATTTCCTTATGAAAATCACCAGTTTTCTTTCGCCTCGAAAACATCCGTCAATAAGCCCCATATCATGGGTTGCAGCGTGCAAAACAATGACACGATTACCTGTACCTGATGGTACCATGGGGGCTTTTTGTCCATCTGCCAATAGCCACGTGATTCACCAAGGTAAATTATCTGGACGCCCTGACTGTGATAGTTATTAATGGTTCGGAGATAATGTGACCTCATAGACAGGATGGAATATTATCCCCTGAAAAGTGCTCGGTCCTCGACACGCGCAGTGTATCGAAATCCCATCTCTTGGAGAGCAATAGTGCAGTCCGGGGAACAATAATTGTATTTTTAATTGCTCCCAAATTCTACAAATCAGGGTTACCTTCTGCTCATAAAGCTTGTACACTATACCCCTAATCACCCTGTATCAAAGCTGTCTAATATCCATTTACGCCCCAGTTTTGTTTTTGAGACCACCCCTATACCTGTTTTGTTTTCCAATCATGCCGTTGACTTGATGGTATGACTTGAAAACACCATAGCTTGGGCAGTTCGATAATTCACCCTATCTAAATTAAAACATGGTTTCCCTCTATCTCTCTAAAGTGTAAAGAACTTGTATGCATTTCATAGTACAGATTCCATATCGTGTACCTTGGTTATAGCTATGCAAATGTTATGTAACATGCATCATGGGAGCAATGTTAACACAAAAAACGCAGCGTCATTTTGTCATTTTAGAAGATGCACATCTAGAATTTTCTCCAAATGATTTTTGTGTGTGGAGTAGATGTTTTATCATTGTAACGGAGTCACGTGCGCATATTTCTATAGTTCGTTTCAGACTGCCATCATTGGAATAAATGTGAACTTCCTGTTTTCGTTCGAATTTGTCTCCTGTAAACTTGTCGATAGGACTCCTTGTGACTGAAATACTTCAAACCACAGGTAGGGCGATCGGAAGTTATTCGATGTTTCAATAACAACAGTCTGTGAAAAATTATATCCCTTTTTAACAGACAAAAAGCATTTTTCTAGCATTTCCGACAGTACTTTTAATGCTACCCAGTGTGTCCTCTCACCTTGGATTCCTTACAGTACTGCAGGCACTCTCCCTGCAGTGTGCACCAGAACCGCGACTTGCCCAGGAAGCGCTGAAACAGTCCCTCGATTATCGTGTGTCTGGGAGGAGATACGTCACATCATCTTGCAGTATGTTTGTAAAATTGGGTATCTGACAATGCATTTCGTCACAATGAGCATCGTGCAGTATGTTTGTGAAATTGGGTATCTAGCAATGTATTACGTCACAATGAGTATCGACCCGTGGAGATCCGGGGTAGAATGTCTTCAGACACCCATGCTTGCCGTAAAAAAGAGACTATGCTGGTGGTAAGAGGCGACTACCGGGACCGAGTGTTCAGGCTCGCTGACTTGGTTGATGCACGTCATCGTATCCCAATTGCGTAGATCGATGCTGATCACTAGATAGTCTGGTCCAGACTCGATTATTTACAGACCACCGTCATATACTGCTGAGTGCGACGTTAAACAACAAACAAAACAAAATACAATGAGAATATTGCAGTGTATATTTGGGTATTACGTCACAATGAGTATATTGTAATGTATATTTGTGACAATGGACATCTAGCCAGGTATTACGTCACAATGAGTATCTTGCGATGTATATTTGTGACAGTAGGCATCTAGCCATTTATTACGTCACAATGACTATATTTTGATATATATTTGTGACAATAGGCATCTAGCCAGATATTACGTCACAATGAGTATATTGCGATGTATATTTGTGACAATGGGCATCTAGCCAGGTACCTTGCAGTATGTGCATGCAGCATTAAGTATCTCTGTAAATTACATCATGTGCATCGTGAGGTAATAGTACATACACATCAATCTCAAGCCAACAGTAACAACCTTTGTGTCGAAGGTGTTGTTTCTTGTAATTAGTCGGATAATGCTACCTATTCGTTCAGTTACATTGGATGTCGTGTAAACTGACGACTCATTAGAACCTGACGTCAGTGATCCTATACTTATATGGTCTCTGCGTTTACTTTGTACAGTGTACAGAGTGACATGATTAAAGAAATATGTATGTCACATGCTATTCACTAACACTGGCGTTGTTCGTATTTATATATACTTGTAACGAGGCCATCCCTACAAGCTGACAGTACACGTGTCCACGGTCCACTTAACACAACCTCCCTATGTATATATACGCGACTGCGTTTGTATACTACAGATCCGTTCTACCGTGTTGTTAATCATTGACCTAACAAGTACAGCGGTCACAAAGACCCTAACAATAAATCAAGAGCCATACAGGTCCTGGCTATTAACTTCAACGCGACTCCACTTCCTACATGACCTTAACTGTCAACAGAGCTTTTCCCGACTCGATAACACTTACCGACACGCCACTACTCTGCTTTTCCAGGTAACCCTCCATTACAGGTGTGTCCAGGGACGCCATTTCACCTGTACACAACACCGACGAACACTGTGGCTGGGGAATTGTCAAACACGAACCAGTTCCTGCCTAGGGTGGCGTATGTGGTCTTTATGGCGTTGTCACGTGACTGAGGTTTACTTCCTTGTTGTGACACGGAACGGAAGATTTATCAGCGAGGAATGTCGTAGTGAATATATAGTAGTCACACTGATCAGGGCTTACTGACATCTGATACCAATGCATCACAGCTTAACATGGACAGATTCGGAAACAAAAGACTGACAGTTTAGGGGTGGGTTGTGAAAAATATTTCCCTTGTGGATAAATCTTTCAAACAGTAATTCACTACTTTATTATTACCAAAACGCCACTTGCCAACCAAGGAATGTTTCGGTCTTAGGATTGTCGGATAATTAAGATTGAAGTTATTGATTTTGAATAAGAATACAGGAAAACTGGAGTAGTATTCCCCTTGTCAATTTTGATTCCTGACATCTGACACCAATGCATCACAGCATAACATGGACAGATTCGGAAACAGGGGTGAAAGATGGATATCCCCGATCCCCCTTTATATATAACGATCACCCTTGTCAATTATATAAATCAAACTTTCATGAATTGGGGTTTAACAGTTTAAGTCATTTGAGGTGGCATTTACTTAAGTGTCAATGGTGCCTAGGTACATGGTCTCTCTCAGGAACATGTTCTTGATCTGGTGTCAGTGACTGTTAGAGGTACATGTTCATCATTAGGAGACAATGGTGTGTCTATCAGATACATGTTCATCATTAGGAGACAATGGTGTGTCTATCAGAGGTACATGTTTATCATTAGGAGACAATGGCATGTCTGTCAGAGGTACATGTTCATCCATAGGAGACAGCAGTGTGTCTGTCAGAGGTACATGTTCATCATTAGAAGAGAATGGTGTCTGTCCAAGGTACATGTTCATCATGAGGAGACAATGGTGTGTCCGACAGCGGTGAATGTTCATGATTAGGAGACAATGGTGTCTGTCCAAGGCACATGTTTATCATTAGGAGACAATGGTGTCTGTCCAAGGCACATGTTTATCATTAGGAGACAATGGTGTCTGTCCAAGGTACATGTTCATCATTAGGAGACAATGGCATGTCTGTCAGAGGTACATGTTCATCAGGAGACAATGGCATGTCTGTCAGAGGTACATGTTCATCATTAGGAGACAATGGCATGTCTGTCAGAGTTACATGTTCATCAGGAGACAATGGCATGTCCGTCAGAGGTACATGTTCATCATTAGGAGACAATGGTGTCTGTCCAAGGCACATGTTTATCATTAGGAGACAATGGTGTGTCTGAGAGGTACATGTTCATCATTAGGAGACAATGGCATGTCTGTCAGAGGTACATGTTCATTAGGAGACAATGGCATGTCTGTCAGAGGTACATGTTCATCATTAGGAGACAGTGGTGTGCCTGTCAGAGGTACATGTTCATCATTAGGAGACAAAAGTGTGAACAACTCATGTTGCCATGGACTTAATGTGTGAATATGTGCATGTGCACACATGTACACAAATATACATGACAATACCATACTTGGCTTAAAACATATTTGTGTAGACTGCAACATAAAACATGAAACATCTATACGCAAAAGGATGTACAAATGTAGGTATGTATGTTTCCTGGTTAAACAGGCTTTCACAGGAAAGGCTTCCCTTCACCAGTCCATAAATAGACATCCATATTCAGCACATAAAATATGTGAAAAGAAAAGTCAAACACATGTGGTGCACAGACAAAATCACTTTTTTATTTTCTGCATGTGTTGACCGCCCATGTATGCATGTTGCCCCCCTTATATTTATATTTACAACCCCCTCACCAGTGTAGAAACACTGGGGCAAGGAGCACAAGGGCCATCATGCGAGGCGTCGCTGTACATGCTGTACAAAAATAAGGACATGTGTACACAGCCTCAGACTAAAAAACCAACAGCTTGTTCTGTCCTAGACTTGCACATCGTTGATGCTGAGAGTGGAGAACCAACTGGCTGGCAGCTGGCTTTGTTGCATTGAACGAGGACTCACACAGTCACACACTCACTCGCGCTCACAGGCTCTCACATATGACACAGTCAGTCTGGCAACACACGCTTCCTACATGGACTCTGTGAATGAGATGGGTCATGATGGATACAACAGAATTAACTAAATCATCATAGCTTGAGATGCAGTAAGGCAACTAGTATGGATAGTAGGCTTCCCGTGAAAAACTGTCTACATTACACAAATAATGTATCTGGGTCATGTTTACGTTTCCACATTAATTGAACCCTGTTCATGGTCTGGCATTGAAAGAGACAAGTATAAATTACTATTTTTAAGCTCAGAATACTTTATAAAATTATAAATGTCTGAGTTCCTCTTCTTTAAGACTTTGGGTTCCCTTCAAATTTCTGATACATGAGAGGGAACTGATGTTTCATCTCAAAATGTTTCAACAGTGTCCATAAAACCATATGCCACAGTACAGCTAAAGCCAAACGCTGTGAACTAGTGAGCATAACTCTGTAATACTAACCACACTATTTTTATAAATGAGGACAGATAATGGAGCCTATCCGACAGAGAAGCTTAAAGAACCTGAGCAAATACATCACACCATGGCAGTGATGAAATACAATCTGGTGTCTAGCTAGACCTGTCCACCACCATCACCAAGGCTTCTCACATCCTGATGATATGTTTTGGTTATCACAGACATTATACAGGGAATACAAGTAAAGGACTGTGACAGAACATCTCAAGATTTGTCAGAAGTAGGCACAGTAATAATTGCATTAAACCTGGTAAGTTATCTGACCTACAACAGAATGGATTCAAGCAAATATTATTTGGCGTGCTTCTATAATAGTTTGCGTGCAGCTGACAAGCCTGATATCCCAAGGTACATAATAAACTTCCACAAAAGCAACAACTACCTCCTTACTCTACATAGCAAGTGACAGACAGTAGAAACATTCACAAGAATGATCATTTCCTTTTTGTCTCCTTTAGTCGATGTAAAATACAGAAACTACAGCTGCAGGAATTTGAATCTGTGCAGGTAAGTAGAAAAATTTGAAATTATGTGTTGCGTGATGAAGTTTAGCTTGTTCTCTTTAAAATTATCAGCAATCAGAACCTGCACCCTGTCATAAAAAATCAATTGGCAGGAAGCTTTAACACGCAAGATTGTGAGATCGGAAAACATTAGCTCTGGTCCCGAGGCAAATGCTAAATACAACCTGTGAATGATAAACCTGCCACCCAAATGCCTGTGGTGTGATATGCATAATGGCACACACAAACACACCTCTCTGAACAAGTGTATGTACATCCATATCACAGTTTACAAAGGGCTCATAACATTCCTCGAATGACAACTAAGACCAATGACCTCTCATTCTAAAGCATTTTGTCTTTATGATAATCGTATCAAGCTGTATCGATTGAATGATACCCAGAAATATGGGCGAGGCAACCCAAGTACATAGTCAAACAAGGCATCATCAAGTGCTGCTACACTAAACTGATTTAACAATTCCCTCACCCTGGTAATAATGAAAGTACTAACTCATCTTGTTGGACAACATATCGTGCCTTGTGATTTGATGAAAGGAAGAAATAGACCAAAACATAACCTTTACACCTTAAAAGAAATTTCCTTGTTTACTTAACTTAATATTCTACATAGTTTTGTTCACTAATTAATTACATATGAGGAAATACTGATCAGTATGCTACCTGCTTAGTCCTTCATACAACATCTGTAAAAGGATTGCCCTTTGATTATCAGACTCTCATTCCACATTTCTGATACATTCATTAAACAACCTAACAATGTATGTCTTCCCTGCAAAATCATAAATGAGCATAATTGAGTAGCCAAACTCTGGATGAATGCACAACACAGGTGAAATGATATCATGACTTGTGTACATCATCAGCTAACTGTTTCAGTCACCATCATACACAGAAAAGGGATGGTAGCAGTGGAATCTAATGGAGTGGCGTAACCACAATAACATTGCACAAAAACAGTGAAGAAATGATGTGCTCAATAATAGCACCATATCTCATCAGACCAGGAAAATGCTTTGTGTCATCGGTGCTGCTCTCATTCACACAAGACAGGGCACAGTAGTGTTACTCTGTATAACAGATCCAAGACCACTTCTCATTCGCTCTCACTCGGTTCATTGTGTTATGTGCTAGACGTATCTAAATGACTATGCTAACTGGTTCAAACTGTCTGCCTGCCCACCTATTCTGCCCATCAAAAGTTATCTACTTCAGTCAAATAAAGCATCAGCTACACATGTAATCATACATCAATTACCATAAAGAAATATAGGATAAACATCTAATGACAGTCGACCCATGTCGTCAGTATGTTGAGGAGCTGCAATGGGCTCAACGGCAGTTCTTGGTGGCTAAGGTTGGCATCCATGACAACAAAAAATCACATAAGAAAAGAAACATACACTCAGTGTACAGCATAAAAACCATAACCTCAACTTGTTTGATGTTTGAAATTTTCATGAAATAAATCACATAAAAGTATGTCTGAGCCAATTTCAGTATAGCACACCCACCCGTACTGTTTTCGACACAGAACTGAGCCAATATATGAACTTACATCTGACATAATTGGCAGCACTTATAATAAACATAGCACTTTCTAAAAACTCATTGCATTATGACAGATTCATAAGCTTCATATATTTGACACAATCTTCTGTAACAGGTTCTAAAAATAACTGCGTTGTTGGGTTAAAAGTGAATATGAGAAAATGATAATTATTTTGATTAGCACTCTTCATTTCAGACAACAAGAGAAAGAGAACCTAGCACATGATAAAGGACAATGGTGGGTCTAAAGTATTTCCCAAAAGTTTTCAAGTTTTGTTAACACATCAGGCACTATAAGCTAACCAACCTAGTAGACAGACAGGTAGACAGACAGACAGGTAGACAGCCAATGAGGCAGTGGATCAGTGTAACGGATGTTCCAGTGTTGAGGGTATGAGATCAACTCGTTCACTGCCACTGTCATGTGGTGCACATGGTCCTCCATTCCTCTCAAGGGTAAATTCAATGTCCAGCATTTTTAGTCTGTCCATTCTCGATGCTTGGCAAGCGAGAGGTAACAAAATGGCAGATCCACATCACATTGCTCTCTCGGCACTAACATTAGTTCAAGTCTCGGTCTTCAAGATACCGATATTCGAAAGTAAAACCTTCCTTTTTCCTTTGGCCCCACTTCTCATAATCAAAGTAGATATATGTGCCCTGCAACAGAGAAAAAACTGTATATTTACAAATGGAAAGCTGGTATCTTTTTAAAATTGGAAATGCAGTATTAAGCATGTGGTATGCAGATCAACATAAAATACATATTTTGGCATATTTCAATATTGATGTTTTTGAAGCTTGCTATTCTCTTGGACCTTCAAATAGACCCATTTATATAGATTTCCTGTTTAAACCTTGCCATTCTCTTTGTCCTTCAAAGAAGCCTATTTATCTGATCTACTGTTTAAATCTTGCCCTTCTCTTTGTCCTTCACATAGACCCATTTATCTGATCTACTGTTTAAATCTTGCCCTTCTCTGTCCTTCACATAGACCCATTTATCTGATCTACTGTTTAAATCTTGCCCTTTTTTGTCCTTCACATAGACCCATTTATCTGTTTTACTGTTTAAACATTGCCCTTCTCTTTGTCCTTCACATAGACCCATTTATCTGATTTACAGTTTAAACCTTGCCCTTCTCTTTGTCCTTCACATAGACCCATTTATCTCATTCACTGTTTAAACATTGCCCTTCTCTTTGTCCTTCACATAGACCCATTTATCAGATTCACTGTTTAAACATTGCCCTTCTCTTTGTCCTTCACATAGACCCATTTATCTGATTTACAGTTTAAACATTGCCCTTCTCTTTGTCCTTCACATAGACCCATTTATCTGATTCACTGTTTAAACATTGCCCTTCTCTTTGTCCTTCACATAAACCCATTTATCTGATTTACTGTATTAATGGATCTCTCAACAATGGCTGCCATATTGATTTTTCCTTGCATGTCCATTCTTTTAAAAATAGTTCTGCTGTTCTGTTGTTCCAATACTTCTGTTACTTTTTCAAATCATGACTGACAACAAATAACAGTATAATTGAAGAAATATAAGCATGGTGTATCCTGTAATACCTTATACTAAAATTGCCTGTATTGTCTGATAAAGGTTTTGAACTACAATTAGCACAGACAGAACCAAAACAGGACAGACAGTGACGTCAGATGAATAGGTTCTGTTTGTTACAATACTTGCCTGTTCATAGTCTTCTGTAATAGTTTTTGGTTCTTCATGTCTCTGGAACCACATCATGTATTTTGTATGGAACCTCCAAGATTGCTTTTTCAATGCTTTTGCTGCCAGGTATTGAGCCTTAGTACCCTGTAAATTTGATAACCTTATAAATCACTGTACACCAACAGTAAACTAAACCACATAGATGTAAGTAAGCAGTTCAAACGTAATCAAAAGGTTCAAGCATAGTTCATGTCAATAAATAACATTGACTGACTGCTTGATTGTTGTTTAATGCTGCACTCAGCAATATTTCAGCTATATGACATTGATGTGTAATTAATCAAGTCTGGACCAGACAATCCAATCAATAACAGCTCAATTCATCATATTTTTACTCTGAAAACTAATGACATCTTCATTCGGTGGAAAAGTCAGCTAACTTGCCATACTTGAAAGCTCTGCAGGCAGCACCTCCTATCATTGTGAAGCAGGATTTTCTAGGCAATGAGGACTTCACAATTACATTGTGTGTGTGAAGTGAGGGAGGCTGTCTCAAAACATCAGGAATAAAGTTTCTTATTCTTCATTTACCTTTTGAACAGCTACCTAGTCACAGCTAAACAATTACATGAAGAGAAAAAAACTACTTGGGATTAAGGGGATTAAATCTGAGGTAACTGGACATGACAAAAAATGTCACAACTTTCTCTTCTCGTATCTTTGGTATGTGTCATAAGAAACGCTCAAGCTGCAAACAGGTTATTTGAAAAGTTTACTTTAGCTATCAACATGAGCATGGCATAAAGGCTAAGTTTCAAAATTAACAGCCCAACTTAAAATCAGTCATCTATCGGCACAATGTCTTTACAGGTTCAATATTAACAGTGAAGCAACACAAAGTGAATGTTTAATGCTGGTCAGCAATATTCCTGTGACCCAGTACATAAAGAAGATCTGTAAATAATCATGTCTGGATCAGGCAAACCAGTGACTGAAATCATCAACAACAATACATGCCATAAGATGTCACACACAATCATCAAAATCACAGCACATATCTACACAATCCCCATTTTAGTTGTCTCACAGAATGTTGAGACATTGTCACATTCATGATAATATATATTTACACGTGAAAAAACCCAGCTTGTTTCATAGATTATTACAAAGTAGAACAAAAGGGAAGAATGAATATTCATTTCAAAACAGAATCATGGCCATTACCATCATTTCATAAATGATACTACCACCTCTCACAAGATGATCTTGGACAATAACACATACCCCTAACTTTTGATGTGGTAGGGTTTGTTAAGATACATGCAATTATTACGTTTCATGCCTGTAGATAGTAACCATGCCTCAGGTTACGGACAATAATAAAGCCATGTTAACAAAAAAAACTCAATTCTGGCCTTGACCAAAAATGCAAGACCCATCCTGGAGATGGTGTATACTAAGTTTAACGATATAAGCCTTAATATTTTTTATAACAACCCTTGCACAGTTAAGGAAATAACTGATGACAAAACCTTAAAGAATATCCATTCAGATGAGGTTGGTTCCATGTTTAACACCGTACTCAGCAATATTCCAGGTATATGACGGCGGTCTGTAAATAATCAAGTCTGGACCAGACAATTCAGTGATTGATAGGCTGCTAACTGGACATCCATACTAGGTTCTGGATAAACCCTTTAATCAGGTGAGCAAACTGACTGCTGTATCATGTACCACTGGCTATGAATAATTAACTAAAGATGGTACAAAACATCAACAGTGTCGAAAAGCACCTATACCAACATACACTCACCTCCATGTAGTAAAAGATAAAGAATAGTGTTTCTGTTGACAATCTTTGGAAGAATTCTACGGAGTCAGCATGGGGAGGGGGGACTTGGGGATAGTACGAAGGTGTAGGACATGGATTCCTTGGCAAGTAGTGCCTGTAACAATCAACACAGAATGAGATACATGTTCAGTCACTAAAGTTTCTAAATCTTATAATATCATTTATCATGACACTAAAAAGAACAGTTTCTTCAGGGCAATCAATAATTTGTGTTTTTGTTTTACATCTTTTTTTAATATAAGGTCTATAAAAGTCAAAATTTTAACAGAAGAATTATCTTTCCTTGACTTAAAATATGTCGCATTGTTGCATAGTCTTCTGCCTACAGGGTGAAAAATATTCCAGCACGCTCCCCCTTCTTTCCTATTTTAAAGCTCTATTTTTCTTATTGCCCAATAGATAGAAAAGGAACCAAAATCATGTTGAATATTTTACAGCCAACATACCTTAATCTTTCAGAGTCTGAAGGATGAGGCAAATGATGAAAAGCAGCTTCTAACATAGAAAGCTGATAATAATGTTCTTTGCTGAGTGGCATGGGTCCAAGAGGTGCTACACCTAACAATGGATTTAAGTGGATGGTAGTGGTCTGCGGTGCCTGTTGCTGTTGTTGGACCGATGGCTGTTGTGCTGTGGATGTCGGCACCGACTGTGACTGCTGACTGGGGATGGTCTGTTCAGGTGATGGAGCGGTGGGCTGTGAAGGAGGGGCTTGTACTGTGGAGCTGAGAAACACACCTGAAAAATAAATTTTCCTATATACATATATGACCTTAATTGCAATCTACCACTTGCTACGTTGTTTTTTATTTGACATAACTGTTTCATTTCACAGAATCTCCGGAAAAGAAACTTTATTTAGGGGATAAAATCCACAAAAAGAGTGCAATGGCACTGTAGCTCACCTTGATATGTAGTCAACAGAGACAGACACTTAAAGAAGCTTAATGTTACTCAAATATATTCTGCATAAATTTGAACCTCTTGAACAAATTTGAGTGTCATCGTTGGTGGGAACAAGCATGTGAAGTTAAGTTTCATTGGTCCAGCGGTTTCTGAGAGGAAGATGTTAATGAAGGATGATAGACAGACTCACTTGACTTTCAGTAACAAACAATAGAAATACACTATCTCTGAACTGTAAGCTATAATTAAAATTAAATTCTTTAGTGATATGTGCTCATGGTTGTCCTTGAAAGATACCTTTGCTATCTGTTGTGACATGAGATGTTGGTATCTGACTCTCTAAACCTGCTTCAACAATTGCTTGCTGTGCCATTGATTTTAATGAAGACATCAATTCACGACTCTGAAACACAAAAGATGACTTCTGTCAGCAAAACAGTTTTTGTACTTGTTGATGCCACACTCCTGGTCATCTCACTACCACTAGTACCAGACTAGCCTTAGTGCCATAAAGATCATAATTACAAACAGAGCTGATGTTATGCGGGCCAGTCAGTAATTTACCAGCTACATATTGGAGGTACGTAAATAAACCAGTCTCTGCCAGGCAAAGCAGAGGTCCCACCCAAAGCGATCTTTGTGCTAAGACGATCTTAACTCCCTTACTTCAACATAGACTTAGGACAGATGTAGTGCTAATATCGCTTTGTGGAACGGACCCATGTTCCACAAAGATCAATTCCTGCAAGGATGGTGTTCTACATAGCTATTGTTCCCTGGCATCTCAAAGCATAATTACTCAAAATTAGAACCAGCCAACAAATGAATTCCAACTTGCCTGTAATGATGGCCGAACAACAGTAAGGGGACCATTCATTGCCAACGGAGCATCAGTCTTAAGTTGTGACTGTGACAAGATTAATGTTGTTGATGATGCTGTAGAGTTGGTGGAGCCTATGGGTGAAGGTGCTGCAGCGCCACTCATTAACGGTGACGGTGCTGATGGTACAGACGGATTTCCCGATGAGTTTAACACAGAGACAGAGTTGACACTGGTTGATACAGAGTTAGGGGTACCATTTGTTGTTGCACTGCTTGCCGCTGCCACATGGTCTAAAGAGTTGCCTGTGGGCTTAGCATCTACAATACAACAGCATGTCATAGCCTCAAATCAATATACAGAGTCAATTTGTCAACATTAAAATAATATGGAAGTGACATGTACAATAAAATCGGTCTTACCTATAACCTGTAAATTGATTGATGTACAACACAAACATTTAAACAATTTGCAAATTGTTTTTTTGTAAGTGGTGCATTTGTCATTAACAGAACAGTGTGAGAATCATCCACCAATAAAGTGCTTCACAGAACAGAAGCCAAGGCAGGCCAATTACCACAACATTCACTGGACAACTGTCAAATAGCGTGGACCTTTGTACAGAAACTGGTCACAAGAATAATTAATTAATGCAAGTCGTCTCTGGCAAGTTCTACACTATCTAGGCCTGACACTATATCTCTTCAGAAGGGGTTGCATAAACCAAGTGGCCTTCCACAACAACCATCAGGCATATGTCCCAAAACAGCAAACGCAATGAGGAAAACCACAGCCCTAAAGCCATTCCTAGATATTTTATGTCTTAAATTCAGCAAGATCTAAGCAAAAGGGCATAGGCATAAGCTAGCAGTATAATAGAGAGAACAGGCCATGTGACAGCTGCCAGTATGTTGGATGTCCCGACCATCAGGCAGGGTGGTCAGACAGACAGACAGATGGACAGACAAGACTGATGGACGGGCAGATGGCTTACCCTGGAGGAAGCTACTGTGAGCAGAGGCATTTCGCTGCCCCCACACAGAAGGGATGGAATGGGAGAGCCGTGGAATGGGAGTACCTACAAGATACAAGTGCTAGTGTTAATAGAGTCAGTCAGTGTGGAGCTGTTGTACTTGTACTGCTCTCCCTCCCAGTGGGCCCTTCAGTGTCAACACAACTGAAACAACTAGGTGGCTGGCAGGCACGCAGGCAGGCAGACAGGCAGGCAGGCAGTCAGCACGTAGGTTACACAGAATGTTAGCAGGTATTGGTACAAGTAGTAGTAGCAGAGTCAAGGAGATTCACAACTGCTGTAGTCTTAATGATTCAAGCTTGTTACTGCTGAAAGAAAAGTCAGTGACATGCAATGCCATAACATACCTAGTCAGCTAGCTACCAGTCCTGAAGCTATATTAGTGGAGTATGTAAACAGAGGTAGAACATTACTGCCTGCAGTGTAATTCCAGACAATTATTAAAGGGTGAAAATTAAAATTCTTTCTGTAAGAACCCGACTGAATCCCCTACACTCATAATACACTTCAATATCCCCGACAATTAAAATTTTAGAAATTCATTTACCTTTCTCTGGTAATCAAGAATAATCTTAGATAAAGTAAGAATAGCACAAACTGCCTTTGTCAAAATCATTACAATGTTTATATACTAAAGTAATATTTTTTTCCTCTAAATCAGTTCTAAGGTATGAAGTGCATAAATGTATGCAATCAAATACCAGCAATTTTCACTGAAGATTTCATCCTTTTGAATAATCAACTGGAACCACAAGAATTATTTCCCATCACCATGTTACCTGGAGCAGTAGAAGAGGGTTTTCATCATGCATACTGACAGACTGCTCAGACAACAGTGTTAAGCTGCCACCATCGGTTACATCTCACACAAATATGGGAAACAATAAACAGAACATTTTCAATCTCCTTTCAAAAGAAGAATCAGCATTTGCAGATTGAGTAGTACAGATTTGAAAAGTGTGTTGCACTTCCTTGCTTTTGAATCACCTAAAGTGGCTGATGTATTCTTTCTATAATATAACAAAAAGTATTTCATTGCTTTTATACCTCAGAACAGGAGGTTAAACATTTCTTTCATAAAGTTTTCAAAAACCTTTTCTCAAAGGAAGAATGTGAACACAAAATCAAACCTGCGTTAAGCTGAACTATGTGAGAAAACCAAAACGGTGCTGAAACTGTGTGAGAGTTCTTACCCGGTGCACTGTTCTGACTGCTGGCAGCCGCTGCGTATGCTGTGAGAGGAGGGGTTGGAGTCGTGGGATGGTGATTGCTAGAACTACTGTCAGAATTTTGAGAATGGGGGTTGCTGAAATAGAAATATAATATGCTTACTGACAATAAATGTAAACAAGAGTCATCAGAAGATGACAAATCCCCCTGGCCCCAACAAATTCAAAAGAACAAAATCATCTAACTGTTTAGTCCAACTTGATTTCTATCTAATCTGTGTCTGAATAAAAGAGTAGTTAGTGAACTATCAAAACAATACCATGGAATTGGGATTTGGAACTTTGTATTTCTATGTCAGATACACACCACTATGAACAGCCTAAGTCAAACTTGTTCCATGGAAACGGAAAAAACATAAATTCTAAACATCGATAAGTAGCAAAAGGCACCATTTCAGCCCTTGGTTCATACATGTACCAAGTTTGGATGAAAAATGTTGAATAGTGTTTTAAGTTCTGATCCGGAAACCTCACCAACCTCTATTTCAGCCAAATCTAACTTGTTACCATGGAAACAGGGAAAATATATTTTGGAAAAATTCCTAAGTTGCAAAAGGCACCACTTCAGCCCTTGGTTCATACATGTACCAGGTTTGGATGAAAAGACTTTCACAGTTTTTAAGTTATGCTCGGGAAATGACACCTACCTGGTCCCTTTTGAAACTAAGTTCAAATTGTTCCCATGGAAATCAAGAAAAAGAAAAAGAAAAATGCCAAAAATCTGTAATAGCAAAAAAACACTTCAGGATTTGTTTGATACGTCTGCCAAGTTTTGTTGAAAGATATTGAATGGTTTTTAGTTACACTCTTGAAACGAAGTGATTACAGACAGACAGAGACAGGGGAGATAAAAAAGATACATCATATAGAATAAAGTTTGATACTATTAGAGAAAAGACAATAAAAGCATCCCTTACATATGATGAGTGAATTTAGTTTAATGACACAGTAAGTAATCATTCCATTTCCATCAGACAGACATCAGTGAACATAAGCATAGGTTCACAAGCCATGCCACTGAGCTCAAATGACAATCAGCCAAGACAACAAACATAGGCTACTGGCATCAATTTAAACTCCCATTGGGCCATTTATGGCCAATGGCGCTCTTTGCAATCAGTTATTTGACAGCACACGAAAAACCATCAAATTTGTGATGTCAAATTACAAATCAAGTTCATATGGGAGGATCGCTCGAAGTGATGCAGTTCTTAAATAACTAGAAACATAATCAGGGTGAACCCAGGAATCGAACACACTATCATATGTTTCTGTCATGCTTAAGGGATGCAACACAGGCCTTCCAGAGTAAAACAAAAATTGGACCCTTTGGGACAAAATAGTTTGATCACAATCTCTGTGCTAAACTAGAAGCAGGGGAGATAACTTTTCTGTGAAAGGCAGATGTAACACTCCTTTAGGCTGAAGTTTCCACCACTCACCTTTGAGTTGTCTGTTTTGAAGGCGTGGTCTGTTTGTTACTCATTGTTATTGTTGGTGTCAATGACTGATTGCTTCGCAGCTTCTGGAAGTCATAAAATTTATGTTTCACACACTATAAATATTAAATAGAAATAATCATACTAATACCATTTTACGCGACATCCAAGCTTATTGTACTTATATTGCGACGCACACATGTGTGGCTGCTTGTACTAGTTCAGACTAATGCAGATTTTGTAGTGATAGCCCACCGACATACCGCTGTAGTTTAACATGAATGACCAACTCAGAAACAGTTAACTGACTCCGAGCCGACCAGTCTTTATTTTAGCCTCTTAATGCCAACACCAGGCAGGATAACAACAAGTACCAAAAGTCTTTTGGTATGACATGGGCGGGGATCGAACCCCTAACCTTCCACTCTCCAGGCAGGCGCTCTACAACTAGACCATGGAGCAGTCATTTACCAATTAAGCATCATGCAAATAAAATGTTGAAAAGATAAACATACGTTTTTTTTCTGTGAGATATGTTACTTGAATTTGAAACATGCTGTGCAGCAAATACTTCCTGTGTTATTATGAACAAAACATATTCAAGTGTATGGCTTTGAGAGTGTAACATTCCAAAAGTAAATACAGCATATAAACCAAACATATGTCGTTGGTGGAAGTCAACAGAAACACGGCATATGCTATTCATCGAAAGGTCGTCATGATCGGCGAATAACATCTAAAACTAACAAAATATCTGCTGATAGAGGCATTCCAGGCAAAGCTGATAAACACAGTTTACAAATTAACTTCACTGTGACACTGGAAGAAGGTCAGATGAGGATGTCACTGTGTTGTTTCCTTTATCCTTTTATTAATATCACTATTAATACAGGCCTGACACAAGGAAAGAATTTAAGAAGTCCAATGCAATGAGTCACCACAGAAAAGAATTACATGAAACTTACTTCACTGCGACCTTGACCTTAAACATAGGTCACTCAGAACCTTTTCACTTTATGTCCCCATCCTAAGGATGGCATGTCTAGGTTTCATTCACCTACAGTTAATCCCCCTAAGTTTGATGGTAACAAATGTTTAGGCCATGATTTTGAAGATGACCTTGACCTATAACATGACTGATCAATGTGGCCAATAGATTTTCCAGGGCTATCAAGGGGATGCACATGGTATGACATCTCTGAGACGTCCAAGCACCGCATGGTTTCAAAAACAGTGGCAGCAGTCAAATTCAGTCAAAACCTTACATGATGCTGCTTAATGGGTAAAGCATCATGGAGTGAGTGAGCATGGTTTTACGCTGCTTTTAGCAATATTCCAGCAATATTTCTGGGACACCAGAAATGGGCTTCACACATTGTACCCATGTCGGGTCTTCGGCGTGGCGTGCGAATGCTTTAACCACTAGGTTACCCAACCGCCCCTAAAGCATCATGGAAACAGGAAGGCAGAGTCATCAATATCCACCACATTGGTAAATACTTGACGTGAAGAAACTTGTTGCCACGGAAACTCAAAAACATACTTATTCAAAAAATACCAAACCATCAAAAGGCACCATATAACAACCAGAACCATCTACATGTATGTGCCAAGTTTGGTGAAGAAATATTAATCTTATGTTTACAAGATCTGTTCGGAAACGAGCACCACCAACATTTTCAGCTTAAGTCAACATGGTCAAAGTTGTTGCCAAGGTAACTAAAACAAAATAAGGTTTTCAAAAATCCCAAACCACCAGTTCACAACTAGGCCAAATATTGAATGTACCAAATTTGTATAAAAAAACATTTACGTTTTTTTCAGATCTGCCCCGCAAAAAGCACTATCGCCATTTCCAGCTTAAGTCACAGATGTTGCCATTGAAAAACTCCAAATTATTTTTTTAAAGAAATCCCAAACTATCAAAAGGCACCAGTTCACCACTAGACCAATCTATGTACCAAGTTTGGGGAAGAAATATTGTACAGTTTTCAAGATCTGCTCCTGAAACGATGTCCGCTTTAATACCCCCCACAAAACATGTTGCAGGGGATAAAAATATAATTCTGAATATTGTAGGGATGTTTTTTACATGTAATCACTTCAAAATGCCTATTAATGACCAAGATTAAGAAACAAGCACATTTCTGTCAATATTGTTAGCTTCCGAGGTGACGCAGTCATCAAAATCAGTTATTTCAGTCAGGGATGATTGTGATTTGAAACCTGATCGATCAATCAGAATTGAGTATTTTCCAAATTCATGGTAGAATTTTAAGAATTAATAGTTGACACTTCAGACCCCTACCTCATCTGGCTGTGATTTATGCCTCTTCCTCTCAACTTCTTCAGACTTGTCCTGAAAAACACACACCTACATTTTGGTAAACAACTGGTCTATATTACAAGTAAAATTATACAAGAAGATATCGGAGTTTGTTCATCATTACTTTAGCTTGTCATAAATGCTTACCTCTGATTGCGCACTCCCTGTGGAATGGTTGACACTTGGACTAGGTGAAGGGGAACTTGAGTTTGTTGATGTCGGCGTGCTCATTGCCATTGTCATCAGTTTCTCTGCATCCTCGTTTTCAGGGGGTGATGATGGCTGTAGTGCACCTGAAATACAAAGGAATCATGGAAATTCCACATGCAGAACACCATGTCACAGTAATCCATATCCAATCTTTATCATGTCTGGTGGAATGGGCGTTGTCCCACTCGCCCGGCACCGTTTCATATGTTGTTTCACCCATCAACTTTAAAGAGTGTCTGACAATAGTCTGTATACTAGTTTTCAATGCAAAAGCAATTTGAAATACATCATAGATACAGTAACTTTTTACACAATTTTCAGGTGTGATGCTGCACACAGGTACTCGACAGCACATTTCTGTTCATTCTCTAATAGTCTCTTGTATATGGCCAGGGTATTTCTGAATATACTTCCACACAGACAGGCCATTGTGTGGTTGGATTAGTGAGCGATTCTTCTAAGGGCATTATGGGCAGCAAGCTCATAGTCAGTAAAGATGCTGAAAGGGTTTAGTTAAAGCTGCAGGTATCCGACATGCCATTTAATCAAACTGAATAACCTTTCATAAATCTGAAAAACATATGAATTAATATATTAAATGTTTTCACTTGTTACATTTAATTGTATTTAGGAGTTGGATAAATTTGGTGAAATAAATTCACAAGGTGAGATAATACACCAGACTCACAGCAGGGCTCGACTTAAGGAACTTGATTTAACTTGCACCATGTGCATATTGACATGAAAATCTAGTTGCAACAGGAAAAACTAGGTTGCACCCTGGTCCCATAAATGTATCATAGTAAATAAAATATCTGATCTTTGATAACACAACATGTCAGACAGACTGTAGCCGGCTAAACACTGATACATTATCCCTAATCCCCTTCAGTCTGCCGGGTGAGTGGGACTGACCAAAGTCAGCCTGTAACAAATTGAGTCTTGGCAGGACGAGCCTGAGGTTGATGAGGAACATTCAGGTAAATGACAGAACAAGTTACATTGCTTTAGGCTTAAAAAAATAAAAGAATTGGTTCTCAGGCAATGTTTTTTTAAAATATAGTGCGGGTGGGCGGTGTCATTTTGTTTTTATTAGGTTGTTAAAACTAGAATATAACCAAATAACAGCTGTGTAACCAAATAAACAACTGTGTACACTCAACCTTGGAAAGGGTCTCCTTACATAAATGTATTCCTTAATGACTAAAATATTGGAATAGAGTATTGGACATGGAATATTTAACAATTTAAAAAAAAACCGAAAAGTGCAGCAAACTTTATAATGATGCAGGCAGTGCCTGAGAACCAAGACTATTATTTGTCTTAGCCTTATGTTTACACTGATTCAAGATTGATAAACAAATAGGCATGCTGTGGGCAGGTTTCCAGCTTCGGCCTCCAAACAAAAACTTTACCATTCTCACCTATCTCCTCCAGATCTAGGTCATCATACACAAACATATTTTCTTCAAAGTCTGGTTCTTGGTTGGATTCTACATAATACTCAACATCGTCTTTGATCTTCTTTATCTGAAAAATGGAGGCATTTCTCTGTCATTAAACATGTTAACAACTTACAAAAGTAAATTAAATGCTGCCTTTGTTAGAAACATCATGTTTGATTGAGAGACAATGCGATATTAGCAATGATGAGACACTATAGTTCTCTAACCTGGTCTGGTGTTATGGCATCATTATCCACCATCCTCATGACCATCTCCAGCTTTTGAATGTGGACTTTGTGTCTGTCTTGCCAGCTCTTCAACTCATCCAGTTTCTCATGCTTCAGACAAATTCAATATTCATTAAGGTATCAAGAAATTATTAATTTACATTTTACTTAATAGTTGACATTGGAGTGTTTGAGACGAGAGTAAACCTTGGATAAGCCATGAAAAGTCAACATTCATTAATGTAGTGGCTAGTAGTGTTGCAACTGATTTCGAACTGAAACTGAACTGTCACCTACTAAAAACTTAACTGTTACTCAATTCTTCCATCATGGTAACAACCTAATTGCACAAAAGGCATGGGTAAAATTTCTTCCTCTTATATTGTCATTGTAAATGTTATATTTGGTACAACATACATACTATCATATTTGGTACAACATACATACTATCAAATTGTACTTTCACTACTATAAGCAACTTGCATACCTCAGTTTTCTTTCTCTTGGATGTGCACGTTAATGTCTCCAGTTCACTTTCAAACTGATCAAGCTGGACATTGAGATTATCAATCATGTGCTGCAAAACATGAAACAGTTCTTATACTATAAAAGCATTTATATCACCTCCATTCCTGTATTTGGCACCCTCACCTAGATACCGTATTTTCTTGAGTATAGTGCGCGCCCATGTATAATGCGCACCCATGTATAATGCGCACCCCCCTCTAGCGGGTTCAGTATTTTGGAAAAAATAAATTCAAAATACCAAGCGCAGAAAAAAATTACACTGTACCCCTTCAGCGAAGTCCGGCAAACGAAAGGGTGAATTTGAGATAAAAAAAATCACCAGACATGTTGATTTCCTGTTTAAATAGTATTTATTGTTCTGCTAGGCATTGTTTTATATCCAGGGATTATGATTACCTTGTGTATTTTCTCGTAAACTAATCCGGAAACAGCAATCAGCTGTACACACGTTTTCTTGGAATCTACCGGTGATTCTGTCAAGACACATCCTATGATATAACTTAACAGGATTTTAAATGCAAGGATCGGCAAAAATTGTATCTGAAACTTTTTTTTTTTATCAGGAAGAATATATTCCAATATCTTGTTTATTTACTAAACATATTTAAAATAATAATAACCCTAAGCGAAATAGCTGATCGCTATTCCCGGGTATTATTTTTTACATGGAACCAGTCTGACCAGTCACTGTCAAGGCTCACGTGATCGCGAGAATTTCATGTTGACATAGAATCATCAAACAAAAACAAATATGACTTTTAATGAGTCAAAGTATGGCATTTATGATATGTGTATCCATTCTCTGTCAACTAAAGTTTGTTTCAAGGCGTCAATAGCGGTTTTCTGACCGTGGTTGCTGTTAATAACGGTGAGTTGTGCGATCTTCCGATCGCTTCACACACGATTTCGCCGAAATTAATAAAAACAATATTAAAAGGAATTTTGAATAAAATTGATGAAATAAGTTACAAACATAAGTCCAGATATACAAAGAACACTTTTTATAGCCAGACTGTGTAATTACATGATTAATTTGCGTACTTCAGTATGGATTTGTTGACATGGTATTTCCATTGTTTCATGCTTACGGTAATGTCTGTCCATGGGGGAAAAAAACATCCAAGCTCATAATTCGTGTATAATGCGCACCATCTTCTACACAGCTGTGTTTTTTGGGGAAAAAGTGTGCACTATACTCAAGAAAATACGGTACCTACATATACTATTGACTATCTTTAAGTTCATGACCTTAAGTATAATACATATATTCAGTCACTACAATCATTAAATAAGGTAACCAAGACATTTTTCAAAACTGTCAGCTCTAAAACAACCTTGTACCAATCCTTGAAAATATTTAGTTAGATGCCCAGACACAATCTGGAATGAGAGACATAACAAGTCATCAGAAGATGACAAATCCCCCCGTCCCCCACAAATTCGAAAGAACAAATCTTCTGACTGTCACTTTAAGTCCTTGATCTTGATGGGAGAATTTCTATCCAATGTGTGTGTCCGTGTACAAGAGTAGTTATTGAGCTATCAAAACGATACCATGGAATTGGGATTCGGGACTTCATATTTCTGTCAGGTATGGTACATACCACTATGAACAGAATCAAAGTCAAACTTGTTACCATGGAAAAAGAATTTTTTTTTAAATCCCTAAATAGCAAAAGATGCAAGTTGACAATCTGGTCCTAGAGCTCCAGGTAAGCTGCGTATCTGCGTGAAATACGCATCAGAAATGCAGAAATACACAGTAAAATATAATCAAAGCGTATCAAATACGCAATGAACATTACAGATACGGTACAAAAATAAAACGTGTGCGTATCATCAAAATATTGTGAAGTAACCCTGCGTATTCGATTAGCAAATCAGCAACTTATTTTGAAATTATAAACGGGCATTCCGTCAACCTTGCCAAATTCCACGATGACAGTAACATCATGATCATTTGCCATCACACTTTCTTGTGGAAGTATCGTGGTATTTTTGAGTCCTATAAAGCTCTCGAACCCACACGACACCAGTTTGCAGGGACTTGATGAAGAGTGTTTTTAAATATTTAATTTCTGTTACCCACATGTGTAAAAACTAGTGGGTAACAGAAATTTGAATACGCAGATAGAATTACTGATACCCAATGATTTTAAAATGCATGGGTAAAATACCCACAACACCAAAAGCTTATCTGGACCTCTGCTGGTCCTTGTGTGTGCACAGTTTCAAGAGAATAATTATTAGTTTTAAAGATATGGTCCGAAAACACTACTATGAACAGAGTCCAAGTCAAACTTGTTCCATGGAAACGAAAATAAATAAATTCTAAACACCCATAAGTAGCAAAAGGCATCACTTTAGCCTTTGGTTAATACATGTACCATGTTTGGATGAAAAATGTTGAATAGTGTTTTAGTTTGGATCCAGAAACCTCACCTACCTCTGTTTCAGCTAAGTCTAACGTGTTACCACGGAAACAGGGAAAAATCAAATTTTGAAATTTTCCTAAATAGCAAAAGGCACCACTTCAGCCCTTGTTAATACATGTACCAGGGTTGGATGAACTGACTTTCACAGTTTTAGTGTTGTGCTCTGGAAACGACACCTACCCTACTCCCAAGTCCAAATTGTTTCCATGGAAATTTAGAAAAAGAAAAATGCCAAAAATCAGTAAATAGGAAAGGGCAACACTTCAGGATTTGTTAGATATATCTGCCAATTTTTGTTGAGAAATATTGAACGTTTTTCAAGTTACGCTCCCGATACGAAATGATTACAGATGGAGACAGATGAGGTGTCAACTAAATCTCCCCGCATTATATGCCCGGGCATATAAATAGTGAGTGAGTTGAGTTTAACGCCGCTTTTAACAGTATTTCAGTTATATCACGGCGTGTCAGCTGAATGTGGGAGGAAAGCCCGAAGTGATGCAGGTCTCAGACGTTTACCACTTCTGTGAAACCCACGACCACGGGTATGGTGCTGACAAACCTAGAAACATAATCCGGGCGAACCGGGATTCAAACCAACAATCATAGGTTTCTGGCATGCCCAAAGGACGCAACTCTACACAGCGAATCGCGGCACCTTAGACGACTGGGCCACCCGTGCCCCTGGGCAATGCCGCATAAAAATAAATTCGGCAATATAGCTTAGTGGTACGCTTCTGGTTATTATATATTTAAACATATACAGTAAAAGCAACATCTAAAATAACACAATATTGGTAAAGTAATAGTTTGGGCTTAGTACAGGGCACTTATAAAGATGACAAGCAGATTTGGTCAGAAGAGTTTATTGGGAATGGGGTGCTTAATATAGCAACTGTGGTATTCGTAATTGCATTACTCTGCAAAGACCTATTTGTATCGCTAGATACAGACTAAATGATATGTGAAGGTACGAACCGATAACCAGTTTGTGATTTCTCCTTTCTCTTTTGTTTGTGGGTCAAGCTTTGCAGCAGCCCCAAGACCCTCCTTTGAATAAGCTTTCGTCTTTGTTTCTCGCTCAACCACCTTGAATCTTTCCATTTGCTGTAAACAAGAATATCATGCTTAATATCACCATTGCTAAGACAACAGACTTATTTATACTACATTGCAAGAAATAATTATATTTGACTGAACTTGATATGAACTATTAAGGCAATATTCCTTGACAAGATATCTTGACATTCTGACAATAAATTCATGGAAACATTTGCTGTATTGGATACAAATGGTCCAAGAGGAAGTATGTCAGTTACTTACTGTCAATATCATTGTACTGGTACACAAGTTCAAGAGGAAGTATAATGTCAGTTACTCACCGTCTCTATGAGTTTTCTGTGGTCCAACAGAGTGGACTTGTCTTTGATGTCGCTGTTGGCAACCCATGATTTGATCTGATCACGCAATCGCTGTAAAATGAGAAATGTTTTATCTTTATTCTGACTGAAAATGTGTAGCATAAAGTAGAGCCTACCTGAGAAACATAACATTACAAAACTAAGTACCAGAAATTTCTGAATGGCATCAAACTTAAACATGCTTAGCTATGATTCCGACGATAAAACCCACAAAAAGAATTCTCTTCAAGGAGGCTTAGCTGATAAACAGTGTTTTGTATAGACTGCAAATTTCACAGTTTCTGCATATGTAGTGTAGTGCACATAACGTCAACACATGAAAAGAGATGAAAATACCTGTAACTTCTTGATTTCTCTTTTCAGATCAGTTTCATATTTCTCCTTCTGGTTGCTATTAGTTGCTTGTTGTACCTTTTAAAGAGAAAAACAACTTTACAAACCTCAAAATCAACAACAGTCTATATGCTATACAAGCATAGTCCCATTCCAGACTTTCTTGCATATTTGCTTAATAGTTACGTCTCCAATATTATTCTATAATTCATCGATATTTACTCAGCTATTATCGATGGCCAGCCCTACGAGGCACTGTACATAAAATTCAAGCATGACATTTCCTGTGTTATGTATGCCATGGGCATGGCAGCACTAGTAATTTCCAACCTGAAAATCAGAAAAGTTAAGTGTCAATCCATTCATACTATGCAGTCACTATAGCTACAACAGCATACGACTAGTAGCCCTTCCACACGGTTGGAATTTAACATAAATCCATTAGGCATGACTTGCACCAATAGAAACTAACATTTGTAGTTCACTAGTACTCATAATATCATACAGCAAAACTGTAATAAACGGCAAAAATTCTTCTAGTCCTCATGATACCTTAACAGGGACTAGTGCCAATTTCTACTGCTGACTTGTACAATTCAGGAACAACCAGTGACACTTCAGTGTGGACTACCACCTTTACCATAAGGTAGATCAATTTCGCAGACAAGTGAAAATAAAAGTTTACTCTAACCCTGTTTCAGTGTTTCCAGTCATTGATCAATCCTACTAACTACCGAGACAAGTCTCTGTGAAGAACTGGGATAGGATTGGTCTTCAGTATCCTATGCTTGCTGTAAGAGGTGACTAATGGGATCAGGATCACTGACTTGGTTGATGCATATCAGTGTATCCCATTATGTTGTTTGACGCACATGATGTCAATCACAGGATTGCCACGCCGGGACTCAATTATTTTTTTAAGTCATATAGCTTGAATATTGCTGAGTGAAGTGTTCAACAAACATAACAGAAAAGTGATTCAGACTGATGCTGGTCATCGTTCAAATATATTTCTGCTTCCCATCAAATGTATCAGGGTCTTTGACTGATGGTCAATAAACATGTATTTAATACACTTCATCAAGTTCACATATAAAAATCTATGCCTGTTTACCAACACAACGCACAAACAAATAGAAGGTGTAAAAAGCAAACAAGAAGACAACCAATAATCCAGATAATATGTGCCTAAACAAAATACAGTGGAATGCTATATAGTACACAGCTGCGAGAACTTCCTGGAAATTTATCACACAATCCAACTAACTGCTGCCTCAGTACCTAGCATATCTGCATTACATTAATTATTCCTTTGGATTATAATCAATATTCATTCACTGACACTGGATCATCAAGGATGACCATATATGTGACAGTGAAATTCAAGGATTGTCAATCCAGGGTATTCTGAGAATATCATTCTCAGGGAACTGTCAATGACTTAGCTCTATAAAACAGGCACCAAGTGCAATCAAAGATCATGGAAAAATGCAACCTAATACATAATGTTAGATGAATTGATGAGCACAGAAGTTTATCCAACATGTCCGATCATAATGATAAATGAGTACAGTGAATACAGAAACAAAACTTTTCAATGCTCTGCCTACACTGTAATACATTACATTAGAAGACTTAACAGATATAAAACAAATCTATAGACCTGATGAACCAGGCCATGTCATTGCCATGATTGCTGAATGTATTGAACACATAAGTGAAGGTTTGTGGTTCAAACATAAACACAAATGTTTGGGTGTAGTATGGATCATATTTATCATGTTTATAGATCTAGTTTCTTTGGTTTTGTTTTGTACATTGCAATATATCATTCCATCCATGCTAACATGTACAATCAATAAAACATACAACAGAGACAAATGAAATAAGACAGTTTACCACAAAATATTAAGTAGGACATATGAAATAATTATGCTTTGGATCTCTAAACATACTAAACAGTTTGTAAATTGATAATCTGACAAATTGCTGTACACTACAATCCTATGTTTAATACATATACTGTAGGGACTGGTTCTATCATATTTAGTACATGTTGAGTGAAAGGATTCACAAAGAAAATATGCAAACAATGTCCAGGACATGATGTGAGTGTATACCTTTTTCCATATGTCTTCAAATACTTCAACACCTTCACTAACTTTCTTAAGGCATCTGTCAATTTCACCTGAAAAGAAGAAAAAATATTTTGTGTTGTCTAGTAACAAGTAACAAAAATGCAAACTTTTCAATTCCTGACAGACCACAAATCTGTTGATTGACACCCATGACACCCCTTTTAGTATTCAAATCTAATGGTTGGAGGCAACTCTAAGGAGCCAATCTGGATCATACACACAAAATAATGTTGCATAACTGTCACCTGAACGAAGATCAGGGATCACATTCCGATGCTGTTCCACAATATTAATGCAGTTTGCATTAAATTAAAATTAATTTTGCATCCCTGTCATATGAACATCCCCTTCTACGTCCTTATCACCAACACCTCAGGGATCACTTGTGGATTGAATTCCCCGATATTATGCTCTAGTGCACATAAATCATAACTGACATCAGTAAATGCCACTAACTTGGTGTTTATGAGCCATCGATTCTAAATCTTAATAACACATCAATACTGAATGAATTATGTATTTCACAAATTCACAACTTTTTTGTAACTAAGTATACCATATTGACATACATAAGAAGTTCAGATGTGTGGGATCTTTTGAAACTTTTTCAGGAATGTAGTCTGTGTAGTTAGCAGTTAGACTAATAAAGAGAAAAAACTGCCATGAAAGCTTCTATTAGCCCATGAACAACATTTGTACATATGGACCTATCTAGCATAGCTTGAGGGAATACCATAGATCATCCATCGGCTGTGTATGTTTCATACAAGATATGAATAAGGGTAGTTACCGGTAGGCAGTTTTCCAATGCATGCCATACTTATTTGACAAACATGATAAAAAAAGGATGGTCTTTAAATTCAAATATATATTTTTAAATAATGTAAATTTTTTGTGTAAGTCTGCTTTTGATTTTAAGAATGTTGCGATCATAATCCTATAATTTATAAGTGTGAATATGCATGATTGGTTATTATTTTCATGTATATCCATGTACTATGTAAAGCAATGCATCCAGAATGGCTTGTCCTCAAACTTGTCAAAAAGTAGTAAACAAATATACAAAACTTGGAAATAACCCTGATTTAATTCAAAGATCAAATTAATTCTGAAACAGGTGATTTTGTCCCATTAACTGCTTTCCATGGTTAACCCATACATGGTCGACAATAAATTGGTCTACGGTTTTAAATATCTTCATGATCATTAGTGAAATCTTCATTCTATGTACATGATCCCAATGATGTATGTTTCTATTGCAATAACAGTACATTTAATGATGGAAAAATAATCACTGTTTATCTTCCTCAAATTTCTGTGAATATACAGAGTGGACTGCTGAGTTTGAGGCCACGCAAGTGCTGAGGATAGAATTATGACAATGTTCATTAATGCATCTACTTAACGCTAACAAATTTAAGATAGATTTCAAAACTACTGATTTCATTAACTTGTACCAAATTAAAACTCTTCTTTTGTGCTCAGCATATTAAGTTGTGCCCTGTTAATCATAACTTGGTCGAATCAACAGGACTGTCAAAATGACATGTAGCTGATCTAGTTGCAATAATGAAAAATATAATTTGTCAAATGATGATGTATAGTAGCCTATTGCAATCGAAAGACATATTAAATCATAAGCCTTTCTGCATTGACAATGTGGGAGAAAGAGACCACATTTACAAATCTGAGCATCAGATTTAGAGGGTGACAATTCAGTTACTTAATTATATCCAATACTTTTGATATCAAAATTGAGGTGAAATTCAAATAGTGAAATCCTGACCAGATTTATTCTATCCTGAGTACGCTGTATATGGCAGATGCACACAACAATATTTGAAGGTTTCAGACAGGAAATGTTTTGTTTTCCCTGGTGCATCTACAGAACATTCAACACGTTTCCATATGTGCATCACTTAGTCAGGATCTCGCTGAAACATGTGTATTAACTCTCTAATTTCATCTCAATCGAGTATGCAGATAAATTACAGCAATGTTATTTCTGCAGCTGATTAGATTTCTGCAACACAAAATCTTCTTTCATTATAACGAAACCAGAGTGTGGAAAGTGTTTGCTGTTATAAGATCTCTCCTCACCTTGAAGCTTTCGCCTGTCAGCCATAGCTACGAATACCAATAGAACAGTAATGTGGGCATGCTACGACTGCTGCAAAATATCCCAAATTGACATGAAAGACAGACAAAAAGTGGGAAATCCTCTGTCAAAAGACTCCTAAGATAAACCAATATGGCTGCTATTCACTCGCAGGCAAATCACATATAGAAAAGTGCTTGCGCGACTTCGGATGAGAAGTAGGTCCGAGTGATATTTTCATTCCTGGGTATGAAAAATGAAATGCTTCAAATTGACTTATTTTTTAGTCATTTATATAGTCATTTTAATTGTAGTCAAAATTGAAATCACACAAGGCCAATTTTTAGGTGAAAATAACGAATATGGTCCACGATATTTTCTTGCACCGGAATGGCCGAAGCTAAGTTTATGCGCATGCGTTACCAGACATTCGGCTTTAGTGTTTACATGTGAGAGGACAAGTTACAAACTAATTTCACTCAAGTTATGCCGTGTTATCGGTAACTTTATCAGACATTTTTTCTAAGAGAACGAAAGTGACTGGAATGGAAAGTCTGAATGCTTGTCATTCTTAATCGTTAAGAGGTGAAGCAATGTAAACACAGGAGGCCAAGTTCCAAGTGAGTGCACTGTCAGTGACAGATTCTTATGTCTTCATGAAAAACAGAAATGCTTCAATCGAAATGGAATCGTTCGTGTCGTGTTATTAAAACACGTGTTTTTTCGTTATTAACCACACCAATGATAATTTTCTGTAACTGACAAATACTTATCTGCTCCGATTTTGGGTGCATTTTGATTATGGAAACACCATGATGATTTCAACAACAGCTTTGCCTGACAAGCCTTTAGAGACAGACAGCAGTGGTAGAAACTAACATGTTTAGTCCACTAGTCCTTATAATGATAACATACAGCAAAACCACCATTAAATGGCAAAATTCTACTATTCCTTACGATGCCTTTACTATTGGGCAGTTTGACAAGGACTACAGGACTGGTGCTAATTTCTAACGCTGGACAGTACCCAATTTTGTTAAGTTTTTGCCTTATGGCACCTACACATAAAAAAAAAGAAAAGATAAATATATGCATAAATGATCAATGATGGCAATAAGTAGAACTGTTGGTAATTTGTTCCAAGATATATGAGGGGAGACTAATTTCTGTGGACTCAATTGGGTCTTCAGAGTAGGGCCTATATGGGTTATGGCTAAAACGACCATCTCAGCAAAATGTCACAGAGAGAAAACAGCACAAATTTGTGAAAATGCAACCTCGGTCATGCGAAAACGGCTACCATTTCGAGGCGAAAACAGCATCTTATCGAGCACCTTTAGAATTCAGCACCACAACGTCTCGTGAGGACAATCTCTACTGTAGGTCAGATGTCACCATTTTTTGTGAGAATCTGTAGAACTGCAACAAGCAACCTGTGGATTGTTAGCCCCAAAGCTCACCGATTTTTTACCTAGTCTTGCCTAAATGAAATGGGGACTGACATTTATGAAGGTTGGCCATAGTGTTGCAGTCTATTGAAACTTACAAGTGGTCACAATGCCTTTTGGCTCACTTTCACAGTTCCGTATTCTACAAGATTCTAGGTGGTAAGGAATGTGCCGATATTATGCAGTCTCTAACAGCCCCAGGTGTCAGACGTTGAAATTCATGAGTATGCATGAATGACCGGTATTTATTAATTTATTGGGTGCTTTTGTGCAGAAAAGTGGAGGGGGAACAGTGTAAGGTTAGCATTGATCATATTAAGGACCTAGGAAGGCTTTGGCATTGCTTCTGATGCCATGATGGTGAGTCAGCTTCATCTTCTTATCTGAGCAAATGTAACAGGTGAAAGAGACTTAGAAGTTCCAATACTTCCATGACACCAACCTTTTCATGTTTTTTATGAATGTATCAGAAAACAACAAGGTGAACAAGGATGACAAGTGGCTATGTTTGCATGCTTCAACTCCCATGCTTGAAGGGGGTACAAATCCTTACCCTATTGTAGCATCATCATTGATTCATTGCAAAAGATGTACCACGGTAGTTTGATCATGTTCTTGCTAGTTGCTTGTGGATGTGTGCAGGCAATATATTTATTCCTAACAAACTGCATTCCTGTGTATAATAATGAAAACAAATGCGTAAAAAAATTTGAAATTATAAATGCTTTCATAAACTTAGGCTTGCTATAAAATGCACTGTTGCATGCTATATTTATCTATAAATAATACTGAAAACTCTCCCCATCGTTAGGCTTATTCAGTGACATTGCATGTAGGGATGATTCATGACTGAGAGGAATTTATACACACCTGATGACCCCAACAAACCTGTTGTTTCACATGTGTATGTTGCATGGCAACAAAATTCAATAAATAATATCATAGGGTATTGTGACATGTTTGTAATGAGTGTGGTACTGAACTCTAAAGGTAGGACCATGATGTTTACATTTGTGTATAATCTCAGTAGCGATGTCTACACAATATGGTGAGAATGGTACTTAGTCATGTTAGTATTATTTCTTAAAATACATGGGAATAATTCCTTAGAAGAGGTGAGATGTTTGATCTTAACCCTAACTAACAACTAAGGATCGGAAAGGGATAGATATCCCTAAGAATTGTGAAGGGATGTTTGATCGGAAAGGGGTGCCTAAGCTTAATGATAGTAAACATGAGCTTAATCAGAAAGGGAACTACGGTTGAAGGATAGAGTTGGGGTATATCTACCCAACACAGCTAATGTGATCAGTGTTTGAAACTAAGCATGTACATCGTGGGGTCCTTGTTATGACCCTAATGCTAAAAGTTCAAGATTTCGAGGTCCCTATATATTCAAATGCTGTAGGAGGAAACCCTCAGGACCCCACTTAATTTGGAAACACTGCTATGAGGTCATTGAAGCGAGGGCCACAGCAGGTATCATTCTCTTTCAGATTAAATCCTCCTTGGGGCACTTATTGCATTTTCCTTGCTCAAGAAAATCTACATGACATAGTTGTAACCATTTTCCTTAATAAAAATGTTACCACACAAAAAACTTCATTTTTGTATGATATACGACCACCCTTACGGGGCCTCACCCTCCACGGCGCGTCACGTCAGGGGGAGCAACTCTCACCCAAAGGCGTGGCTGGGTTTTTTTCAAGAGACAAAAAGAGTATCAGATTATCGTTCGACTAGAACCATGGCTGACCAAACTGTATGTAAGGTACATTTCTTTCATTGCAAAGGCGTAATACTTCGCATTGTAAAGTTATAGAGTTGTAATTATACGCCACGTGTACAGTACCTTAACTTTGAATTCAAATGGCCGTAATGGCATCCATATTGTAGTTCCACGGTCTGATACATGTAACACCAAGGCCATTAGAAACGGCTTGGGGTTTTGTTATATCATACACCATTGGTCTACAATTTTTTCCTTTTCATAAACCCGAGGTGGTGTGTTAATTTATAAACTACACTTACCTTTTTTACAGGTTTTTACACCTTCGCGCGTAACACGCCCCCTTTGGTGTTATAATTATACTACGACATTGGCTATTAGTATCGCGTTACAAATCACATTCTACATTACGCCTTTGCTTCTAGTTTCACAATTTATGCACGTATCTTTCCGATCTTTATATCACACTGATACACTTTAATACCCTTCCGCCCACCTCAGAAATTACGGTCTTTTTTACAGACCTTCAAACTGTGTACGGGGTGTTCTGCATCCATTCCCCCCCCCCCCAAGACCGGCATGAATGCTGCCTGAAATGTCTGGCTGAGGACAGGCATGACGATGGGTCATGCCCGATCTGCATTGCCTTCACCCCCCGGGCCTAAAAGAAGAGACAAGTAGATTTAATGCACTCTAAAGGTCTCTTAAAGGATCGGCTAAGACCATCCCCCCCCATCTAAAAAGGGTAAAAAAGCTGCCGAGACTGTCTCCTCCGCTCCCTCCCGGGGGGCCGGGGGAGAAGGCTCGAGGGTCCCCGTAGTAAACACTGCACACTCTCCTGCACCATCTTTGGCAGACATCTCTGCCTTACTGCAGTCGCACATGGCGTCGATGATGGAGGAGGTGAAGCCTTCCCCGTTTTCAGCGCCGGACGCGGCTTCGAGACCTCGTGATATGCCCGGCGTCGGCCGGGGCAGGCCACTTGGTCTCGGCTATGGCTCGAGGTTGCTCCCCAGCGGAGGGGTGGCGGGTGCTGGCCCGTGCACTACCAATGCACAGTTTTCCCTAGCGGAGCCAGACACCTCTTCTGAGGCCGAGGCTTCCTCTAGTGGATACCTAGCCCAGAGCCAGGTGGGTCCCTTGAACCCCCGGCATTTCGGGACCGGGACTCGGCTTCGGGTGCAGCCCGGGAATGCGAGGGCCCAGGCCTTCGGGCGTCCCCTTCAGACTTGTCTGCTTCATCTCTCGGGGAAGAGTCGATTAACTTTGGCTCGGAATTGAGAGAGGAGGAGTGGATGGAGGAGGGGGTGACGACTCGGAGACCTCAGGAACGTTTTCCTTCGCTTCCTCGTTGAGGCAAGTGCGGGACAAGATTGCCAAGTACTGCCTCAGGTGGCTGCGCCTATGCCAGAGTCGGATCAGCCTGAGTTCCGCCTTCCAGGGAACACTTTTGCTCCTAGCAAGGCGCCCCAGGTGCGGCTCCGTGTTCTATCCTCCCTGGTGCATGAAGTCATCAACCCTCTGTTGTCGGGTGCCCGCAGGAATTTCGACCTGCCTGAACTTATTAAGCGGTAGCCGCTTGCAGAGAATGGTGACTTTGAGGTACCTGTGGTGGATGAATGCGTTTGGACTTCCGTTACCCTGGGGGGGGTGGTCTTCGACCCCCAACTTGACTAAGGTCAAGCAGGGCTCGAGATTGCCCCCCCTTTCCTGCGTGCGGTGCGGAGTTGAAGTCTGCTTACATATGCTTCGAAGAGCAATATCGCAATGCATGCCAACAGCTCCGTGTGTCCGTACACTCCGTATATCTGTCGGCTGTACAGAGGGAGTTAGCGGGGGAGGGGCCGGCCGACTCTTCGAAGTTGGCCGCGCAACTTACGGAAGTTCACAGTCATCTTGCGCGGGACGCTTTGCAGATGATGTGCACAGTTATGGGCATGTGCAGGCTGTGGATGTCGGTATCTAAGTACTCGACTTCCACACTCCAAGACCTCCTTGCTTTGCCATATAAGATGGGTGCCACCCTCTTCCCTGGGGCTCAGCAGTTGGTCCGAGAGGCTGCGCGATTGTATGCTTCCATCAAGGACTCTAAGGCCTTGTTGGAGGTACCAAGCGTTAAACCGCGTAAGCGGACCTTTCCGCTTGACTCCTCCTATGCTGACGCGCCGTGTCAGAAGTCCACACCTGCTTTGAAGCCGCCGCTTCCTTCAGGTAAGGGCGCCAGGAGGGGCAAGAGAGGCAGGGGCCGGGGCAAGGCAGCTGGTTGAGGCCAGCAGTTTTTCGCGGGGCCGGGGAACCCGATGGGTTCCCATTAGCGCCCGAAGAGCCCCGGGTGGACCCACAGTCGCAAGTTCACGAACTGCCGACAGTCGGGGTCCACTGCCTCAAGCCGGATGTCCCCGTAGGCGGCCGAGTGGCTCTATTCCTGAAGGAATGGGAGACATTTACATCCAATCCCTGGACCCTGTCCACTCTAAGGGATGGCCATTTGCCTCGGTGGAAACATCATCCGCCCCCCTTCTCCGGGATAAAGCACACTCTGGTGCCCGCTTCCCGAGAGAAGGCGGAATTCCTCCATGCCGAGGTCGACGCACTTCTTATGAAAGCTGCTATCGAACCGGTTCCCGTGGGACAGGAAAGCGAGGGCTTCTACTCGACATATTTCCTAGTCACCAAAAAAGACGGAGGGTTCAGGCCTATACTCAATCTGAGAAGGCTGAACAAACTTATAGAGGTACCATCCTTCAGGATGGAGACACTGAGCTCAGTGATCTCAGCTGTCGAGACAGGAGAATGGCTAACGTCAATAGACCTAAAATACGCCTATCTCCACATACCCATACACCCAGAGTTCAAGAAATACTTGAGGTTTTCTTTCGACGGGAGGTGTTATCAGTTCAGGGTTCTACCATTCGGGATCTCCACGGCCCCGAGGGTGTTCATCGAGCTGATGTTAATTCCAGCCCAAGTGGCCAGGTCGAAAGGTCGGTTCTGCCATCCGTACCTCGACGAATGGTTACTAAGAGCTCTATCGCAATCCCTGAATCAGATAGCCACACAAGAAGTGAAAGACATTCTGATCACTCTAGGGTGGATAGTCAATCTCAAGCCCAGATCAGAGCCCTACTCAGAATCTAGTCTTCTTAAGGGTGAATTTCAACACGGTGAGCAGACTTGTATCTCTGTCACAAGATCGCATTGCCAAGGTCAGAAGTGTTACTTCCCAGTTCCTTCTGTCCACAAGTCACACTGCTCGTACATGGCTCCAGTTACTGGACAGTGGATGTGGTCTGGCGGGCGTGCTTGAGAATGAGACCCATTCAACAAGCACTCTGTCGACTTTGGGCGAACTCGGAAGATCTCGAGACTGTGCTCGAGATTCCGCAGTGGCTCATTACACACCTTCAGTGGTGGACAGAAGTCGGGAATCTGTCCCGGGGGCTCCCCCTCGACACTCCTGTTCCGTCTCTCACAGTTCAAACAGACGCGTCACTCTCTGGCTGGGGAGGCGTTCTGAACGATCACACTGCCTATGGCCTATGGCCTATGGTATCTCCCGGGGGTGGACAATGTCCGTGCGGACGCTCTGTCGTGCCGGATCCTCGCTTCTCACTCCTCACAAGTGGAGGCTCGACCCGGGGATATTCAGGATTATCTCCCAGTTATACGGGTCGTTCCAGGTGGATCTGTTTGCGTCTGGGGTGAATCATTCATGCAATGTCAGCCGATCCCGAACTAACTGTCTTCCACCTGGACAGGGTCAGTATTCGGCTGCCAGACTCTTACCGTCCTAAGGTCTCACACGCCTTCCACGTGACGGCTCCTATTGAGCTACCTGCTCTTTCACAGCCTTCCTCGTCGGGGACCACTGCAAGACATGCTCATGTCTTGGATGTCCGCAGGACCCTCAAGGCCTTTATCTGCAGAACTAAGGGTATCCGTAAGGATAACCAACTATTTTGCTGTTATGGCGGTAGGAACGCTGGCTCACCTGCGAGCAAACAAACAATCTCGAGGTGGATAGTGTCAACTATTTGTACTGCGTACACGCTTCAAGGCAGGGACCCCCCTACCAGGTTGAAGGCTTATTCGGTTAGAGCAGTGGCTACGTCACAAGCATACGCCGCAGCTCTGCCCATTGAGGAGATCTGCTCCACGGCTATTTGGAGCCAGCCGAGCACGTTCATCAAACATTACCAACTCGACAAGCACGTAAGCAAGCGTGCTCCGTTTGGTCAGTCAGTTCTCCGAACTGGGCAAAGTTCTACATCTCTAGCCGATTGAGCCTTCGAGATTTTAGACCGCCCTTCGTTTATACTGCTCAGTAACGGTACGGATTCTATCTTCTGCAGTCGATAAATACCAGTCCTTACTACTCGATAATACTCGTATTTGCACACGCACTCCTTCGATCCACGGGGATCCTCTGGCCTAGCTCAGCGCGGGTTATAGTCCCTCGTGATCTACGCCCCTATATCACTTGTTCCAAAAAGTGTGTGTGTGGGGGGGGGAGGGGTTTCGAGTTCTCGAATATGATAAGCCACAAATAATGGCTCTTTAATTGTATATGGTCGACCACGCCCTGTCTCTAGCCCCCGCCTTTCGAGGGTGGTGCCTCACGATAAGGTTGGTTCCATTTATTGAACTCTTTTTCTTCATTGAAATAATCAAAATATGGTGTATTTATTTAGGCTTGTTGCTGACGGATGCCACTTCCTAGATTATCTTTAGGAGTCTATCTTGATGCAATAAGGGCCCCAAGGAGGATTTAATCTGAAAGAGAATTTTACAAACCTGTAGAGGTTATGAATTCTCTGATGAAATCCTCCTTGGGGCACGGCCACCTACCTCTCCACATTCCGTCAGCATTAGACATATGGAAAGTGATTTGGGTGAGAGTTGCTCCCCCTGGCGTAACGCGCCGTGGAGGGTGAGGCCCCGTAAGGGTGGTCGTATATCATACAAAAATGAAGTTTTTTGTGTGGTAACATTTTTATTAAGGAAAATGGTTACAACTATGTCATGTAGATTTTCTTGAGCAAGGAAAATGCAATAAGTGCTCCAAGGAGGATTTCATCAGAGAATTCATAACCTCTACAGGTTTGTAAAAATTAGAGCTATAACTGCCATGCCTGGTAAACTGTACTAGCTGGTGACCTGTTATTGCAAAGGACCAGTCATATGCCTAATTGACTTTTGTTATTAAGAATACATCAGAAAAGCACCTTGCTCAAATAAATAATTAGAGAAGACGAGCGGGGATGTCATGTGACTAAGAAAAATGCAACAATAAGGCGATGCTCATTTGGTAGAGTCACTGCCTACATTCTGTCCATTATTTCTTCCCCAAAATAGAATTTAACAACTGAAGTGAGCACTTTTTTTCAAATATTCATGTCCTTAATATAAAGTCAAATCTGTTGTAAATTGTGTTATGGATAAGCATGTGTAGGTTTGGTTTTTTATCTTAAGTTGCGTTCGTTGGCAGACAACAAATTACACCTTAAAATAATGTGTTCCTTGTCATAGCCCTCATGTTTAAAGTTAAAAAGTAAGGAGATCCCTTGATTCAAAGACTGTATCCATGATAGCATCAAACCTGAAGGACCCACCATAATTTTGAACACTGAGTAAGACCTGCAAAAATTGTTTTAATGCACAATGGATCTCAGTCCTTCATGTTCATTATTTGGATACTTTTGAAGAAATATTTTGAGTACATTTGTTTCAAGTAATGATTACTTGATACACAACCATCTTGGAAAAACAACTGTATTTAAACTGTGCTGTCTTTCAGTGTTTATGTTAATATAATTTCTCCAGATGAAGTGCGATGTCCAGAAGAAGTGTTAACGGGGATGACCTTGACCTGAGTCTGACAGGGTCTCAGATATCAAGTTCAGGGCGAAGACCTGGATCTGGGAGACAGTTAAAGAGACCCAATTCCTTGGTGGATATCAGGACTGCAAAGGTATGTACAATATATGTGAAAGAAAATGGCTGACTTGATTTATGCCATGGTCATTCATGTTACACCATATCACAACAAATTGAGTATGGGCCTTTATTATCTGAACATGCTTCAGTTTATTTCAAATCGTGTTCCTGCACATACCTACCATAAAACATAAATGCATAGCAAGCACTCAGTGAATGTTGTACCTTAGTGCTAGACTTAAGTGTTTCCTGTCTGGTCATGTTTTTTTGTTACACTTGTTTAATTGGTTATAAAAATCGGCAAACCCATATCTTTCTCCTCAGACACTTCTCATCCATGCAGTGAGAATTACCTGTCTTAGTGTTGTCTTTTGCTTTTTGATTGATGAGATATTGTTTCAATGGGATGTCTACTTTCATTTTACGTATGGGGTCGACATTCACAATAATTTAGTGGTGTGATAAATTTAGGAGTATTTGTATAGGGCTATTGTGACACTTTTCATGATCACATTCTAAAAATTATGGGCTACTTGTCATAACCATAATGTTAAACGTTTGAAAATTTAACAGTTTCCTCAATTCAAATACCAATGGGCAAACTTCAAGGAACCAAGGACCCTGCTTAATTTCCAACATTTCCAACTGATGATGGATAATATGATGATATTGATAGTAAGATCGCATGACAATATACAGTCAAACTTATGGTTGTCTCGAAGTATATGCTTGGTCCCTGCGTTTTTCTTCATCATTTTTGGTTGTGTCAAACTAAATAACTGAAAATATTTTCTCTTTCCCATCAGCTTTGACACAACAGTGTTTGACTATATATATAGTATGACTCTATGCTATCGTGGGCTCTAAATTATCATGGTATCATCACTAATCATACAAGTGTTATACACTCTGTATGAACAAGGAGAGCTAAGTGGCAAATTGACTATTTGGTGTATGGATATTGATTCAAATTTTATAAGAGAGACAATGTTATACATGTAAATATCGTATAAATTTTGTAAATATATTTAATGTATAAGTAAATTGTAAAGGGGTGCATCTGTTGATGACATTTATAGAAATACTATTGGATGTATTTATTATCTTATTTAACATGTGGTTATATGAATGTCTTTTATGAAAGGGTGTGGTCTGAGGAGGAGGAATGATGCAAGGGAGATAACTCTCATTAAGGAAGTGTATGTGTGTTATGAAAGTGCATGAATCGTATCGGTGAAGTTTACAGTTGAAAGTATAGAATGTTAGTTTGATTGTGTTGTGTATTGTCATAGTGGTTTAGGAATTATTGTGTGGCTGGTGTATCAGCCAACATGATTGATACACCAGATATTGCTCTACATGCCTGTAGTTTATCTTACCTTCACTGTCCTCATGATTATTTCATCAGTTCCCTTTTTTTGGTAGTATATGATACAATGTGCAAAACCTCATCAAATCTTGTTATGCTAAGAACTGTTTCCAAAACATCAAAGGGAATGACATCAGAACAAAAAAACAACATATTTGATGAAATCTTTAAGTAAACGAGCAATAGTTAGAGTCCTCTTGTACCATCTTAAGTATTACTTTTGCCATCTTTTTATAACCATCACATACCTCATATATATACTGGTATCATTTTGTGTGGATACATGAGCTCACCATACAATTTATACTTATATCGCGACATAATGCACGTATACTCCAGGGAGTTGTTACAGCTCTGATTTGTGTTCTCTGTTACAGACATCCAGCAGCAATGATGTGTTCCTCTCCGATAGGGACAAGAGGAAATCACCAAGAGGTAAAAAAACAGGAGACTCAGTGTCCACTCTCAATTAATTATGTGTTATATTGTATTGATATATTTTTTAACTTATCCTGCATTACTCAGTATTGCATTTACTGCTGTCTTTGACAGAGAGACGAACTGTGTGAGATCCAGCTGCTGAAGAAAGTTGTCCCAACCAGCTCAGGAGGCAGCGCCCTCTCACAGTCGGCACGTGACCCGGAAGTCATGACGTCACACCAAAATACATCCCTTGTATCCCTTGTGGAAATTAAAGCTTATTGTTTGTTTTTTATATTTTGCGTGTTTCTACATTCATTATATGCTGCTACATTGTTACCTGTTATGGGCCGTGACCTTAGGGTCTTCCCATTCATAAATTGTAACGTTTATCGCTCGTTTGTTGCTCACGTCACAGTAATTTACAGGCGCAATGTTGTTACCGCCATTTTGTTTTCTTTCCCGCCATTTTGGCCATTCACCACGTGGCCACGTAATTTCGTGTTCTGCGTTTTGAATTCTCTCTTTGGCTTGGGTAATACATTGCATCTATGTATGTTGTTTTGGTGTGCTTAAAGCCTTGCCTTTTCGCTACCTTTCAGCGTAATTGTTTCCTGATCTCATAAACTTCAATAAAATATAATGTTTTTAAATTACTTTATGCTTCCCGTACTCTGTGGTTTTGCCACATGGTTACGTGTTTGCTTAAGGCTATGCCTTTTCGCTACCTTTTAGCGTAATTGTTTGATCTCATAAACTTCAATAAAATATAATGTTTTTAAATTACTTTATGCTTCCCATACTTTGTGATTCGGCCACATGGTTATGTGTTTGCTTAAAGCTATGCTTTTCCGCTACCTTTTGGCGTCATTGTTTGATCTCATAAACTTCATTGAAATACAAAGTTTCTGAGTCACATTATGCTTCCCGCACTTTGTGGTTTTGCCACATAGTTATGTTTTGCTTAAATTCCAGATTTTCTGCCTCGCTGCACTTGTTGCCGCGGGAACAAATCTGGTCGGGGCCGCCCCTTTCTGCCGTGATTGTACGACGCCCTGTACTTTCACAAGGCAGTGCCGAGGTTGCAGTCATTCGTCGCTGTGATCCTTCAGCTCATGCGAGTATCCAGGACACACCTCGCTCAACGTGCTCGTCGACCCCCATCTACGTTGACGGCAGCAGCGCTCAGCGGAGCTGCGCAGTGCTCCAAACACCACCGGCGGCTCCGGCGCTCCCAACGTAGAGTCTGCCTCCCATGGCACGACATACGACCGTTCACGGTCTCCTACACCATCTTCGTTGACAACGCTGATGTCTCCAGCGCTCCCAGCGCCTCTGATGTCCCCGGCGCTCCCGGCGCCTTTGGCGATACCGGCGCCCGCATCCTCTGAGGTCTCCGGCGCCTCTGATGTCTCTGGCGCTCCCCGCGCCTCTGATGTCTCCGGGGCCTCTGGCGCCTCTGATGTCTCCGGCGCTCCCGGCGCCTCTGATGTCTTTGGCGCTCCCGGCGCTCCCGCCTCCCAGAGTCTGCCTCCCATGGCACGACATACGACCGTTCATGGTCTCCTACACCATCTTCGTCGACAACGCTGATGTCTCCAGCGCTCCCGGCGCTCACAGCGCCTCTGATGTCTCCGGCGCCTCTGAGATCTCTGATCTCAAGATCTTCGACGCCTCTAATGTCTCTGGTGCCTCTGACTACTCCGGCACCTCAAGAGTTACGGCGCTCCCGGCGCCTCCAGAGTTCTGGCGCCTATGATGTATCCGGCGCCTAAGATGACCTCCGGCGCCGAGATCAACAAGCTTTATCAAGCTCAGATCAACGAGCCGAGTATCTCATCCGATCTTCTGCTTCGGCTTAAGGGGCACCATCGGCAATCGCCTCCCCGGTGCCACTGCCCTCTTCTTCTCTTGCTGACGTCTCATAGCTGGTCACACGGAGAAGCATGGTGGCACAACTGTCGCCGCTCCTGTCGATACTCTCCCGTCGGTCTTCGTGACCGTGACTATCGTTCTACTTCCTGGGTGGAATCTTTTCAACCAATAGACAGTTGGTCTGATTAAACTTGCCCACTGAGATGTTATCCTTAATCCCGTCGTTTAAAGAGCTATGGTTCCAGAGAGATGACCTGCGGGTTTCCATCGAAATAGAGCGTCATGTGAACAGCGTCTGTATCAGATTCGACGATGACATCCACTTATAAAGAGTCTACTTCGTCGACATCACCCCACTGTGATACCCTACCCTAGCACCAGCGTTCCTGAAAGAGACTCTTCCTCGGCGCTCCCCGGGTTTTCCACCACGCCCATGGGGGTTCCGCGTTTTATCGCAAAACTCGGGTACACCACTTGTTCGTCTCTCACACAGTTCATTGAGGATTGTCTGTTTGTGGAGTTTGCACCTCAGTTCCGACTCCAATGCGGCTTTCTCGGCTACTGCGCAGAGTGATTTACATGTCACGTGTCAAGTACTCGAACTGTCAACAACTCCGACCGGAATTAGGTCAACTTACCATGGCAAGGTCTGCCATGTATTTCTACAGATTGGTTTCCATGTTTACCTGTACGCTTGGTGCAACCACTCAACCAGGCGCCTGTCGCAGTCCATCCATGCACAGATGTTGGAAACAATAGACCTCCTCTACCAACACAGCTGTCACGAGGAACCTTGTTTCATCAACCCTTCGCTATAAGAACGATAGCGCCTATAGGCGTTCAAGGGATGGAAAAGATCGCCTTCCTTCGTCCGGTTTGATCTTTTAGACTACGACACCTTCCTATCTTCCGCCTTGACTACCGGACACAGTGTCGATTGGCCGTCCCACTGACCCCTGTTGCATACCTGCCTCGTATCGTGTTGTAGTCCTCCATCGTCACCTCGATATAAGAACAGGAGTACTTATACGCCGCTTCAGGGATGATAACGATCTCATTACTTTGTGCAATGGACATATTGCCTCGACTTCATACTACCCGGTTACGTCGATGCCCCGGCGGTCGATTGTGAAGCTGGTTTACTTCGTCTACATGAGGTTGGTCCGCAGGCGATCACACCTTTTTCCGAATCGTACCGACGGTACGCAATCGCAGACCCCTGTTGCTGATTTCTCCATTTTGCAATCTTATAGACGACCTCATTTACCTTGACTTCCCGCTCTTCCACTGCCACCTTGTCAGTGGCTAGTGGCCCACACCAGCCCACATTGTGACCACCTGTGATCCGGAGATCAACACCATTGCCACAGCAACAGCCTCGAGATAAAGGCTTATCCTTATCCTTATGACGACGTCACCGTAGTGTGGTGTTTGAGGACCCAGGGTACTCGCCCCTCTCCCGGCGCTACAAACTCGACCGGCGCCCCCGAGAATCACGATCTCCGGCGTTCCAGGCGCCTCAAGCTCTTTCGACGCCTCACGCTCTCCGGCGCCTCTGGCCAGACTATGTCAAACGGTCGACACCCCAACCCTAGATCTGTTTGCCTCATATCTGAATGTTGCCAGCTGTCGTCTTCCATTCCACCAGTGCCGGATACGACCGCTGTGGCAGTCGAAGCCTTCCGTCGTTCCTGAGAAGGATTACGCGCGTACGCTTTTCCGACTCCGGTTCTCCCTCCCACAGTTCTTCAGAGATCCAGGCCACTCGACCCCTGCCATTGACTTTGGTCTTGCCTTATTGGCCAGCCAGAAGTTGGGTTATCGACCTCCGAAACATAGCCAGAGACAACCCCTGGAACTTCCGGTGTGGTCCAACCTTCTGCTCCATCCACACGGTCTGTTGCCACACCCTAATACTCGCATGTTATCGTCTGCACGCCTGACACAACTGCAGAAAGCTAAGGGTTTTTTGGCTAGAGCGACCAAGGCTATTGCTTCAGACCACCGTCCATCTACAGGGGGACTGTATGCTGATAAATGATGCTCGTTCCAGGCATTTTGTTCTGACAAACACCAGGATCCGATGACAGCGTCACCGCAGATCCTGGATCAGTTCCTTCTGTACTTGCGCAGCACCCGTCGGTTGAAGGGCTTTACCACCCCCACATACCTGGTCGCCATCTACTCCGTTCTGGCCATCCCGGACAATCGGAGAACGACGAAAATTCCCGATCTACGGGCCTGGCTGCGCTCGTTCAGTCTTGAAGACCTGAAGGCCAAGTTCAGACCGCCTGCGTTGGATCTGAATGTGGTCTTCAACGCCCTTCGAACCACTCCCCTCGTCTTCCTTCTACGACCTAAAGAAGAAGACGGGTGTTTCTACTGGTTTTGGTTACTGCCGCTCGAGTCCATGTACAGCACGCCCTCGACGTCTCCCGTGCCCGGTTCGAATGCGGTACCCAGGGCGCCGTTCATCATGGACCGTACTGGGACTTCAGCGTAAAGACTCAACTCCCAGGACAGCCTGATAGATCATTCTTTGTCCCCTCCCCCCTCGTCCATTGTGGGTGCCGAGGATGAGGAAGAGCGTCATTATGCCCAGTAAGGGCACTGAAGGTTATTCTACGACGATCTAAAGCCTGCCGCAAGTCTAGGAAACACCTTTTTCTGCCGGTCTCCCCTTCGTCGCAGTCGTTGGTCAGCCGGAATACTTTTCCCTGTGGCTCCGGGCGGTCATCCTTAAAGCTTATGGAGCCGCCGGATTGGACCCTCCCCCCAAAGGCTATCACCTGACACGAGATCAGGGCGATCGTATTTACACTGGTTCTTCACCGTATACTGTTCCATCCAGTCGTTCAGGGAAGCCTGTTCTTGGCGATCGGACACCGCCTTCACCAACCACTACTTCCGTGATGTAGCCTTGAAAGTTGTCGCCGGCGTTCACAGTTTTGGTCCCTAGTTGTAACCCAACAGGTCATCTATCACCGACGCCACTGATTCTCCGATACCCTGAGCGGGGCCTGTCGACCTCTCTGGTGTTTATCACACCAGACGAGACGGCTCTCTTGCGTTCCGCATTCGCTCTTAGGTCAGTTTTAGTTTTGGGTTACCCGACTCATTCTATTTCTGTCGCCTACCCGGGTTTTACTTTTTGCATCAACTCTCGTTTCCTGACGACAGGAATGGTAGTAGATGTGGACAGCGGCGCCAACGCCAACGCCGCTGCTTCTCTGATACCTGAGCGGTGCCCGTCGACCTCACCGGCGTTCCTTGCCTCCAGCCTAGAGGGCTCTCCTGCGTTTCGCATTCGCTCTTGGGATTGGTCGTAGATTTTGCCGCCGACGCCGCTGATTCTTCGATCCCCCGAGCGGTGCCCGTCGAACTCTCTGGTGTTTATCACCTCAGATTAGAGGGCTCTACTGCGTTTCGCTTTCACTCTTCGGTAAGTTCTATATTTTGGCTACACGCCTCATTGTATTTCGGTTACCTACTCGGGCGTTTCGTTTTTGCATCGACTCTTGTTTCCTGAAGACAGGAATGGTCGTAGATGTTCCGGTCATCACTTGTATGCGGTGCGGATTCATCAGACCTTGACGAGGGTTTATTATGGTTCACATCTGCAGGTATGCCCACCGGCCATGCCGTCTGATAAAGATGCAATACGGAGTAATGCAGGATAAGTTAAAAAATTTAGTAAAATCTAAATATTTTTTACATTTGTATACTTATCCTGCATTACGAAGTCTAAGTGCCCTCCCTTTCGCTATGCTACCTCCCCACGAAGTTTCAGATGTTATGTTTAAAGCAGTTATGTGTTTTGGTGTGACGTCATGACTTCCGGGTCACGTGCCGACTGTGAGAGGGCGCTGCCTCCTGAGCTGGTTGGGACAACTTTCTTCAGCAGCTGGATCTCACACAGTTCGTCTCTCTGTCAAAGACAGCAGTAAATGCAATACGGAGTAATGCAGGATAAGTATACAAATGTAAAAAATATTTAGATTTTACTAATTTGTGTATGACAGACTTAGGTAGCTGTCACAGTGGTAGAAACTAACCCCACTAGTCCTAATAATGATAAGATATAGTAAAACCCTAAAAAATGGCAGCTTTCTACTGGTCCTTCTGATATCTTAACAATTGGGCAGATTGGCAAGGACTACAGGATGAGTGCCAATTTCTACATGCTGTTTCATTGTATGTTGTGTGTGTCAGACTTGGGTAGCTGTCATTGGTATGTTGTGTATATGACAGACTTGGGTAGCTGTCATTGGTATGTTGTGTATATGACAGACTTGCGTAGCTGTCATTGTATGTTGTGTATATGACAGACTTGGGTAGCTCTCATTGTATGTTGAGTATGTGGCAGACTTGGGTAGCTGTCATTGGTATGTTGTGTATGTGGCAGACTTGGGTAGCTGTCATTGTATGTTGTGTATGTGGCAGACGTAGGTAGCTGACATTGTATGTTGTGGATGTGGCAGACTTGGGCAGCTGTCATTGGTATGTTGTGTATATGACAGACTTGGGTAGCTGCCATTGGTATGTTGTGGATGTGGCAGACTTGGGTAGCTGTCATTGGTATGTTGTGGATGTGGCAGACGTAGGTAGCTGTGACTGGTATGTTGTGGATGTGGCAGACGAAGGTAGCTGACATTGGTATGTTGTGGATGTGGCAGACTTGGGTAGCTGTCATTGTTATGTTGTGGATGTGGCAGAGGTAGGAAGCTGTCATTGTATGTTGTGTATATGACAGACTTGGGTAGCTGTCATTGGTATGTTGTGGATGTGGCAAACTTAGGTAGCTGTCATTGGTATGTTGTGGATGTGGCAGACTTGGGTAGCTGTCATTGGTATGTTGTGGATGTGGCAGACTTGGGTAGCTGTCATTGGTATGTTGTGGATGTGGCAGACTTGGGTAGCTCTCATTGGTATGTTGTGGATGTGGCAAACTTAGGTAGCTGTCATTGGTATGTTGTGGATGTGGCAGACTTGGGTAGCTGTCATTGGTATGTTGTGGATGTGGCAGACTTGGGTAGCTGTCATTGGTATGTTGTGGATGTGGCAGACTTGGGTAGCTGTAATTGGTAAGTTGTGGATGTGGCAGACTCGGGTAGCTGTCATTGGTATGTTGTGGATGTGGCGGACTTGGGTAGCTGTCATTGGTATGTACTTTCAGGACCACCAGCACCTGTCAGTGGGCGGGGCAGTGATGTCAGTGGAGTGGCCTCAAGCAGGATCTCCGGTCGCAAGAAGGATTCGTCTGCTAAAGAGCCCAATGTGTGAGTCTCCATTCTTTCACATGTTCATAAGTAACATAGTGATGATGTGGTGTTTCACGGCACAGGAAACTTGAGGCTTATTCCATATAGGGCCCAGTGTGTGAAACCCACCTTGTTGTCTACCTTTGTCATATTTTGTGCTTATTTTGCTACAAGCACTGTAAGACCCTTCCCACCCTTACATTGCATCAGCAGAACAGAGAAAAGAAATTCTTTGATATATGACAAACTTTGTGCATATGGTATAGCATGTTAGTTGTCTTGTAGACAAATTACTCATGTAGGTTTAACTATACATGATTGAACTTGGTTTGTCAGGTAAGTATACCGTCACAAGTAGTCTATCGATTATTTGTGTCAGCTATTGAAATAACATGGGTGACTTTTAAATAATTGGTGTGGGCTTGATTTGTCAGTTTATGCCTGAACGCAGTAATAATGTGAAGGTATTTTTCTGATGAGGAAGGGTTACAGAACCAAGCATATTTCTTTCTAAAATGTAATCTGATTGTTGGTTTAATTGTATATTTTAGGAAGGATGATTTCCTTGCCCTGTTTGAGTCCTCCCATCAGCCGAAGATCAAGAGGCCCGGCAGCACACCATCCAAGGTCAAGAAGCCTGGGGCCAGCTCAGTCAAGACAGCATGGGAACAGCAGGTGAGAATACCGGGCTGTCATGACATCTATGTCTGTGCCCTGTACTGGCATCATACATACCTGGGTTATACCACACCCATCTGCATCATCGGACAGCTGCTTATTGTCACACTTTGGTGCTGGTATATTTACCCTCGTTCTAATGTAGCTGTGTACGAGAATACGGCCTGTGCCAAATATGTTTCAGTCTACTTTCACAAACTTGCCTCTTGGCATGATTTTCAGCAGAGTTTTTTTGTGTTAATATGTGGACTATTATTAGCTAAGCTAACTGGTACAGACATAATTGTAGGCTTCAGAAAGACTGAGAATATGTCCTCATGACATTTACATAGCAATGTTGCAGGATATGTCTTTAAACCTAGTATTCACATAGCAGTGTTGCAGGATATGTCTTTAGACCTAGTATTCACATAGCAGTGTTGCAGGATATGTCTTTAGACCTAGTGTTCACATAGCAATGTTGCAGATATGTCTTTAGACCTAGTAATCACATAGCAGTGCTGCAGGATATGTCTTTAGACCTAGTATTCACATAGCAATGTTGCAGGATATGTCTTTAGACCTAGTATTCACATAGCAGTGTTGTAGGATATGTCTGTAGAACTGGTATTCACATAGCAGTGTCATGGGGTATGTCCTTAGACCTGATTTGTTGTAGGATATGCCTTTAGACTGGGTACTCACATAGTGCTGTCCTAGTACATTTCCTTAGACCTGGTATTCACATTGACAAGCATAGGGTTTCTGGGTACCTATTCTAACGCTGATTCCTCATGGTGGAAATGATTGGAAGTATATTGCATAAAATGTAAGTTTCTAAATCAAAAGTAACCATTAGTGCATCATGATTCAAGGTTGTGTTTTTGCCCCAATATATTTCCTGTTTAATGTGGTAAATGTTTCCAGCCCAGTAAGCCTGCTGTCCCGAGTGGTCGTACAGCCTCTGCCCGGTCGGAGGCAGTGGACACAGACAGGACTGAGCCACACAATATATTCCAGCCTGACACAGCAGACAGTAGTTCTGATGACTTGGATCAAATAGAGGACACCCTTTCTCGCTCCCTAAATAGACTGCAGAGTCTTCAAAATCAGTTGTCTGAGGCCAACAAGAACAATTCATCCTCTACGGATGACCCAGAAGTCCTTAACAGTCAACGTTCCAACAGATCCACCTCGAGGAAAAACATGAATAGTATTGTTAATAATATGACCGCCCAAGGGCATTCTACAAAAACAAGACCCTCTTTGTCTTCAATGGAAAACTCTTATCAGAATATCAAACCGAAAGCTCCCGTGAATCAAGTTCGTAAAGCTGCATCTAATCAAGTCGGTATGAATGTAGCTGAAGATTATATTCAAACATTGAATACTGCTGCTTTAAAGATACAGCGGTGGTTTCGTCGCCATCACAAACGGAAGATGGTGAGCGAGGCTGCGATGAGACGATTGTTTGACCAGAAACGACAGGAGCATGCTGAACTGAGACAGCAGGAGCTTGCCATGTCTACACAAGAAGTGGACGAGCAGCGTGCTGATGAGAGAAAGAAGCAGCGAGAGGAAAAGGCCCGGCAAGCCCGGCTACAGGCCATTCAGGTACTTTTGACCAAATTTGTATACAGTGTGTTCAGGGAGTCTCAGTTGAAGTATATGAAGCTTGAGTAGCAATCTTGACAAGATTTTCCAGAAAAGGAATTGAATCTTATGGTTCCATGTCAACACTGATTATGGCATTGTTTGCTTCTCTTTTGAAAGTTGATGTCCTGGAATCCTGAATTGTTCCTAATTCTGTTGAGGGCATAGGTTGCTAAGTGATCTAGGGCACCAAGACTTCAGGCGTTTCTTCCACTTTTAGCTGACACTGTGACATAAGTCTATTCTTGCAATGTACTGTTTACTAAAATTCAAATAATGTAACAGCTTATAGGCCTGGCATATCACTCTACATTCATTTCCAACTGTCATGTCCATGTCAGTTTCATATGTTCGATTGTCACTGACTGTCATTACACACCTGGTGGCACAGGTGACCCATTCGTCTAAGGTGCTGCAGTTTGCTGTGTCAAATTATGAACCTTGATTGTGAGTTTGAGTTTGGATCTGCCCTGATTATGTTTCTAGGTTTGTCAGCACCATACCCAAGATTGTGGTTGCATCACTTCAGGCTTTACTCCCACATCATTCTGACGCACTGCAATATAGCTGAGATACTTTTCAAAGCAGCATTAAGCCATCTCACACTTTCTGTTTCTGACATAGGAGCTGCAGAAGAAGAGATCTGAGAAGAGAGAGGAAGTGAAAAAGAAGGCAGAGGAAGAGGTGGCCTACCTCCAGGCAAGTGGTAAGATCACAAAGAGTCCCTCCAGGTCATCTTTAGCCAAGAAAAAGGGGGGTTCCAGAAATGGGTCCAAGAGGGGGGCTTCTAGTCCCAGAGAGGGTCAGGACAATGCTTCACAATCCACACCCAGAGATGGGGGGCAGAATGGCAGCGCTGCACCTGGCAACGTGGAGGACATGTTCCAGGTAAGAACGCGGCAATCGGGAGTTAAAGTTTCTTAAGTGCTTTATGTGACAGCTGACTTCATGTGCCAAGTACTTTTTGAAACGAGTAAAAAAGATAATTAGATGCAATGTGGTTGTGATCCTGTGAGAGCTCAGAGTGGAATTGTTTTCAACATAACCTTAACTTCACCTTTAGCCAACCTGTAACAAACAGTATGCACAGATCATATTTGGATGGTTTTCACATTACCTTAATCTATAGATTCACACATGGGTTCGAATCCCAGATCGCCACGATTATATTGTGTCATCAGCACCATGCCCATGCTCATGGGATTCAACAAAATGGTAAACGTCCAAGCCCTGCATCATATCAAGCTTTCCTGAGGCTTTCCATCAGTCTTACATGCCGTGATATCACTGGAAAACTATTGAAAGCGCTGTTAAACCCAACTAACTCACACACTCGCATAGATTCACAATAGTTGTAGTGCTAGGACAGCTTTATGCAAGTAGGCCTTTGGAATAAATGCATAGTAACTGACTACATACCCAAATAGAGAAGTTTGGAGCCTCAAGGTGTGAGTAGGTTATTCTTTACATTACCCAGAGTCTTTTTCTTAGAAAAAGAGAAAAAATAGGGGTCCACTGATCTGCAGTTGAAAAATATCTGCTCTATGAATCTTTTGTTGGAATGACCTCACATAAAATCAATAGTGGTGTCATAAACAATGGATGACATCGTTGTCATTTATTTGTGACAGTGTGTTCATATGACATCATATTGCTATGGAACTCTTTGCAGACAATTGAACAATTAACCAATCAGCTTGGAGCTAAAATTATGATGCTCAGTAAGAATTATGTCTGTGCCACTATTTGGTGAGGCATGCAAGAACAATTACACTTTTTCTAGTCATAATGTGGCTGAAATATTGTTTCCTTCAGTCAGTAAATATAAGTACTATATAATCATGTCCTCAGATGCCGTCATCACATCGCGAGGAGGCGGAGGGTGCAGGTGCCGACCCCTCTCCTCGTCTGCCCAGTCCCAGTCAGGCTGCCACCAGGTCAACGCTCAATGACCTGTTTGACACACTCAAGAAACTTGAGGAAGAGGAGAACTTTGTCACTCCTCGAGCAGAGAAAAGAACATCATGGTGTAAGTTGACAAGCATGATTACTTGTAATGAGCTTGTCTTCGGTCATCCACATATTCACTGGCTAAAACTAAATGTAATTTACGTGGCAGGGTTCAGATTAGTTTTTTCTCATTGAACTTTGATGAATCTCTGACCATGATATATTGTTATGTGGATAAGGAAGTCAAGTATGAAAATCTGGCAATATGCAGAAACTGGTTTGTTTTTTTAATGTTTGAAGTTATACACTTGTATATTGGATGATACAGGTTGTTTTCTGGTTTAAAATTTTGCTAAAAACAGTATGGAATAAGAACAAGAACTCCCTGAAGTGATTGTTTGAATATTTGACATTGTTTTGAGATCATGTATTGTCTGAATATGTCCAGTATTTGTTCTTATTGGATTAAGTGTGTGTTGTGTTTTGAACAGTGACAGAATTGGAAAAGAGGAAAGAAAAGGAAGACTGCATTGAATCTAATCTGACCGCAGAGAACTTGGAGAAACTCAATTCAAAACATGGCCTGAAACAAAGTGGTTTCCTGACTGATGGAAAGCTGAAGAGTATTATGACGTTTTTGGATGAGGTGCAAGTCAGTGATCGTCTTAGTGAGATTGACACCGTAAGTCTCTCAGATCCATCTCATTTTAATATGCCATATTTGGCAATTCCTGCTACTTATTTCAAAAGTTGGTTAAGTCTCCAACATCATCACTTTTAACTGATTTCACATTAGATCACATGTCAAGCCGAAGAAGTTAACTCGCTAACAAAGAATACACTATTAAATCATTCTATATAATGGTATTCTAATCTAAATTCATGCTCTTGTCATTTGTTAATTAATGACAAAATGTTTGTGTTATCTTGAGCATCAAGAGCATCTTGAATTAATTGAGTGATTTATTTAAGCTAGGGGTTCGACACTTGAATTAATTTGTTGACACAGTGATTTACAGTATGTGAAGTCTGGTCAGTGTTGAGTGAGGGTGAGGGATGTTGGGACTGTACAGCATTGTTGTGTGGCAGGAGATCAACAAGATGAATGAGGAGCTGGAGAAGCCAGCGCTGTTGGTGCCGTCGGGGGAGGAGTTGGCCCAGCTGGAGCAGGCCCAGGCTGTGGCCAGTGAGGTGACTAGCACAGTCCTGTCACAGCGCCTCGAGCTGGATGAGAAACGCAGGACTGTTACTATGCTACAGAAAGCCCTGGTACGCCATGTGGTGGACATTTCAATAGACCTTGTTATTATCCCCCGCCACGAAGTGGAAGGGGGATATAGGAATGGGTGCCGTCCTTCCGTCCGTCCGTCCGTCACATTTCGTTTCCAGAGCAGATCTTGAAAACCGTACCATATTTCTTCCCCAAACTTGGCACATAGATAGGTCTAGTGGTGAACTGGTGCCTTTTGATAGTTTGGGATTTTAAAAAAAGTTATTTTTCGAGTTTCCATGGTAACGACTTTTGACTTAGACTGAAAATGGCGGTAGTCCTCGTTTCTGGAGCAGATCTTGAAAACCATACCATATTTCTTCACCAGACTTGGCACATAGATAGGTCTAGTGGTGAACTGGTGCCTTTTGATAGTTTGGGATTTTTAATAAAAAAATATTCGAGTTTCCATGGCAACGACTTTGATTTGGACTGTGACTGTGGTGAACTGGTGCCTTTTGATAGTTTGGGATTTTTAATAATAAAAAAATTCGAGTTTCCATGGCAACGACTTTGATTTAGACTGAAAATGGCGGTTGTCCTCGTTTCCGGAGCAGATCTTGAAAACGGTACTATATTTCTTCACCAAACTTGGCACATAATGTCATCTCACAGTATTGAATACATTTCCTTTCTTGTTGGTAAGTTCTGCGTTGCTTGAGTGTATGTTCCTCCAAAAGTGGGGGCGGTCTGGTAGCCTAGTGGTTAAAGCGTTGGCTCGTCACGCCGAAGACCCGGGTTCGATTCCCGACATGGGTACAATGTGTGAAGCCCATTTCTGGTGTACACCGCCGTGATATTGCTGAAATATTGCTAAAAGCGGCGTAAAACCATACTCACTCACTCACTCCTCCAAAAGTGTCATGGACACAGTTGTTGCATTCACTGACTAACTTTATACAGAAACACAACTCATTACAAATACAACAGTGTAACTGATCTTAAACCTACTCAACTGTATAAACAATATATATTCTTGTCAACCATACTCTGTACTTCACTTGCTTGATAATGGTGTTAGAACCTACACCGAAACCATCGCTCCTAATTGTAATAAAGAAGTTGTTTGTCCATATGTCTCATCCTTACTCATTACAAATTCAGTAACATATTCTATCATAAACTGCAGATGGAAAAACAACACCAGTAATAACTTTTTTAAGTGCTGCAATTAGGCCATTTACAAAAAGGCCCAGTGAACATAGTTCACAGGAGCTAATGCATTGCACACACCCGACATGTCATATTGGCGGGGGATGTGGGTATTTCATGCTTGTTTATTCTAAAGGATTTAATAATTCCTATAATTTCAGTTTAGCTTTTTAATATAAGTTTGTCCAAATGTTCATTAACATTAACTTTCCTGGTTACAAGTTACATAGATACCACTGACTGACACCACTGACTGCCTGCTGTAGACAGCAGTACAAGATACCACTGACTGACCTGTGTTAACAGCAGTGTTAGATACCACTGACTGACCTGTGTTAACAGCAGTGTTAGATACCACTGACTGACTGGTGTAGACATCAGTGTTAGATACCACTGACTGACTGACCTGTGTTGACAGCAGTGTTAGATACCACTGACTGACCTGTGTTGACATCAGTGTTAGATTCCACTGACTGACCTGTGTTGACAGCAGTGTTGTATACCACTGACTGCCTGGTGTAGACAGCGTGTTAGATTCCACTGACTGACCTGTGTTGACAGCAGTGTTAGATACCACTGACTGCCTGGTGTAGACAGCAGTGTTAGATACCACTGACTGCCTGGTGTAGACAGCAGTGTTAGATACCACTGACTGACCTGTGTTGACAGCAGTGTTAGATACCACTGACTGACCTGTGTTGACAGCAGTGTTAGATACCACTGACTGCCTGGTGTAGACAGTGTGTTAGATTCCACTGACTGACCTGTGTTGACAGCAGTGTTAGATACCACTGACTGCCTGGTGTAGACAGCAGTGTTAGATACCACTGACTGACTGGTGTAGACATCAGTGTTAGATACCACTGACTGACCTGTGTTAACAGCAGTGTTAGATACCACTGACTGCCTGGTGTAGACATCAGTGTTAGATACCACTGACTGACCTGTGTTGACAGCAGTGTTAGATACCACTGACTGCCTGGTGTAGACAGCGTGTTAGATTCCACTGACTGACCTGTGTTGACAGCAGTGTTAGATACCACTGACTGCCTGGTGTAGACAGCAGTGTTAGATACCACTGACTGACTGGTGTAGACAGCGTGTTAGATATCACTGACTGACTGGTGTAGACAGCGTGTTAGATACCACTGACTGACTGGTGTAGACAGCGTGTTAGATACCACTGACTGACTGGTGTAGACAGCAGTGTTAGATACCACTGACTGACTGGTGTAGACAGCGTGTTAGATACCACTGACTGACTGGTGTAGACAGCGTGTTAGATACCACTGACTGACCTGTGTTGACAGCAGTGTTAGATACCACTGACTGACTGGTGTAGACAGCGTGTTAGATACCACTGACTGACCTGTGTTGACAGCAGTGTTAGATACCACTGACTGCCTGGTGTAGACAGCAGTGTTAGATACCACTGACTGACTGGTGTAGACAGCGTGTTAGATACCACTGACTGACCTGTGTTGACAGCAGTGTTAGATACCACTGACTGCCTGGTGTAGACAGCAGTGTTAGATACCACCTATGTTGACAGAACCAGCAGAGGGAGCTGACAGTGCGGCATGCCAGGGAGACTGAGAAGGAGATGAAGAAGAGGCTGGACCACCAGAAGGAAGAGTACGAGGAAACCGTCAAGAGACACCTTGGCTTCATTGATCAGGTACTTTTCTACTGACATACTGCCCTTTGTTTACTAATGTATGTTCACCATCTTTGAACAGTGTGCATTCTGCAGAGAAGGCTAGGGTAAGGGTTTCTGTGTTGTGTCTGTATGTGTTCTGACACCTTGGTTGGGTCATGTCAGGGTGATTCTGTGTTTGTAGGTGTTCGTACACCTGTGTTTGGTTATGTCAGGTGGTCCGTGTCTGTATGTGTTCTGACACCTTGGTTGGGTCATGTCAGGGGGTTTCTGTGTCTGTATGTGTTCTGACACCTTGGTTGGGTCATGTCGGGGTTTCTGTGTCTGTATGTGTTCTGACACCTTGGTTGGGTCATGTCTCGGAGTTTCTGTGTCTGTATGTGTTCTTTACACCTTGGTTTGGTCATGTCGGGGTTTCTGTGTCTGTATGTGTTCGGACACCTTGGTTGGCTCATGTCTGGGGGTTTCTGTGTCTGTATGTGTTCTGACACCTGTGTTGGGTCATGTCAGGGTTTCTGTGTCTCTATGTGTTCTGACACCTTGGTTGGGCCATGTTGGTGTTTCTGTGTTTGTAAGTGTTCGTACACCTGTGTTGGGTCATGTCAGGGGGTTCTGTGTCTGCATGTGTTCTGACACCTTGGTTGGGTCATGTCAGGGGTTTCTGTGTTTGTATGTGTTAGTACACCTGTGTTGGGTCATGTCTCAGGGTTTCTGTGTTGTGTCTGTATGTGTTCGGACACCTTGGTTGGGCCATGTTGGTGTTTCTGTGTCTGTATGTGTTCTGACACCTTGGTTGGGTCATGGCAAGGTTTCTGTGTTTGTATGTGTTCGTACACCTGTGTTGGGTCATGTCAGGGGGTTCTGTGCCTGTATGTGTTCTGACACCTTGGTTGGGTCATGTCAGGGTTTCTGTGTTTGTATGTGTTCTGGCACCTGTGTTGGGTCATGTCAGGGTTTCTGTGTCTCTATGTGTTCTGACACCTTGGTTGGGTCATGTTGGTGTTTCTGTGTCTGTATGTGTTCTGACACCTTGGTTGGGTCATGGCAAGGTTTCTGTGTTTGTATGTGTTCGTACACCTGTGTTGGGTCATGTCAGGGGGTTCTGTGTCTGTATGTGTTCTGACACTGGTTGGGTCATGTCAGGGGGTTTCTGCGTCTGTATGTGCTCGGACACCTTGGTTTGGTCATGGCAGGATTTCTGTGTCTGTATGCGTTCTGACACCTTGGTTGGGTCATGTCGGGGTTTCTGTGTCTGTATGTGTTCTGACACCTTGGTTGGGTCATGTCAGGGTTTCTGTGTTGTGTCTATGTGTTCTGACACCTTGTTTGGGTCATGTCGGGGTTTCTGTGGTTTCTGTATGTGTTAGTACACCTGTGTTGGGTCATGTAAGGGGGGTTTCTGTGTCTCTATGTGTTCTGACACCTTGGGTGGGTCATGTCAGGGGTTTCTGTGTCTCTATGTGTTCTGACACCTTGGTTGGGTCATGTCAGGGTTTCTGTGTTGTGTCTATGTGTTCTGACACCTTGTTTGGGTCATGTCGGGGTTTCTGTGTTGTGTCTGTATGTGTTAGTACACCTGTGTTGGGTCATGTCAGGGGTTTCTGTGTCTGTATGTGTTCGGACAGCTTGGTTGGGTCATGTCGGGGTTTCTGTGTCTGTAGGTGTTAGTACACCTGTGTTGGGTCATGTCTGGGTTTTTTCATTGTCTGTATGTGTTCGGACACCTTGGTTGGCCAATTTGGGGTTTCTGTGTCTGTATGTGTTCTGACACCTTGGTTGGGTCATGTCGGGGTTCTGTGTCTGTATGTGTTCTGACACCTTGGTTGGGTCATGGCAGGGGGTTTATGTGTCTGTATTTGTTTGGACACCTTGGTTGGGGTTTCTGTGTCTGTATGTGTTCTGGTAGTGTTACCTTGTGTTGCAGCTGATTGATGACAAGAAGACACTCAGTGAGAGATGTGAACAAGTGGTGAAGGAACTGAAAGTCATTGACAAGAAATACCAGGATAAGATAAAGTCCATGGATGACAGGTTGGTCATGTTTTTTGCATGGAGTCTTTCATCATGCAGGGTTTTTCAGGAAATTGACCGATTGTTCCAGTGCCCTGAAGATTTTGATTTGAAGTGTTTTTGATTTTGCTGATAGTATAGAAGAAGGTGGTGGGGTGTTGCACATCCTCTAGTCTGTTAAGTTCTTTGCGCAGCCACAAGGAGTTGCACATCCTCTCTAGTCTGTCATGTTCTCTGTGTAGCCACAGCCGCAAGTAAGCAACATCCTCTTTTATCTGGTATGTTGTATGTGCAGCCATGGCCATGAGATGTTGCAAATCCTCTATAAATCTGGTATGTTGTATTTGCAGCCATGGCCATGACATGTTGCACATCCTCTTAAATCTGGTATGTTGTATGTGCAGCCATGGCCATGAGATGTTGCACATCCTCTTAAATCTGGTATGTTGTATGTGCAGCCATGGCCATGAGATGTTGCACATTCTCTATAAATCTGGTATGTTGTATTTGTAGCCATGGCCATGAGATGTTGCACATCCTCTTAAATCTGGTATGTTGTATGTGCAGCCATGGCCATGAGATGTTGCACATCCTCTATAAATCTGGTATGTTGTATTTGCAGCCATGGCCATGAGATGTTGCACATCCTCTATAAATCTGGTATGTTGTATGTGCAGCCATGGCCATGAGATGTTGCACATCCTCTATAAATCTGGTATGTTGTATGTGCAGCCATGGCCATGAGATGTTGCACATCCTCTTAAATCTGGTATGTTGTATGTGCAGCCATGGCCATGAGATGTTGCACATTCTCTATAAATCTGGTATGTTGTATTTGTAGCCATGGCCATGAGATGTTGCACATCCTCTTAAATCTGGTATGTTGTATGTGCAGCCATGGCCATGAGATGTTGCACATCCTCTATAAATCTGGTATGTTGTATTTGCAGCCATGGCCATGAGATGTTGCACATCCTCTTAAATCTGGTATGTTGTATGTGCAGCCATGGCCATGAGATGTTGCACATCCTCTATAAATCTATATGTTGTATGTGCAGCCATGGCCATGAGATGTTGCACATCCTCTTAAATCTGGTATGTTGTATGTGCAGCCATGGCCATGAGATGTTGCACATCCTCTATAAATCTGGTATGTTGTATGTGCAGCCATGGCCGTGAGATGCAGAAGCTGAAGGACATCCATGCTGCTGCTGAGAAGTTGAGGAGAGAGAAGTGGATTGAGGAGAAGACCAAGAAGATCAAGGTACAGATAGATATACAACTCTGTTAAGTGTTGTGGTAGCTACTAGGCAATCAACCCTGTGAGTGAGTTGGAATTTACACCGCTTTTTGGCAATATTCCAGCAATGACACAGCGGAGGACACCAGCAATGGGTTCACACATTGTACCAATGTGAATATACCCTGTGAAGTTTCCATTCAAAATATTAACCTTTCAAATGCTTGTATTCAATCATCTTCCCGAGGCAAGAGAGAAAACTGACTATAAAAGTCCACTTTCCACCCTTTCTGAACTAGGCTGGTATTATGGAGTTACATTTTGGCTGGACTAATGAGTCTATGCAAAGTCCAATCAAAGTCGCGCACCAAAATCGAAATCCAGTTAATAAACTGTCATGCAGATTTCGGTCGATTGCATGATTTGCAAAGCATGTGTACCGTCAGTTTGTTGTCAACAGATATTTTCCAAGTCTTTTCATGTTTTTGATTAAGGTGCTCACGTGATTTGAACCACTTTGCAATGTAAGACCCGTTTTATCACAATATGGATCTTGATTATTGATCAGATCGTCTTGACTGCGCGCCACCATTTTGTTTGAAACAAATGCAAGTGAAACGAGAGGTGGAATCTGATTGGTCCATAGGAGAAGCTTAGAAGGGACATAACTCGTAATAACCACTGGTAGCGCTATGATCGAGCACAGGAATTCGAGCCTTGTTCGGCAAGGGTTGAAACTGGACTTTTAAGGATTGGAGAAAACAGGCTCACGATGTTTTGGTAGACAGAGCATGCCCTGGGGAGTGGGAAAAACCAAGGGGGCGGTTTTTCCTGACCCCCAGGGCATGCTCTGTCTACCAAAACCGAGGGAAAGTGTTTTTCCATACTTATAAACCGTCTAAATTGATTAAATGTTATAACGAGCATCTATAAATGAGGCGCTTCATTATAGGGCTTCCTTGAAGACGTGATATCATAACTTGCACATGAAATTCGCTGACTTGCCAGGCGTCAAGAGCACTTGGATGTGTCAACAACAAAACACAACTAAAATACTTACTTTTAAATGAAAGTGAAATCTTCGGTCTCTAAATGTTTGTGTTGCAATATTCCACTTCTTTTAAACTTTTCAAAACGAAAATTCGCAAATTTAAAAGGTGTCTTTTGCTTTACAAGATTTACGACTTTAAATAATCCAACTGTTACACAGAGGTAGTTGTGACGTAACGGCTAGCAGTTACTTAACGTGCAGGTTGTGCAGCATTGATAAGCACTTGTTTAAAAGCATGTGTTTTGAAACCTCGCTGTCCTTTCACCAGAGACTCTGAAGTGGAAAGATGAGTGACGACGACTTTCATTTTGTTACCCAGTCTTCATTCACTGTACACATGACATTAAATTTTAATTGAATTAAAATTTTGAATTGCTACTTGTAGTCATTTTTTCAGTTACTTGGTTAAACCTGGGATTTGAGGTTTTACATTCAAAGTAAAACCTCCAGAACAAAAAAAACACCTCATAATAGGTTTTACTTTGAAAGTAAAACCTCACAATAGGTTTTAATACCTATAGAAAGAACTCTCTTACTTAATAGAGATCCCAATGAATAGGTTTATAAAGTCAGTTAACTCACTTGCCTTGGGAAGATGGTATTCAATTGACCAGAAAAAGGTATTTTCACAGAAAGTTTTGGTGAATCCTTAGACATTTTGTTCTTTTAAAGGTAAATCTTTTTTCTGTGTTGACTTTTTGCACAGATTGAACACTTGAGTAAATGACTACACGTGTAAGAGTTTATTAATGTTTTGAGAGTGATGTAGACTAACCAGGAAGTCATGTGTACTCTAGGAGATGACAGTGAAGGGTTTGGAGCCAGAGATCCAACGTCTCATCGCCAAACACAAAGCAGAAATAAAGAAGATAAAACAGCTCCAGGAGGGTGACATCCTTGAATCTGACGAGCGGGCTTCACATCGCTATGTGAAGATGATGGAGGAACTGCGTGAACAGCTGGAGCAGGAGAAGGAAGCAGCATGCAACAGGGAGAGGCAGATGGCCAAGGAGAGGTACACTTAGTTACATCAACACATCAAACCTGGAGTCAAACATAGCCATGTATAGAAGTGGTAGTATTTTTTCACTCAGCTTCACTTTTGTTATCCTTTTATTTGTTCATAAAGACATGAAGACTCCATGAAACTAGATTCTGTCTTGAAAATGCTTTGAAAAGGGATAATGTCATGTGTAGGCATCTGTATGTCCTGTGTAGGCATCTGAGTCATGTGTAGGTATATATGTCATGTGTAGGCATTTATATCATGTGTAGGCATCTGCCATGTGTAAGCATCTATGTCATGTGTAGGCATCCATATCCTGTGTAGGAATCTATGTTGTGTAGGTATCTATGTCATGTGTAGGTACCTATGGCATGTGGAGGCTTCTATGTCATGTGTAGGCATCTGTGTCATGTGTAGGCACCTTAGGCATATGTGTAGACATATATGGCATGTGTAGGTATATATGGCATGTGTAGGCATCTCTGTCATGTGTAGGCATCTATGTGTATGCATCTCTGCTACGTGTATGCATCTATGTCATGTGTAGGTATCTATGTGTATGCATCTTTGTCATGTGTAGGCATCTATGTGTATGCATCTATGTCATGTGTAGGCATTTACGTGTATGCATCTATGTCATGTGTAGGCATCTACGTGTCTGCATCAATGTCATGTGTAGGCATCTATGTCATGTGTAGGCATCTATGTCATGTGTAGGCATCTATGTGTAGGCATCTCTGTCATGTGTAGGCATCTATGTGTATGCATCTATGTCATGTGTAGGCATCTATGTGTAGGCATCTCTGTCATGTGTAGGCATCTATGTGTATGCATCTATGTCATGTGTAGGCATCTACGTGTCTGCATCAATGTCATGTGTAGGCATCTATGTCATGTGTAGGCATCTATGTCATGTGTAGGCATCTATGTGTAGGCATCTCTGTCATGTGTAGGCATCTATGTGTATGCATCTATGTCATGTATAGGCATCTATGTGTAGGCATCTCTGTCATGTGTAGGCATCTACGTGTATGCATCTATGGCATGTGTAGGCATCTATGTGTATGCATCTATGGCATGTGTAGGCATCTATGTGTAGGCATCTCTGTCATGTGTAGGCATCTATGTGTATGCATCTATGTCATGTGTAGGCATCTCTGTCATGTGTAGGCATCTATGTGTATGCATCTATGTCATGTGTAGGCATCTACGTGTATGCATCTATGGCATGTGTAGGCATCTCTGTGTAGGCATCTCTGTCATGTGTAGGCATCTACGTGTATGCATCTATGGGATGTGTAGGCATCTATGTGTATGCATCTATGGCATGTGTAGGCATCTGTGTAGGCATCTATGTCATGTGTAGGCATCTACGTGTATGCATCTATGACATGTGTAGGCATCTATGTGTATGCATCTATGGCATGTGTAGGCATCTATGTGTATGCATCTATGGCATGTGTAGGCATCTATGTGTAGGCATCTCTGTCATGTGTAGGCATCTACGTGTATGTATCTATGTCATGTGTAGGCATCTATGTGTATGCATCTATGGCATGTGTAGGCATCTATGTGTAGGCATCTCTGTCATGTGTAGGCACCTACGTGTATGCATCTATGTCATGTGTAGGCATCTATGTGTATGCATAGGCATCTGTGTATGCATCTATGTCATGTGTAGGCATCTATGTCATGTGTATGCATCTATGTCATGTGTAGGAATCAATGTCATGTGTAGGCATCAATGTCATTTGTAGGCTTCTATGTCATGTGTAGGCATCCATCTCGTGTAGGTATCTGTCATGTGTAGGCATCCACATGTAGGCATCCATGTCGTGTAGGTATCTATGTCATGTGTAGGTATCCACATGTAGGCATCTGTGTCGTGTAGGTATCTATGTCATGTGTAGGCATCCACATGTAGGCATCCATGTCGTGTAGGTATCTATATCATGTGTAGGCATCCACGTGTAGGCATCTATGTCATGTGTAGACATTTATGTGTGTAGGTATGAGAAGCAGTTGCAGCAGGAGGAGGAGTCGTACCAGCAGCAACGGCGACGGCTCCATGCCGAGGTACAGGAGGAGAAGGAGAGGCTGTCCCAACATGCCTCCCGGCAACGCACTGAAGTGGACAAGCTGCAGAGACAGCTGGAGGACAGCCACAAGATGGCGCTTGATGCCATGAAGTCAGAGTTTGAAAAGGCTCGAGAAGAACAGGACAGGCGACATGCTGTAAGTAACACTACTAGCAAGGCATTCTATCTAGAGCAATACAAGGACAACTGTCTATGGGTAAACAAGTTCATTAATACAGCAAAGTGAAGTATGATCAACCATCAAAACCATACTTCACCTTAATGTACATCACTTGCTTGATAAAGACCTTCAAATATTATTCACCTTAACATTGCCTCAAAGGTCACAAAGAAGTTGTTTTTCTCATCACACCAACTTGTAAATGTTACTCAAAAATGGTGTAGCTAACGTACATTTTCATTATAACCTGTCTATTCTACTCAGAACATGTAGAATAGGTCATGACTCTCAACATAAATTTCATGGAGTTTTAAGCTCTCCAGGGTGTGATTGTATAAAACAATCCTAGCGCTTAGGTGATCGTAACTCCCATACCTTTAACATAGACTTACGACAATCGTAGTGCTAAGGTTGTGTTGTACAATGGCACCCTGCTCTCTATTGTTGCCAGAATTGATTGCTATGCAAAATGATTTCTATTATTTATGATTACTATCTATTTATCTATCTATGACTGACAGCTCTTTTAGAATTGTCTCATTTACATATTTAATCCTTTTGCAACATAACTCATACACATGAAATAAGGTTACTACCTGACCTAACGTCTCACACAAAATACCATATATAACCCATGGAAGTGTCCCTGGCACCTGCGTATCCCAATTGCGTGGATCAATGCTGATAGAGGCAATCACTAATATGCTGGAATATGGTGCTTCATTAAATAACAATCAATCATGAATTTATCTCCTTGTCAAATTACATTTGTATCACGGGTCCCCATTACCATGAGGCCAAATTAATGGATAGTTCTTCAAATTAATGGATAGTACTTCAAATTAATGGATAGTACCTCAAATTAATAGATAGTACTTCAAATTAATGGATAGTACTTCAAATTAATGAATAATACCTCAAATAAATGGATAGTACTTCAAATTAATGGATAATACCTCAAATTAATGGATAGTACTTCAAATTAATGGATAGTACTTCACCAAATGAAGACAAAGTAGGACCATCTCAGCGCAATGGCATCATACACCATTGAATGGCTCTCCTGAACCAGGCCACGTGGTTGTAGCTACGATATAACTGAACTCCATACAAGTACAAGAGATAGTAGTGTTGATAAATATTATTCCTTCTGCAGATTGAGGTCCGTGAGCTGAATGAACGTTTGCGTGTTGAGAAAGAGGCATGGGAGGAGAACTACATGAAGAAACAGGAGACGTGGCTGACTCAGAAGGAGCGGGAACTCAAGTCCCACGTGCGGAGAGACCGGGACAAGGAGATAGAGCTGGTTATACAGCGGCTGGAAGAGGATGCCACACGGTCTAGGGACGAGTGTGAGCGAGCTGCAGAAAACAGAATCAAGTAAGTGATTGCTACTTTCTATCATGGTGAAGATTGACGTTGTCACCTACAGACATCAAGAATAAACATCTTAGTTCCTCTTTCTGTCAATTTTTCTAGTTTCTAGTTTATTTAGTTTTCACTAAATATGTTATAGTTTATTCACTGTACATTGATTATGCTAAAAAGAACTCTAAAAAGAACAATATTTTAATGATAAATTCAATCCTGCTTTAAATAGAACATAAATATTTCATCAAAAGAACAGTTTTGTTGCCACATAAATGCACAGTACACCAGTGCCGACTCCCACTATTCATGATGAACATAACTGTTGCATGACATCACAATGGCTGGTAATGATGTCATAATCAGTGTAACTTCATTCTCCCTGATGATACCAATGAAACATGTCATAGAAAGTACTCAGTATTGTGTTTTGTTTTACATTTCATATATATGTACTACTTTACAAACGTCCCTGAAGTCACTGAGTTTTGTGTACACTTTGTTGGTGATGCAGTTACATCGCTTTCTGTTTCCTGTAGACGAATGCGGGACAAGTTCAATAATGAAATGAAGGAGCTCGAGAGTTCCGAGAGGCATGCAGTACAGAAGTACAATGAGATGAAGGTAAGATGCGCATGATGCCGCAAGGTGTCACAACAGTACGTTATGTTAACACTGAATCAGGGGGCACGGGTAGCCCAGTCGTCTAAGGCCCTGCGATTCGCTGTGCAGAGTTGCGTCCCTTGGGCACACCAGAAACCTATGATTGTGGGTTCGAATCCCGGTTCGCCCCAATTATGTTTCTAGGTTTGTCAGCACCATACCCGTGCTCGTGGGTTTCACCGAAGTGGTAAACGTCTTAAACCTGCATCACTTCGGGCTTTCCTCCCTCATTAAGCTGACACGCCGTGATATAACTGGAATAATGTTAAAAGTGGCGTTAAACCCAACTCACTCACTCACTCACTCACTCACTCACTCACTCACTCACTAACACTGAATCAGTCACTGACATTCAACAAAGGACATGCTAGTTTGTCATGAAGGGACAAAGGACAAGAGACGTGGATATGCAAGAGACATACATTTCATGTTTAAGTAAAAGAAAATATTTAAGAATTACTGGCAACACAGCAGTGCATAGAAACAACTAAGAGTATATTACCAAAGCATGTCTATTCACAGGTTAAGTAAAAGCATGCATTTGAAAACCATATTTTACCATTTTATGTCCTGACCTGTTTGTGTAGCATCCTTCATGTGTCGTGGGCATCTGGCATTAGCATCATCTCCACAGATACCAATGTACCAATGAAGCTGAAACTTTGTATACTTGTTCCAACTAATGATGCCTCCCTAATTTGTTCATGAAATTTGAATCCAATTTTAAATATGTACCCTTTTGTTCAAGAGATGCAAATCAGATATACAACATGGCTGCCACAGCAGCCTTAGTGAAAATCCTATTTATGGTAAAACTAAAGTGAAATTTGATATATGTCTAGTTAGTAATAGATAGGGCTGAACACATGTTCCCTTTTTTCAAAATTTAAACTTTGGACCTTGTTTTGACTCACATTCTGTGCAAGGTCATTTCTTTTCACTGTAACCAACATCTCCTCAGAAACCACTGGACCAATGAAGCTGAAACGTCACAGCTTGTTTCCACCACTGATAACGCCTGAACTGAGGTTCAAATGTGATTTTTCTACATGGCCACTACAGCCATTTTAATGAACTTATAAGACTATTACTCAGCCATGTCCAAAATGTATGTGTTTAACTTGTAGTGGGACTTAATATATCTGTTCCACATTTTGCTATAATGTATATTTTGACCTTGTCTTGACCTTTGTGTTTTTATCATTTTCTTAAAACATGAGGCCAAATAGACTTCCTATCTGAAATTAGTTTGTAGTCCTGAGTAATTATTTGAATATGAATGCTGACAAATTTTGTTAAGTGTCTGTCTTTGTTGACATTTTCTCTATTTTCTACATATCCAGGTGAGCTACACTTCCCAGGCACTATTTTATGTCTATTTTAGTGCCAAGAATAGAAGATTCATCTAACAGAGATGAGGATTGTGTTTCTGTGTTGTAGGCTCAGCTGACGGAGATCGAAGGTGAATGTGAAAGGTTGAAGGTCATTGTTAGACAGAAGGATCAGGAAGTCCTGGATATAAAGAAGGTAAAGCAAGGAAACCTGTGTCATACTTTACCCATCTCATAATATTTGTTTACCCAGGTCTCGTATTTGTACGTTATTTACTTTACCTAACATTTATCTGCAATATATCTTGCATGAGAACTGTCCCTCCAAATACTTTGAAGCAATGCCTGGCAAACATATTCTTTATTCTATGATGCTGTGTGTTGCAGCTGACAGACCGGCTTCATGAGGAACGCAGCCATGTATCAGATATCATTCGCCAGGAGTTTGCTGACCGCATTGTTACCACAGAGGAGGAAAACAAAAGATTGAAAAATGAAATGTCAGAATTGAGAGCAAAACACCGAATTGAAATCGAGAGGGGCAAGACTGACATCGAAGAAATCAAAAGACAAAAAGATGATGAGATGGAGGAGGTACACAAGAGGTATAGAATCTCTGATTATGCATATTCATGTAATCAACAGTACAATGGTATTGAGCAGGGACGAGTCCAAATTTACGACCCAGGTACTTGACCCCCTATTACCCGACCCTACCCGGGTCCCTACTGTAGGTCTCAAGAGTTGGGTACTTAATGTCCGATTGGGAATTGTTTTACCACAGCCCTGGCAAATGCTATTTAGATACATGTATAAAATGATCAGATCATGCATACACTGAAGTCGACTGAAGCTATATCTTTACTCAAACATGTAAAAGTCGGAAAGAATGTGTGCATAGGCAGAAAGAAATGCAAACATAAGTGACTTTTATTATTATTGTATTTAAACAACATATTACATAACTAACCATGGGTCTGGGTAGTCCTGTGGGTACCCAGGTCCTGTTTAGGACCCACCCGACCCCAGTACACAAGTTACCCGTCCCAGGCCTACAACGGTATAATACACTAATGGTAGTTACCGGTAGTCTGAAGTTCATTGAGGAAGAAGATATGATTTTTAATTTCAAATACTTAATTGTTGTACACCATGTTCCAAGGTCTCAGTATTTCATCGGGTCATTAAGGGGCAAGAATGTATATGTGTATTATCAATGCATGCCAGCATATTTGTGAGCAAAGCCAAAAGTGACATAGATTGTAGAGGTTACCACTTTGATAAAAACCATTATCTGTGTGGTTGTAAATTTACATTATTGATGATGCTGTAATGTTTGATGTTTGTGTTGTCAGGGTTCTGTAATGGTTGATGTTTGTGTTGTCAGAGTGCTGTAATGGTTGATATTGTGTTGTCAGAGTGCTGTTATGAATGATGGTTTTGTTGTCAGGGTGCTGTAATGGTTGATGTTTGTGTTGTCAGGGTGCTGTAATGGTTGATATTGTGTTGTCAGAGTGCTGTAATGGTTGATGTTTGTGTTGTCAGAGTGCTGTAATGGTTGATATTGTGTTGTCAGAGTGCTGTTATGATTGATGGTTTTGTTGTCAGGGTGCTGTAATGGTTGATGTTTGTGTTGTCAGGGTGCTGTAATGGTTGATATTGTGTTGTCAGGGTGCTGTAATGGTTGATGTTTGTGTTGTCAGAGTGCTGTAATGGTTGATATTGTGTTGTCAGGGTGCTGTTGTAATTGATGGTTTTGTTGTCAGGGTACTGTAATGGTTGATGTTTGTGTTGTCAGGGTGCTGTAGTGGTTGATGGTTGTGGTGTCAGGGTGCTGTAGTGGCTGATGGTTGTGTTGTCAAGGTGTTGTAATGGTTGATGGTTGAGTTGTCAGGGTGCTGTAATGGTTGATGTTTGTGTTGTCAGGGTTCTGTAATGATTGATGGTTTTGTTGTCAGGGTGCTGTAATGGTTGATGTTTGTGTTGTCAGGGTGCTGTAATGGTTGATGTTTGTGTTGTCAGAGTGCTGTAATGGTTGATATTGTGTTGTCAGGGTGCTGTAATGGTTGATGTTTGTGTTGTCAGAGTGCTGTAATGGTTGATATTGTGTTGTCAGGGTGCTGTAATGGTTGATGGTTGTGTTGTCAGGGTGCTGTAGTGGCTGATAGTTGTGTTGTCAAGGTGTTGTAATGGTTGATGGTTGAGTTGTCAGGGTGCTGTAATGGTTGATGTTTGTGTTGTCAGGGTTCTGTAATGATTGATGGTTTTGTTGTCAAGGTGTTATAATAGTTGATGGTTGTGTTGTGAGAGTGCTGTAGTGGTTGATGGTTGTGTTGTCAGGGTGCTGTAATTGTTGATGGTTGTGGTGTCAGGGTGCTGTAGTGGTTTATGGTTGTGTTGTCATGGTGCTGTAATGGTTGATGGTTGTGTTGTCAGGGTGCTGTAATGGTTGATGTTTGTGTTATCAGGGTGCTGTAGTGGTTGATGTTTGTGTTGTCAGGGTGCTGTATAGGTTTATGGTTGTGTTGTCAGGGTGCTGTTATGGTTGATGGTTGTGTTGTCAGGGTGGTGTAGTGGTTGATGGTTGTGTTGTCAGGGTGCTGTAATGGTTGATGTGTGTGTTGTCAGGGTGCTGTAATGGTTGATGGTTGTGGTGTCAGGGTGCTGTAGTGGTTGATGGTTGTGGTGTCAGGGTGCTGTAATGGATGATGTTTGTGTTGTCAGGGTGAAGCAGGCCATCGTGAAGAAAGAGGAGGTGGTGAACCAGCTGCGGCAGCAGTACCAGGCTGCCACCAAACGTGCAGACCACCTCGAGGGGCTCCTCAACCAACAGCGGAAACAGCTCCTGGGGAAGAAAGCTACATAGTACCCTCAAGGCATCAATGTCCTCATGCGTAGACATCACAGTATGGCTAGTTTTATCTCACCTTGACACCATCAAAGTGGGCACTTTTTATGGGTCTTTGTCTGTTGTCCATCCACCATTCTGTATTTAGCACTGGACTTGAAATAGTTTCTTCTCCTTATCAGCTAACATGTAAATATGCTTTTTGCATCATATGTTCTAAATGTTCAAGATTACATGAGGGATGTTTATCTCCTCAGTAACCATTGGAGATACTCCAGTCTTCAGGGGATGTTCATTAGATTCTTCCTGACAATGAAATAAGGTTTAAGATTTATTAATTCAAAACGAGTCATAGCATTTGTAAAAAATAAGGTGTGTAGAATAAGTTGAACATCAAATTATATCTACCACATGTTCACTGAACTTTAAGAACTTTAAGCGGAATTATAATCAGTGGCAAATAGTTAGAAATCTATCAAACAATGAATGGTCGGATGTCTAACTTTTTAAAGAGCATTATGTCATTCAAACTGGACCAATTGTCATGATATTTTTTATGTTCCTATAGACCAGGAAACCTTTTCAGATCATCTGAATAATCCTAGTACAATGCCAAACTTGATAAGTATTACATGGCTATTTTTACAGGATTTTTAAAAAACAAACCTACAGCTAAAATCGTATTGCTAAACTGGAACCTCATTACTCGACATCATGCTACTCACATTATCTCTGCGGAGGTTTTATGTCATTTAATAAAGGTGAGCTTCTGTACCTCTGGTACTCTGTGTATTTATCACTCACATCTAAGTGCTTCAGTTACATTGTTGTACTATTTATATGTTTGGTAGTAAGCGCCCATGAAGTCCTGATGTGTATGTTTTTGTTATTACTTATTACAAGCTTCAGAGCTTGTATGTAAATAGTATTTTATGTTTGAATGTTTTTTACTATTACAAAAGTATTTATTTAATACAAAACAAGAAATATATCTTTGATCATTTGTCACAGACTGTTTCAGTAGTACACCCCCACATTAAAGTCATAGCAAAAAAATATATTTGAAATATTATATCAGCAGTAACACACTTTATAACACTAAAGAAAAATAAGCCGTCCACCAATATTTTCATTGCCTAAGAATCCATTGTTTTGTACTGTTTCAGTGTAACAAAGTTACCATTCATATTGATTGATTTATGTGAGATACATCTTGTTAATGTTATGGTACTTGTGAAAGTTTTGAGTTACATATCAATTATTTGTGATTTTTTGTTAGTGCTGCTGTTGAATGAGATAAGGTGGTCAGTGTACAAACTGTCACAACCCTTGTGGTATGTCTTGAGTCCAATACTGTAATCATTATGCTTTTGTCGTGACTCTTGTAATGCCGTTAAGATATGGGGTAGAAGAGATCTTCAGCAACCCATGCTTGCCGTAAAGACGACTATGCTTGTCGTAAGAGATCACGGGATCAGGTGGTCAGACTCGCTGACTTGGTTGATGCATGTCATCGTATCCCAATTGCGTGGATCTATGCTCATGATGTCAATCCCTGGATTGATTGTCTGGTCCAGACTTGATTATTTACAGACCACCATCATATAGCTGGAATATTGCTGAGTGCAGTATTAAACAACAAACAAACAAATCATGTGTTGTCATGACACTAATGTTGTGTCCTGACGCTGGTAATGTCATATTAAACTCTGGAGTTGTGTCATGACCCGTGTTGCGACATCAGTCTACTGTTGTGCCATGCTGTATAAGTCTAGTATTGTGTCATGCCACATAAGTTTAGTGTTGTCATGCTGCATCAGTCTAGTATTGTGTCATGCTACATCAGTCTAGTGTTGTCATCAGTCTGCATTGTATTGTCATGCTGCATCATTGCATGACTACTGTGTGGTGAATGACTCAAAGTATGTCATGTCATGTCATGTCAGGATTTCCTGAGAGTCCAAGGATCTGAAACTACTGTGATATTTTACAATGACCTGCCATTGTCACCACTGATGTTTTCATATCATTTAGTGTTCAGTTGTGTGCATATGTAGATCTACAATTACTATTATCACATTTTGTTTTATTCTATATATCATATCCTGCCATATTTGAAGCGGAGTGCTAAGATTTTATGCCTGAGGACATATATTTTCCACACACTTGCAATGAAATACATGCATTATCATAGTATAGCAGTTGAAGCACTTTTTCAACAGTTTGCATTTTTTTTTATCCCTCTAGAACATGAATGCCTACTGATCAGGATTCATTTCAAGAAAGCTGACTTGAGGATTAATGTGTAATGATTTTTCTGCAAAAACATTGGATTGACATACCACATTGTGAGAAGATATTGATTTTAAAGGAAAGTATGTAATGCTTTAGAGGAATTGAAGTTGATTAATAGGATTCTGTATTTGATTTCCCATATGTAAAAATAACACATCTCTTACTTGGTATGAGTAACGTGTGCACTTGACACTTTCCCCTCAGCTGTGCACAATGCATTATTTATTCATGTTGGTAGATTACCTCGACAAAATGTTCACTATTGATGCACTTATTTAAGTTGAGATTATGCCAATGGCTGATTTATGAAAGTGTACATTTACTGCAGAAAGAGACTTCACACAGCCCGGGTCTTGACTGAAATAATGCAGACCCATGCACATGGCACTTTTTGTTAGTTGAACAAGTGGGTTGATAACTTTCTTGATTCTTAACATTGTCAGCAGAACACATAGTACATGTCATTTAGATGTAACTGCCAGCATGTTTATTACATCACAAGTAGCTGATGACAGTATAAGGGCTGTTTGACGTCTATCTGGCTGGTCAACTCTTCCTGCTAATGTTACTAGTCATAAGCCCTACTACACTGTGATTAGGGTTCTTTAATCTGACGGGGGAAATCGTTAGTAGCTCCTGTTATGGTGCCCTTCGTATGCATCCATTCAGACATACCAGTTTTTTCACTGTTCATTGACATGGAATGACCCATCCTCCCCCGTTATCCAATCTGTTTATCTTTACTGTCGATAAACATACCTACCTGTGCCTCTGTATTTCTGATCAGTCAGACCTAGCCATCTCTCTAGCAAAGAATTACCTGTCATGCAGTAACCTTGGTTACACACTTGCAATAATGTTTGTTACAGGTGTTCATATCTGTGAATACCAATACAATATAAAGTTGCATGTGCCCAGGTATTCATTAGCATAGGTGTTGGTAAAAGTTATTCTTATTCCGAACCATGACCTTCAGGTTGAGTTAGATAAATACTTGAGTATGTGCATTAACCTCAAGGTCAAGGTTAGTAAGCATTATTTGCTGCATTGTGAGGATGTATCAATTTTTCTGTTATGACATTTCTCTGTTATGACATTTCTCTGTCCTATTCCTTGGATATTGATTGTATGGGCTATACCAGTTAATGGAATATTGACTACTGTAAACCATAATGAACTACAAAATTCACAGAACAGATATATTTTCCCCCGGTGGTTCATCACTTTTCAAGGAAGTAACATTTCAGTATTGTCATCACCTGTCATGGCAGTAATGCATGACAGTCGATTGTTAATGATCAACTGAACTCCAGGATGCAGAAGCCATGTTTTCTGTGTCCCGAGGGTGGAGAAAAGACCATGCTTCTCTATCTCAGCTGGCTACCTAAGCTGTGTATGTCTTGTTCCTGTACATTCATATGTATTTGTGTTTCCATGCTCCACATGGTTAGAGTCTTTGTAACTATTTAATTAACATTTCTAAAATAGAAATAAAAAGCTTTAAAGTGGCTAGGGAGTCCTGTTCTTGTTCTTAAGGTATACGATTCATTTCATCTAAAGCAGTATTAAGTTGAAGTGCACAACAGAGATGAAAGTCAGATCCTCCTTGATGGGTCTTTGCTGTTAAAACAAATAGTTAAGGTGAAATTGGTTTTAATGTCATGTTCAACATTATGCATGTGTGTGTGGTCGTGCGCTTATACTATTCCGGACTAGTGCTAACCCACTGAGATACCATGCTTCAGTTTAACATTGATACCCCACTCAGACACAGTGTACAGACTCTGACTCAGCCAGTCATTGTTTTAACCCCTAAATGCCGAGCGCCAGGCAGGGTAACAAGTAGTACCGTCTTTTGGTATGATGTGGCTGGGGAACAAACCCCCAACCTTCTGCTCTACAGGCAGATGCTAGACCATGGAGGAGGACGTGTACATATTGAAATCAAACTAAGTAAACAGTTTGTACACTTGACTTTATTTACAAATGCTTCACAGGATTTCTGGTACACGGAGATACATAACAAGACAAGCACTACAGAGAACATGGAGCTACTGAAAGTGAGGAAATGACAAATAAAGCATGACTTCAGCCGACCTTGGTCAACCATTCATACAATACATTGTGACGTGATGAATATTTTTAACAAGTATAGCTGCATGATTTTGATACCATTACCTTGAACAAAACTGTTTGATGGAAAAACTTTAACAAACTCTCTTACATTGCATTGTTTAACAGTGAACATGCTCATCAATATTAGGTACCTGTATATTAATTTAATCTGCTGTGCACTGTGCACCTTTAAGGCAGCTGGGAGACTATGCCATCATCACCAGTGGCTGGAGCTGGCAACGAGTGTATGGATAGGTGGCCACTCTCACCATTGCCTGGATGAGCTAATGTCTTGCCCAACTGAGGCGTTTCTTCCTAAATATCGGTTTATAGTTTCCCCTGACCCACAATTTCACAAATGTAAAAAAAAACTTACTAAAATTATAGAAGTTTTTAAAGTTATTTTAGCATTGAATAAACTTCAAAAAGACCAATACCACAGTGCAGCAATAACAACAGAACCAACGTCTACGTGCCTGAAACCATTTGAAAGCACTGTTGACGTAAGCAATGTTAAATGCAATCGATACTTATTCAGTAACAATGATTTCCATGCTTCAAGCCAAGCTGCCTAAAAACACGTTTCAAATGAATGACAACTGCTAGCATCCATTATATGTATTTGATATTGATAGTGAATACTAAGTGGTGCCACACAGATGATCAGCAAAATAACACTATTCATGATCAACAAAACACAACACAGCACACCTCGACAACAGTACTCAACATTGTTTGCACATACCCCGCTATCACAACAAAAACCTCCAATAATGTAAAGATACATGAAATGACACCCTATCCCAGTCATCTGATGGACCAAGTATTCCCTCATAGTGGCAAGAACATGCCTGTTGACTTTCCCAGCAAACTACACAAACTGTATTCTAATCGACATACCTGTTACTTATCCCAATAAACCACTAACAGTTGCTTTGAGGTCAGTGGGCATTAGTAAGCTTGTGACCTTTTCCACTCAAACTCCAAACGTTTAGGTCAACTGACGTTGATGTGTCTGTCGATATCCCACTAAATCCACTTATTCTGAGGTGAAGATCATATGTCTTACCTACCCAATCTAATAACAAAATTCATGGAGACGTGTCCTTTGACGTAATTTATACCCGTTTCAAATGCTACAAAAGTAGAAGAAAAGCCATTTTTGAAACCATGCTGACAGGATGTGTACAATTATTGCAAGTTAAAAGGATTTTTCTCTTGATCTGAACACATATTTCAATTCAATATTGGAGAAAATAACTGCATCATCTTTACAAAATTTATGGGTTAAAGAAACTTTATTGCAAAACAAAACTCATAAACCTGATCATAAGCATTTCTCGCTATGTCTGTCAACCTTCAACTATGAACTTTTAACCTGTTGGCATTTAACTTTGGCATTGGTTGCTTTCAATCTTCAACCATCAACTTCTTAGTGTATCGGTTGATTAATAACTTCAGCCAACTACCTCTGTACTGGTTGACTACGAGGGCTGGTCAAAAAGTTTTAAGCCTAACAAACAAAATCAACATTTGTAAAAGTGCTTTTAATTTTATATTTCAACATAATCTCCCTGCTTTTCAATACACTTCTCTGCTTTTCAATTCCAGTCAAATAAAAGTTTTCTGAAGACACCCTGCAAAACCCATTCATGGCAGCTGTGAAGTCATCGTTGTCAGCATAGCAGTTTCCACGAAGGTGTTCTTTCAGTTTAGGTAACGAGGAAATCACTCGCTGCCAGGTCTGGCGAGTATGGAGGGTGAGTAAGCTCTTCAATTTCGAGTTGTCGCACAGCAGCCTTTGCAAGTCAAAGAGGTATGAGCGGAGGCATTGTCATGATGAAGTAGAGCTCCAGCAGTCAACAGACCAAATACACTTGCAATGAACAACTCAAACAATGTACTACACTGACTTGTTCACTTTGCTATGTCTCATAGTTGAAAGTTAGTCAGGCTTAGAACTTTTCTGACCAGTCCTCGTATAAGTACTTTCTGACTTTATAGCTGCACAGTTCACAGAACCCCACCATTCTTGTCACATATTCCGCATCTCACTCACAACAAGGAATATATACAACATACTTTTACATGTATATATAGATTTATGTGACAATGAATTCATGATGGGATGCAACATTTATTTGAAATGGATGCTTACAATGAACGCGTTTGAGACTCCGTTAGATGAAGCATCATGGGAAAACAGTGAAACCTGTCTAAATCCTGTTAAAACCTATTAAATCCAGTTAAACCCAGACAGAACTGTTCCCAGTGAAATGTGTGTATTAACAAACTGAGTCATGTCACTATAACTACTCCGTAGTCTATGGAGAAATAGGTGTGTTCATGACACATTACTTATGTCCATACGAGCATACAGGTCCCAAAGGCTATTTCTACTAGCTTGAGGAATGATGTATCATACCGCAAGAACCTTCTCTCTATGGTCAAATGATTCACTTACTGCAAGAATATAGTTTACTGGTTTTCAAATGATAGTTTCTATTATATTAAATCATATATTATTCTCATATCATGACATGTGCATCCCATTCTGAAGTGTCTGTGATGAAGAGGTCTGAGGAAATATACAGCGCAATCTTTATATACAGAATATATGTCAAAGAATCAATAAAATGGAATGGTAATTTAGAATCAACAACATGACAAACAAACTGTAGAGATCAGATGTTAAAGAGCTTGCTGTTAGAAAGAACCTGTCAAACTTCATTAGCCAGGATAGTAGATACATATACCCAATAACAACATTCATATATTAAACATATACACAGTTTGATATTATAACAGACTGTCCTGTGCACCCACCTGACACTGCCCTCCGTCGGACACATGAGCTTAAATACTGTTCCTTAGTAGTAGATTCATCATTCAGCAAGCTGGCTTTTACGCCGCTTTTAGCAATATACGAAAAAAAGGTTCACACATTGTACATTGTGTGGAATCAAACCAGGGCTTTGGCATGATGAGTCAACGCTGTAACCTCTAGGCTACCCTACTTATCAGTGTAGTAGTTAAGTCATCAGGGATGTGGAAACTTCCATTATCTAATTTACAATAAACACAGTCATCATATATATTTGTCCAGATCTAGGCCTCCAGTCCAACTTGAGATACATGCAATTATAGTGGATTTCAGGTCAAAACACAACCAAAATGTCAAATTGTGCTTGTCCATCAGTCTAAAGCATTGTTTGGGACAAGTCAGAGCTTTCCTCACCCTGGATACTAAGGTCGATAGAGTGATGTTGTAACATATTAGTGACAGTCATGGATGTACTTTGATGAAGCGGAATGCCTATGAAGATGTAGCTTACAATGACACAATATACTCAGCTGATGATAATGTCCAGTATGTCAGTTGTCTGATGCAGTGAAACCTCATTCACTCCAAGTCCTCATGACCATTGAAAATATATCTGTATTTCATTCTAGTCTGTTAGGCCATAGTGCCATAAAGATTCCACTGGGAGTATTTTAATCAAGTTAAGTGAGTTTTAAGTTTGAGAGGTTTCACTGATTATTATTCATCACAGAGACAGAGAGTTGTGTTCCATGTATCTGATACTCCCATACTCAGATTTATATGTAACTTGACAGTCACCATCACTCGTGGAAGAAGGGTGTCGAGATATATTTGTTCAGATCTGTGTACCACACATATACGTATTGTACCCCATTGAAAAGATCCACATTTTCATGTGCTCATACTTCCTGCCCTCCTGATCCCCCTCACACAAGACACACACTTCCTCGTCTTGTCATCCCCTCACACAAGACACACACTTCCTCGTCTTGTCATGCCCTCACACAAGACACACACTTCCTCATCTTGTCATGCCCTCACACAAGACACACACTTCCTCGTCTTGTCATCCCCTCACACGCGCTGGATCTCGAACAGCTTGACATTCGTGTCGTACCATACTGGGGGGTCAACATTTCTGAAACAATAAACATACATGACATCAACTTGTCCTCTGGCCAGTCGGTCATACAGGTCATTCTGATTGGCAAGTAGTTAAGTAGACTTTAGAATGCTATCATTTATGTCACAAATAAATAGGTAAAAGTACTGAAAGAAATTCATATATGACTTTTGTCATATCTTAGAGGGGAGGGAAAATCAGTGGAGTCATAAATAAACAAAACGTTGAGTCATGAAAAACTGAACAGGTATTTTACCATTACAATATTTGTGTAAACTATTTGGCATCTTGAATGATGGACTGGACAAGTATTTGGGAGGAATGACAAGTATCAAACTCTTCCTCAGACACTGTCTTCATCCAATAATCAGAATTTGTTAAACTTCAATTTTTCCACAAAAAAATCTTCCTTGACTAAAATAATTTTACACTAAAACACATGAAAATGAAAAGCACATCCATATTATTCTGACATGCACTACTGGCAGATTGAAATCTTGTTTCCCAACATGTCTGCAGGTGAGCTATGTTGTGATGAGATTGCAGCTGAGGGTGCACTGACCTGAGATAGATGACTCCCCAGAGGTATGTCCGGAACCACATGGTGGTGCCACTGTTGGCCTGGTACTTGCGGATGAGGATGGGGTGGGGCACTGGGAGGAGACCCACTAGTGTGCCATGTTGCAGGAACTTGAGGATTTCACTCTCGTCGGTCAGACCCCTGTCAAACACACAACATATTCCGTGACACCTGATGCATATTCCCTCTCCTTGACATGTGTTCTGTATCAACTATTCCAAAGGGATGACCATTCACTACTCCACTCACTGCATCTGAAACCCCCCAGAGTTCCACTCACTCAGTGTATCTGAAACCCCCCAGTGTTCCACTCACATTGTATCTGAAACCCCCCAGTGTTCCACTCACATTGTATCTGAAACCCCCCAGTGTTCCACTCACATTGTATCTGAAACCCCCCCAGTGTTCCACTCACATTGTATCTGAAACCACCCAGTGTTCCACTCACATTGTATCTGAAACCACCCAGTGTTCCACTCACATTGTATCTGAAACCACCAAGTGCTCCACTCACTCACTCATTCACTTTATCTGAAACCCCCCAGTGTTCCACTCACTCACTCACTCATTCACTTTATCTGAAACCCCCCAGTGTTCCACTCACTCACTCACTGTGTCTGAAACCCCCTAGTTTTCCACTCACTCACATTGTATCTGAAACCCCCCAGTGTTCCACTCACTCACTCATTCACTTTATCTGAAACCCCCCAGTGTTCCACTCACTCACCCACTGTGTCTGAAACCCCCTAGTTTTCCACTCACTCACATTGTATCTGAAACCACCCAGTGCTGTCTGAAACCCCCTAGTTTTCCACTCACTCACTGTATATGAAACCCCCGAGTGTTCCACTCACTCACTCACTGTGTCTGAAACCCCCTAGTTTTCCACTCACTCACTGTATATGAAACCACCCAGTGTTCCACTCACTCACTCACTGTGTCTGAAACCCCCTAATTTTCCACTCACTCACTGTATATGAAACCCCCCAGTGTTCCACTCACTCACTCACTCACTGTGTCTGAAACCCCCCAGTGTTCCACTCACTCACTCACTGTGTCTGAAACCCCCTAGTTTTCCACTCACTCACTGTATATGAAACCCCCCAGTGTTCCACTCACTCACTCACTGTGTCTGAAACCCCCCAGTGTTCCACTCACTCACTCACTGTGTCTGAAACCCCCAGTGTTCCACTCACTCACTCACTGTGTCTGAAACCCCCCTTGTTTTCCACTCACTCACTGTATATGAAACCCCCCAGTGTTCCATACACTCACACACTGTGTCTGAAACCCCCTAGTTTTCCACTCACTCACTGTATATGAAACCCCCCAGTGTTCCACTCACTCACTCACTGTGTCTGAAACCCCCTAGTTTTCCAATCACTGTATATGAAACCCCCCCAGTGTTCCACTCTCACTCACTCACTCACTCACTGTGTCTGAAACCCCCTAGTTTTCCACTCACTCACTCACTCATTGTGTCTGAAACCCCCTAGTTTTCCACTCACTGTGTCTGAAACCCCCTAGTTTTCCACTCACTCACTGTATATGAAACCCCCCCAGTGTTCCACTCACTCACTGTATCTGACACTCCCCAGTGTTCCACTCACTTGTCTATACAGATCTTCTCCACCTGTGGTACAAGCACCTGCAACATCCTCATGATGGTCTGCAGTGGCAGCTTCTGTTTCCAGGACTGGACCTGAAAGTTACAGCATCACTGTAGTTGTACAGTTTTACCTGGCGCCGTGGGTAAACTAAGGTTCACACAGGGCCCACATGACTCCTGAAATCATCTAGACATGATGACCCTTGAAGATCCGGGGTAGAATAGGTCTTCAGCAACCCATTCCTGCCGTAAAAGGCAACTATGCTTGTCGCAAGAGGCGACTAACGGGATTGGGTGGTCAGGCTCGCTGACTTGGTTGATGCATGTCATCGTATTCCAATTTCATGCTCATGATGTCAATCACTGGATTGTCTGGTCCAGACTCGAGTATATACAGACTGCCGTCATATATCAGGAATATTGCTGAGTGCGGCGTTAAACAACAAAGAAAAAAAGAAACAAAGAACCTCAAACTCTCATCATCCCTAGAGTTAATGACACATGATTCATATCCCAGAAAGGGACAGAACATAAAATCACTGTCACAGATATATTAACACTAAAGGCAGGAAATGGAGAATCAAGTAGACAGTCCATGCTATTTGCGCTGATGCTCCAACTGCTTCATGGCAGTTCACTCACCCAGTCTGGTGTGGCAACCCATGCTCCCGGCCCGGCCGTGGACCCTGCTCTCATCATGGGAGCCCGTGTGGGAATCTCGGCAGTCATGGGAGGCGTCATGTTGGAAGGGCTGGCTGGTGGAGTGGGCTGTATTGAACAGAGAAAGGGTTCTGTAGTTCATCTGGATCAGTCAGCGGGATAATTATTTTACAAGGATTACAATGGAATCCAGGCTTTTAGGCAACCAAGACACAGAATCATCTTGGCACAACCAAACTAGATTTAACTCTGGATAAAAAAGGTACAATGGATCTTCATTTGTTAAAGAATCAATAATAACATTAACAATTGACAGACCTAGTGCAACCTCAACCAACAGTCAGACCTACCATAACCTTGGCTAACTGACAGAACTTCCATAACCTTTACCAACAGTCAGAGCTGGCGTAACCTTGGCTAATTGACAGAGCTGATAAGTTTTTTTTTCTCTAAACTAAAAGATATCGACCTATCAAGCACCCTAATCATACAGATATAATATTTGACACAAGTTACTAAGTACATTGCTAGACCTACACTGAAAATATGCATGGGACTTAGCACAGTCCCCTTTAACTGACTGAGATTACAGCTGTATTTGTTGAAGCAGATTCCTGCTGTATCCTAGAATCACAACCAACGATAACAGTATACATTCGTGCTGCACATACCAGACTCTTGGCCTTCTGCAGTTTGGGCTTGTCACTCTCTGCATCTTCTGTGGCAGAAGCCTCCTCGCCTGGTGCTGAGGTGGGGTCCCCGATCTCGCTGGGAGGCTGCACGTTGTGAGTCCCACTGGACTCGGCCAGCTCCTTCAGTGTTGGAGCCTTGTGTCCCTCGTCTGGAGCAGCCCTCTCAGTCATCTTGTCAAGACCTAGTAGAAACAGGTCACAAGGCATCAACATTTGTGTGATCATAACAAGTGAATACTAGAGAGAAGTAAATCAAATACCTTATTTTCAAAGGTCCCATGCAATGTTTCAACATCCCTCACTTTACCAAGAAAACAAGACAAACATAACTTGACCAAATGTCACCTCTGCATATTGTTAATTTCACAAAGAAACTAAATTAGTATGATGTGAGAAAGATCGTTCCCTAGAAGTCATCAAACTAAAGAAACACATATTTGCCCCATCAGTGTGAGTATGGACAGTTTTAGCAATACTCCAGCAATAGGGGGGGGGGGGGGGGGGGGGGCGGCACCAGGAATTGGCTGAACACATCGTACTCATGTGGCAGATATATATCAGGCTACCACACTCCTCACCCATGCACAGAATGGAGGCATATCAAGAATACTTACGAGGTAAAGCAGCGAGGCTGGCCTTGAGTGTACCAGGTTCTGCTTCGGATGCAGGGATGGCTCCCTCCATCGTCTGTGGGTCTCTCGTGTCTTGAGGCGGAGCGGAGAACTTCTTCCCTCGCTTGGTAAGAGCTTTGGCAATAGCTGAATGGTCTGTTGGCAGGTTTGCCATTTGATGGAACACATTTCTTTTGCGGATAATTGTGTACACCAAGTTGGAGTTGCCTGGTAAGAGAATCAGTGATAGTCAGGGTCATTCTCAACACAGATACTGATCTCCCATATATGGCACTGGATCGGCAAACTTGTGCTTAATTTCAAAGGCTAGTTACTTGTTAACCAGAAACGTTGATGTTGTGATGAAAGTGTATAGCTGATGACAAAGTAAATGTTAAATGTCCACTTAGCTAAATACCTACTACTCCTAATGTTAACTTTTGATGATGTCAAACATCGTAAAGTGTGTCATGTTGGAATTGAGAAGTACTATCATAAAACCAAATGTCAAATTTTTGGTCTTGTTTTAGCTCAGAGAAACATGTTTAGGTGACTGTTTACCATCAAACTGATACTGTATGATGTTGTTGAAGACCTCGAGGAGGAAGAACACAAGATGGTGGTTGGTGGGACTGGCGTACAAAAACCATGGAGTACTGAAAGCCTGCAACAAAGAGGGACATGAGTGAGTGAGTGAGTGAGTGAGTGAGTGAGTGAGTGAGTGAGTGAGTGAGTGAGTGAGTGAGTGAGTGAGTGAGTGAATGAATGAATGAGTGAGTGAGTGAGTGAGTGATCTGTGACCCCTGGGCAAACTTTCCCCCTTACAATTTTAGTCAGAGATTACAACCATGAGACCAGTGCCGTTCTTACCTCTAGTAAATGCAGCATCTTGGTACTAGCAACCATAGACAGAGTCTTCAGGTAGGGAGACACTGGCAACACAGACAATACTTTGTCAATACAAACACACAGACATCCAGATGTTACATTACAACCCTGAGCAGATTATCTGCTGAATTAGTATCATATAATATCAAATTGGATTTCAACATTTTAATTTTGTAGATTTAAAGGAAAATGAGTACATGTATATTGTATTGACTATCTCAAAAACACAAGAGCAAGAGAGGAGGTGAGGTGAAATGAGGTTTAAGGTTATCATAGATAATTGCACTAGCATACCAGTCCGGATTAATGCCAATTTAACCGTGCTAGGCTACAGAGATACTATGTTGCAGTTTAACTTGAATACCCCACTCAGACACAGTATGCAGACTCCGAGCTGACCAGTCCTCGTTTTAGCCTCTCAATGCCGAGCACCAAACATGGAAACAATAAGTACCATCTTTTGGCATGACGCGGCCAGGGATCAAACCCCTGACCTTCCACTCTACCACTAGACCATGGAGGCGGTCTAGCAAGAGTGATGAGTTAGTTAGTATGGCAATATTCCAGCAATATCACGGCAGGGGACACCAGAAATGGTCTAGCAAGAGAAGAAGGGCCTGCATCTCTGACAATGACGCAACTATCACTCAAACACATTCACTGATGAAACTGGTAGTAGGATTGAGTGAATGTTAATGCCACAGTCAGCAATATTACAGCTATATCACAGCAGCCTGAAAATAATCAAGTCTTGATAAGACAAACTAGTGGTTGATAACATGAGCAACAATCCATTTAGTCAAGATACGAGGTCACACATTGTAACCCTTCAACTCTCATTAGTCAACCGCTTATGACAAGCACGAGGTGATTGGCACTCGCTGTTCTGATGGGAGAGGAGCCGATGGACAGGCTACCGACTGGGACATTACCATTGACAATGATAGTGAGGAGACAGTCAAACAGGGGCTGCAGTCTCTGATGCCCTGTAGTGATGATCTTGTGGAAAACCTGCATAAAATAAACAGGGGATAATAACAATAGCTGTTAGATTACGTTTGTGAGGAGTCAGTGGGGCCTTCATCATCGGCCATAATCAGTATTCCAATCATCTTACCATGGTTACTATTTTGGGTGTTTATAACATCGCATGTCGAAGTAGGTCAATTTATGATGTGAAATCTGAAGATATTACAGTCAAGATGGCTTCCATGTTATAACAAAATCCCAACTCACAATGACGAGGAAGTCAGCATGAGTGCCGGTGAAGACTGGAATATCCATGGGCACTCTCACAGTGTAGGGCTTATTGAGACGCACACCGAAGTTCCTCTCTCCACTCAACAACAGCAGGATGAACACGCCGATGTGCATCAGGCCAACACGAGCTGCACAGGAAGATGCATCATTCACTTAGCAATAAAAGTACATTTGTATCTAAAACATTAGGAGCTTCGGTTGCCCTGTAGTCAGAAAGCGGTTTCCTAACTTTGTTAAAACAATGTAAAAAGTTATTATGTGCTTTTCTGATTGTGACTGAATTTAATGGATCAATTACTAGCAATAACTTTCTTATGATTTTCATTAAATAACATTTTTTGTTCAAAAGATCATCATTTACATGGACAAACAAAACCTGCAAAATAGGGAAAAACAACAGATCTGGCCTTAAAGCTGACAAATGTATTTTGCTGTGCCATGTTTGCACTCTCTTGATGTGTGAGTGAGTGATTCTTACATTGTTTGTTTGTTTGTTGTTTAATGCCGCACTCAGCAATTTTCCAGCTATCTGGACCAGACAATCCAGTGATTGACATTATTAGCATCGATCAACGCAAATGGGATATGATGACATGCATCAACCAAGTCAGCGAGCCTGACCACCCAATCCCGTTAGTCGCCTCTTACAACAAGCATGGGTTGCTGAAGAGCTATTCTACCCCTGATCACGGAGTCGATTCTTACATTGATCTGCCCTGGCATCATTGAGGAAGTAGAGGATAGGTACAAGGATGTCCAACACATCACTGCTCTTCAACACATAGAACATGAACTTCTGCAATAAATCACACCAACATCTTAATTAGACACTGGAACCATCCCAACATTCAGGACTTTAGTTAGTATATTAAAATGCAGTCAGATGTTCTCATTATTGGGGCAGCCTGCAATATATTGTTGTTATTAGAACTGTTTTATCACTAGGATGACATTGTGGACATTGGGGCAGCCTGCAATGTATAAGTCTGGAACATGCACTGGATGAGAGTGATTGCAATATATTGTTGTTATTAGAACTGTCTTATCACTAGGATGACATTGTGGACATTGGGTCAGCCTGCAATGTATAAGTCTGGAACATGCACTGGATGAGAGTGATTGCAATATAGTGTTGTTATTAGAACTGTTTTATCACTAAGATGACATTGTGGACATTGGGGCAGCCTGCAATGTATAAGTCTGGAACATGCACTGGATGAGAGTGACGTTGTGGAATGGTGTCAAGTTCATGGCTGAGAAATAATCTACACCTGTACCGGTAGTCATGCAGCCATACAATGCTGTCTACAGTAAACAGGCAGGTAAAGAAACAGTGTGTGAGGAAGATGAGTCAAATGCTGCTTTGAACAGTATTTAGAAACATTATGGCGTGTCAGCTTAATGTTGTTACATGACAGTGTATTTTATTGTTTAACAATGATTGTAACTGTGTTACATTGTTTCTGTTGAGATTCGGTCGACGCTTGTTGCATTGTGTTTGGACAGTGATTAGTTATCAGGAATGTAGTGCTATTTAATTTTAGGCAGTTGTCAGGAAGTTGCTATATTTAGATGCTAGTGTGCTGTTTAAACTTCCTGTCAGTATATCGCTGACGGTGATAGTGTGTTATGGAAACATATGGAATGTTCTAGTACCGTTAGACTGGTGAGGGCACTGTGTAGAAGTTTCCAGCAGCTAGTTAGACTGTATCGAAAGTGGGACAAGAGCATGTTTACACATCTCTCACACAATTCATCACATCAAGACCAGTTTTCGTGTGAGGATCACTCATCATTCCTGATTCCCTGCTTAGCCCATCTAGGAAGCTTGACCAACGTTGCCACGGGGTGTATATACTATTTTCACTTACTCATGTTATCACCATTGCATTTCTGTATTTGACACTGACCCCTGCCATCTTATTATATACTGTCATTGTATATTGTACAACTCTGTTTTGTACTGCCATAATTGTTGTGCTGTAATTAGTGTTGATTTGTAAATCTAGTTAATTTTGTAATACAACTGTTAATTGTATACCATTTGTTGGATGGTTGTTGGTTTCACACGAAGTTCTTTTACGTACAGGTTTCTGGGTTAACATATTGTTTCAATTTGGGAATTGACAAGTAACAATGCCAAAGTAAAGCCCAAAGTCACATTATACATCTTCTGCTTTGGTGAAAGCCATGAATACATGACAGATGAGGGATTATTATCAGGGCAAAGGGATTTGCACTACAATTAGCAGATCCTGGCATGGCTAAGGGATGCAACTCAGTACAGCTAGTTGTGGTGTGGAGAAAGTGTGTTAGAGAATATCCGGTAGAAGTGTGGAGTTCTACCTTGTTGATGTCACACATCTTCCAGAACAACACCAGCAGCTCCTGGTGGAACTGTATCTTCTTGGAGGATCCAGGGAGGTACGTCTGCTGCAGTGGGTTGTTCAACAGACGGGTGATGCCGCGCAGAATGAAGGAGAAGTCCTGAAGGAAGACACAGAGGAAGTAAGCAAAAATGTTTGAGACTGTATTAATCATTTCGCATTCTGCTTCATGACAGCAGATACTGGATCATGACGACAGCACTGAGATACTGGATCATGACAACAGCACTGAGATACTGGATCATGACAACAGCACTGAGATACTGGATCATGACATCATCACTGAGATACTGGATCATGACAACAGCACTGAGAAATTGGACCATGATGACAGCACTGAGATACTGGATCATGACGACAGCACTGAGATACTGGATCATGACAACAGTACTGAGAAACTGGATCATGACGACAGCACTGAGATACTGGATCATGACGACAGCACTGAGAAACTGGATCATGACAACAGCACTGAGATACTGGATCATGACGACAGCACTGAGATACTGGATCATGACGACAGCACTGAGATACTGGACCATGAAGTCATCACTGAGATACTGGATCATGACGACAGCACTGAGATACTGGATCATGACGACAGCACTGAGATACTGGATCATGACGACAGCACTGAGATACTGGATCATGACAACAGCACTGAGATACTGGATCATGACGACAGCACTGAGATACTGCATCATGACGACAGCACTGAGATAATGGATCATGACGACAGCACTGAGATACTGGATCATGACGACAGCACTGAGATACTGGATCATGACGACAGCACTGAGATACTGGATCATGACGACAGCACTGAGATACTGGATCATGACAACAGCACTGAGATACTGCATCATGACGACAGCACTGATATACTGGATCATGACGACAGCACTGAGATACTGGATCATGACAACAGCACTGAGATACTGAATCATGACGACAGCACTGAGATACTGGATCATGACGACCGCACTGAGATACTGGACCATGAAGACAGCACTGAGATACTGGATCATGTACAGGAGATTACTTTGTTAACACACTGTTTACAATAATATTGTTCCAAACTATGTACAATTAATGCTGTTTCGTGCTACAGGGTGAGACACATGCTGGACTGTTGACACGACTCACCTCTTCTCTGTGTATTCTGGATAGGTAGTTAACAAACAAGTTGTCAGGGCCTCCAGCCTGTAAAGTGAATACAAACATTACTAATGTTACAGCCGTATCGCATGTCTTCCTACCTTCACTTTTAGTGACACTACAGCCAATGACCATCAGTCAAAGAACAGCCAATCACTTTCCTTGATTCTACAGCCAATCACATTCCTTGATTCTACAGCCAATCACTTTCCTTTATTCTAAAGCCATTCTGTGACATAAACTTGCACAGCCATCAATTTCAGGTCACAATTGGCATCACCAATGGCTTTCTGTGACATAACTACCAAATGCCACAGCCAATCCCTTTCTTTGACACAAATGCCACAGCCAATCATTTTCTTTGACACAACTACAACAGCCAATCACTTTCTGTGACACAACTACAACAGCCAATCACTTTCTGTGACAAAACTGCCACAGCCAATCAAACAAAATCCACAGCAAGGCCAAAGGAGTCTTTCAAAACTTTACATATCCTAGTTACAGCGGACATTCAAGTCATGACCTAGAGGAAGTCTTACATCACTGGACTGCTCCATGGCTGTTCCACCACTCGTTCCATCGACAGAGACGTTCTGGTTGCTGCCAGCCTCGTTTTCCAAGGTAACACAGAGGACCTGCAGGGCTATCTCCACCAGTCCCTCGCGGTGGTCAGCGAACATCAGGTGGTTGTAGGGCACCCCATAACCCACTGGGTCATAGGCTGCCACCATGTTGAGCAGGGACGTAAACAGAGGCAGGGCATGTCTGGAACAACAAGACGCATGTAGCAAATAGGATTACAGCATGTCGCCTTCCACCTATTTCATCTCCACTTCTGATAAAGTATAGGTGAGGTGAGGTGAGGTGAGGTGAGGTGAGGTGAGGTGAGGTGAGGTGAGGTGAGGAGAGGAGAGGAGAGGAGAGGAGAGGAGAGGAGAGGAGAGGAGAGGAGAGGAGAGGAGAGGCGAGGCGAGGCGAGGTGAGGTGAAATGGGGTTTAATGTCACGTCCAAGATTATAGCACTGATATAGCGACGTGCATGCCAGATGTGTGTGTATGGGTGTGTGTGTATGGGTGTGTGTGTTTGTGTGGCTGCTTGTACTAGTCCAGACTGATGTCTATTAAAGTGCTAGCACACTGAGATACCATGCCGCATTTTAACATGATGAATACCCCACTCAGTATACTGACTCTGAGCCGACCAGTCCTTGTTTTAGCCCCTTAATGCTGAGCACCTGACAGGGTAACAACAAGTACCATCTTTTTGGCATGACGCGGCCGGGGATCGAACCCTGGACCTTCCACTTCGTGCGGATGCTCTACCACTAGATTCCACATATAACCCATACCAAATAACAACATCTCCATCTTGAGGTTAGAATAGGTCCCCAATAACCATTGTACTCTGATGGCATGTGACATTGCTCATTATATCAATCACTGGTTTGTCTGGCTCAGACTGGATTATTTGTAGGCTGCCATCACATAGCTGGAATACTGCGGTTCCATCTACACTTTGAAAACTATTTTATAAAACTGTTGTACAAGGTGAGAGATTCTCTGTACATTAAAGCTCACCAAATGTTATCATTAAAACAGAGATTTTCTGTCATTATTCAACAGTGAATCAGACACTGCTGATCTGTAATGTACCTGTTTTCTGTGGAGGTGAAAAAATGAATCCACTGATTTGGTTGACTGTGCGCATCAGCTGAAATGGAAGAAATCAGAGTTGTCAAAGTAATTTGTAACCAGCCTGAACTCTAACAGAGCAAGGTTAAGGAATGATTCAGTTGAATGACATCTTATCAAAATTGAATTCAATGGTTAATCACAGGAATAGTCTGATTTGTATACACATCAAATGAGCCAATACCAGTGACCTGTGCAGGTACATGGTCTCTGAGAAGCATGTCACTGTGATCGACCTATAGGGGGAAGGTATGGTCTCTGAGAAGTATGTCACTGTGACCTACCTATAGGGGGAAGGTACATGGTATTGGAGAAACATGTCACTGTGACCTATCTCTGGGGGGCAGGTACATGGTATTGGAGAAGCATGTCACTATGACCTATCTATGGGGGGCAGGCACATGGTATTGGAGAAGGTACATTGGGGCAGGTACATGGTATTGGAGAAACATGTCACTGTGACCTAACTATAGGGGGCAGGTACATTGTCTTGGAGAAGCATGTCACTGTGACCTACCTATAGGGGGAAGGTATGGTCTCTGAGAAGTATGTCACTGTTACCTACCTATGGGGGGCAGGTACATGGTATTGGAGAAACATGTCACTGTGACCTAACTGTAGGGGGAAGGTATGGTCTCTGAAAAGTATGTCACTGTGACCTACCTATAGGGGGAAGGTATGGTCTCTGAGAAGCATGTCAGTGTGACCTACCTATGGGGGGCAGGTACATGGTATTGGAGAAACATGTCACTGTGACCTAACTATAGGGGGCAGGTACATTGTCTTGGAGAAGCATGTCACTGTGACCTACCTATAGGGGGAAGGTATGGTCTCTGAGAAGTATGTCACTGTTACTTACCTATGGGGGGCAGGTACATGGTATTGGAGAAACATGTCACTGTGACCTAACTATAGGGGGAAGGTATGGTCTCTGAGAAGTATGTCACTGTGATCGACCTATAGGCGGGCAGGTACATGGTATTGGAGAAGCATGTCACTGTGATCGACCTATAGGCGGGCAGGTACATGGTCTCTGAGAAGCATGTCAGTGTGACCTACCTATGGGGGGCAGGTACATTGTCTTGGAGAAGCATGTCACTGTGACCTACCTATAGGGGGAAGGTATGGTCTCTGAGAAGTATGTCACTGTTACCTACCTATGGGGGGCAGGTACATGGTCTCTGAGAAGCATGTCAGTGTGACCTACCTATCGGGGGCAGGTACATGGTATTGGAGAAACATGTCACTGTGACCTAACTATAGGGGGCAGGTACATTGTCTTGGAGAAGCATGTCACTGTGACCTACCTATAGGGGGAAGGTATGGTCTCTGAGAAGTATGTCACTGTTACCTACCTATGGGGGGAAGGTACATGGTCTCTGAAAAGCATGTCAGTGTGACCTACCTATTGGGGGCAGGTACATTGTCTTGGAGAAGCATGTCACTGTGACCTACCTATAGGGGGAAGGTATGGTCTCTGAAAAGCATGTCAGTGTGACCTACCTATTGGGGGCAGGTACATTGTCTTGGAGAAGCATGTCACTGTGACCTACCTATAGGGGGAAGGTATGGTCTCTGAGAAGTATGTCACTGTTACCTACCTATGGGGGGAAGGTACATGGTCTCTGAGAAGCATGTCAGTGTGACCTACCTATTGGGGGCAGGTACATTGTCTTGGAGAAGCATGTCACTGTGACCTACCTATAGGGGGAAGGTATGGTCTCTGAGAAGTATGTCACTGTTACCTACCTATGGGGGGAAGGTACATGGTCTCTGAGAAGCATGTCAGTGTGACCTACCTATTGGGGGCAGGTACATGGTATTGGAGAAACATGTCACTGTGACCTAACTGTAGGGGGAAGGTATGGTCTCGGAAAAGTATGTCACTGTGACCTACCTATAGGGGGAAGGTATGGTCTCTGAGAAGCATGTCAGTGTGACCTACCTATGGGGGGCAGGTACATTGTCTTGGAGAAGCATGTCACTGTGACCTACCTATAGGGGGAAGTTATGGTCTCTGAGAAGTATGTCACTGTTACTTACCTATGGGGGGCAGGTACATGGTATTGGAGAAACATGTCACTGTGACCTAACTATAGGGGGAAGTTATGGTCTCTGAGAAGTATGTCACTGTGACCTACCTATGGGGGGCAGGTACATGGTATTGGAGAAACATGTCACTGTGATCGACCTATAGGCGGGCAGGTACATGGTCTCTGAGAAGCATGTCAGTGTGACCTACCTATTGGGGGCAGGTACATGGTATTGGAGAAACATGTCACTGTGACCTAACTGTAGGGGGAAGGTATGGTCTCGGAAAAGTATGTCACTGTGACCTACCTATAGGGGGAAGGTATGGTCTCTGAGAAGCATGTCAGTGTGACCTACCTATGGGGGGCAGGTACATTGTCTTGGAGAAGCATGTCACTGTGACCTACCTATAGGGGGAAGTTATGGTCTCTGAGAAGTATGTCACTGTTACTTACCTATGGGGGGCAGGTACATGGTATTGGAGAAACATGTCACTGTGACCTAACTATAGGGGGAAGTTATGGTCTCTGAGAAGTATGTCACTGTGACCTACCTATGGGGGGCAGGTACATGGTATTGGAGAAACATGTCACTGTGATCGACCTATAGGCGGGCAGGTACATGGTCTCTGAGAAGCATGTCAGTGTGACCTACCTATGGGGGGCAGGTACATGGTATTGGAGAAACATGTCACTGTGACCTAACTATAGGGGGCAGGTACATTGTCTTGGAGAAGCATGTCACTGTGACCTACCTATAGGGGGAAGGTATGGTCTCTGAGAAGTATGTCACTGTTACCTACCTATGGGGGGCAGGTACATGGTCTCTGAGAAGCATGTCAGTGTGACCTACCTATGGGGGGCAGGTACATGGTATTGGAGAAACATGTCACTGTGACCTAACTATAGGGGGCAGGTACATTGTCTTGGAGAAGCATGTCACTGTGACCTACCTATAGGGGGAAGGTATGGTCTCTGAGAAGCATGTCAGTGTGACCTACCTATGGGGGGCAGGTACATGGTATTGGAGAAACATGTCACTGTGACCTAACTATAGGGGGCAGGTACATTGTCTTGGAGAAGCATGTCACTGTGACCTACCTATAGGGGGAAGGTATGGTCTCTGAGAAGTATGTCACTGTTACCTACCTATGGGGGGAAGGTACATGGTCTCTGAGAAGCATGTCAGTGTGACCTACCTATGGGGGGCAGGTACATGGTAGTGGAGAAACATGTCACTATGACCTATCTATGGGGGGCAGGCACATGGTATTGGAGAAGGTACATTGGGGCAGGTACATGGTATTGGAGAAACATGTCACTGTGACCTACCTATGGGGGGCAGGTACATGATATTGGAGAAACATGTCACTGTGACCTAACTATAGGGGGCAGGTACATTGTCTTGGAGAAACATGTCACTGCGACCTAACTATAGGGGGAAGGTATGGTCTCTGAGAAGTATGTCAGTGTGACCTACCTATGGGGGGCAGGTACATGGTATTGGAGAAACATGTCACTGTGACCTAACTATAGAGGGCAGGTACATTGTCTTGGAGAAGCATGTCACTGTGACCTACCTATAGGGGGAAGTGATGGTCTCTGAGAAGCATGTCACTGTGACCTACCTATGGGGGGCAGGTACATGGTCTCAGAGAAGCATGTCAGCATAAGCTTGAGTATCTCTGTGCGGTTGATGTCATGGTTGTTGTTGTGTGCAGGTGAGTGGGCGTATCCCACTCCAGCTTCCCAGATGTACTCGCAGCTGTCGATAGACGCCATGTCTTCAGGATTGTCCTATGACAGATGCGTTGTCATGGTAACAGTTGGAAGAGTAGGATCATATCACTGCATATCAACATTCAATTCAGTATATGCCAAATACCAAGGAACAAATGTGATCAGATATTTTTACCATAATTGATAATAAAATACACAATCATGTTCATAGCTTCTGGGAATCCTCTGAAAATATTGGTACAGACAGATATCTTTTCATGTGTGACTGATGTTGATGCTACAGAAACTAGAACATGGTTTTCTCTCAGTATTTGGGTTGAAAAGCTTTGGATTCAGCCTTCAACATGTTCAAATCACAGCAGCAGTTGCTGTGAAGTGACAGCTGACAGGGTTCTATAATTCAGCAAGTGCGGGGTTACTTACTGGGCCTGACTTTCTGTTTGTTGACACGGAGAAGTCTGGACAGAACAGCAGATCCTGGGTAGAAACAAATATGGCCGTCAGTTAAACATGACAGAGGAATAGCGATCCCATTTGGCTCGATATAAAATATTGCGTCCTAAACCTGTATACTCCCAGGAAAACAACAATCTATGCAAATAATATCCACTGCGAGTCCCGTATGATATTGGTGTGACAAAACCTCTAAAAATGAAGCATGTATATAACATTTATCTGATTTTTATGTTCTTATATAATCAATGTTATGACAGTTGATGTTTAAATTTATTCAGTCTATCACTAAGTTTTGATATAAACACGGAAATCCCATCTATGACATGCATACAGTATCACACATGCTTTATATTCTATTTCTTGTTGGTACAGAGGTCGCCTGTGACCGTGTTTTAATGCTACAAACCCCTAAAATATACTACTGAGAATCACCATGGCTCGTATACACAACCCAAGGTAAGTCAATGGCTGGGACAGGAGAGGCCATGTAACCCTGTGAGTACCCGGGTCCTACTCAGTACCAACCTGACCCGAGTACATGAGTTCCCCATCCCAGCCCTTGTCTGTAGCTTGACTTCAACAAAACTAATCAATCACAAATTCATCATGCTTCTACAGTGGTTTGTATTATAGGAGGTCCTAGGGCCCTTGAAGTCTGCTGCCATACTATTTGGATGTCACGCAGGAAATTACTCACCGAGAGTGCATTCAACAGGGACTGAGCAAGCGGTGGACTCTCATTCTGAAACAAGACAACCAAACAAGCTTCAATATCCTACATTACATTAACTGATTTGATAAGCCATCAGATCTTGCTTTCAATAACTGTTTTCTCATTCAAACATATGTAAAATCAACTGAAAAATCAAATATTCTCATTAAGTGTGGGCATCTAGCTGGTATTATCCGTGATATGCATTCTTTTTATGCTGGTGAAGTGAGGTGAAATGGGGTTTAACTTCATGTTCAAGACTTTTGCACTTACTTAGCAATGTGCGTGACTGCTTGTACTAGTTCGGACTAATTTTTAGGCCGATTCTTTTAGTGCTATGCCACTAAGATACCATGAAACATTTTAACATAGATACCCCACTCTCCAGGCAAGGGCTTTATCAACTAGACCATGGAGGCAGTCAACTTTAAGTTTGTTTGTTTGTTTAGTTGCCTCTTACGACAAGCATAGTCGCCTTTTACGGCATGGGTTGCTGAAGACCTATTCTACCCTGGATCTTCATGGGTCGTCAACTTTAAGTGACTGAGTTGGGTTTAACATTATTTTGAACATCATTTCAGTCATCCCAAGGCATGTAAGCTTAAAGTGGGAGTACAGTGAATATAATAGCAAGGGAGGTTAACATGAGAATGGGCATGAAAATGATGCTGACAATTCAAAGATCAATCACAGGAAATCTGGGATTTGAACCCTGATGAACTCTATACAGTGCACTGCAGCACTGTAACAACCCGGTGACATGTGGTCCAACAAGACAGCGGCAATAAGATACATTTGAGTGTAAGCTACCTCGCCCTCCTCGCTGTGTCCGGGCAGCGTGGACCAGAAGAAGCCCCTCCAGTCAGGGTCCTCAAATATATACGGCAGGATCCTTGTCAGCAGGCGCACACAGTTCAACACTTCAAAATACAAGAGTCCAGTCAGTGCTCAAGCGTAACCTTTTCAACTGGATGTTGTTTCACAATTGTTCTACCATATACCACTATCCAGCCAATTGATAAAAGCTCAAACTTTTATGAAAACCATGGGGGATAATGCATTAATTTAACTGTAAGGCAGTGTTAGGCTTAATCATGCTAAAAGTCAGTACTACATCCTTTTAAGTCTAATACTGATAGCACAACCAAGCCTTTTGGTATCATTTTTGGTTAATTTTAGTAATAATTTGTCACTTGTATTATCATTGCTTACTAGACAAAGTAATCTTTACTTGACATGTGCTTAAACGAGTGCTCAAATTCGTAGACTGTCTTAGGCTGTTGACATCAGGCATATCTGTATATGCTGACTTGCAACTTCAAAGTATATTCTCTCAGGGATTCAATATAAGCTTGTATAGTCTCCCTGATTCTGTCAACCCCTTCTTATAACCAAATATGCAGATCACCCTCTTTCAAATACAAGCTTTGGCAGCATATTACATGCTACTCTATGGTGTGTGTGTGTATGTGTGTTTGGTACTTAACACCGCACTCTGCAATATTCCAGCTATATGACAGTGGTCTGTAAGTAATCAAGTCTGGACCAGACAATCCAGTGATTGATATCATGAGTATCAATCTACGCAATTGGGAAAAGATGACATGCATCAACCAAGTCTGACCACCCAATCCTGTTAGTCGCCTCTTACGACAAGCATGGGCTGCTGAAGACCAATTCTAACCAGGATCGTTACTCTATGGTAGTGGAATGGGACACCAGCGTTATATTTGATGGTCACCTGTCTGTTGTTCTCTTTGGGAGGGGCAACCACTCTCTGCAGCAGCCACCAGCTTCTCCACAGCCTTGTAGCATAATGTGGCTAGATTTGACGGTGACTCCTCCCTCAGCGCTCGTATCTCAGCAGCTGGTATCAGTGTGAACACATCCTGGACACATGTCACGCTGTCCGACCAGAACTGCTCCCAGAAGGCCTCATCATTGGCTTCTATTGGCTGAAATCAAGTGAGACCAAGGATAAGATATGACCTGTCAGAAATTTAAGTACTTGTATAAGTACTAAGATCATGATGTAATACAGTCGAACCTCGTTTTGTGGAAGTTGGATGTGTTAAATTCCCGGGTGTCTGAAACTCATTTGGGAATCCCAAGTATCCAAATTAAGCATAAACTTCCCCTGATGTTTCGAACCCCTATCAACTTGACCTTTTTTCCTCATCCATATGAGGTTTGACTGTATATATGAAACCTTTTTCTTGACACATCCCTGTTCGTGCAGCAATCAATTAACAATTAAATTGAAGTATTCAGATAAGCATATGATCTGGACTAAAACTTATTCATACATTTCCCTATTGTCAGCAATCCTCATCAATAATTAAGCATAATTAAAGCAGCAGCTGTTCAGTTACAGTTAGATAATATTATGGCAATTGGCACCAGTAATGCAGCATTCATAGTAATACAGGCTATTAAACATGCTATAAGTGCATTGTTCATGTTGCTCACTTGAGTTTTGATACTTTTTCAGACATTACAGATACTGATGTTGTTAGCAGCAATCATGGCAATCCTACCATGACAATCTCATACAAGAGGATCCATCAGGAAATGGTTGGTTGGTTGGTTGGTTGGTTGCATTCAGCAATATTCCAGCTATATGACGGCGGTCTGTAAATAATCGAGTCTGGACAAGACAATCCAGTGATTGACATCATGAGCATCGATCCATGCAAAAGGGATCGATGACATGCATCAACCAAGTCAGCAAGCCTGACCACTCGATCCCGTTAGTCGCCTCTTACGACAAGCATAGTTTGCTGAAGACTTATTCTATCCCGGATCTTCACGGGTCCCATCAGGAGATGAAATATTGAACGGTTTTGGAGTTCTGCTCTGAAAACGAGCACTACCCTCATTTTCAGTAATGTTCAACTTGTCGTCATGAGAACATAAAACAATTTAAAAAAACAAATCCCAAATTATCAAACAGCACCAGTTCACCACCAGATTGATCTGTATAGCAAGTTTTATCTAGAAATATTCCATGGTTTGACAGTTCTGTTCCAGTAATGAGCACTACCATCATTTTCAGGAGAAATCATTAATCCACCTTGTCATCATGTGAAAAAAATCCCCAAAAGGCACCAGTTCACCACAAGGCTGATCTGCATAGCAAGTTTCAAAAAGGATTACCGTATTCGACGTAATAAGCGCCCCGCTCTAATAAGCGCCCACTGCGATATTTGCTAATATATTGGCTTGTGAACAATCCCATTTAGCACCCCTTCCGATTGATCAATGTACACAAAACTTATTTATTCGCGTATAATACGTACTCGTGTGTTATATGCATTCTTAATTATGGGCAATTAAATTCTGGAAAAATATATCTGTCGCATATAAACATTTTAGTCTGTCAGCATAAACCACGAAATTTATCTTTCAACTCTGTTTTTCCACCAATATATATTCTAATAGGAGCCCCCTATTTCTAATTTTGAGAGCGCCCTGGGCGCTTATTACGTCGAATACGGTATTACCTGGTTGCAAATTGTAGCCATGTTAGTACCTGTCATTTATCAAGATTAAAACAGTCTACTCTATACCAGACCAAAAGCCATGTGGATGTGGAAATGTGTAATGTTTAGAAGTAAAATGTACTCTTTCAATCTTTTGTAGTCACTTTCTTCTTTTTTTGTAATATGATGTTCAATTATATAAATATGATGTTATTTAAGCACAATGAGGAATAAACTGAATAGAAAATCTTACGCCAAGATTCTTCAAATCGTTTATCATGTTTATATCAAACATAAACCATTTAGCTAGGTCTGTGATAGAGGTATCAAGCCCTAACATGAGAAGCCAAGTGTCTTTAAAGACCCACGACCGATGAGATTTGAGATTGACCACACAACCAAGTTGAACCAACATGTCTGGCTGATGGAACAGCATACCTTCCCTATGCTGTTAGTTTCCTATTCCACATGTCAAACGTATTTTCTGTGGTTGAAAGCTAGACTTTCTTGAGGGATACAGTAACTCCACGGTATTTTCTGCCTAGTTCTAAACATTGCAATTAGTTGCAGAAACAGACAGTATGCAAAGTAAAATGGAATTTGCTGGGTTACGCTGACACCATACCAACACCTGGTCCATGGGAATAAAGCCTGTAATTCATAGTTAGAAAGAACATCAAAGCAATTGAGAGGTGAAACACATATTAAAGTGAACATTGGCCGATTAATATGTGCATATTTAACTACGCTAGACGGATCACAATATCTCATTTACATATCATTGCCACATTATGATTTATTCTTTGTGAATCACCTGTTGTCGTGTGCTTAGAGTGAAATACATTATCGAGGAACACGTGCTAAGAGCAGTATACATTATCCAGAATCACGAGCTAAGAGCGGAATACATTATCAAGAATCTTGTGCTAAAAGCAGAAAACATTATCAAGAATCCTGTGCTAAGAGCAGAATACATTATCAAGAATCCTGTGCTAAGAGCAGAATACATTATCAAGAATCCTGTGCTAAGAGCAGAATACATTATCAAGAATCATGTGCTAAGAGCAGAATACATTATCAAGAATCCTGTGCTAAGAGCAGAATACATTATCAAGAATCCTGTGCTAATAGCAGAATACATTATCAAGAATCATGTGCTAGGAGCAGAATACATTATCAAGAATCTTGTGCTAAGAGCAGAATACATAATCAAGAATCATGTGCTAAGAGCAGAATACATAATCAAGAATCATGTGCTAAGAGCAGAATACATTATCAAGAATCATGTGCTAAGAGCAGAATACATAATCAAGAATCATGTGCTAAGAGCAGAATACATAATCAAGGATCATGTGCTAAGAGCAGAATACATTATAATCAAGGATCATGTGCTAAGAGCAGAATACATTATAATCAAGGATCATGTGCTAAGAGCAGAATACATAATCGAGGATCATGTGCTAGGAGTGGAATACATAATCAACATGATCAAGGATCACATGCTAAGAGTGGAATATATTATCAAGGATCATGTGCTAGGAGTGGAATCAATAATCAAGAATCGCGTGCTGAGAGTGGAATATATTATCAAGGATCATGAGCTAAGAGTGGAATACATTATCGAGGATCACATACTAAGAGTGGAATACATTAATTAACTGTTAAGTGTTGGCTTCCATTTGTCCATCACTATCACCTATCTGCGCTAATTTACTGTTGAATGTTGACTTCCATTTGTCCTCTGCTAATCACTTATCAGCGCCAATTATCTGTTGGCTTCCCTTGTTAAAGTTTCCACCTTTCGTTATCTTATTACTTTTGTTGATCTTATATGTACATATATATGCTCTCTGCCCCACAGCATTCATTCACCTGATGGAGTAAGCATATACTCCGAAACATTGTGTTCCTCATAATAAAGAAGTTGACATCAATTAATTCTCTTCCTTATGTGTATCACCTTAAATGCCTTTTAAAGACTTAGCTAATAGCTATTTAAACAATGTTAAATGACTAACATGATTAATGAATTTGGAATAAAACCAATCAAAATAAATTGACATGGGCATGTAAATCACATACAAAGTCATGTCTGAAGTTTTTGTGAATGACATGGATAAACTTCAAAGCAGAATGTTTTGATTCATTGCAGCTATCAATCATTCAAAAACATCACAATTTGTGATCGCTATACATGAAAGCTGTCAAACATTATACCTATAGATGTTCTACTGTCGCGGTCATATAGTACTCTTTGTACTGTATCATTTAAAACTAAACTGTTATCATTTCACCAACCCTATTTGGCATATATAAAGATTATGATTGTTTGTTAATTTACCTTGTCAAACTCTTCATGTATGCCTGTCAAGGTGAACATTCTACAAAATGTCAAGATGACCTACACATCGTCATTTCATTACTTGTTTTTGGTTTGAGAAAGTTACATGGGGATGAGTAGTAGTTGTAAGATGTAATCAAACCTTTAAAAGAAACTTGTTTGTCTCACATATGTATATTGAAATGCATACATACGAAATACATAAATAATTATGAAAATATTTTTAAAACATTCCTAACTGTAAATTATTACACTAAATATGTTTATGTTATTTGGCAACAATCATAAGAGGGAGCCAGACCCAGACTGGTTTACCCAAACTAGAGAGAGTGAGTGAGTGGGGTTTAACGCCGCTTTGAACATTATTCCAGTTATATCACGGCGTGTCAGCTTAATGTGGGAGGAAAGCCCGAAGTGATGCAGGTCTCAGATGTTTATTCCTTCGGTGAAACCCACGAGTACGGGTATGGTGCTGTCAAACCTAGAAACATAATCGGGGCGAACTGTGATTTGAACCCACAATTAAAGGTTGTGGCCCAAGGGACGACTGGGAAACCCATGCCCCTTACCTGAACTAGACCACTTGCGCCTCTCGCCAGTGCAGCCGCTACGAGGTGAAGGGCAGGTACCAGTCTAGCCCTCTCTGACTTATTTCCCCATACAGCATTTAGATGCAGTGAAACGTTGATCCACTTCCGTGAAAAGGCATCACCATGTCGAGAGGATGGGGACAGGCCTATAGCATATCACTATGCGGGAAACGTTGACCCAGTGTCCATGTAGCAAGATATTAACACTTTTGGATAGTGTGAATAATTGACGTGTCAGGCTACAGGAGTAAACATGCTCCCATTAGGGAGGTAACTCTCATAGAGAAGTATGGTTTATGGTTTAAAAAAACCAAATGCACTCACAACCTTATGGGTTTCAATTTTTACAATATCTGCACGTCTCCACCGATCTACTTCATTATGAAAGAATATTACATCAATGTAGCTATTACTTTAAAAAGATTAATAATGAAAAAAATATTATTAACAATGTCAACAGTATCATGTATCATGATGTATACCACTATGATTGTGTCAACTTAATACCCCATGTTTTCCTTGAAAACAATAACAGATGTTTCAGGAAGGCATAGTTGTGAAAACAAATTACCAGGTTTGTTTTCACAATATGTTTGTTTTCTGCTTTTATCATGTTTATATTACATGAATATTTAAACTGAAAAGTGCCATATTCTCATTCCTGATACTGAAGGAACCACATGCAAATTACAATTTGTTTTATCTTCTGGGTTACATGTGCTCTTTATGACAGTATAGTTACCTGCATCAATAGGTAGGTATGCTACAAAATGTCTTTGCACCATGTTGATCCTCTGGATCAAAGTTATCTCATGACCTTTATATTCTGATTTACTGAATTAAGCACCCTGCCCCAATAAGCACCCTGTGACTGACTGCTAGATCAATCTGCAATCTGCATCACCTGATGAAGGGGCAGATAGCCCTGAAACATGATCATGGTCGTTACACATAAACAGTTTCATGTCCTTGTTTGCCCAAACTTCAAAATGCCCATCCAAGACTTAACCATCTTTAAAACCAATCAGCAAGTTATCTGTTTAAGCATCCTATACTATGTCCATAAGAAGGGCAACTAGAATAATGACAGATTGGAGAGTTCTTATCATGATTATAAGTGTTCAATATTAACAGTTGCAAAGTAATTCAATGTAGTTGGACACTGCTTACTGAATCAATAGTGCACACGAGGAAAGGTAAACATAATATCAACGTGATTGCTGTATCAGGGTTGTCACATGATTACATATGAGAAAGTGAGATATGACAATACTGGACACAGCACTTTCCAAATGCTTACCAAATGCGAGATGCATTTAAAGTTTACAATTGCCTTGTCTAGTAGTGAGTGAGTATGGTTTTACGCCGCTTTTAGCAATATTCCAGCAATATCACGGCGGGGGACACCAGAAATGGGCTTCACACGTTGTACCCATGTCGGGAATCGAACCAGGGTCTTCGGTGTGACAAGTTACAACTTAACTACTAGGCTACCCGACCGCCCCTCCTTGTCTAGTAGTTAGTGAGTGCGTGAGTGAGTATGGTTTTACGCCGCTTTTAGCAATATTCCAGCAATATCACGGCGGGGGACACCAGAAATGGGCTTCACACGTTGTACCCATGTCAGGAATCGAACCAGGGTCTTCGGCGTGACGAGTTACAACTTAACTACTAGGCTACCCGACCGCCCCTCCTTGTCTAGTAGTTAGTGAGTGCGTGAGTGAGTATGGTTTTACGCCGCTTTTAGCAATATTCCAGCAATATCACGGCGGGGGACACCAGAAATGGGCTTCACACGGGAATCGAACCTGGGTCTTCGGCGTGACGAATTACACCTTAACCACTAGGCTACCCGACCGCCCCTCCTTGTCTAGTAACCTACAATCACAACAATAGAGAAATTTCATCAAAAGCCATTTGTCCCTTGCATAGCAAAAAATCTCTCATGAATAACCATGTATACATACATATATTTTGTGTAGGGAAATTGTCACTCACTCACCAAAAGCATTCTGACAAATGTTAAACATAACATATGCAGAGTTCCAGATAACTTTTTGAGCAATTGAGTTTTTACTCTAGGGTTTCTATTTTAATTGGGTTATTACATTTTTCATTGGGTAACCAATACTTTTTCACACAGATATTCATAACTCTATTGGGTTTTTCCCTCAAAGAGTAAACATTTTAAGATTTAAAAATAATAATAATGTTTGAGATGTATATAACCATGGTAACTGTTCTACATGTTCTAAGTATATAGGCTTGACTCAGAAAGTAAATTAGCTTGTGACCATGGTGACTGTGTTTCGGAAATTAGCTCCTTTGTACGCATGCTGAAAAATCTTCTTTGGGTATTTACTCGTGCTTTTTTTATACATTTGGAGTTTTTCAGTTAATTCATGCGTTTCTGTACGCAAGTTAATTGAAATTATTTGGGTTTTGAATATTTGGGGTGGGGTGGGGGGTATTTTACGCAAATACGCTGCTTATCTGTAGATGGTACCATCTATTCGGCAAGTCAAACTTACTTTTCATGCTAATAGTATTCAACCGCAAAGGAGCCTAAACTGGAGGCGTCATTGAGCACTCCATAACAAATTAAACATGATTGGATTCTTGCATTCAGTTTTAGTCAACAGTTTCTATTTAGAACATAATTTCTTTAGTTGTGTCGACAGAAATGTTGCAATGAAAGAAACAATGCAACATAATAAATACACATTTGATTGCACAGCACTAGACAATGTAGATGTTGTTCACTGCTATTGGAAATTCTTCAAAAACAGTTGAAGCTATACAAAATCTTTCATTTCAAATGTTTCACCATGTTCACATGCATCAGTTTAACTGGTATTCCTACCTCCTCCCTATCATAAGTTCCTGTCCAGTGCATAATACCTCCATTCTAGAATGATAAATAACCTGGACCCATCCATTGCCATAGCTCCGTTCCAGATGTGATTTCGCCAACTCCATTTCTCTAATCACTAATTTTGCAAAGAATTTCTCTTGCCTATGATCTTGAAATCAACAGCTAATAAAACTGCTTAATCTGAACACAACTTTGGCATAGATCCACAATGCAAATCCCTTTTTCCTCCAAAAGAACCCTTGTCATATTTAACCAGAAGAATGTTATAAATGAATTACAGCTGAAAGAGATGATGCCTGAGCATTAACACTGGAGGAGGGATGTACATACTCATCATGCCAATGCCACCAAACGTTTTGGTATTAACAATATCATGACATATCAGAAAATCTGCATTGTGAATGGTTTGCCAGCAAAATTTGCTCTAAGTAACACCAGATACAGACTTGCAAATAGCCAATACCGCTAGTTAACATGTCCATTCAACAATTAACATCAGTTTTATTCTGTATGTCACTGATTGGGGATATGGATCAAAACTTTGATTAACATGATTAAAGATTACAGATCGGAAACACAAACAGGCAGTGTTTTGTGTGGGCTGTCATCTTGTTTCCAAAATACGTACTGGCTATTGTTTTCGACCTGGAATCTGTATTCAAAGTTCACTTTCCTTGAAACAAAACATTGGTAGTAACTTGCAGGGAGGTAATTAAAGAAGAGATTGGAATTTAGATTTTACAAACATTTTTATGTTTTGCACTCAGAAGCGTGCTTTAAATTCTGACAGCATACATTTGCAGACTTTTCTAACGGTATGATACAAAAAAAATAACACTGAACAATGAACAGAGGTGATACAATAACCACAGCTGACAATACCACATAATCTGATAGTCCCATGTACCTGACACATTTTAACCATTTTCACAAACAAAATAATCCAGTTTGACAATGCTGACTAAAAATGTTCACATTAATCTAAATTTATGCAACTATTCTAAACATTTCACACATGCACACATATATCAGTAATTATTAAACATTGCCCATTAAGATTACTGTGCTATCCTGCGACTGATCAGCTAAGCAGTATTTGGCGACAGATGTCTTATAATCTCTGGGTGGCTACAAGCTGGCTGAATAGAGCTAGAGAGGGAGTGGGGGAAAAGTAGAAAATTTAAAGGATTAAGGACTATCTACCTTTTAATGATCCGTTTCAGATTCTGTTCACAGTAAAAAAAATCTGGGCGTCCAAGTCAAGAACATGCTGTACAACTGTTTTCATTTCATGCCATTGTTATTGTAGCGATAGTCAATCTTACATCTTGTGTGAACTAACTTCTCCACAAGAAATAACTATTATTTGACAGAGAATCTCATCTGTCATCGAGAGTTTTAACTAAATTTGTAACAAACGAAAATAATGCTGACAATTAATTCGCTCTTTGTGAATGTACCCTTCCCCTAGTTCGCTGCATAATGAGCAGTGTTGACATGCAAGCAGGGCCAACGTAGAAATTGTCAACGTAACACATGCAAGTTCTTCTTTTGTAAACACTTGCCTGGAATGCGATTTTCAAGAAAGTCGCAGTCAGATAGACTACGAATAAACTATTGTAACATTACCTGTGTCTTTGTGGTCAGCTGAATGACAGCTTTCCTGAAATTTAGTTTTGTGTCTGTATTCCCCATTCTGACTGCAGTTCCAGCAGCCGATTCCAAACAGGAAGTACGTCAACGATCGTTAACGCCATCTATTAAATAATTTATTTCAAGTTAGATAACTCTTCATTGCAAAATAAAGTGATAGAAGCATACGTATAATAACTTTGAACTAAACATAGACAAAGCCCAAAGTATTTATCTATGCAAAAAAGTATGTTTTGTTTTATGTTTGATTACCGCGGTATAAGATAATATTTCACTTTTCACCCAATAAGCATTTGACTCAGTTATTTAAGATATTCTACACTGCGTTTTATTTTCACTTACTGCGATACAGACACGTGTTCTTTATCATGTGCTTAGCGCTAAGGTGACCGTAACACCCAGACCTTAATACAGACTTACGACAGTCGTAGCGCTAATGCTGTTTTGTACAACGGCACCCTGGAAGTTTAGCGTACTTTCACATGTGTCCCACGTGCACCACGCATACTGCGTTCTATCCTGGCAGTGCCACAAGGGAGATGTTTACCTTATCGTGTGCCTCACGTGCATCATGGACATTGTGTCTTAACCTTGCATTGCCACACGGGAGATGTTTACCTTATCGTGTGGTTCACGTGCATCATGGACATTGCGTTCTAACCTAGCAGTGCCACACGGGAGATATTTACCTTAGAATGTGCCTCGCGTGCATCATGGACATTGTGTTCTAACCTAGCATTACCACATGCGAGATGTTTACCTTATCGTGTGCCTCACGTGCATCATGGACATTGTGTCCTAACTTAGCATTACCACATGCGAGATGTTTACCTTATCGTGTGCCTCACGTGCATCATGGACATTGTGTCCTAACTTAGCATTACCACACGGGAGATGTTTACCTTATCGTGTGCCTCACGTGCGTCATGGACATTGCGTTCTAAACCTAGAATTACCACACGGTAGATATTTACCTCATCGTGTGCCTCGCGTGCGTCATGGCAATCGTTTACCGCCACGTGTGCCCCACGTGCAATATATACACTCAACCCAGGCATTGATAGTCAAAGGTGCGATTTTGGCCTACACGCATCACCAAAATTCTCACTGAGCAAGGGGGCCATTTTGTTGGTTTTAATGTTTCAACTGTCATAAACGTCATGCGAGAGTGGGTGCACTTGTGGTCACATTCGTTGTGCAGAGCTGCGTCCCACAGGCGAGTCAGGATCTAAAATACATAGCTGAATATGATCCTCGATTTGTCAGCACCAAACACGTCCTTGTGGTTTCACTAAGACTTAAGTCGAAGACCCATGATCACGTGATCACGTGGGGTTTCCATCCAACCTGGAGCTAACATACCGTAGTTCAAAACGGCATTAAAACAAACTCACTCACGTGAGACCCGCGAAGATTCGGGAAGAGAAGAGGTCTTCAGCAATCCATGCTTGCCGTAAGAGGCGACCATGCTGGTGATCAGGCTCGCTGACTTGGTTGATGCAGCATGTCATCGTGTGCCAATTATGTAGATCGATGCTGATGATGTCAATCACTGTATTGTCTGGCCCAGACCCGTCATATAGCTGGACTATTTCTGAGTGCGGCGTTAAGCAGCAAACAAATAAAACACCTGTAACCTGTAACTAACATGTCGTGGTATAACTCAAAACGGCGGTAAAACAAACCCACCAACTCACTCTTAGGAACGTTGCGTTTACGTTGCGTTTACCACCAAACTTTACCATAACATATAAGGAATGCATCACTGACACTGGTTCGTCTTCACTGTTCCCTGTACATGCACGTTCCTTCACCCGTAAATCCATCAGTCTTCTACATCAATTTAGACTGTCACTGTGCAGAATTTCTGTCAGTATGTGGTCATCAGAAATAACACATGTGCCTTAATGACATAATTACAAAAGAATAGGTGTACACGTGTGGGGTGGGGGTTGGTGGGTTGGAGGGGGTTGGAGGGGGTTGGAGACTTTCGACATGACTAGACCCCATCTTACTGAGGGACACATGGAGAGAGCCACAGATATGAATCTTTATTTTTTTAGATTAATCAACATATTTTATTTATAACCAAGACTGGTCCTTATTTACACTGGAAGGAATATTTTTTTGAAAAAGGATGATTTTGCTCCATTGTTTGGTGTCCGTGTATGGTCTTCAGGGCTAGGTGTTGTCATTATATATACAGTAAACTACGGTTATAACGAACACGCTTATAACAAACTTACGGATATAACGAACTTACTTTTTTGGTCTCGACTATTTGCTGTAGTTATGCTGTATATATGCTTATAACGAACTACGGTTATAACGAACTAAAATTAGTAGTTCCTTTGAGTTCGTTATAACCATACTTTACTGTAGTATTATGTGAGCACATGTTAACGTCAGGCAGAATTTCTGTGAATCTATGGTTATCAGGAATAGCACATCGGCCTCAGTAACATTTCCTAAAGCACATGTGTACAAATGTAATCTAAAATAAATACTAAATAAAAATAATCGCCATTTGCATCAGCGCAGTTTTCATGGCAAGATCTGTGTGGATTTGAACATCAGTATTTGAATAAACCATCAACATGTCAATCATTAATTTCCATCCAGACTGCAGTGACACAGCCATGACAAGCTACTGGAAAGGGAGATAATTGTCATCAGGTCAATATTTGCACAGCATCTCCCGCTTGTAAATCAGACACGTATAGGTGAGGGAATGTCTGCCTGTTTCTTCTGTGTGTGTGCACAATGGCCGTCTTACCTGCAGATCAGGGTGGATGAACTAGTCACGCCGACCCAGTTGGTATTCGTGTACAAAGGGAAACACAGGTACAAAAGATGGCTGGCTCTCACTCGTTATCGGCTTAATGAATACAGGCAGTGTGTGTTTGAAGTTGCCTGTTTTTCAGTCTTATCACGCGGTATATCAGCAGCGATGTACAGTAGTGGTGTATGTATCTTGTGTTGTGATTTGGTTGGTTGGTTTGTTGTTTAACGCCGCACTCAGCAATATTCCAGCTATATGACGGCGGTATGTAAATAATCGAGTCTGGACCAGACAATCCAGTGATTAATATCATGAGCATCGATCCACGCAACTGGGATCGATGACATGCATCAACCAAGTCAGCGAACCTGACCGCCCGATCCCGTTAGTCGCCTTTTACGACAAGCATATTCGCCTTTTACGGCAAGCATGGGTTGCTGAAGACCTATTCTACCCCGGATCTTCACTGGTCTGTTGTGCTGTGATGAGTGAATGAGTGATTTATTGGGTTTAAGGCCTTATTCAACAGTATTGTGGTGATTGAAATACACATGCATTGTTTTGTATGTTTGCTTGTTTGTTTGTTGTTTAACGCCGCACTCAGAAATATTCAAGATATATGACAGCGTTCTGTAAATAATCGTGTCTGGACCAGATAATCCAGTGATTGACATTATGAGCATCGATCTATCTAATAGGGATACAATGACACGCATCAACAAGGTTAGCGAGCCTGACCACCCGATCCCGTTAGTCGCCTGCTACGACAAGCATAGTCGCCTTTTACGTCAAGCATGGGTTGCTGAAGAACAATTATGACAGAAATCTTCATGGGTTACATTGATTATAACATTCTAGGGGCGAGGACGTCAAGCATGGTGTAATAATGTTTTGACGTCCGGCAAAATTCTTTAAATCTTGATTATTTTACGTATGTAATATGATACCCGTTCTCTTTGCAACACAATTAGAACATATCTCTCCGGATCTTATGGCCTGATATCAGGCTATACAAGAGACACTTCTGGTCCAGTAGCACAACCGAATTTAAGAAATCAAGAAAAATATTATTTCAATATGAGTAAGCTTTTCATCCAATCGTTTCTTAGGCTGGACGAGCAAGCAGGTCGTGACAATTTCATCGTGAGTCATGGAACGTGGTCTACGGTGTTTGTGTATTGTTTATCGCATTACAGCTATATGACGGCCACCTGTAAATATTCGAATCTGGACGAGACAACCTAGTGATTGATGTCAAGAGCAGCGACCCGCCGTCGGCGCAAGATGAAACCATCAACCACGTTTCCGAGCCTGACCACCCGATCCCTTAAGTCGCCATTAGTTACGAAAAGCATGGGTTCCACATATTTTAACCCGGAATTCCTACTGGCTACACAGCCTCTGATCCGTGATTGTCGTAATGGGCAACTAACAGGATCGGGTGGTCAGGCTCACTGATTTAGTTGATGCATGTCATCATATCCCAATTGCGTGTATCGATGCCCATGATATCAATCTCTGGATTGTCTGGTCCATAATCGATTAGTTACAGACCGCCGTCGTATAGCTGGAAGACTGCTGAGTGCGGTGTTAGTGAGTGAGTTATTATTTAACGTCACATGGGCAATATTTCAGCCATATCGTGACGAGGAGTGCGGTGTTAAACAACAAACAAAGCGTCTGTATTCCTGCAACGGTATTTGGCGTGACGACCCCATGCTGCACACGCATTATGTACACAGTCTTCACCTGTGTGAAAACATCTACATCCTGAAAACATCAAACAATTACCCATGTGTTTGCCTTTGTAATATCGTGCATGTATGGGGATGGTTGTGGGCCTTCGACAAGAATAGCTCGCCTTCGTATTGAGTCACACTTAGGGAGATGATCACAAGTAGAATTTCTTTTTCGATTAATCAACATATTATTCATAACCTAGGTTGGTTTATATGATCTTTGGATTCAACTCATTCAATTCATTCATTCATCCATGTTACGTGAGACATTCTCTCTGGGTAATCACGGCAATCGCCTGTTGCAAGACTGATTTACTTCTTTCACTTGGAGATAAACCTATTCGGTTTTGAATACATTAAACTACGTTTATAACGAACACGCTTACAACGAACAGACGGATAGACCGAACTGTTTTTCCCCGACCATTTGCTGTATTTATGCTGTATATATGCTTATAACGAGCTACGGCTATAACAAACTAACATTAGTGGTCCCTTTGAGTTCGTTATAATTGTGGTTAAACACTGTTAAATGTCTTTTGAAAACGAACGCGTTAGTGAGAAATCAGACAAACAGACTGGGTTTTGAAGATCTTACATAACGTGGTGAGGACGGAACCTAGTCCCACTGTATAAGTAAGTAGGATAGATGCTTACAATAACTCATTGTCATAAGTTTCGTTATTGTGACATTACATGTCATAGTTTATATAACCCGAGCCTTGAGTGCACCATGTGCCTCTGTAAAAACGTGTTAAGTGTTGTTGGAAGGGACTGATTCAAGACCAATACAGGACTGCAAGTTTTCCGCCCCCATTCAGCCCATGTCCCTAGGCGCTGGTGCTTCATTCCTATGTCCGTTTGTCAGGGTCTGTGAAGGTGTCTCCAAGACTGTTCCATTGATTGACACACATATTGGCAACACGCCTCCTCCTCCTCCTCCTCGGCTTGTGATAATCAGACCGTGACTAGTTCTTGTGGGAATATACGCCTGCAGTTCATGGGAAGTCACTATGATATGAATCATCGCCCCAAGATTACCATAATAACAATTCAAGGGAAAGACTTTGAAAACACGAACATTCCCATTCTCATCAAACAAGAGCCATTTGTAAATAAATGTATTTGAGAAACACTGCCCACGCTGAGTACTTGTCACACGAAATAAATCATTATCTACCAGTCAAGCACGGATACAGTTTTGAGAGAGAGAGAGAGAGAGAGAGAGAGAGAGAGAGAGAGAGAGAGAGAGAGAGAGAGCGAGAGACACACACACACGCACGCACACACACACACACACACACACACGCACACACACGCACACGCACGCACACACACAAGCACACACACACACACACACACGCACGCACACACACACACGCACACACACACACACGCACACTTCTGGATCCGCTGTGTGTGTGTGTGATTAATGTATCTTTATAAAATTAGGTTACACAACATGATTTCCCCATGTTGACTTCACCATAACCTGAAACATGAACTATAAACCTCCACCAACAGCATGCATCTCCGGGGGACACACCTACAGTAAATGTTTAGTGCCCAGATACATGTACTCCATGTTGGGGAAGCCTCACTCCGGCTTGTAAGCCGACAACCGAAGCGCACTGCCTGGCAGGATCTAGGCGTGTTTATGATGCAAAGTTAGTCCTCGTAACATGCCAGAGGGACATACCTCCATTGCCCTAGTAAAACACTGCGACCTTTGTGGTCCTTTCATATTAATTACGGTGTGTGAGTGAGTGACCTGGGCTTCAGGTCGCTTGAACAATATTCCAGATATATAACGGGAATAACAAGAGTGAACCAATGAATACACGTTATCGCATTTTTAAGCAATCTTTCGGTAATATCACGCCAGGGAACACAAAG